AAAGACCATCCACATCCAGTAGATCACGGTGTCCCTCTTCTTTCTTGTAAGCTGTACATCTTCCGCGCAGCGGGCAATACGCCTACCTCGATCTTTCACTTCTCCGCCTGTCTTTACCAGCGCTGTTCTCCAAATAGACCACGTCTGTCATTGCAGTCTTGCTCACCATGCCCAAAAGACACTACCGAGCCTGGATTCCCGGCGAGGAACATGACTACCCATCATGGGTAGCTCATCATCTCCCGTAAAAGTATGGTGAAATGAATGCCAGCTTGGACCAATTGGTTCGGAGCTTTAAACGCCATCAGCAATTCTGTCGTGACGCTCGGGTAATCGGAAAATACAAACCCCCCCCCCCCCCCCCCCCCCCCCCGGAATAGGATACTTTACGTGAGGGGGCTCAGGTAGCTACTGCCACCACAAACGAAGCACTGCCGAAAGCAGGAGGGGCAAAAGAAAAGTACCTGGGCCATGTACAAGAAGTGAAAGGGGAGCAGGATATGGCATGGAGAAGAAAAATGCAGCTCAGAACCAGAACCCCTTCCCATCAAGCCGTGCGAAAAGACAAAAACCACACCATTTATTAACGTTTCAAGAAATGACAGAAGAAGCAGCCACCGTAACGCACGAATAGAAAGCCATCAAGATACGTGGAATGTTACCTGATCTTCCCAGTAAACACCGGTCTATACTTTTCCTCAAATTCACGCTCGTAACACATATCACATCATAGTGATCTTCAGGCAAGGGTCAGCCCAGTTGTAGGAATCAACTCGACTACGAGATTTCAATCGTAGTCCTATATAGAGTTGTCTATTTCATGACTGGTGGCTGCCGATTCCGCATCAACGGGATTTGCAGTTTTCCCATTTTCAGGGTTCGTTGTGTTGTCATCACGCTTTCCCAGCCCCTTCCCCTCCCCCAGGCGCTCTTCAGCGGCTGCTAATTTGCCCTTTGTTTCTTCCAGTTCCTGTTGTAAGGCTTTGATATAATCAATAGCCATCTCCACAGTGCTAGCCTTGCTGATAGGTTGGTTTCCGGCCTTTTCCTTTTCTTTCTCCTTCTCCTTATCCCCTCCCTTGGCGTTGCAGATTGCAGCTTCTTTGGCATGCTTTATCTGAACGAATGATGTCGGGATAAGAGTCTCGATCTCTTTGAGCGCATTGTTGATGCGATTCCTTCGTCCCTGCTCTGCGAGTTTATGATTCGTCCGTTTTGAGCTCAGATTCTCGGCCAAGGTTTCAGGGTAGGAGACGCCAGGCAAAAGAGTGCCGTCCAAGATGTGCTGATAGTTCGACTTTGACGCAAGGTACAGGGCCGAAGTTTCGCTTGTGATCCCTCCTAGACAACACTAGTTAGCTTGAAATGCCGCAAGAGGTGTCGAAAAGCAACTCTCCAGTCGATAAGAGTCCGCCGGGCGATAAAGGCGCAGATTGCGTGAAAAGCACTTACCATCACCTCGAACCAGTGGCTGTATACTGGGGCTTATCTTGGGACGTAGATTAGGGCTAGGCTGAGACGAGCTGAGACTCTGCCGCTTTCGGCCCAGGGGTCCTAATTTCGGAGTATCGGACTTCTTTGGTACCGGTCCGCTGGGGGAGGGCATAGCCAAAGTACGGGGACTGGGCGCGATAGAACTGGAAGGTCTGTGGACCACTGGAGCAGACTTGGGTTCCATAGCAGGGGTGGCACTGCCTGGCGTAGTAGTCGAAGACGCCGAATCCGCCCGTACTGTGGTGTCAATGCGGCTCACTTGAGGTCTCGAGACCGGTTCATACGAGGTAGCTGCTTCTGGAAGGACAACATCTTCCATGATATCATCATGTGGTTCAGAAGGAGCAGGCCTGGACACAATTGCCATCGGGCCAGTAGAGGCATTGCTGTGCGGGGACCGTTGAATGCGCATCAGCAAAGCCGGGGTTGCGGGTTCATTGGCTTGTGACACTTGATTGGTCTGAGGGGCAATGGCGGGAGACTTGCGGGACGGAGGAAGAGCAGGTGGCGGCATCAGTGGTTCAGATAGAGGCTCTGGGGAGACGGAATCTTGCCCAGAGCTTTCGTTACTTCCGTAGCGAAGACCACTACCACCAGAACTGCGCGATTTGCTACTTCCCTGGTCCTGGCTTAGGCTATTCAAGACCTCATCCGAGTTGATGTTCAAAAGTGACTTTTTCCGTGCCTGGGGCCGGACTGAAGGCGATTGTTGCTTTTTAGCGCGAGCGGAGAAGGGCTTGGTGGTCGAAGGCTGGCGCCGATGTTTTCGCATCAGACCCGGCGAGGAGGGGGCTGACGACATAGGGAGTGCGTTATCGGCCGGGGAGGGCACAAATCCCATTTCAGAGATTTGGCCGGTGTGGAAGGGGTAACCAGTGGGATTGGAGGTGTGGGCTTCGAGAGCCGGCGAGGTGAGAGGGGTGAAGTACTCTCCAGGGATGGTGTATTCAGGGAAGCGGAATTGACTTTCCAATGGGGTCATGGCAGGTGAGACCAGGGGCGTGTAAAGGGCCTGCGGAGAGCGGGTGCATGCATTAGATTATGCAGGCTAAACTCCAGATTTAAAAAGGATTATGCTCACCTGTTCGTCATTCATTCGCGTGAACCGCTCGTACATCTCATGATTATCATCGGTCCGGTGTGGGTGCGTAGCGGCACTTCCTTGGAGTTCGATACTGTTGGGGGTGGGTGGTATCACAGTCTGACCGTGAGGAACGTAAGCTTGCTGTGTCGGGTGCGAGTGGTTGGAAAGCTGGTGTGACTGTTCCTGCATTGGTTGGTGCTGCTGCTGAGGGTGAAAGTACTGGGGCTGCGGGGGCTTGTGCGCGTAGAATGCCGGGGTGACTGGGGCATTCGAGTATGACGAGGGATGCGGCTGGGCCTGCTGCCCGTGATTGGAAAGGTCAAGGGAAAAATCATTGTTCATGAGGTGGGCGTACGAGGGCGACTGGGTGGTAACATTATCGGTATCCATGCGGACCAATTGCTCCTGCGCAGGTGCCGTTGTGGCGGGCATCGACATGGAGGCCGGGTGGGCAAGAGGCCGGGCAGCATGAGGGTCACTTGGCCCATGCCCCTCCACATCAGGGAACTGCATGCCAAACTCGAGGAAGTTGGTGAATTCATCATCGCCCGGGTTGGTCATATCCGACCAAGCCAGAGGGTGCTCTTGCTCCATCACGAGAAATGCTGCCTTTCAGACAGTAACAGCGGGTTAAGAACAGAAAGACGGAAGACAGGATGCTGGAGATAACCGATCGGAAGTGGAATTTTTGGGTGCGGGCGAAGTGAAGGTCAATCGAGCCGGAGAAAGGGAAGGCAAAGTCAAAAGCAAACCCGGTAGGCTAGGAACGAATGATTTTCGGGGAACGCGGCGCAAGATAGAGGATGGGAATAACAGGGCGGGAGAGCAAAAAACTCAACAAGAATTGCTGGGCATGGCGAGAGCGGTGACGATGATAGAGGAGAAGAGGAGGGTGTGTTGGTAATGGTAAGGCTGAATGAAGCCCAAGCAGACGTAATATGAAGAAAGTACGGGGGAGGAGAGGTAGAGAAAAGAAGAAAGGGAAACGGTAAGGAGGAAGCCGAACGAAAGGGTACCGGCGGTGATGGAGGGGGCCACGGAAGGAAGAAAGAGCACCGGCAGGATACAGAACAAAATTGAGGGACTAGACCCAAGAGAGGAAGTGAAAATCAAGAGAAGAATCCCGCCGTAGTCGAGAATAAATTAAAGCAAGCAGCAGAAATGGGTGTACCATTCATTCAAGCCATGGTGGAAGGTTAATTAGCGGACAGAGGGCGGGGGGGCAAACAGCGGCGCAGGAGATTCGAGAGGACTGAGGAGCAAATAGTAGAGTGAATGGACTTTAGTTCATGGTGACTAAGTCAGAGTCGATAGTTAACTACCCGGGGGGGAAAGGAGGAGGAGGGAGAAGGGTGGAATGGAACAATTGTGGATAATTTTCGGAGTCTCTAAAACGCTAAAGGTTAAGTTCGACGGCTTTTACAGAACAATCTGGTCCGGAGTCGCCAGTCCGGAGAAGAGGAGGAGGAGGAGGAGAAGAAGAAGAGGAGCCCCGGCAGTGCAGCTCGAACGGAGAATTGGAAGGAAATGAATGAGGTTCCCACTCTTGCCTAGGCGGGTAGGTATGGTCGCTGGTACCTTGGTATTGTATCACCATAACCAATACATTACTAGTGGAATCTCATCTGTCCAGTGGCACTAGAGTTCTTCTTGTCTTCCATTGGGTATGCAGAGACCATCTTTGCCCATTTGGAACTAGTCCGTCCCGCAGCCGGAATTAATGAGAATTGGCTAGATTCGATCTAGCGCTTGGACTGGAAGTTGACCCCATCTAGCCTGTCTGTCCTAGGGTACCTGGGAGTCAAAACGGAGGGGGTAAAAAAGGACACACCGAGTCCCAAGGGTTCCTGGGTAGACCCAAACCAAGAAAAAAACACCCGTTCCTACAGCTGAAAGGAAAGCCGCCTCGGCTGGTAAATCCAGGAATGGGAGCAAATAATTAAGCATAGCCCTCCCGGAGGCACAATGAAAGCTTAGTAGACGCACCCACAAATTCCCAACAATATATATTGTCGGCGTGGGATATTTGCGCACATATTGCGGCCGGTCAACAATCCTCTGGTGTGGACAGGACAAGATTCATTGCAATTCTAGAGTGGAGCTTCGTGCCGCGGATAATAACGGTTATCAGAGAATAGTAGATACTCAGTAGTGCTTGTGTAGTTATTCATCTTTGGTAGATGTCCGGTGTAGCATATTTACTGTATTATGTAGCTAATTCCCTGGCTCTTCATTTACCCTTTTGTTTTTCTTCGACGCAACAAATTTCGCAGCAATTGGTTGTGATCATACTGCCTTATACCAATGAAAAAAAAATAACAATAATAATTACTGGGAAGATCATGGCCACGGCCCAGATTCTCTGCCGGGATGTGAATGTGACAAATCAGCTTTCAAGAAGACAGCCTGTCTCCCAGCGTCTGCTATCCACGGAGGGCTCCAACCCGGGGCCCCCTGTACGAAGTACGGAGACTTTACTACAGTAGATAATAGTCTGCGACTCTCTGGCAGTGTGAGTGGGTAACATTATTAGTCACCACCTAATAGCGACAGAGGCAGGGGCCAGAATGGAGCCCTTCGGAGAGGGTAGCTTTAAGCTAAAATAACAGCACGAGTTGACTCCTTGGACGAGTGGCTACTGGGTTAATTCTTACCTCCTTCAACTTTGCTTTCCCTTAGTGGCTGGCGTTACGTATGGCCTAGTAGTAGTGCAGGTACTAAGTATAATATCCACCTAGCTAGTAGGTAACAGCCAGTTTCTTTCATTTCCAGGAAAATATGGCCTGAGCTCTGCATGCACATCTATAGCTGAGGAACTTAAGTCAAAGTCATCGCCTCGGCTACATGAACTGATCGATGATCGTGATCTCAACTGCTGAAGAACCTGAAAAGAAGAAGGCCATCCATACTCGTATGATAATCCTGGTTACTTGAGGTCCATGCAAGCCCTTCGGAAGGCACTGATGTTGAAGAGCGCCCGGGATGTTCCCGTATTTGGTTTTCTTTCCCTTTCCTTTTGTTACATGCCCTCTGTCCCCCTGGTACACACCAACGCTAAACCAACCATTTCCCTCCCTCTATACAGTGTCACGGGCAAATCTAGTACTTCCATCTACCCCCCAGTGGGTACCTGAGTAGTAGGTGGGTAGATATCTCATTGATTTAGTCCGCCGTCTCGAGCTGCCGAGAAATGCTCACATTATCACCTACCTTTTACGGAGTCCAGCAGCAGAATAAAGCTGGATCAATTTCCAACCGGCCTCCGCGGACTTATTGCGAACGAAGCTACTATCTAGGCATAGCTTCTGCCACTTTAAGCACCCTAGTCGGTCAATGGGGCTAGATGGAAGCGGGTGGGCGTCCGGGCTGCCGCCTAAGACCACGCCTGTCTGGCCAGTGGTGTGCCGGCGCGATATTACACTGTCGAATCATCAAATCATGGTCTGACATCTCTCAGCGAGCTGTTGGCCATGCTCGGTTCACCTAGCGGTTTCGCAGAGTGGCGTTGACGAAGACACTAAGTAAGGCTAGGTTAGCCTGCAGCCGAAGCATCTAGCAGTCTCTAGGTGCAGATTTGAAGCTAGTGCAAAGCCGATGCGAAAATCTTCTGAAACATTTGGCGACATTATTATCAGCAAACGAGTTAACTAGTCGTATCTGCTATTTCACCCCACTAGCCAGTTTGGCGAAAATACCATCATTGAATCCCTGTGAATAGGTAAATTATAGGAAGGAATCAAACGATGGTGCAATGAAGGGGCTTAGGTTGCCTGTTATTGTGTGAACGCTATGGAAGGGATAGTGGAAAGAGGCTACCATGTTGCCAGTAGTGGCCACCATCGAGGAAAAGGGAGGGAGGAGAGGGCTGTTCGTTTCTTTCGTGCTAACCAGCTTCACACCCCTCCCCCAGCTCACCATCAGTCCAACACGGGCGAACTAGTGCCATGGAAGAGCGTTGCTCACGCGATCAACTTGGCGGTGGATGACGTCTAGGTTCTCACGGCTGGTCCAATTTGAAAGCGGGATCAGATCAGCCATGGCCACGAGGATATTGAGGCTGGGCGGTTGGAAAGGTGAAGGGTCCATTGTCGCTGCCGTGTGCGGGATGTGTACGGAGTATCTATCGATAAAATACCGGCTCCTGCGCACCAAAAGAGGGTCGGCAAATCCGACTCAAGTCATGGCTCGCAAACCTCAGTGTTCAAGTATGTCCGTTTACATTTTGGTTATAACCTAAACGCTATATACTATATACTAAATACTTAGTGATACTGTTCTTTGCCACGGTACGAGTTGTTGGTAAGTATACCATCTACAGGACAGCAGGCAGAAAATGATTTATTATCAAATACCATTACTCGGATAATTGCGACACAGTTCTTCGGAACGCTTTCCGACAGCCCCGACAACTAGTCGGACTAAGCTAAGCTACATAGTTACATGGTCATAGCAGAACCACACTCTCGGCAGTTTACCTGCCTCTATAGTGATGACTTCTGGATCTCTCTACATCTGCATCGTACTATTTCCCCTACCTCTACACCCCAGTAGTAGTAAATGTCTACTTCATAGTTAACTAACTGTAAATAACTCGGCATGAAATGGCTTAGCTAATCATAGTGCGGGGTTCTCAGATGCTGCATCACGTGGCGATCACCCAATGCCTGATGATGACATAACGCAGACAAACCGACCAGGCATCGAACGAACGTCGCTCCTTCAGAATGGAATGAATGCGTGTCTCCTGTTTTCTCAACTACAATCACGGACTGCGTACCTATTCGATGCCTGGCCACTGCAAGGTCTCTGTTGAGTTGCCGCTGTGACTTCTGCTTCTTTTCCCCACCATGAGACCTCCAGTGCCAGATGTTGCGCTGCCTCGATCTCGCAAGGCCTCCATCGAACAGCAGTGGATCGATCCCCGCAGTGCCGCCCCCGCGACCTTCTTTCTGTCCCGCAATCACGGTCTCGACCACGATGACGACCTCTCCTCTGATGAGCCCGATGCCTCCAGGACGAGTATGTACGGAGTACAGAGCCTTGAAGAAAGTATCCTCCAGACTAGTCAAACCGCGTCCGTGTCCCAGTCAGATCAGATAGTTGGTAGTAAGGCCGCCGGAGTGGAACCGATTTCCACCTCTCAATCTCCCAACCGCGACGATAAGGAGGACGATGACGACCAGCTTTCCGGACTCAACCGCCGCAGGTCTACGCTCAAGCCCCTCGATACTATTCATTCTAATAGACTGGATGCCTCTATTACCTCCGACCTGATCTCTCCCCGGCCCTTCACCCCCCTGAATCTCAGCAACCCCGACGACCCTTCATCTCTCCCTAGCAGTCCCAAATCTACTTCGAACCAATCTATGCGCCACCTAGATGAGATCTCTATCACCGATGACTTGAGTAGCCAGGCGGTTGCCTCTGGAGAAGAAGACGATGATGCTCGATCTATCCACAACCCAGAGCACGATAGCACATCCCAGTTTATCATGCCAAGCATCAAGATGCCTAGTCGGAGACCCTTCACATCGCGCGGGAAGTCACTCGGAAGGTTCAAAATACTTGTTGCGGGCGCTTCTGGTAAGTCCTCTTTATCTTCAATTTCGTAGTGTCTGTGATCCTGCGGAGTGCGTGCTGACTGATGCTGCAGGCTCTGGGAAATCATCTCTCATTAGGTCGATCGTCCAGGCTTGTGAGGACATTGTACATGTAGACGACTTTCCACCTACCGATACCTCGACACCGTCGCGGACATCTCTTACGACGATCCAACTATCTCAGGCACATCGACTACCGTTGTCAACTACATCAGAGATCTACGCCAGTACCAAGCCGTACCCATCTTGGTGGTCAGACTTGGAAGACTCACGCGTGCTGCGCCGTAGGAGAAGTACAGGTGATGTAGTTCTAGAACGCAATATCTGCTTCGTTGATACACCTGCAACCTCGCTGAGTCGCACCGGACAAGTGGATGCCATCATACATTACATACGTCAACAGCTATTCCGCGCAACAACAGCTATTGATTCTTGCAATCACGACTTCCAAAACCTGCTTGCAGGGCAGGGTGGCACCCAAGTTGATGCTGTACTTTATCTCGTCTCTGCAGGTATGTATTCTCGGTTAGTTCGCTCTCGTTGATTAGATAGATGAGCTCACGTATTATCAGATACCTTTGTGGCAGACATGGAATGCATCGACTTGCTATGCGAATGGACCAACGTCATCCCTCTGATATCCAAGGCTGACTTGTTGGCTCCTGAGCAGATCTCTGCACTTAAGTCGGGGTTCCACAAGCATACGCAAGCCACTCCGGCCAAGCCCTTCCTTTTTGGAAACACAGGTCCTGGGGCAGATGACTTTGACGGACAGTTGCCTTTTGCAGTATCCTCGGCCAAAACCAGTGATGAAGATGTTATGGATGCTAGCACTTTAATGAGCCCCGACTATGTCCAACCCCTGGTGCCCTCCGAATTGACTTTGTTAGTCCAGAGGTTATTCGACGCCGAGAATATCATTTGGATGCGACACTCAGCTGCAAAGAAACTAGCCCAACAGCAACGAGAGCATTTCTGGCAACACCCAACTCGCCAACCTAGTACCCAACCAATTAATCATGGCTCAAGCCGGGGTTCGCCCAGCTACACTATGGCTCGGATAGCAGATCACACGCGACAGGAAGAGAAAATGGCCCGTTTGCAGTTGGCAAAGTGGGCATCTGAGTTGCAGCAAAGCCTAAAGAATGAACGAGAGAGATACGCTGCCATGGCAAGGGGCGAGCGTGCCATCTGGCTCACGGAACGGTTAGGCGAGTGCGTAGTAGACGGATCGCTGGTCCCCATTACACAAACGCCAGGCTTTTGCGGACTCCGAGCTCCCTTGGAGAAAGCAAGCGGGGGCAGTCTTCTTGTTCGAGCACAAAGTGGGCAGAATGTGGAGTATCGCCTTGCCCGGATTCGCCCGCAAGACCCTCTGGGACTTGTCTGGTTGTCCGAGGACCTCAAGCGGCGGGGCTGGGCCATCGTTCAGATCGTGGGCTCCTTTGGAGTTGTCGGGGGGCTGGCTCTTTGGCTTGCCAAAGCATGGGGACTATCCTCGCGCAGTCTGTCTGAATGGCATTTTGACTGGTGCGGTTCGACTGATTAAGTGATCCAGCCCTACTCACTTACTAGGGTGGGTACTTTACACTCGTATCCCCTCATTATCCCTTTTTACTCTACTATTTCCTATACCCCCCTCTCCAATTCATCTATAAGAGCTGGGAGACACATATGTTCTTAGGGCAATAGGCGTCAACTGGATTGACTCGCATGCAAGCAAACCCCGGCGTTTCCACAGACACATTTTCACCTTCCCACGTCTTTTCATCCCCCCTCTCTCATTTTCTCTTTCACCGTTTCCCAACTCTCTTTCCATCCATCCAATATTCATTTCTGGCGTTTTCCCACTGCATACAACTTCCCCTCAGGTCACATCTAATGAAGAAATGTGCTCAATGTACTCACGAACCACAACACAACTCACCAGGGAGGCTAGGTGCCCAGTTCATCCCGTTTATGTGCCTCCTTGCTTGATCAAATTTTATTCAGGTAGCTTACAGTCAATCTACTCGTAATATGGACAAAATTGGGAAGATTTTATTTCCCAAGAAACCTCAAATGTAGAACACATAACTTATGAGTACTATGTAAGCTGGGCCAATATAGCCATAACTCGGTTTTTCCACTGGTTTCGACCTAATTCAGGTACTACCGTGCGGCGTCAATTGATACCAAGAGGGGAAAAACAATTTTTGCTACTCACCTTCATATATACATACACTGTTTACTCTCTGTCACGGCATATATGTCGAATACAGAGTGTAAGTATAGTCTCAGCGTAGTAGTAGTAGCAGCAGTAGCAGCAGCAGCAGCAGCAGCAGCAGCAGTAGTAGTAGTAGTAGTAGTAGTTCTTTCCCTCTCCCCTCCCTCCCATTCCCTCCTCTCTCATAAGATATCTTCCATATGATAAATTATATCCATGCGTGTTCCTACTACTGTATACGGTTTAGAATACTATCACTGCACGGTGCAACTACTGCTTAATACTGCCAATTGCAACCTAACCTAGTCGACAGCGACCTGGCCTGATTTGATTCACTGCTGATGAACTGACCTTTTTCTTTTCTTTTTTTCGTTCTTCAAAAAGTTATGTACGTGGCTACTCGTATATAGATAGCTGTAGCGTCATAGTAACACCACCTAAGGATGCAGATGATTAGTGACTACTAGATGAAATGATTGGATTGTTGATCGATCATTATGCAAACATATAGGTATGTAGTGGGAAGAGTTATCAGAAAGGGATTACTACTGTTATGTTATACTACGACCGTCTAGGTTGAGAGCAACAAGTTGAACAGAGAAAGCTTTTATTCTCAAGGTAAGTCTACCATACTGACAACAAGCGTATCAGACGGACTGTATTTAGGTTGGGGGTAATAAACGCTCAAAACGCCGAAAGAAAAAAAGAAAAAGGTAGAATTCGTAATTCAGTAATGAAGAAAAAAGACAGAAAAAGGATCAAAGGAAAAAGGGTTCCTTTGCCGTTCCGATTAATAACGCAATATCGTTCAGTGAATATTAGATCCCTGATGCAAATACCGCTGGAACAGTTTCCGGGTCATCACAAATCAGTTACATCTCATTTCCATTTTGCTCGAAAAGAAGATCGTGACATCATGCGGTCAACATTTAGTCAACCTCCTCCATGGAGCTCTCGGCAGCGGCGGCGGCAGGGGCAGCCTCCTCAGCAGCCTTCTCCTCGGTGGTCTCAGCCTCCTCGTCGATGTTCAGACCAAGGGAGACGAGCTTGTGGATGCGCTCAGCGAAGCTAGCGGGCTCCTCAATGGTGAAACCGGAGACCAGGAGGGAGGTCTCGAAGAGCAGCTGAGTGATGGACTTGACAGTGCGGTCACCCTCGCCATCGGCCTCAACCTTCTTGCGGAGCTCCTTAATGATAGAGGACTTGGGAGAGATCTCGAAAGTCTTCTTGGAGGACATGTAAGAGCTCATGGAGGTGTCACGGAGGGCCTGGGCCTTCATGATACGCTCCATGTTAGCGGACCAACCGAACTGGCCGGTACGGATGGCGCAAGGAGAGCCAACGAGCTTGTGGGAGACAACGACCTTCTCGACCTTGTCGCCGAGGATGTTCTTGAGGCTCTTGGCGAGACCCTCGAACTCCTTCTCCTCCTTCTCGCGCTCAGCCTTCTCCTCCTCGGACTCCTCAAGCTCGAAGTCCTTGGTGATGTCGACCAACTTCTTGCCGTCGAACTCCTTCAGCTGAGTGAAGGCGTACTCGTCAATGGGGTCAACCAGGAACAGAACCTCGAAGTTCTTCTGCTTGAGGCTGTCCAGGAAGGGAGACTTGGCAACAGCCTTGATGGACTCGCCGGTGATGTAGTAGATCTGCTTCTGGTGCTCGGGCATACGGGTGACGTAGTCGGTAAGGGAGGTAGCCTCATCACCAGACTTGGTGGACTGGTAGCGGAGGAGCTTGGCCAGAGTGGGACGGTTCTGGGCGTCCTCGTGGATACCGAGCTTGATGTTCTTGCTGAAGGCAGAGTAGAACTTGTCGAACTGCTCGCGGTCCTCAGCGATCTCGGTGAAGAGCTCGAGGGTCTTCTTGACGATGTTCTTCTTGATGACCTTCATGATCTTGTTCTGCTGGAGAGTCTCACGAGACAGGTTGAGAGGAAGGTCCTCAGAGTCGACAACACCCTTGACGAAGCTGAGCCACTCGGGGATGAGGTCAGTGGCGTCATCGGTGATGAAGACACGGCGGACGTAGAGCTTGATGTTGTTCTTGGTCTTCTTAGACTCGAACAGGTCGAAGGGAGCACGCTTGGGGACGTAGAGGATGGCACGGAACTCGAGCTGACCCTCGACGGAGAAGTGCTTGACAGCCAAGTGGTCCTCCCAGTCGTTGGAGAGGGACTTGTAGAAAGCAGCGTACTCCTCCTGGGTGATGTCGGCGGGGTTACGAGTCCAGATGGGCTTGGTCTTGTTAAGCTCCTCCTCCTCGATCTTGCTCTCCTTGACAGTCTTGGTCTTCTTCTCCTTCTTCTCCTCTTCCTCATCGACCTCCTCGATCTTGGGCTTCTTCTCGTCACCCTCTTCCTCCTCCTTGGTCTCAGCCTCCTCGTCGGGGACCTCCTTCTCGGTCTCCTTCAGGACGTGGAGGTAGATGGGGTAGGAGATGAACTCGGAGTGCTTGCGGACAACCTCCTTGATGCGGCTCTCGTTGAGGTAGTCGGTCTGCTCATCCTTCAGGTGGAGGATGATCTTGGTACCACGACCAAGCTGCTCACCCTCGGTGTCCTGGGTGAGGGTGAAGGTACCACCGGCAGCGGACTCCCAGATGTACTGCTCGTCATCATTGTGCTTGGAGATGACGGTGACACGGTCGGCCACAAGGTAGGCAGAGTAGAAACCAACACCGAACTGACCGATCATGGAGATATCAGCACCAGCGGAGAGAGCCTCCATGAACTGCTTAGTACCAGAGCGAGCAATGGTACCGAGGTTGTTGATGAGGTCCTAAAAAAAGCCCACAAAGTCAGAATTCACGCTAAACGTAAGAGGGTACCGCTCAATGGCAGAAGAAAGAGCAGGGAGTGATAGGAGAGAAAAACTTACAGCCTTGGTCATACCGATACCGGTATCACGGATGGTGAGGGTCTTGGCCTCGGCGTTGGGGATCAGGTCGATGCGGAGATCCTTGCCCGAGTCGAGCTTAGAGGGGTCGGACAGGGACTCATAGCGAATCTTGTCCAGAGCATCGGAGGCGTTGGAGATCAGCTCACGCAGGAAAATCTCCTTGTTGGAGTAGACAGTGTTGATGATGAGGGAGAGGAGCTGAGAGATCTCAGCCTGGAACTCGAAAGTCTCGGCAGACATGGTGGCGGTAGGAGGAGAGACTTGGTTTTCTAAGGAGGGGTAGGGATGTCAGTAAAGAAGGAAAGAAGAAGAAGAAGAAGAAGCGAGACAGCCAAGCTCCTTCAGATGGTTCTGAAGTGGAGAATGAAAAAAGTTGGAAATCAGAGAAGGGGAATTGGAGTCTCTTTAAATTTGTTGACAAAGAGGGAAGGCAAGAAAAGGGCAGAAATTTCTAGAAATCCCGTCTTGCCTCCCGCTGAGCCAGGTTTGCACGCAAACGATAGTGGCTGAGTCAGAGCTCCAGGTGGGGGAGGGAGGGACAGTTTTAGTGTATAGTAAAGTTGAGTAGTACTGACCTAAAACAGATTGAAAGGTGTGGAGGTTTGATGGGAGGGCAAATGGAGCAAAGTCACGGATCACACAAGATAGATAGGAGGAAAGGAGATTAAGAACTGCCCACGAGTTGACAGAAAGAAAAGGGAGATGGAGGTAGAGAGAGAGGGAAGAGTGATTAGAGAATAAGAGTGAGAGGAAGAGAGGAAAGAGAAAAAATAGCTGATGAACCGAAGGGAAAAGGCGACGGGGCGGGACCTTAATGTTCTCTGGGCGGACCGTCACAAAATTTCGGTGCGGCGTTTCTACGGCGATCCAGCAACTTCCACCGATTCCACGCTGCTCCTCCCACTACTGTGTCACTCTCCCAAGTCCCCAAGCTTCTTCTCCCCCCGCCAGCCCAGGATGTTCCAGCGCCTTCCAGCTGCGGGATCTAGATGCTTCTGCCCACACCTTGCCAGGCACTAACCGGCCCTGTTTCTCCCCTTTCTTTGGTGCCTGCCACCCCCTACTGGTTGAAGGTCCAGTGGTCATGCTCCGTTGAGTGAGTATCTAGCCGTAGCCATGGGAATTCCCCGATCCGATATGGCTATGCCAGGGGACTTCCCCAGATGTCTTCATGCTTCTTTTTGCTGGGCGATAACTTCCGGGGGCGATCTGGCTGCCTGAGGCTCACTATCTAGAACGTTCCGCTCTTCTGCTCCGTCTCCTTCCCCCTCCATTCACGGGTTCCCAGCCAATCCGGAGCCGCAATCACTCTGACCGCTTTGTGCCCTTTCATACATAGTTACTTTACTTACGAATGTTACCACGGCTACCGTCGAGTACTACGCCGTACTAGTAGTTACTACTTCACTGGATTTCAGCTTTCACTGTATGTCACTTCAGTCAATGCTGTTGCCCTGCCAGGCATGCCACCTGGGAGGTACTCTAGACCCACATAGTAATTTCGAAATAGCTACAGGTATTAGATATCTACATAGTTGCTAGTTAGCTTGCCTCCCTTGATCTCTCTAGGGGTTTTAGGAATCATCAACATCAATTCATTACTGGGACCATTGACTCACACCTTACCCCCCCCCCCCCCCCTATCCGGAACATCCTCAACGAAGTCGCTACCATCCTCCACCACCATCACCATATCGAGCTCATCGACCTCCCCCCCCCCCCCCCCCCCCCCCAAAACCCCAAAAAGCCTTGCATGCTGTCTACGCTACTTCGGCCAACTGGGGACCTTGAGCACCCTTCATTGCTCCCTGAATACCGCCAATTACTACAACAAGGGCATCTGTCATTAGCGAAATTTCTGTGTTTGATTGTTTTCTGTAGTTGTCTTCGATCTTTTTTACTTCTTCCAGTTTACTCCATTGTGGTTGCACATTTCGCAACAACATCATCCTGAGCCAACACCGCCCGCTACCCACCGCCCCCGTGGCCCTTGCCCCGAGGGAGCTAACCCCCCCAAGAAAGCACGGCACACGACCTAGGGAGACGTAAAATAATGAAAAAGAAACATTCAAGCAAGAAGCCATCCATTTACACTCCTCAAACATGACGAGGCCGGAAATAGAAACAATGAACCAGAAGCCAGGGGAAGAAGTGTAACTAAGCAGGAGCCAGGACTAAGAAGCCAGTGATGGACAGCGACGGTCGTCAACATGGTGGGAGAAGTAGATGAAGAAGATGGGAGGTCAAAAGCAAGAGATAGAGATGAAAGAAATATGGGCATTCAGCTCGCTATGCTAAGAAGATAAGGAGCCATCAAAGAGGTAGAGAATAAAAAAAAAAGAAGAGGTCATGGCAACACAGGAAGAGGAAACCAAAGTCATGATGACGACCAAGCAAAGCCCAGTGAGAAGATGATAAGAAAACTTTTCCAACCGCTAATATGCACTGTGACAAGAGGGCCACATAACACATGTCATTATCAAAGTAAAGGGGGAGAGTAATACATGTCCTGGATCGCCGTGAGCATCTAAACCCGTATACCGTCTCAAGCCAGGAGGAAGGGCTAGGAATCATATAAGGCTTTGTAAAGAGGGGAAAGAAAAGAGAAAGAATGGGAAAGGAACGAAGCCGTCAAGGTCGCGGATATGACCGCCGCTTACGTTCGATCGTCGTTCTTCGTAAGACGTCAGAGGTATTTTGGTTAGTGAAGGTGCCTAAGCAGTCTGAGCCTGGTTGCGACCCTTGGCGTTGACGTTGCCGCCACGGCCACGGGGGGCAAAGCCTCCGCGACCCTCGCGCTGGAAGCCTCCGCGACCCTGGCTGCCTGCACGGTCACCACGACCACGACCGGCACCACCGCGGCCCGCACCGTAGCTTCCGTTACCGAAGGCATTGGTGCGAGGGCGACGCTCCTCCACGTAGATCTGCTCGGTTCCAATCTGGTGGGGGTTGGCAGCAACAGCGGCGGCATAGCCCGCGGCATCACCGAATTCGACAAAGGCGCAGTTCTGGATGCAAGGTTAGCTTTTCCTTTGTCCGATCCGAATCATGGGTGCATTAAGAGGTGGCATACCTTAGCACGGCTCACATCGAAGTGCTTCAGCTTGCCAAAGCGAGACAGGGTCTGCTTGAGCAAGCTCGCATCGACCTTCTCGGTGACGTTCTTGATGTAGGCGAGAACATTCTCCTCACCCGCACGGGACTGAGTCTTCTTGTGATCATGGCCCGCAGTCTGCCAGCCAGAACCATCAGTCGAGGAAGGCTGGCTGGACGCGGCTTCGGGGGCGGCAGCGGCCGCGGGAGCAGGAGCAGCGGCGGGGGCGGGGGCCGGAGCGGTGGGCTGAGCAGAGCTGGCAGCGGGAGCAGGCTTTACCGGAGCAACGGGGACAGCGGGAACAACAGGCGCCGAGGCACCAGACTTGGAGGCGATGGTGGCCCAAGTCTTAGGGACCGCCCTAGCGGGAGCACTCTCCTTAGCCGGAGCAGGAGCTTCCTTCTGCTCAGGCACAGGAGTGGGCTCGGGAGTGGCGGGCTTCTCAGCCTTGGGTGCCTCAGTCTCAACCGGGGCAGCAGCTTCCGGGGCAGCTTCGACAGGCGTTTCCTGAGCTGCGGTTCCATTGGTCTGGGGAGCATCCTCCTTGACGGGCTTGGCCTCAGCAGTCTGCTCGGCCTCCTCGAGCTTCTCGTCCACCTGAGCCGCAGCAGGCTCACTGTCTACCTGGGCCTTCTCGGGCTCCGGGACAGTTTCAGCCTCAGGCTGTGCAGGCTCTTCAGCAGCCGGCTCCTCAACCGGGGCAGCAGGGGCAGCAGGGGCAGCAGCAGGAGCAGCTTCTTCTTGCTCGATCTCCTCCTCCTCATCGACAAGATACCGGAAGATGTCGTTGAGAACATAGTAACCGTTGGGCTGTTCCGCCAGCACGAAAGTCTGCACAAACTTGCGGGAAGGCTCGGAGCGGTTCGAGATCTCGCCAATCACAGAGATCAGGATGTTATCAAATGAGGCCTGAGAGTCGACGTTCAAGACACGGACCTTGCAGTCTTGGAAGTCAAGCTGCTTGATCTTATCATTGATAGCCTGTGACGACGATGTCAGCAAAAATTAGACTTTACTGGACAGGGATCTATCCCACGGAGCGGAGATATCAACGCACCTTCTGGCCCACAGCAACCTGAACAGTTTCAGCTTCGGTGCCAAAAACGAGCTGAGAACGCCGAGAGTAGAAGAGGTGAAGCTTCTCCGGACTGCGGCTCATGTTGGTGTAGTACTGCTCCACGAAGTACCAGCCAACCTCATCCTTCGAAATACCATTCTTCTGGTCATTTGCGGGGGCGTTCGAGGGAGTAGAGGAGGGCGCAGGCTGGAAGCTGGCCGCGCTGTTGACGTTTGCGGGGGCGTGGGTGAAAGAGTCGGGGTAAGCGTGTTGCGCAGGGTAGCCGCCGTTGATAGGAGCCTGGGTCGTGTCGGCCATTGTGAAATGAATGAAACTTGGAGGCTCAAGAAAAAGAAAGAGAAAAGTCTAAGAGAGAAGAGCCGAGCAAAAGAATATGTTGGATACGAGGCTAGGCTTGATGCGGCGAGGGAAGGGAAAAAAATCTAGTAAGAAATATTCCCCGACACTGGTATTTGTCAGTGCTTTTGAAGCTTGGACGTATATGGCCATGGCTGAGAGTTCGGGGCCACGATTGCAGGTGAAAAATGAGGGACTTACAACGTAGATTGTGCGAACGAATTGCTCCTCGAAGGCGCAATGAAGTGAATCAGAAAGAAAAGAAAAGATCAATGAAAGATAGAAAGGTGGCGCGTCGAAGTCGTCGAGGTGAATAACAGAAAGAACCTTGTGCGATTCCGGAATTGAGTGTGCGAGGAAAAGCCCGAGGCAACAGAATCGGAAGGGAAAAAGCACGGGACGAAGAGAGACGGAGCTTGATTTAGGAGACCAAGAGGTGCAAGCAGATGAAAAACTGGCTGAGGATGAGAATTGCAAGGAAAGATGAAGAGGAAGATGGGGGGGTTTGTGTATGTGTGGAGGGTTGAGAGGGGTGGTAGTAGTTAGTGTGTGTGTGTGGATGAAGAGTGGTGAGGGAAGTTAAGTTTGGGGGAGTGTGGTAAGTAACAGCTAGTAGTAACAGGGTGGACGGAGAGAGACACGAGAGGTTGCTGAGAGCAGCAGCGCAGAGGGAAACCGACTTTGAGGTCAAGGCCAGTCAAGCCGTTCGTTTTTGCTGGTGCAAAATCCAGCACCGAACCCAGAAGTGCCCGGCGCTAGTCCTCTTCAGGACATGTCGCGCTTGGCCCCGAATTCACCGCCTGCTACTTTGGGCTGATATGATTCACGGGCGCATCTCATCGATCGACTGGACGACCGCGATCAGTGACAAAATGTGGGTGGCAGCGGTGGTGGCAATATTGGAGCTGAATAGGACCAATTACTTCCAATGGATCAAGATTTACAGATGGTGGGACTAGATTTACATGGAAGTTATGAGGCTGGCACTTAGATAGCAGTAGTACACACTCTGTAAACGAAATTGCTGTCGGAACTTGTGTTGATGACGCAGTGGAACAATGTGGTAGGCTAGTCCATTTGCCATCCATGATATCAGCATGCGGTGGATTTAACCCCCCCAGAACAGGCCCGTTCATTGGCAATGATGCTGGATCCTCGGCCGATAGCTGTTTTACTACCATATCTGATGCACCGCCTGTAATAAAAAAAGCACATTTTCTTCACCATTCTTCATAATATGTATCGGAGTTCGGATTCTTGCTCGTTCCTTTTGGAATATAGACAGTACAAAGTTTAGAGCCGGGCACGAGATAGATAGATCACTGGCAGATCTCGGATTCGTATATCCAATCATCGGTGTGCTCCTTTGTCACATAGCAAACGGAACCGGCACAGTACCACGCCCCCTAACAAACATCACACAATTATCCCAGTAATCAAATAAGCAGATGGCTATCAGACAGTAAATTAGGGTTGGTACACGCAGCGGAATCGCATTAAATCAGAGTGGATAGCTGGCTCAGAAGGGGGGTATGATAGACAGGTAAAGATAAGCTTCTCATCAAGAAAGACGGGTATCGAACTCGGTCATAGAACCCGCCGCAGGGGAAATCTGGCAAGCCGGGAAAAACATGCAACATTAGAACAGCCGTGGCCCAGGTGGCCATGGGGACAGGGAGCAAAAGGTCCAGTAAGGTATCAAAATGCAATCTTTCGGTCAACACCACACGACACCGTCGTCTGCAACAACTCACGGGGCTTCCACCGCCGCTTTTTCGTTCAGCACGGGCTCTCGCATGACAGCGTCCTGGCTAGTCATTCTACGTCCAAGGGCGCGCTCCACCTTGGCCCCCAATGCCAACTTGCTCAAGTTGTCGGTCTTCTCCGGAGTAGGAACGAAACGCTGCTTCAAGAGGGGCTTGTTTTCCAGGCGCTCCAGCCCATCACGGAGATTGTGGAAATCGGCTAGTCTGGGGTCTCCAGCAGGCAAACCTGCAAAGGTGGTTTCCGACGAGGCGACCGTAGGGGCTTCGCTGACAGTCGAGAATCGCTTGGAGGTACGGGCCTATGATCGAATCAGATGGAATTGCGACGGCGATAAATGTGCGTGGATATCGCACGTAAGTAGACTTACCGACTGGGCCATGATGGGTCTCTCAGACTCTAGCGATGTATGTCTAGCCATGTTCACGATGGTGTAGGATGCGGTGGGTCGTATAATGCGTGCAGTTCAAAGCGTGTGCAGAATAGTGGAACAACAAAGGCTGCGAGGTTTCCCAGAAGAATGTATGTAACCTGTAAGATAGGATTGTACCCCGGTCAGCGAAGCGAGAACTTTAAGAGGCGCGGATATCAAAGGAACAACTGCAACAGCACCGAAGAGACACAAGAGCCAGACAAGCAGATGGGTCGTCCACAGTCGAGAAAATAAAGGAGGGATAAAGGTAAGGCAAGGCATCAATAACTAATCGGGATATTTTTTTTTCTGGGAAAATGATCCCGAGTGATTAAAGACGCTGATTGAGCCAGGATCAGCAGGGCTGGAGAGAAGAGGGGTTCTCACCTTAGAACATTCAATTCCTTCCAGGGTCAGTATGCGATCAGTATAGGTCAAAGGGGATATCTGATGTGGGCAAGATCAAAAGAGGAGGAAAAGGAAGAGTAAGAGTAAGAACGAGGTCCCTGATGAGAGTGTTGGACTGCGCGCAGCCGTGCCATGCATTCGACTCAGGAGAGGCCGGGGGCGAAGGAGGCGGATGGGGTGGGTCACCGGCAGGCGCCAAAACGCAATGCTGATAAAATCTTCTTCCTCGTCGACGGTCGGAAAGGATTGGAGGGGATTTGTCGTTTTGACGGCTTTAAGGTTTTCTTGTCCTGATTTCCTCCAAAATCCCCTCCTTTGCCCGGATCTGGATTTATCTCGTGGTGAAGGAACCTTGTGGATGTATGGTTCAAGAGATAGAGTTGATATCTAGTGGTGAGATACATAGTATGGTTCCAAGCCCGTTTCTCTTGTTTCTCCAGTAATCTAGTGTCTAGTGCAGTGGTCGGCAGGGACACAAAGATGGGTATGCGACCCATCTGGAGCCGGCCTAAACCATCGCAGGCAGCCTGAGACACCGGACTATGTTGGGACGTCGGCGGCAGACACGAGCGCCATCACCAAACAGGGATGCTTGCGCGCCCGACGGATTGATCGTCATGCACTCGAAATTACGGAGTATACTTGAGGGTATTGGCGATCGGCTGGCTGAAAGGAGCAGACCAAACGGAAGTGGATGCATCATACCATACCAGCTGCCCCTATTTTCAGGTACGTACTGAATAGGTGGTTATTGTGTACCAGTTCAAGGCATGCAAACTAAACTAGATGCTTGCTTTTTCTTGAGTATCCTGCACATGTTCTGTTCTGATTCATTATCCAGACCGAGAGAACGCCGTCTCTCTTACAATGCCACAGGTGGTATCCTAGCTATATCTATATAACACTAGTTCAAGTAGTTAAAACGGTGGGAATTCCACCACTAGAATTATTGATCCCAATTCGTTATGGAAACTAACTAGATAACTATTCACTACCACTTTTAACAGTAAGAGTGTTCAGGCCCTTCCCGGCCAGGCCCGCCACGTGCGGGCAAGTGGGCAGCCACGCGGATTTAACGATGGCAGCAGCAGCGCATCTTCACCCACCAGTGGCCCCCATTTCCTTGGTCCTGAACCCCAGCAAACCTTCTCTACTCCCTCCCCTACTTACCCCCCGGGTCTCTTCCGTGCAGACTCAACTCAATAGTGGCTGGCATACAGTAGTTAACATGTAATGCATGCTTTTCTTGTCATGACATTCCTTGTTTCTTGAGTAGCAAGAAAATTGGTTCGTGAGACTGCAAACGATGTAAGACATGCATGGGTGATTGACTGATTGCTCCGTCCCGTCTGAAGGATCTTCAACATGCACGACACCGCTGCCGGTTGTTGAAAATCAAAACGCGAATATCATTTCTTGGTTGGCTACATGTGCGGGATTTGCTTGCACACTATCACAGTGCTGGAGGGGGAGATCTGGCTGACTTGCATGGAGCGGGAGTGGTTCTCCGACAGTGAATTTCCGTCTAGGGCAGTCCACTAAGTAGGTGAACTAGGTGCTGACCGCTGATAGACTCAGTGGATAAGCCCGTTGCTTTATATTTCTGATAGCTGGATAGAAATCTTATCTAGATGACCCTTTGGCCACTTAATTTATCTTCAATCTGTCAAAGTAATCTATTTATACGAGGTCTTCTGACTGCTACTATAACCCCCTATGTACTACGAGTAATCTCAAAGCGGGCGCTAAGGCGGTATCCCCGTAACGCCGGCATTATGGAGCTACCCCTCGTCTTTTTATTCTCGAAAAAAACATCGCAGGACGTCATCATATCCCGTTGACTTTGCAGCTTCCCATTTGTTTCTTATATTTTAGTTTAGCATCCACTGTGATTTATATTTCTGGTATCGAAACATTGATCTAGCGGGAAACCCTGGCCTCACCTGAGCGCTGAAAATGCCGAAACCAAAGTCTTTCCTCAAGGAATCTAAGTCTAATAAGAAAAAGGCGACCCAGCGGGTATGCTCAAATGACCCTTCGATCACGAATACTGTCCCTCTAACTCTACCCCCCAGGCCCCGGAAACTGCAGATGAATACTTAGCCCGTGAGCCACCCAGAATCCGGATTGAATTGAATCACCTGGTCAATTTCAGGTCATATATCGCCGTATAGCTTACCAAGATGTCCCAGTTGGTGTCGAACAGGAAGAGGCCGGAGAGAAATGGCGCGCCGGAGATGCAGCCAAGTCCCTGCGCTTCTTCATGCGCGCCATCAATACCTACGATGAAGGCTTGAGCAAACATCCCAGTGCGTTTGACCTGGCATATAACAAGTACGTCACACGCCATCCAAATTCATCGTTGCCTTATCTACTCGTTATGGACGCGTCCGTCAGTAACCTTAGTTACTGACATCTGATAGAGCGAGAGTTCAATATGAAATCACGCAACATCCCAAACTAGCTGCTCAGCTGTCTGCGCCACTATTGGACGTCCTGCGAGTAGCGCTTGATTCTCACAGAGCAGCGCTTGACCTGGAGCAAGACAATGCAGATGCGCTTTTCAACACAGCCCAAGTACTCACCAGCATTGCCGAGGCGTTGACTGAATCCAAACGCCCATCGGATGACCGGCTCTCTCAGGCAGTAAAGCTTTTGCAAGAAGCCATAGAACTCTTCCAACGTTGCCTAACTGTACAAGAACTCAAGTACACCGAAATGCAGGAGCAGATCAACCAGATGACGTCCGGCGAAATGGACCCTGCTGAAACTCAGATGCAAGATACACCGCCAGAACTGCCACCTGCGGACGAGTCGAAGTCGTCAGACCAGCAAGAACAATGGGCTGCTATTGTTGAGCCCGTGACTAAGGACACACTCGTCGACACAGCTGTCGCACAACTGGAAGCCATCACAAGCCTCTGTAACCTACTCACGTTCAACCCTGAAGTAGGTGTCACTTGGGTAGAAGAGTATTCATCAGAGCAGCTGCAGAAACGAATCTCGGCATATGTCGAGGGGTCAAACAGGCACTACGAGGCCAATCTGGCTCGTGCCAAGTTCGCCTGCTCCCTGAATGAAGTCCTGTACAGAAGCGGACGGACCGAAGTTGGAACATACTCCGAGGAAGTTTCGCGAGCTTTCGGTCCTGATCTGGATCTATCCAACGACCCGGATGGCCTGTGCAGCAAAGCAGACGCGCTCACTTCTTTCAATACGGCGCTCACAGATCTCCCTCCGTATGAGCCGGAGGCCTTTATGAAAGCGCTGTCCCTTCGATGGCAATCCCTGTCCGCTGCCTTGGACGCATTGAGCAAAGCGTCCAAACTCCCCAATGCTGAAAACCTGCCAAAGATTCATCTGGCCAGAGGAGACGTGGAGATGGGTAGGTGGAGGCTTGGCTTGGCTCCGTGGGACTATAACATGGCCCGAGATAACGCAGCTACACTGCTGCGCAACGCCCAGACTTATTACCGTGGTGCAGCAGCCTTGGCGAAGAGAGACGGTGCTGCGGACGAGGAACGAGATGGAACCTGCAAGGAGGCCATTGCTGCTGCACTGGCAGGCCAAAAGGACAAACTCCAGCAGCTCCGGAAAGCTGCGCCCAAAGAGCTGATGCTCGTTGCGGAGGATGTGGTCGAAGACGGATGGATGGGTCCCGGTGATATGGAGGTTTTGTTGTCGTAGTCATACAATACCCCGATCCATTCGAACTTGAAAGGGAGGGGGGCTGTCCCCGCCATCGTAAAAATCCCAAGCCACCAGATCAGATCTCAGATCTAGCCTTAACCTCTCCATCCATCTGCGCAGCTTCCTGTCGAAGCTGATGCTCACTCGTAAACTGCGTCGTCGCGGCCGCAGCACCCTCCAAATCAGCAACCACAGCCTCCAACCCCGACAACAAACTTTCAATCTCAGACCTCTGCGCCTGGACCTTCTCAGCCAACTCCGCATTCTGATTCTGCACCGAATTAATCTTCGCATCCAAATCCGCCTGCGTCTCCATCAGATGCGGCAACAGATGCGCTTTGTACAATTCCTCCGGACTTAACGTATGCGGCCTACCAAGCACAAATCATTCCAGTTAGCCATCCATCATCCACAGGCCCCCAATGTAATGATACCAAATAGCAACAAAAGGATAAGGAAGGGTAGACATACGCAACACTATCCCCACCGACTCCTCTATCCTTCCTAACCTTCGCCTCCCCAACCAACCGATCCAACTCATTTAACTGCCTAACAGCATCCCTCTCGGCCAGAATATCCTCGAACTCGGCCTTCGCGCTCTCCTCCAACTTCGCATTCAACTGTCTCCACACGCTCTCCAAGCTAGCCGGGACATGTTTCGCCGGCGTCGGAAAACACCCGCTGAAATTCGCATACGAGTTTGCGCGCAGCGTGCGCGCGAGCGCCTTGTCGAAAATCTCTTGTAGTTTGGAGGCGCGCGGGCCTGGTGTTAGGGGGACCGGGGCGGGAGGAGGTGGTGAGGGGGAGGCGCCTGGTCTTTGGGCTGATGGGTTGGGTTCGGTGGACATGGTTTCTTTCGTCGGTTGAGGGATTGGAGGTGGTTGAAGAGTGTCGATTGGGGTGTAGTATTGGTTATGCTGAGCCTTAAGTTCGTTTCGGGCCCCTTTGTGTTGTTGTTTTCGTGGTTGTAGGATTATGGAGAATAGTAGATTGATGATGGGATTGGAGGACGCGCCGGGAGACGCGCGACTATTGATCATCACGTGACCTATATAGATCCGGCCAGAAGGCCGGAGTACCTACATATATTGCAGATTTTAGGTACCTATAAAGTAAGATGTGTAGGCTACTGTATATTTGTAGTGCTTAAATCAGTTTGAAAAATATAAAGATGGTCCTTATTGTATGTTGTCTTTTCGTGGCGAGCTGAGATTAGCTACTGTGTTCAACTTGGTTGCGTGGAATGTTAGGGCTTATATCCGGCACTGATAAAGGCTTGTCAGGATTGATTTAGTTGTCTGCGGGACAACATATCGTCGCTGCTGTCCCTGCGCTTGTAATAAGCTACGATAATGGAAGGTAATAGAGAGCAATAGATAAGTATAATGGCTAAGTTTATCTACGAGATGCCATCGGTTCTCTGGGTCCATATGCAACGCAAAGAAAGCAGAAAACAGCAAGAATCATTCGAATGTCCTCTCAGGAGTCAAACGCCGCGCTCCCCATTCTAAAACCGAATCCGTTGCTCGTCAAGCCTTCCACGAGGAAGCAGATGAACGCAAGTCAAGGTAAACGATAGGCTGTACATGATGAAAACGAACTATAAGGAAAACAGAAACGCATCAAAGAACTCAATATGTTTGCTGTGGGGGAACCATGCCACCATACGCCCCAGCCATTTGTTGTTGTTGTTGCTGCTGCTGCTGTTGCTGCAATTGCGCCTGCAATTGCGGGAGATCGCGGAACCAGGGGTGATGCAGGGCGTCCTGGGCACTGATCCGCATCTCTGGCCGGAGCTGGAGCATCCGGCTCAAGAGATCCAGACCTAGGGGGTCAATCTGGGGGAGAATGAGACTGAGATCCTGCGTCGCATATACGTGGAAGTTTGGCTTGTACTCCGGGAGCTGGGAGATGCCGGGCCATGAGCGTTCCGAAGGGGTTCCCATCAGGCGGAAGATCTTGATAAGCTGGTCTTCGTTGGTGGTGCCGGGGAACAGAGGACGGCCAGTGTAGAGTTCCGCCATGATACATCCAGCAGACCAGATGTCGATGCTCGTGTTGTATGTGCGGCTGCCCAGAAGCACATCTGGGGCACGGTACCACAAGGTCACGACTTCGTTGGAGAAAGTATTGACGGGAATGCCAAAGGCGCGGGCTAGACCGAAATCTCCAAGTTTAAGTTGTCCCTTCTTGTTGATGAGGAGGTTTTGAGGCTTCAGATCGCGGTGGAGAACGCGGTTCTCATGGCAAAACGCAATGCCCTTGAGAAGCTGGTGCATGAATGACATGATTGTGGCTTGGTCCAACTGGCCGCGGTCGGCGCGGGTATCCATGTACTTCTTCAGATCCTTGTCCATGTACTCAAAGACGAGCATGAGTTTGTTCTCCGTGTGAATCACATCATAGAGCGACACGATGCTCTCGTGCTTCAGCTCCTTCATCAACGATATTTCTCGAATGGCGGTGGATGGCGTTCCCTCTTCAGAATCGAGATGGATCTCTTTCAGGGCGACCAGCTCGCCAGTTTGGCGATTGCGTCCCTTGAAGACCTGCGAGAGGGTGTCAGTACATAGTGCGATTTAAGAGGATCGGCCGTGCGGAGGGAGGGGTTCGTACGGTGGCATAGGTGCCTTCTCCAAGCTAGAATCAGCAGTTAGCATCACAAATCTCTCATTTGATGGGTGATATCTTGGTAGACAGTAGGGAAGCCATCAAAACACACCTTTTCCAGCTGCTGGAACGAGCTGGGCTGCTGCTTGTCCATGGTGGTCGATGGTGCGACGGTGGTACTCTGCGCAGCAGGAGTTGGATGAGAACGAGAGGTGGAGCGTGGGTGATGGAAGAGAAAAGTCTTGGGAGAGGCCAAGTTAGAGATGAGATCCAAATAGTCGGCGGTTGGAGGTTGCAATGTCCTGCTTTTTGAGCGGTCGCGACCGTCCATGTCCATGCTGATCTGAACCGGCGAATGCAGAGCCCCGCGCTGGAATCGAACAGCGGACGGGCGGCTGACTGGCCCGCCATCACTTTGTAACTCGCCTTCTCCTACTTGGCTGGTCTCCACTATCCCGGCGTCTATTACATGCCTATCTTAACTCGCCGTTGCCAATCATTCTGGAGTGCCTATAATTATCTTTTCTAGAGTATTCCATCTGATGGATACAGTTAATTTGGATATAGTAACGTCTCCAATAATGCAGGCTTGGATTCAACTTTTATCGCTTGTACATATACTATGATGCTTATCTGTAAGCGGTTCATACACCTCACCGCCATCTATACATCACATCCTTTTTTCAATCTATATATGGACCCTAATGATGAGTAAGTGAAGGCAGTTGTGCTGCCACAGGGCCTAGAATATCCTGGGACGGGAGACTGCAACGGACATGCCGGCATACAGCCTCCGTCTCTTGTTCCGCCTTGCTAAAGAGGATCGATTCGTTCCGGACACCTCCTATGTTGATGATGCCAATCGGCATCCCTCGTTTATAGGCCCTTTCCACTAGGCGCCACGCCGAGTATGTGGCGAGACTGCTGCCTAGGACAAGGAGCCTGCCCGCATCATCGATGGCCTCTTCTGCTCCCAGCCTGACAGCTGGGTCGATATTCTCTCCAAACATAATGACCGCCGGCTTCAGAATTCCCGCCGTAGAACTTGGAAGCCAAGCCCCGTCGCGCTCTACCTCCACACGGGATTGGGACCCATCCTGCAATCGGGGTGGCTTCTCCAAGCACGTCGGACATGCTGGATACCGAAAGGTCGAATAAGGGGCCTCCGGTAAATCTACATCGCCATCCGGGTTGATTTTCAAGCCCCTCCGTCTCTGCTCCTCAGGGTTGTCTGCATTCAGCGCGCCAATATCGACCATTTTCTTGAGGAACCCTGCCCAGGCGGGGTTCAGCCGCTCGAGCGATTGCTGGAACTCGTCTCGCGGGACTTGAGTTCGACAATTGATGCAGACGGCAGAACGCAAGTAGCCGTGGAGTTCGAGTGTGGGTAGTTCTGGATGCGCGACAGAATGAAAGGAGTCGACATTTTGCGTCACCACTGAACTAATATAGCCTTTCGTACCAATGTCTTTGATAGCCCAGTGCGTCGAATTTGGCTTTGCCTTGAGGAGCCCCGGCCACCCAATGAAGCTTCGCGCCCAGTATCGCTTGCGGAACTCATGGCGAGCGACGAACTCGTGGTAGTAGATCGGCCGATACGTCTTATTTGTGATGTACGTGCCATTCTCACCCCGATAATCAGACAAGCCTGAAGCTACCGAGATACCAGCGCCTGTCAAGAGCACTGTCTGGGAATGCCTGCCTACATCAACGCCGCGCAGGTACGGCGACGGTGGGGCCGTCAAAAAGGTTAAAAGCGCATCAATGGCACCTGCGACCGTGCGAGCGGACGGAGGGACAATAATCGGCGGAGGCAGAGGGCCCGTAAAGGGAATCCGAATTGCTGGAGCAGTCATTGAAGCCACATGATTGATGGATGTTGAAGCTTCGAGAAGGCTGGTTCAGATGGGCGCTGGTTGATCATCGACGTCACGGCTTGACTAATCGGTCACATGACGTACACAGTCCCAATGAGTGTGAAATGGATGGTCAGTCTACACGGGGCAAGTATTACTTGATCAGATAGTAATAGATGACCAGAAGGCCCAGAATGTACGATACAGAGCATTGCGGCCGACAAGGAACAAAGCGTCCCCAGCCAAAAGAAGTAAAAGTGGAAGCAAGTCGATCTGGGTGTCCATTCTTGGTCTAGACTGAGAGGAGCTACCCCGGATCGTCCCACGTGATCTGCACCCTTCGCAGACTCTGCGAACGTCATCGCCGGCCATCTGCTTCATTCCATCAACGCGTCTTTGTTTGCTGTCGACCGGTTTTGCTAGCCTCTTTCTGCTTAGATTATAGAGTAGAGCATTGATTGGGAAAACGCCCAATCGCTCTCTCGTTCGCACCGCCCGGACATGTTTCCCGCAGTCACCGGCAATATAGATCTAGAGGCACTGAGTGGCATATGTGGGTATGTTTATGCCAGAGTATGCTAGAATTGGATGTGTTCGATACTGATCACTGATAGATCCATCTCGATTGCGTGCTGGGTGGTGGTCTTCTCCCCACAGATCATTGAAAATTTTCGTCGCGGCTCAGCTGATGGCCTTTCGCTTCTTTTCCTCATCGTCTGGCTTGCCGGCGATGTGTTCAACATCCTCGGTGCCGTCCTGCAGGGCGTCCTGCCAACCATGATCATTCTCGCGGTGTACTACACTTTAGCCGATGTGGTGCTTTTAGCACAATGCTTCTACTATCGGGGATTCACACTGCGCGACGAACCATCCTCGCCGCCGCGGCCTGTCTCTCCCATCACGGCAGAAACTTACGACGAGGACACTGAGATTCCCTCTCCTGTCGTGCCTCGGAAGCCCACAGAGCGCACCACGTTGCTTTCCTCCAAACAACGCAGTGCCTCTTACCAGGCTCCTTTGGACACTCGTAGCCCAGCATCATCGGCTACCATCACCCCTCACCACCAGCCCTTGCTCGCCCATCGCCGTCACTCCGCCTCTTCATTTCTTCATACGACCGTCGACGGAACTCACCTCTCCCCAGTGACTCCGCTCGTCGAACCAGCCAAGCAACCCCGTCCCCCTCGAACCCTAACACTGCTCCAAGCCACCTTCTTCAACGGTTCGGCCATCATCCTCGTCTGTGCCGCCGGCATCTTGGGCTGGTACATCAGCCAAACGTCATCACTCTCATCGGACAAGAATAACAACAACAAGCATAAAGACAGCCCTGATGACCTGAAAATGGACACACTAGGCCAAGTTTTCGGCTACCTCTGCGCAGTCCTGTACCTCGGTTCCCGCCTCCCACAGATCCTCCTCAATTATCGCCGCAAGTCAACAGACGGTGTTTCCCTGCTCTTCTTCCTCTTCGCCTGTATCGGCAATTTGACCTACGTCCTTTCAATCCTGGCGTATTCGCCTGTGTGTGAACGCTCGCATCATGGTCGATGTCGATCTGATGAACTGGCATCGCTGTATGGTCGATATATTCTGGTCAATCTGTCTTGGCTGATTGGGAGCTTTGGTACGTTATTGCTGGATATGTGTATCTTTATCCAATTTTTCTTGTACCAGGATGCGAATGGGGGTGAGGTGGATGCAGAGGCGAGGTAAAATATTCGCATGTGGTTTACATTCTCTCTTGTTTATTCTTTTTTTCTTGAGTGATTATGCCTCTGGGAAGACATAAAGAGGTGTTGGTGTTGGTACTTAGGGATTGCTTGATTTATAATGATTTATTCTGAAAACGCTTGCGTGCTATATGGCCAGGTTGCTATGCTACTCTTGCTCATATGATTGGCGCTTGGTTGGATCGGAGTTGCTTTTCGTGTATATAATTATTTATTATCTTATACTATACTTGCTTCTACATTAGGTGTATAATGTAGTAGTCTACGTATCATGTTTACAAGGTAAGTAATAGCAGAGTCTCGACATCTCGCAATGATTACCATTACACAAGTAAAGCAGAGCTAAGCTAAGCTAAGGCTAAGCTACACAAAACAAGTAACTAGCAAGGGAAGCAACTCCAGAACCTAAAACACCACCCACATGCACCCACAACATGGATGTAGACCATAACTCCACGCTTTCAATTTGCATACCCCCTTCTTCTCCATCTTCCAACTCACATTCCTTTCTTCCTCCCCTCTTTCCTTTCTCTCAGATACCAAGAAAGAAAAGAAGAAAGAAAATTACTCACTAGGCGGCCTAACCTTAACCGGCCCCTGCCCAACCTCATCCCAATTCGTACTCAACGACGTCCCCTGACTCTCCACATAACTCTTCACCATAGCGCGGCGGGTATCCGGGTCCGCATTGGCATAGAGTTTCTTGAAGAAGCCATCGACGGCATCACCGCCTCCGAAGTCGGAGTTGATGGATTCGGCGTCGGATGCTTCACCATCATCTTCTTCTCCTTCTCCTTGTTCATCCTTGGGCTTTGAGCTGCTCTTGGTCTTGTCCTTTTTCGGTTTCTGGGTTAGGCTGGAGGCGAGCTTGTCCCAGTCTTTGGCGCCGTGTCGGGAGGAGGTGGGGTATGATGGGGCTTGGGCTTGTGTGGTGGTAGTGGTGGGTGTAACCGTGGGCTGGGGAGTAGAGATGACAGGTCCGGTGGTAGATTCCAGGGCGCTCCATTTCTGGCCGGGAGTTTTCTTGCGCAGGGAGATTTCGATCTTTGTGGAAAAGACGGAGACTTTAGAGGTGGAGGGGTCGATGGGAGCGAAGAGGGGGTCGAGAGTGAAGTCGTATTCGGCGCCGGAGGGGAGGGGGAATTGAATGGATGTCTATGTATATAGGTTAGTGGCTTGCATGTTTAGGTCAAGGGGAATGAATACATACCGAGTCCTCTTTCAGCTCAATAGCCACTTTATCCTTGGGCACGCCTTTTACGTAGAGCGTCACAACAACCGTCTCACCGGACTGGTACCATTCATGACGGACCTTGACCTGCTGCTGCTGTTGTTGTTGCTGCTGCTGCTGAGTCTCCTTGACCTCAGCTCTCTCCTTCTCCTCCACCTTATCCTCAAGCTTCTGACTTTCCTTCTCTTCACCACCAATACCCTCACCAACCTTCCCTCCCCTCAACTCCTCCAACTGCCCCTTCAACTCCTTCTCCCCCGGCACTTTAACCCCCACCGGAACCTCCTCCACCTTCTCCCCACCCTCACCACTCTGCTCGCCCAAACCGTTGACCTTCGCCCTAATCTTCGCTCCCCAAATCCTCACCTCCGCCTCAATACCCTTCCCAGCACCACCCCCCATCGCCTTCCTCACCTTCTCCTCCTTATCTTCCCCACCATTACCGTCCTTATCCAATCCAATCATACCCTCCACCACGCCCACCACCCCCTCCGCAGCAACGTATCTCCCCATGAGAAACAAAACGATGGCTCTCCGCATCTGCGCCTCGACGATCAGCTCGCGTTTCCCCCGCTCGCGGGCGAGAAGAACGGCGGATTCGGCATCGCGGAGGGCGGCGGAGAGGTTCGGTGTGGGCTTTAGGCGCGAGAAGGCTGTTGAGCGTTTGATGAAGTAGCTGGGCGAGCGCGGGTGCGTGAGGAGGGCGGTCGTGTAGTGGATTGTTGCGGTGTGGGGGTCGGACTGTTGGAGGGCGGTGTCGCCGAGGGAGGCGGCGTTCATTTTGAGGTTTTGAGGTGGTGGGTGGGAGTGTAGTGGTGTTTGGATGGAGGTGTTGTGTTGTGTTCGTTGGGTGGGTAGATAGGTGGTTTAAGTATGGGTCTGAGTACGAGACGTGAAAAATGAGTCTTGTTGTTTGTAAGGGAATCTCCGAAGAGAAAAGTAAATAATGTGAAAGAGAAAGAGGAATACAAGTGGAGAGGTGAATGGAATGGAAACAAGTTCGATGATCTTCTTTGGAGAGATGCGGGGAGCGGCGCATCCACGTGATTGGCTACACATCTATACTCTCCAGATCAACGATAAAAGAAGGTAGTATACATGAATCATATTATCAATTAGTAGAAGGTTATAGTAGTATAGTAGTAATACATGTACTCATAGAAGAGCAATCCATAGAAGATCAGACCAACTCCTCATTGCCAAACTTGCGCGCATACAATCCCAACGCCCGGATCGGCCAGTACAGCTTATAGTTGGGATACGAAATCATGCTGTCACTCGTTAGTGGAGAACTCTCAGTCAATCGATCATGATACTCACCAAGATTGGTTAAACACTCCCTCAATCGACTCCTGCAACCACTCTCCATTGGCCTGCTGCCGCGACATCAGCAGCTGCATTGCTTTCCGCAGCGGCTCCTTATGCGGATACCCGGCCTCCATCAACGCCAGACTGGCCCATGCCGTCTGCACGACCTGCGACTTCTCGTGCTGCACATAGACGTGCTTCTCGCTGCTGAGGTACGACTCGCCCCAGCCGCCGTCCTCCTTTTGCTTCGAGATGAGGAATTCGCATCCGCGTCGGGAGTCCGCGCTCGTCTCGTACGTCTCTCCGATGCTGGCCAAACTCTCCAGGGCAAACATCGCCGCGTACGTGAAGCAGATGCCCCAGGACCCGTACCAGCTGCCGTCGGCGCGCTGCACCCGCTTGATGTACTGAACGGCCTTTTCCTTGGCGGACTTGATCTCTGCGGCCCGGTAATTCGGATAGTATTTGCTGAAGAGGGAGAGCGCGGTGACGGACGCGGTCGTGCACTCGGGATAGTCGTATCCGATCATGATCCCGCCGAACACCTCGGCTGCGTTGAGCCACTCGACTTTCTCGGATGCCCGCGTGGTTTCGTACTCGGTGAACCCACCAGTGGGGTTCTGCATCAGGAGCAGGCAGTCGACGCTGTCCTTCAATCGCTCCTCCGAGATCAGTTTCGGGAAGTTGTGCATCTCCTGCAGCTGGATGGTCGAGCGCAGTCCCTCGGCGGTGCAGTCGCTGACCGTGTATCCCTGCGTCTTGTTGCTGAATGGCCATGCGCCCTTGCGGTGCTGGCGGTAGCACTTCTCCTGGTCCGGCACGTTCTCGCGCAGCTGATGGTCTTCCAGGAACTCCAGTGCCTTGGTGAGCATGGGCCGCCATTTCGGGTCATCGCCGAACCCGGCCACCACGATACTCTGCGTGATAAAGGCCGTATCCCATACCTGGACGCCGTTGGTGCCGTTCATCAGCATGCCCTCGTCCTTCATCCACATGTAGTCGTGCAGCCGTTCGCGATGGCGACGGACCGAGTAGCTGTCCGGACCGTCATGTTCGTAGCACACAATCATGTTGAACGGGTTGCTCACAGGCCCCAGGCCAGCGTAGTCGGTATTCTCGTCCTCCATGCGGACCAACTCCCACGTCCACTCCTCCGCGCGACGCACAATGGCAGGGACACGAAGGTAGGGGTTCCAGATGTTGACGAGCAGAGAGTTCAAGGTATTCAGCAGCCAAGTCTTGGGGTAGTAATTGTCCGCCTTGTGAATTGAGTTGCGATGCGCCGCAAAGTCAATCGAGTCATACGGCTGGGTATACAGCTCCTGCCGCAGCTGCTTGGTGAGAGGGTCCAAGGGATGCGAGAACCTCTTAGACCACAGATACGACATGGGCAGAAAGACCTGGCGAATATGAATCCACCAGCGCCAGGGCGCAAATGGCACCCAGTCAGGAAGTAGCCTGCCCGAATCAGTATCCCATCCACAAATCACCCACTAGACATGATAGAAACAAACGTACCAAATCTCCGGCGGCACCGGATTCACACACTCCCAATCCATCACACCCAAGACAGCCAGCGAGAATTTCGCCCAATGGGGCCCATAGATAGCGCCTCCAAACTGATGCAACAACCCCCTGGCCTTGATCATCCTAGGATCATCCTCGCTCACACCGACCAACCTCAACGTAACATAATTCATACAAGTACCAAACACAGAACTGTGAGCTTCAATATGCAACCCCCAGCCGCCATCCTCAGGATGCTGCCTAGCAAACAAATACCGCTTAATCTCGGTGGCATACTCCGGCGGAATAGGCGTCTTAGTAACATAATACGTGATGATCAAGACAGGCAGCAAGAACATGGGCCCGCCATACTCGCACGCCCAATTGCCCGGCTCCAGCTGCAACTTGGAGAAGAACTCAAGTCCGTTCTCGGCGCATTGCAGGGGCGTCTGGGGTTTGGGGAGCTCGGGAAGTCCCGTGGGAAGACCCAAGAAGTACTTATCTGCGATGGATTGAGGCCATTGCTCGTTCTCTGCGTCGGATTCCAGGTAGTGCCAGGTTTGGCGGCCGCGGTCGTCGCGGAGGCGCCAGCGCGTATAGTCAGTTTTGAGATCGCCGTTGGCGTCGGGGGTGAGATGGCCTTGGGCGGGAGTTCTCCACGGGCCGATGTGAGATCCCGACATTGTGATGGGGGGTTGTTGTACACTTATGGTGTTGGGGGGATTGAAAGGGTGGAATGGCAGGGTTGAGGTGAGTGGAGAGGGATAGTGGGAGGAATGGCTTATAGGATACAACCACACTCGAGAGGAGAGAAAGGAAGAACAACACACTGATCTCCCTTGCCCGGATCTTATTTGCTGCCTGTTGTTCGTGCAGCAGCTGTGCAGTTGGTGTTTTTGTTGGTGCAGGGAACTGAGGGACACTGGCTGCTGAGTCATCAGGGGTGCCTGGCTGGAGATCAGCATAAAGAGAGCAGGAAATCCGGTGTTATAGTTTACTGCTGCATGCAGGAACGCATGGAATAACGGTCGACGCGAGAGAAACATCGTAACGTTAAATCAGCGGCTATATGACCTGTTACATTAAATATTACTATCTAGTGTTTCTGCACTCCATCATCAATCCCAGAACATAAAGCACACACTATCGAGAGGTATCAAGTACGCAAAACGACACGGAATCATTCTACCGATTCCCCCGGGTATCAATCCAACCTGTCCCATCCATTACCGTAAATTATGTGATCCTGGCCTCATCCCGACCAGGCGTGAATTACGCCTCCTGCTAGCTTTTTATTTGGCTTCCGCTGCGGCGGGCGCCTCCTGGGTCGTCACTGCAGCCTCTGCCTTGGCCGGCTCCTCGGCCGCCGGCTGCTCTGTCTTGGCTTCCTCCTTGGCCTCCTCCTTTACCTCTTCCTTGGGAGCCTCAGCCTGCTCTGCCTTGGCTTCTTCCTTGGAAGCCTCGGCCTGCTCCTGCTTGGACTCCTCCTTAGGCTCCTCCTTGGGAGCCTCCGGGGCAGGCTCGGCCTTCTCGAGGTTGACCGTGAACGCATCCTCCTCCAGGGTCGCGCCGTTACCACCATAGGTCTTGGGGAACTTGTCCTTCAGGGAAGGGAACTCGCGGGCCAGGTTGGCACCGTTGGAGATGGGGTGGAACTTGCGGGTGGTGTTCTTGCTGAGGAAGACCTTCATGGCGGCGAACATCCAGCCCATGATGGCAGGCACGTTGACGAAGAACTTCTCCCGCAGCAGCTCGGGGTAGGCCATGGAGAACACCTCGATGGTCTTCTTGCTGGCCGCCTTGATGGTGGGGTTCAGCCGGAGGAAGCTGACGTTCTGGTAGTCGTGGACCTGGAGCATCTGGTACGGGTCCTCACCGTCGTAGTCGATCACGGTCGTCGCCTCACTCAACTTCAAGTCCTTGACAGCGAGCTCCATGAGCGCGACACGCCACTTGATGAACCTAGGCGACAGTTAGATCTAACCGTCTTCACAATTCCGAAATAGCAGCAACAGCAGCAGCAGCAGCAGCACTTACCCATCTACATCGCCAAAGGTCTGATCAATAGACTTGACATTACCATAGACGTTCCAAGTAACAATGGTCTCCTTGCCATTCGCCTCGGGGTACTTGGTGACATAGCCCAGGCCACCATAGCGCTCAGCACTGTAGCGGCCCTCGGTCAGGGCGAGGGGGTTCATCTCCTTGCGCCATTGCAGGGCCTTAGTCAGCTGCTCCTCGGCCAGCTTGACATTACCCTCGTTGGCGCGCAGGAACTTGATGAGAATGTTGACGGTGGGGACATCCGAGGAGTCCTTGAGGGTGACACCCCACATCTCATTGTGGCCAGTGGAGGAGAGAATGGCAGACAGACGATCGAAGAACTGGCTCAGGGCCGGGTTCTTGGCCAGATACTCGGGCTGAGCGGGCTTTTGTTCCTCATCTTTTGCTGCTTCGGCCTTGGGCTCAGCCGCGGGCTCTTCGGCCTTCTGCTCCTCCTTGGATTCCTCAGCCTTGGTCTCCTTGGTCTCTTCCTTGGGTGCTTCCTCCTTGTTATCCTCGGGGGCCTCCTGGGCGGTAGCGGGAGCGGGTTCCGTCACGGGAGGTTCCGTGGCAGCGGGGGCAGGAGATGCCTCTTCTCCTGTTGTCGCCTGCTCGACTTTTTGTTCGGCTTCTGGCTGAGGTTCAGGTTGAGTCTGAGACTCCGAAACTGCAGGCTCGGTAGTAGTAGTGGTGGTGGTGGGGGGTTGCGCCTCGGGGGCAGCAGGAGCGGCGGCGGTCTTTTCGGGCTGATCGGCCATGATGGATGTAGTGGGATGTATTATTTGGTAGCAGTAGATTAGTGAAAGATAGAGAGAGGGGAAATAAGGAAAGTAAAATGAATGTATGGTATTGCGTGATGCGATCGGACGCGAGCGGGATGGCTTTCCAATAACAGCCGTGGAAATGAACAGCAGGGGAGAAAAAGAGAGAGAGAAAAAGAGAGAGGAAGAGAAAAGAGGAAGAGGAGAAGAGAAGAAAACACGAGAGACCAGAAAAGACAGAAAGCGCGAAAGAAACGAAGCGAAGCGACAAGCAGGCAAAGACGAAACTAAGAAAGCACAGAAAACGCGCCCAATCCAATCAGAGATAGCAGTGGATTAATTAATTAATTGCTGCAGCGGCCGTTAATTTCAATTAGGAGGTTTCAACGGCGATCAGACAAGACAACTAACTGATTTGTTTTATTTATCTATCGATTTCTCTGTCATCTGGAAGGTTTCAGACCAGATCCAGAGTAGACCAAACAAACAACTTAAATATGGATCCATCCCATGGTTGAAAAAGTCATATACCATGACTCTTCACTAGATAATAGTAGAACCCAACACAAACCTTATACTTGATTCAACATCTGATCCATTGAGTGAAAGTGAAGGAAGGCACACACACACACACAGAGTACATAGCTAGTACTCCGTAGTACAGTAGAATAACCAACTAACCAAGTTACTCAGAATAGCAACTCGACTAGGAAACCGAAAATGATCCATCCCATCCTCCTGAATCTTGGAGTGGGCCTGCAAGGATGTTTCAGGAGAGAGAGAGACCGACAGACAGACTCACCAAGGAAAATCCCAGAATGCCCCTGACAGGCTACAGCATGCGGTGACTATTCACATCCACTCACTTCCTCCAGATGACATGCAAGGCACCGACTCGAGGGTTGGTTGAGATGCCGATTCTTGGATTTTGATACTATAATTATTCTTCTTGTCTCAGGTGGTCGGATGATTTGACAGCCTCGGGCTTAGCGGAGAGGCGCGTGCTCTAACTCACTATTACTCAGAGTAGTCTGGCCGCGGACTCAAGGTGACTACTTATCACCTTCTCTAATGGCATCCTTTTTTTTTTTTTTTTTTTCCTATAAATAATCTTCTATGTTGTTTTGATTCGGTTTACTTCCCAGAGTATTGGATGATTCTATTTTTTGACGCGACTCATATAACCCCGAGGGTGACGAGTCCCCCCTGGCCTGCTGTGGTCAGACACACAGTCTGGAACTCTCCCTGCTTCGGGTGGGTTATTTCCCTGACAGCTAGCTCATTTACTTCATCGTATCTAGTTTTTAAACAAGACGTGTCAATAATCCATAACTCCTCCCCCCGTACATTTCATTTTTATCTCTCTCGTCTATCAATCGATCAAGCAACCCATAATTCGCTATGAGAGAAAAAGGAGAGCCGACAAAATCCACATCAGCTAACAGGAAGAGTGAACAACTAGAGAAGAAGAAAAAAAAAAAAGCAAAGTACTTCCCATAGATTCATACAAGTCCGTCCCATCATGACTAAACAACGCTGGGGAATATACAGAGTCCGTTAATGCAGCAAGAATCAACTAGTCCCTCCCTCCATCCTATTTTCCTATCACCTCTTCTCGTAATCCTTCTCGAGTAGAGTGATAACTTAGTCCCGTCCGTCCATTCCTTTCGCACCCTCACTTTCCTCCATTTAGAAATCGCTCCGGGATCCTAGGCATCGGGGGCGGCACCGCGGCACTTGAGCTGTCCCCCTCATCTTCGTCTTCGTCCATTTCGTCCTCGAGATCCTCAGGGTGGCTGGAAAACAAAGCCCGTCAGTATACCATACCTCCATGAGAAATCCCACAGCCATCCTGGAAATAGGGGAGCAACTTACGCAAGGAGATCCTTGATGTTCCGCATCTCATAGTGCTTCTTCCGATGCTGCTCGAACTGGCGATGCTTTTCCTCGGCTTCGCCCGCCGTCATCAACGTATCTCCACCAGACTCGGTTTCGCCGTTCAGCTCGCCAGCCCCGACCACAACGTGCTTCCCGCCCCGATGTGAGTCATTGCTCAAGCTTCGTTCGCGCACAATCCGATCGGCATCTCCCATATGCGCATCACCACCATACTCCTCGGCCTCTCCCAGCTCCAACTCCGGAATATCGTCCTCTGCGACCGTCTTCTTGGGCGCCTTCTTCGTCTTGTCCAGTTCGTCCACCACTATATCCTGCGCATCAATCAGACTTTCCTCGCCCGCCAGCTCGTCCTCATCCTCGGCGGGGTCATAGCGCGGCGCATAGGGGGTCTTGGGCTCGTCGATCTTCATCTTGGCCGTCTTCTCCTGCTCCGTCAGATACAGGTTGGCCTCGTCCCACTTCAGGCGGGGCGACGAGTCGTCGTGATGACCGTGGATGCTGGCAAGAGACTGTCGTCGCGACGAAGACCCGGGGCGAGTGTTGGATGACGACCGACGTCGACCGGCATTCTGGAGGGTGTTCTGAAGCGTAAGTTCCTTGGTGTCCGTAGGGTCGGCCGAGGTTGAAGGGATCGTCAAAGTAGCGTGAGCATGCTGCGCGACCTGGGGCACCTGAGAGCTGGAGTTCTTCAGAATACCTGCTGTCCGATTAGCAACCAGGCGTAGGACGCGGATGATCGCAAGAGGTTTGTTTACCCTTGGGTCGCTTGTGTGCATCCTCCATATGGTGAGACATGATCGCCAAGCGCACCGAAACTGAGTCGTGTAGTCGTGTGGTCGAGATGTATAGATGGGGGAAATAAGGTAGGAAGTTTGTAAAGTAAACAGCAGCGACCGCCACAGAAGGAAAATAAAGTATGAGAAAAAAGAAGAGGGGAATAGCGGAAAGGGAAGGGAAAACAAGATAAGAAGGCGGATCAGATGCGCAATAAATGCGACCCGAAAGAAATTCAATGAGCAGGGGGAAAGGGAAGATTCAATGACAGTCAGCTGCAAGTGCCCGAAAGGAAAGGCAGCATCTGAGGCTGAGCTGGCGACGAGACACACAAGAAGGAGGCCTGGATGAGGCGGGGGTGGGATTCCTCAGCCTCTGGCGATGAGCCCGACAAATGAGGGCGGTGGCACGGTTGCGGATGATGAATCACGTTCGCGCGGTCCAGCTGGATCTGATGATTACCTGGTGGCTCGGTTCACTTTCTTTTTTTTTCCTTTCTTTGCTTAGCCAGAACAAGCAGGGGTAAGAAAGGGGAAAAGAAGGAAGTACAAAAAAAGGGGTCAAAGAGTAAGGCGACCAGGAAATAGTCCAGTTGGGTTGAGACAGAAGTGACAGAAGGAGAAGAAGCAGTAAGAAGTAAATGCAAACAGACAGTCAGTGACCTGGCACGTGGGGCTGCCCGCCGATGACGTCGCAAGCAATCCGAGGGACTGGACTGTTTCCTACTGTTTCCCCTACTGTCCCATCTACTCTGAACTCTCAAAACTGTCGAAAGATCGACTGTCGACTCCCGACCCACTACGTGGTTGTGGTTGCTACCTGACTACCTGACCCCATCAACGTTGCATAAAGCTGCTTGTATTCTGACCCCTCTGGTGGACCGGGTTTCCCTGCGTCCATCCAGCTGCGGTCTGAGATGCTAACAAACTACAAAGCGTTTCTACACTCCCGTCCTTGCCCAGTATGCAATAGAACTCCAAGAGCCCGATTCCCTTCGTCCCCCTTGTAAAGATGCGTCGACTCACCAGCAAGATAGAAAGCAAAGCAACAGAATGGTAGACAAACAAGTGATCGAATAGCAGAATGCCGCCCCAAGCACAAAAAAGAGGTATAAGTGTATAGGGGAATCTCATGACCCTGCCCGGCTCCGTGAAAGACGAAGGATATCCCGCAGAAGAGTAGCATAGCAAAATACAACAGCCAAGGGGAAACCGGGGTGAACACCGTCCATCCAGATCTGTCAAACAGGATATCAATAGATCTGCGCGTCTGCACCAGAATTAGTTGCGTAAGTAGACCCGCGTCGGATGCCAGAAATCGGCAGGTCGTGATTGGTATCAAAGTCATAGAAAGATGTGAGAAGGCAAAAAAGAAAAAAAAGAAGAAGAGAAAGATATAAGTCCTAAAGATGATCACAAGCACATGCTCGCAAGCAATGAAAGAAAGAAACGAATTGAAAGTAAGGAAAGTACCGAGTATGAGTAGAACTGTAAAAGAAAAGGAAATTTATGCAAGAGACTCGAACTCCTCCCGCTCCCGAAGTCGATTGCGTGCAAGTTCGTCCCCGCCACTGGCCGACAGCTGCATCCAGTGCAGTGCCAGGCACATGCTCTGCGGATCGGACTTGGAATCCTTGTCGCGGCGATACATCATTTCAGCTTTGAATGTGTCTCGCAACAGAGTGAGTGGTAGGGTCACCCGCGGGAGGAGTTCGGGGTGGGTGAGGTAGAGAATGGCCAGTTCCCGCTGGGCAACTGGATTGCCTTCTTTGGCAGTGATTATCCACATGCCCGCAGCATCCTCGAGGGCATGCCCGGGCCGGGGTGTATGGTCGTAGCCGGGCGGATGGCGCCGGCTGAATTCTTGAGATACAATATTATCGGCGATTTCGACCATGCTATTGCAGATCTCGTCCTTGAGGCTCAGAGCCGCCAAGCCAAACTGTAGAAATGCAGTCCCGCTGTCAGTCTTGTTCAACGTCTCCGAAGGAACAAAGGCTGAGATGAACTGCAAGTCACGGAATAGCGTCTTCGGCTTCACTTCGAGGAGGAGGCTGCGTAGTGCATCCACTATCTGGTTGTCGGTGGGTGCACAATAGTCGGAGGGTCGGGAGTCGAAAATGACAGACTCGGCCGCAGGAGTCGTCGGTGTATGAGAGGAATCCTGCGCATGAGTCCGCTTTGCATCAGACTCGGAAAAGCTATGACGGGCGCTTCTCTTGTTCTGGAACCCGGGAGTACGACCTCGCGGGTATGAGGGCTGCTCAATTGCACTGAATGGGCTTGTACCGTCGCTATCGGAGTTCAAAGATGCAACAACAAGCGCCCGCAGATCCCGCAATGCCTTTAGCTTGACGAATGGGTTCCCGTGTCGCGAGAAGACTTCTATTAGGCGCCGAAAAACAGACCCGTACGAGAAGCGCTGCGTTTCGTCTGGCTGCATAGAATTGTCAGTGGCAGATGCAGACGGTGTCTCGGCATCGCCGAGTGTGGATCGATCTGCAGACTCCAGGGATCTGCTTCGCCGACGGTCCGACGGTGTGCGATGGAGGGTATGATGAACGATTCGCTCATCACACTCGGTATAGAACTGTTGGATGCGCGCGCGTTTCTTCATCTGGGTCCGGATTCTCTTCTGCTCCAGCGCGTTTCCGAACCAAGCGTCCGTCTCACTTCCACAGCTCCACACTGGGGAGCCTAAGTCACTTAGGAGCAAGCTTGTCAGGGTCTGTTTCAGGCCGTCCAAGAAAGCTCCTTTGCTGTGCGTTTTGCGATCATTGCGACGTGACGGCTGAATACCGTTATCGCTGAACATAGAGGGGGGCCGGGAATATAGGCTGGAAGCACTTGGTGCATAATGTGCGGGCTGATGTGGCGTTGACCAGAAAGTGCTGTACGAATCGCCGGTAGTAGTTGAGGCAGCCCTCCCCGGGGACCCGCCGATTGAAGAGGCGTCTGTGATCGAGGGTTCCCGAGGAATTTTCCACTTATCGGACATCAGACTCTGGAAAGAGGACTTGGAGTTCAGCGGAGGTAGGTCCTGCGTGAACCTTGAAGTGTCTGATGGGCGGGTAGTATTCCCCTGCACTGGTGAGGCATGTGGCGTGTCTTCACTAGACATATTGAAAGGTCGCATGCTTGAGGAGAGGCTTAGGAAGCTTCGGTTACTGGAGCCTTCGTACATGACTCGCTCTTTGTGATACAATTCGCTGGACCACAGCACTGGGGTTTCGGCCATGGTCTCGCCAACCAGCCGATTGATACTTGTCTTCACCTCGTAGCAGAACCGGTGAATTCGCTCCTCACCTTTGCAGAAATTGTCGATGTTGTTGTGAGACAGCCATTTGCGGATCAGGTCCACCTGCTCATCCGACAGCTTGTTGGGACCGCCTTGACTGCTCGGTGCCTTCATGATATTCATGACTTGCAACTCTGGTTTTTGGAGAAGAGAATTTCCGAACGGTCTCATGCTGCTGCGAGACCGGCCATCGCTTGGTGCTTGTCTGTAGAGGCGAGCAGAGTAGATCATAGTCTTCAATGCTAGTGCGACGTGTTTGGCATCTTCGTACCTCATCGAGTGCTTTACGTCAGTCATGTACCACATCTTGTCTCGGAGCTTGGCCACAGTGGCCATCATCTCCTTTACGGATCTTTGCACCCGTTGCACATGCCTGTTGAGGGCCACAAGATCCGTTTCACATCGTTCGATAACCGCCCGTGAGGTAGCGAGTGAGCGGACACACGATGCGTGCATGGGCTCGAGAATCCACGAGTCGTCCAGGCGTCGAGAGGGGGAGTTTGCAACGCTGCGGACAAGCTGTCGGCCGGCATTCCACCAGTAGTGGGCACCGATGAAATCAGAGTCATGGTGGCAATGTTCCATGGCCCTATCGAACTTTTGCTTTAGGGATACATGAGCGTCTTGGGATGCGCCATGAAGATCTATAAAACCATACTCGGCAGCATCATCGGCAGGGTTATCCTGAATCAATTTCACAATGGCCGTTTGGAGAGCTTCAGAATTGTCTTCCATTCCCAAGGTGGTGGACTGAACGTCATCCACAGAGGCGTTTTCCGGAAAACTGGAGGGGCCATCATCGGGGAATAGACCCCAGGTTAAGCATCTTCCATTTCGGGTCATGGAAAAGATGGTCCATTCTTCAGCTGCAGGTGGTTCCAGAGTTGTTCGACCATCGGGCTCGCTCAGGTCTGACAGCTCAAAGCGGATCCTGTCAGCATTGCGGCTCATGCAATTCTCTGGTAACGACAGGAAGGCCATGTCAGAGGCAAATAGTCTCTGGTCCTGGAGGGCGTGAATGGACATGTTATCAGAAGGAGGCCGGAAAAATCCCGGCTCAATAATAGACGCTATAGAGCGATCTGACCGAGCAGCCAAAGAACCAGCAGGGGACGAAGGCATCCCGGAAGACGAGAGTGGGGAATTGCATGTAGAAGCGCTTGTCCTCGGGAAAAGAGCATTCAGCAGGGCAAGAGTATCAGCAGCGGAGAGCATCAGGAATGCAGCAGGTGACTCCCGCCTGTTGAGAGCTGTTGCGCGGGAAGAGGGCTGGGTTCCGCTGACGTTCCTGCGTGGGTCGACGTGGTCGAACCGGCAAAGCATGCTCTCAACGTGCCTTCTCACCGTGGGACGAGCCATAGAATAGTGGTTCCTGCATGTTTGGATTAGCGATCGCTCGTTTAGAAGGCTTCACGTAGTGGCCGGATGCAGGGACAACGGACATGGAATGAAGGACAGCAAAGACTTGCGAGTAGGCACGGAGTCCGACCTGTCCGAGGAGTTTCTCTCGAGCATCTTTTCTGATATGGAAGTCAAGCAAGAGACCGTGGGCCTGGACATGGTGTTAGAATAGGAACTTTGAAAACATCTGGGCGAGCCTTCTCATACCTCAGGGTAGGTCAGTGCGCTATAGAGGAACTTTGCAAAGAACCACTGGACGAACAAGAACTCAAGGAACCGTTCACGACCGTCCTGACGCTCGAGTTTCTGTAGAACAGCACTGCTTAATTGCATCACCGCATGCGGAAGCCCTCCATCTGGGTCATCCAGAAGCTGGAACAATGCATCTACTGCAGAAGCGAAGAACTCCTCGGCCACATCGGTCTTCAAGGGGTCGGGAGGCTCTGTACCAAAACTCATGCCAGGGGGGGTTTCTACATGTTCCAGGAGAAATGCGCCGGTTTGCAGGATATCCATGAGATAGAGCTCAAATTTGGGCTTCGCTTTCCATTCACTGTTTGTGGCCCAGGCACCTAGAATGTGGCCGAGAAGGGGATCGTACTTGATGCCGCCATCGGCTACAAGTTTTGCAAAGACAGACGACCAAACATCCAAGCGGAGCTGTGCTTCCGGGGCATCTGAATCCAATGGGGACGCATAAACGTTGAACAGCAGAGTAGACAGGGCATCCGTGCGTTCAAAAGTCAAGGCGCGATCTTTAAGGGAAGAGGCAGAGGAGCGCTTTGAAAAGGAAGCATGGGTCCGGGAACGGGATGCAGGTGGTGGGAATGACATCTCACTGGGATCGCCCGAAGCGCCCGCAGATGATACCAAGGCCGTCAGTTGGCTAGGAGTCAAGGCTCTTATCCTCTCCAAGATAAATTGAGGATCGGTACGGGCCAGATGTAGAATTTCCAAAAGATCGGACCTAGATTGGGGACTCAACTGAAGGAAAAAGTCCGGGGAACGGTCCACGGAGGACTCGCGGATGGGCGACCATTCTTCCAACGGATCCTGCCGGTGGAAGTTGCGCCGGAAAGCGGAATCGCACGATTCCTGGAGGTCTACCAGGGTATGATAGAGAGCAACAAAAGTGGGCTTGTCATCGTGTTTGAGGCGGTCGACCAAGCCTCGTTGGACGATTGAGCTGACGCGGACGAAGCGCGCCGAAATCCCCATTGAAACCTTGAGGGCATGGAGACGGTGCTCCAATGACTTCCGACGACTCTGATTATGTTGATTCTGACGATAACTAACGGCCAACTCCTCAAAGGATACCTTGGGCAGCTCCGTAGGCAGGGCGCCATGGTTGTTTTCCTGGGAATGTCCATCCTGGGAGCAGACGGGGCTTGCGACACGCGAAATCGGGCGATCCAAATCGCCAGACTCACCTATGGTGCGACCCGCCATTGCGTCGGGAGAAAGGAGCATGGGAGACATGCTAGAAGTCGCAACCGGAGTAGAAGATTGAGGCGCGGCCTCACATGGTGTAGTTGCCTGAACGGATGAGGGGATCAAGCCTGACGAGCCAGAAATCAAGGCCGAGCCGTTAGCACGTAGTTAGTTGGACTTGGTGGCTATACTATTGGGGAAAGGACAGGAATTGATCGCATGAAGAAAACCAATATCGATGCGTAGGACAGGGGGGTGGGAGGGGAAAGGCGATTCGGCAATTAATTTGCCAATTAAGTAAACACGCACAAAATGACCCGAAAGGAGCAAACGGAGGAAGACAGGGCGAAAAATTGGGACATAAAGGAGTCGGGGTCGAAGAAAAAAAGAAGAAAAAAGAGAGCCGTGCGCGCACATACAGGTCACATAAGCCAAGGTGGATGAAAGAGCATCGGATTGGGCATCGAACATGGTGTTGCCATGGGCAGTCTCCTGGACACTAGTAGGCCGAGATGAAGACAGCTGAGGTTGCAAGATGCCCCCGGCGCGAGAAGCTCCCTCACTAGCGCATGGTCCTCCTAAAGGAGTGGCGGTAGGTGAGAATCGGTCCTCATGGGGGGAATCCAGGTGGTGATGAATGGCGGACACGATGGAGAGCTCCAGGATGGGAGAGGGGGCGGCAAGAGGATGGAGACGGTAGTAGTGGGACTGGTGGATGGTGTTGTTTGTGGTGGTGGTGGTGGTGGTGGTAGTCAGGAAGGGTTGGGGAGGGAGAGGAGCGGGACGAAGGAAGAAAGAGTAGAAGAAGAGGAAGATGGATCAGAATTAAGGGAAAAAAAGAAAGGAAAAGTGGGAAGACTAGACACACGCAGAGAGAAAAGAGAGAGGAGGGGAAGTTGAGCAGAGGGTAATGGAGTGTGAGGAGGAGAAGGTGGTGGTGGTGGTAAGTAAGTAGCAAGTAGTGGTGGTAGTAATGGGGAAAGTAATACTACGAATGACAGTGGGCAGGAGAATAACAATAATGAAGACTGTGATGGAGGGGGGTAGATTGCAGAAAATGGAGAAATATAATCCACACCCACACTATTTCGGGGACATATACCAGGAAGGTGGAAAATAATAATAATAATAAAAAAAGAACTAAGCACCGAAACAAATAATCGCAAATGGTAGCCAACACCGGGATAGCCAGTCAGTCAGTCGGCTACCAAGTAAGTACAGTATGTAAGTAAGCAAGTAATAGTGGTAGTTGTTGTAGATGAGGGATTCGAATGGGGGAGGAATAGTAGTAGAACAGTAGAATAGTTAGATGATTCACAGGCTGATAAACTCCGACCTCGTCCGGATAAGGGAGGGACAACTGGCTGACTTGGCCATGGGCGGGATGACATGCAGAAGACAGGCACTCACCAAAAAAGAGTAACAGATTAATAAAAAATCAGTAAAAGAGAAATACGAAAAATCAAAGTCCAGTTACTAACGAGGAACTCCCGTGGACTAACTAACTTAGTAGTATTACTCCTACGAGACTACTAGCGGATGCCAGCAAATCGAACGATCCGGAGGGGGCGAAGAAAAGCAAGTCAGAGCTGGATGGAAAGAGTGGTTGGTCAGGCTGTGTGACTGGCTGGTCGGCTGGATAAAGAAACGAAGGCGTGGATTTGTTGGCGGTGACTCGAATCGGCCGCTTGCAGGGACGGATGAAGCTGCAGGGTGAGGCAAGAGGATTATTGTCCTTTTTTTACTTCCACTTGTACCTTGCTTGGGGACCGGGGCGGGAGCAGGTACATTAGTAGTATTTACTCTCCAATTTGCTTCCCATCCAGTTTCTGCAGCCCCGACGGCTGACCTGTCCCGATCTGGGGAAATTATTAACTAGATTCACGTATGTATCTAAGTAAAAGATAAAACTTCCTGATGGTATGAGGGGGAAAGCTGAATAACGTGATCGACTTGAGTAGAAAACATCATGTAAATATCAACTGACCCTCAACAATATTTCCATCAGTGAGTGGAAGATAAGTAGTACTAGTAGTTAGTAGATAGACGAGACACGAAAGCAAACCCAGCAGGCCAACGAGACCGCAGAGAAATGATGAGAAACCGGACTAATCCTGATACTGTTTTCCCTTTTTTTGCCTTTTTCTTAATTTTTTTCCCCCTACCGAACGACTAAACTTCCGCCCGGAACGAAGAAAAGAGAGAGTAGGAAGAAAGAGAGACAGAGAGAGCGAGCGAGCAAGCGAGAAATTCCTTGATGAGCTGGCAATGCATGCATGCATGACGGACCCTCCGTCGGGAGCCACTGATTTGTTGGCCGCCCCCCTTACTGTGTTGGCCCGACTAGTCAGTAGAGTTATGGGTTCAGCCTGTCTGGTCTTGTCCCATCCTCGGTCAGGACTCTCTCTAGGCTGGCTCACTCTGTCTCGTCTCTTTTACTGAACTGATCAGCTGTACATGAGGGAGGGGGTGAGGGTGACTGACTGGCTGACTGAATGAGTAAGACTGAGGGAGTGAGACTGAAATGGAAAGTCTAGCTAGCTAGCTGGCTAGTTAGTTAAACCTGCAGGTCAGACACTTCTTCGTAAGCCCCATAAGAGCAAGCAAATCTTCCGGATCAACTCACTAAATAATGATGATTGACTGCTTCTTGAAACCCCCAAATAATAATAATAATCCATCCATCCATCCGTCATCCTCCTCCTCCTCATCATAACAAGACTAACTACTAGAGAATAAGTGACGGTCCCTCCCGTCCCAAAGTTGTTCTGTTGCTCCGCGGCACTAAACCCCATCAGGGCGAGACAACCAGCAACCCCCACCTGCACGTGTTCATCTGCCACTTGCCCAGCTGGGTCCCCTTCTAACCCCAATTGGGGCTTAGACCACACCAGCTGGAAGCTGAACTGGATGTTTCAATAATCTGTCTCCATTGTGATGATGATTCACTACCCATTAATCAATCAACAATTTCAACTAACCAAACAATATGTCAATTTTCAATTTTGATTTTTCAATCTTATTTACATGATGCGGGTAAGCGTGTTTTCAGCTTGCCTACCTCGGATTGCTGTTGCCCGCTTCAGCTCCCATGTTCATTCAGTCACTCACTGAATGGGGAAAGGTATGTATGTATGTATGTAGTCTATGTATGGATCTCACTTGCCAGTGTGTGTGTGTGGACTCTGTGTCTGTAGAATGGGCCAGTAGATACAAAACAGTAGATACTAGTTGGAGGAGAAGACAATGGACGCGCATCCACTCACTCAACCCAGACGCGCAGCTGGTCTAGACGCTGTTCTATCCCCTCCACCCCACTTCCCATATCCATCATATCCATAGCCATCCAGGCTGGACTTGCGACAACAGCCATTACCACTACCACTCATCTACCTAGAAACTCTACGATGTAGTGCCATGTACGTATGCATGGAGGCAGGCAAGTAGGTCCCCGAGAGAGGTGCATCTACCCGGGTTCTGAAGTGTTCCAATGCCAATCCCAGTGGTCAGGTCTGGTCAGTTCATGTCATGTCATATCAATGAGGCTTTCCCGCAGGCTGTGTGGCTGTTGTGTTGGCACCGCACTGCACTGCGTTTTCCCCGATCTATTATTAAGATACTTTCTTTTTCTTTTCCCCCCCACCTCTCTCTTTTCGCTCGCTGTCTTTGGTTTCTATAATTCCCCGCTCCACCTGGCTCGACAGTCTGCTCAGGAACATTTGTGATTGGCGATCCCTGCCGTATGTGCAGTTCCCTTTCTGACTTGCTACTACCCCTCCGATCATCTCTAACAACCACACGGAGCCCCTTCTCCTTCCCCTCTTTGATGTATGGGGCGAATAACATCGTCTCTTGACGTGATGGGAGGCGATGAGATGAGATGAGATGAAAACACTTCCATGTAGATGCATCGTAGGTCCCTTGTCTGGCACTGGTGCTCTCTCCCTCCCTCCCTCTCTCTCTCTCTCTTTGCCTTTCTTCGTTTTATCGTAACCCAAACTCCCCTCGCCAAACGACACTATCCGACCAGTCTAGCCATCCACTCACTCACCCGAGTCAGTGTGTCTGGTTGACAGGGTGGCCAGACGTTGAGTATAGTCGACAAATGAAACACTAGGCAAGGAGGGACAGGATAAACCGTAAAATAAAAAGGAAAGAAAGCAAAGGAGAGACTTGGAGACGCAGAGAAGGAGGGGTATACACGTCCGTTGGGGAACCAATCAACCCACTCAATTGGCCGACAAGACCACTCTCGGTCTGTGACTGATCTTTTCATTATTATTTTCTTCTTCTTCTAACCGCCGTGCCTCAAAACACAACCGTAACCAGTCCCTTGGTTGTGCGTTGTCCTTCCGGGGGGCCAAACTTGCCAATCCCCGGCCACGGCTAGTTGCAGACCCATTTTTTGTCAGCCTCTTTCTGTCCCACCCGCGTGGCCACGCTGTTCAGCGTGTCTTTCAGACTGTCCTTGGACACCTTGGGGAACCTATGGCGGCGCGACCCTGATGATTAGCCTTCCGATCAACAAGCATCCCTTGTGGGCCCACGTCTTACCGTTTCTTCAAGATTTCAATTAGCCCCATCTTGGTCAGATCACTGCCATTCACCACCTGCTTGAACTCTTCCAGCTGCTCCGGCGGCAACGTTCGCTTTGTCCTCCCAGCTGTCAGAACGGCCAGGGTGCCCCCGTCCGCTCCCGGCCCAGTCCCTGTCGGTTTGTGTGATGATGGCGACGATGTATGTCCTCCCATGAAAGCGTGCAGTGTCGAGCGCCCCAGCCCAGCCGCCTGCGCTGGCTCCGCGGCCGCCTTCGGTTTCTGCCAGTAGGCAGTGGAGAACGGGTCAATAGGGAAAGTCACCGAGTCGGAAATGGTCTCCATTTTGTACGCCTGCAGCTCCGGGTCCACGCCATGTTCCTGCCATCGTATACCAGTGCTGACGGGTTCTAGATCCCCGACGATGTGACGTCTCTTGCCGTCAATCGGGTGGTCATCCTCATCGTCCAGGAAGCCATCCATGTCATCCTCTCCATCTTCACTCCCTTCCTCTTCTTCCTCTGAATCCAGGTCCTCGCCTTCCTCGGGCTCTTCCCACTCAGCTTCCGAGTCGTAGTCATAATTCGTCTCCGGCAGCCCGCGGCGAAAAGGATTGCGCATCAACCGGCGGACGGATGACTCCGGCAGGCTCTTGCTATAGGTTCCCTGGTATGGAGGCCGGACATCCTCGCTGAATTTCAGCGATTTCATTCTCACCTGCCTCAGAAGATCGCGAGCCCTCTGGGCAGCTTCGGAGGTCTCTGACTGATCCGCAAGATTCTGCATCTGTAAAAGGATCTGTTTGACCGAAGCGGGCAATCGTCCACGCCGTCGCTGGTATGGCATAAGCTGGAAGAGCTCGGAAGGACGAAATATTAGAGGCTCATGCTTGCCATCCTTGGCACTCTTCAGGTAGGCATCAACTTTCTCCCGCGTATGCTGCAGAGCTTCGTTGTCGCGCTGGAACCTGTGCGGTGGCGCAAGTGTGGTATGTGACTGGAGGAAGAAGTCCGGAAACTCGCGCTGGTAGTCAGATACAGTCGACCCAGAGTCATGAGAAAGGTCATTCGAAGCGCCAGCGCCAGTCGGTTTGCTAGGAGAGAGAGTCGTGTTCGATGATGATGGTTGTGCCGGGGTTTTCGGTTTCGCGAAAAAGGAGTTCAGCTTCGTTTGCGCCTGTTGCGTGTTAGATACCCAAAACTTGCAATTCAGTCGGGGATGAGTTCCAACTCACTCTTTCTTTCTTCAGCTTCTCCTCCTCTTTTTTTCGCTTCTCTTCCTCCTTAGCAGCCTTTTCCTCCTCTTTAACCTTCCGTTTCTCTTCCTTCTTCTTGCGCTCCTCTTCCTTTTCCGCTTCGCGCTTCTTCTTCTCCTCTTCCTTAGCTCGCTTCTCCTCTTCTTTCACCCGCTTCTCCTCCTCCTTCTCAGCCTCCCGTTTCCTCTTTTCTTCCTCTTTCTTAGCCTTCTCTTCTTCCCTCTTAGCCTTTTCTTCCTCCTTCTTAGCCTTCTCCTCTAGTTTCTGCCGCTCTCTCGCCTCCTTCTCCTGCTGCTTCGCCTCTTTACTGGCAGGCGACAACTTTCTCTTCTTCGCAGCCGGAGCAGTAGTCGTAGTGGCAGCCGAGTCTCCACCAACCGAAGTCTTCTTCTCATCCCCAAGATCACATAATTTCACTTGTGTATCCTGATTCTCCTTGTTATCATCCGTATCGGCACGAGTATCTCCATCGATCTTCATCTCCGTAGTGGTATTCGCATTCGTATCATCCCCCCCTTTCGCAGCAGCAATATGCCCATCCACATCCCCTATCGAGCGTTTCCTCGCCGGCGACACAGACATAGACATAGATGCAGGATACGTATTCGTATCCGACGGAGGAGATGACAAGGACGACAAGGACGAACCAGACGAGTGTGGCGAAGACACAGGGGCAGGGTTAGTGGCCGTAGCGGTATCCGTCGACATGGCGGTACTTTCCGTTACCGGATGGTGTAAATTGGCCGCGATAAGGTTGACAGACGGTGAATGACCTTATTGACGACTGAATGGACAATGAAATGATAATCTAATCATCCAGCAGAGAATCGTAAGGCTGTATATGTAGGTGGGTATCAAGAAGGATGTGAAACAAAGGAGTACAATGATAAGAATAAAAGGCACCTGGTACTCCTCACTTCACAACTTCAGTCAGTCTATCATCATAACTTTATCACTTTGAGTGAATAGATCCCAGCGCGCGCGCATACGCACAACCTCGTGCTGGGTAGCTTGCAAGGGTTGGTTTAAGCTCACATCAGTGGCCGCTAACCAGCCAGGTAGGTTTCAGAATCATGAGAGGAAAATGAGCGGAGAGGAATACGAGTGTGAGGAAAGCCGGTATTCCAGAGGGGCGATCAACTGACGGGTCTCTCTGGCCTGACTGAGTCGTCAACTAGTTAGAGTAGGGCGTGAATAGTGACAAGACAAGACAGACAGGCAACAATCGAGGCGGAGATTCCAGGCGTGGGAGAGGGAATCTTGGCGTCTGGTGAGCCTGCCAGGTTGCCCGAAACGCGTTGTTAATTGATGTTCGCGACTGGGATTTCGCGTCCCGCACGTGTGTTGTATTATGTAAGGACACCCCCCTAGTTCACGACTTATCAGCCCACTATGGTCTGTCTATCTACATTGCTGGAGCTCTGTATGTAGGTATATTGTTTGTCAAATGTTGAAATGAAAAGTCTTTCGCTTGTTGGCTGAGTGAGTAACTACTTGTTCATAATTTCTCGAAGTTGCCTCCAACTGAGTCGTAACAAACCTACAACACCTTTTCTCTACAGCGTCTACTTCGCTATAGCGATCAATATGGTCATATGTACAATAGTATTATTATTACTTTGCTCATAAATCCATCGGACGCCAACTTGGTGCAAGGGTGCAAGTTCAAGTAGCATGCAACCCTTACAGCACAGCAAAAAGCGCCAATAACATGCGGTGAGGGGAATAGAACAAGTTCAAGTCAATCAGTTAAGGGGCATCTTGCCGTCGTAAAGCAAATCAAGGCTGGAGGGCATTGCATAATCATTGCACCAGACATGGTATCCGAGCCCGAGTTTGCAGGACGAAAGTTCAGGGAAAAGAAAGGAAAGAGGCGTAGAGCTCGAATGCCGCATTGGACTGCATAAGTCGATGCAGTGCCAAGTATCGGTAATATGTGGAGGTAATAATCCCAGCAGCGACACAAGCCGCATGTCTAGTCACTCAGATCGGGGTTTGCCACGAAAAGCCGGACATTGGTCATGGACGTCGTTCGATCATCAACACTGCCTCGGCGACGCAGTTCATCCGCCTTCTTCGCCTTCTCGATCGCCGCAGAAGCCGCACTTGGTGCGGCCATATCACTCACGGTGCCAAAGTATTCTTCGTGCTCACTACCAAAGCTGTTTGTAGTAGCAGCATCATCCTTGATGGAGGCGTGGTCCTGCTCAGCTTCGTGGCTTTCCGCTGGTGGGTGCTCGGAGACATCAGGGAGGTCGGTCTTCTCGTTGGGAGGCGTGCTGGTGCTCCCCATCGTACTCTGCGGAGTACGTTGGTAGCCACTGGGATAGCGGGAATTGCTACCCAGAGAACTGCGACCGCTACCGGTCCGGCGATAAGGAAACCCTCGGTCACTGTGGGCATCCTCATCCGCGTCACCGACCTCGTTTGCACTGAGCCGAACCGGGACCGTAGCGCCGACCAGTGTCGAGGGCGAGAAATCAGTAGTTCCCTTACCGCCGTGCTTGTTCTTGCCGCTTCCAAGGGTACCCGTGCGTCCGGCGCCTGCGCCGTGGACTTCCAGGTACGCCCGTTTCTTATCGACCAGCTTCTGCGCTCGTATGCGAGGATCCTCGGGCTGTGCCCGGTCACACCATACTGTCGCCTTTTGTCTCCGCATCAAAGCGACATAACCCAACTGAGCATTGGCGGAGCGGGACGAAGTGCTGCGGCGAATATCCGTCTGTGGGTTACCGCCGTAGTTAACATTGCCTGTGGAGGTCGTAGATGTGGTCGCACTCGATAAACGCCTTGAAGGAGGATAATTGGGTGGACCGGTCATCGTATGATGTGGTGAGGGCCCCGCAGAGTATGCCTGCTGCTGTTGTGCCATGTAGGGTATCACATGGGAGGAAGAGGTTCGCCGACGGTTGTGCGCAAGGGAGGCGGCCGATGGATGGGGAGAAAGCTGCTGGTGGTGGTGAGGCCCGTCATAGGCCTGGTAAGGAAAGCCGGAATGCATTCCGGCAACTGGTTTGCGAGCCGGTGGCGGCTGATGATGCATTGGGAGACGATAGTCAGTCATGCTGGGCTGTTGCAGCTGCACACCAGCCATCTAGGCAGAGCTCGATCGGTAAACGAGGGGGGATGTCGAGGAACTGTGGTGACGGTTCCCACTCCGGGTGGTGGCGGAGATTGCAGGGGTAGCCACCGAAATAGTTGAAACAGAGTTGTGGTCAAACGTCGACCAGTGATCCCCGCGATTTCAGGACAGGGAAGGGAAAGTCGTAGACAGTGTGGGAGAGCGGTTATTGGGGATCAATGAGTGGCCAGCGGCTGGGTTGTCGTACCGGACAGGCAACCGAATGCGAGGCGCGAAGAAAGGGAGAGGAACCGACCCAGCTGATACAATGGGAATGTGGTATCAGCGCTATAATAGTAATGGCTTCTACCAAGAGGTCGGAAGCGCTTCGGAAGAGGCGAGCGCTTAAGTTGTTAGGGAGAGGAAAGAGGGGGAGTGAATAAGATGACGCTGGTAGTGTTGTGTTGGAGTAGCGGTGCTGAGAGAGTGCAAGACGCAGCAGACAAACAGACTCGCTCAGTCACTCATGCACACGAGGGCTGGCAGTTGGCGGGTACCCAATATTACCAAGTCACACCTGCAGGGGACATTGATAGAAGCCGTGACCGGACACTACTACTTAGGACCGACGCTTAACAGAAGGTACTAAGGAAGTAGCAGCAGCAGCAGCAGCAGCAGCAGCAGCAGGAGAAGTAGTAGGAGACAGTGCTGACGCCCGGAGTCCAACCACACAAGTCACTCACACACAGTCACTTTCAGAGTGTCTGTCTTGTGATAAGAAATATCTCTGATGGTGATTGATCACAAGGCGATCGAGGCAGACCAGGTAAATAAAGCAATGAAAAGAGGGAAAGAAAGAGAGGCGGGGTTGAAAGGACTGGAGCAGAGCGAAATGAAGGGAAAATGAACGAACGATGAACAACGGACTTTGGAGGCGATCGATCGGGAAAAGAAGATGAGAGAAAAGAAGAGGAGCGTGAACTTTGGTTCTGAAAAACCCAGTTGTGACCGTCAGACGGGGTGGTACCGAATACGACCCTCCGGTACAAGGTACCATTGATACCGCCCCCTTACGGAACCTCAGGCAAACGATGGAAAGTACCTGCACAGCCACAGGTGCACCAGGGATGGGTTGGCCCTGTGGACAAGGAACTGCAGGCAATCGACCCAGATAGCTACAAAACAATCAAAGGAGCTTGGGAAGCTCCTTTTCCCCCTTTGATTTGCGCTGTCTACCCTCCGATGTCTCAAAAGCACCACCCTTTTAGCGCGCGATAAGCTGTAAGACACGATCGTCAGGAGACACTATCATACTGCGCCACACCACGCACGTGGGCCAGGAAGGTATCGAGGATACAAAGACGATACCGGACAGTGATACCGCACTAGGCAATCGCGGGAGATACCGTCGGTCAATGATACGGTACCTTACTACCACAAGGAACCGGATTGTACCAGAACCAGATAGTAGCAAATTAATGACGTCTATTACCCCACTGCTGAAACATCCGGAAGGCCGGCAGCACTGCAATTCTTTCTCATCAATTTGGGGCTGAGAGATGGGAAGGACAAGATAGAAAGATTGTTTCACTGAGGTAGTCATGCATTGACGTATAACGGGCGCAGGAAGGCAAACCGAAGACGGTCAGGGAGTGGGATTCGGAGTGACCGGTTAGGCCGAGAGGCAGGGAGGCAAGAGAGGGGGTTAGTAGGTAATACTCTACTACACTACAGACACTACAGTTGGTTGCATTTGATCAGGTACCTACTAGACTAGTAGTTACTACCGGGAAGACTAGTAAGCAGGTATCAGTCAGTCTTTGTTCAAAAGAGAGTTTTCTCTTGCTCCCAAATTACCGCAGCCGGGTACTTCTCCAGGCAACCCTTTACTAGTACTGCATAAAAGTACTACTTACTACTCTTATGAACCAGGGATGGGGACAGGGTGGAACCTCCCATACCGGGAAGGGGGGGAAGTAGTACTTCGCTAGCAACAAAGGTTAGTTTAGATACGTACTGAGGTGGTACCTTTCCAAAACGGAGACGAGTTCCGCGGCGTAACCGAAGGGGGGGTAGAGGAAAGGAAAAGTGACGTGACGATGACTGCGAGAAAGAGTTGCAACTTTCGCACTTGCACGAGACTAAACTAGTCCCAACTAGTCCGAACTGTTACGGCCCCCCCGCAAAATCCTAGCAAAGAAAGAAACATACATGTTACATCCGGGCGCTGCTGTAACGCTCATTCCCAACGGGATCCATCGTTCAGCTAGCCATCGTCGCTTGCTCCCCTCATGCTGGCATGCAAATTCTCGGCTCTTCTCCGTTGCTTATGCCAATCGCAGCGAGAATGGAGACCACGCTGTCATGCACAGTAGTCGCTATGCACGTTGGATCAGATCAACTGCATGTCGCTACGGAATGCCCGGTGGCCTTTTCCCTAATCTTACTAACAACACACCAAACAGTATACCTAATCCGGATCGGGTGGCTTTGGTGCTTGTGCATCGATCGCATCGTTGGCAAATTAGCAATTTACCAAGGTGCAGACGGGATGAGCCTCCACCCCCATCGCTGGTCCGGCCTCGTCCGTGGATCAACTGAAACAAAGCCATTATCATGGCTTGGGTTCGAATTTCATTTGACTTGACTTTGTCTGTGTCTAACCACTGTAACCAGTACCACCGTCGGGATCTACCGTTGATCAACCTCCCCAAACATAGCTATCTACTCGTCAATGACACCATGGTGGATATGTTAAGGTTCAAATGTTGTGCGGTTGACCGTCGTCGGCTACTTGCTTATTCGCCAGTTCGTCAAGTTGCTCAGCCTTACGCCACTCTCCAAGCCTCATCGACCCAGGGCCTGATCAAACTTAACGTGCATTTTTGGAACATGGCCTCGTATCGCGTTGACACCGTTGCGCCAACAAAAAACAAACACCACCTCGCTATCAGAGCTTAGCTTTACCATCCGGTAGCTTTACTAGTGCTCCATCGCGCCTGACATCATAATCGCGGCCCTTCTTCCACCCCAGCCATGTTTTGAGCGTCTCTTCGCCCCCGGTGCCGGGTATCATGCCACCCCCCGTCCAGCCCCCGTCGTCGGCCGGAATCGGGAGCCCGGGAGTTTCCACCAGATGGACAGCGGGCCGTTGCTCATAGCCACTCTTCTCGAGCTCATCTTGTTCCAACACAGGTGTGGCGCAGGCATCTGTACCATCGAATACGGCCTCCCACTCAGCCCGGGTCTTTTCTTTGAACCGCTTGGCGAAGGCAGCCCGGAGCGCCGGCCAGTTGTCCTTGTTGTCCCGCGGCGGCAGTTCTTCGGGGTTCAATTCGAGCCCCTTCAACAGGGCATCGTAGAACTGCGGCTCCAACGCGCCCACCGCGAAATATTTTCCCTTGTCCTTGGTTTCGTATGTGTCGTAAAACGGACTTCCTCCGTCCAGCGTATTCTGACCGCGGGGCGCGTCCCAGAAGGGCGTTTGTCTGCCCAACCGTGGCATTGCAGCCAAATACGCAGAGCCGTCGACCATGTTTGCCTCGACGACCTGGCCGCGTCCCGTGTGCGTGCGCGAGATCAACGCTAACAGGATCCCCAAGAAGCATGTGGCACCTCCACCAGCAAAGTCTCCGAGAAGATTGAGTGGTGGGTAAGGGCGTTCTCCCGACCGACCTATCATAGATAGTACCCCCGCCACAGCAATATAGTTGATGTCGTGACCCGCCATATCCTTGTATTTGCCATCACGACGAAAGCCCGTCAAACGAGCCACGATCAAGCGAGGGTTATGTTTCAGAAGCACCTCCGACGGCGACAAGCCCAGTCGCTCCAGGACGCCGGGGCGATATGGATCAATCAGGACATCGGCGTCCTTGAGAGCGGAGAGGAGCACGCGATGAGAGGCGGGGTCTCGGAGGTCAATGGTAGCGGACGTTTTCCTGCGCGTCAACTGGTCGGCGCTCTTGGCTTTTGGTCGGTCGATTCGCAATACGGAGGCTCCATAGTCGGCAAGTAATAGTCCGGTGAATGGACCTATGTAGATGTATGTCAGTATGGGGGGCTTCTCTTCGGGGGGAAAGGGGGTGATCGACGAACCGGGGGCTAGGCCAGCCAGCTCGACCACACGAATTCCATCAAGAGGAGCGGGCATTTCGTATACAGACTTGAGAGTAATTCAAATATGTACTGACAAGGATAGCACTGTTGATACAGCTAGTTGCACTGCCAGCAGCGCGATGGTCGATACTTAGGTTGGAGGGAGCTCCAGACAGCGGCTTCGCTTCTCCGCAGCCGAGGTCCGGGGCACGTGCGGGGAACTTCCCTACAAACCAGCACAGCGGGACTGATGTAGCTTGTGCAAGTAATATGAGATCATAGGGCAATTATTCGCTCGAATTTGAATCCCTTGAAATCAACATAAGATGAATGCATATCGTAACCTTCAATCTGGATGTGTGGGCGAGGCTTTTGTCCCGTTCTTTTCAAGCTGGATAGATCAATCAACTAGATTCGTCTTCTTTTCAATCATAGCTTACCAAATCCTCAGAAGATCACTTTTAATCAGGAGAATAAAACACGAGGAACTACCGAATGCCAAAGAGTCGGTCTGTGCTAATTAAACAGTAGATAGGATTAAAAAGATTCGCAGAACAAATGTTCACCACAACGGTGTGGACTCGAAGAATATGCTGGTTGTGCTGCTTCGCTGCGCTGTATTGCATATGCTAGCTGCTCAGAATAACAGTTGAAGCTTGCCTCCTAACACGAATTACCAATGAATAGCAGCCCTGCAGTACCTAGGAGAATGTATCCGGTTACCTCCGATAACCCTTATTCTATGAAACGCAATATCGGGCAATGTTCTGTATATTCAACTTTCACGAAATGCTTATCACCCTAGAAATCTCAAACCACAATGCCATGGATATAATCATCCAATCTACCAACCATCCTCCTCACGACCCTCATACTTGCCCTCATCATACGCATCCTCCATATTATCACCGAACCGCTCCACAGATCCGACCTTCTCGCCAGCCCATTCGGCCATATCCTCAGGAACTTCCTCGACATCATCGACGGCGTTGTCCCATTTCCGCTCGATGCGATCGGGGATATCTTCGACTTCACCGACCTAGACACACAATCATCAATATCATATCAAAGACACAGAACAAACAAGATGAAGGGACATGTGTTAAACTCACCTTCTCACCCGTCCATCTAGCCGCATTCTCGGGGAAGTCCTCCACATCTTCCTTGATCTCCTCCTTGTCTTCCTCCCATTTATCATCTGAAATCAATCCCAACGTTAGCCATCTCCGTACATATATGGAAATAGAAATCAGATAACTTACGGATCATCTCTCCCCCAACAACTGCCGCTCCACCAACCAACACTCCCGCACCAACACCCAGCGCCATATTCCGTCTACTGTGGTCAGGGCGCTCCTGCTGCTGCTGTTGTTCACCATAGTAACCCTGCTGACGGGACTCGTAGCCGCCACCGTAGCCACCACCGTATCCTCCCTCCTGGCGTCCATAGCCCTCACTACCACCACCGTATCCGCCGCCATAGCCGCCGCCATATCCCTCTTGACGGCCGTATCCTTCTTGACGGCCGTAGCCCTCGTTACCGCCGTAGCCACCGCCGTAGGATTCCTGACGACCGTAAGATTCTTGACGGCCGTAGGACTCGCCGCCGTAACCACCGCCACCACCGTAGGATTCCTGACGGCCGTAAGATTCACTTTGGTAGGATTGTTGCTGTTGTTGGGAGGAAGAGGAGCCGCCGCCACCGAATTTCTTTTCGATGACTTCTTCGGCCATGTTCTTGAGGAAGTCCATTTTGGGTGGTTGGTGTGTGGAAGGAGATGATGGGGGGTTAAAGGAGGAAAGGTAGGATGGGATAGTATATAGAGAGTGTATGTGTATAAGAATGCAAAGTATGAGGAAGGGAAAAGAAGAAAAAGAAGGGGAAAAGAAAAGGCCAACAAAACTACTTATAGTCTAGGTAAATAAGCAACTCCCAAAAAAAGATAAAGTGGGGTCCGATCGATAGGAGATGTTATACTGTCTACAAGATAGAGGAGATAGTCTACTAGACGTACTGGATGTGGCATGAATTGTGGCTGTTCACCTTAAGTGGGATTCAGGAGAATTGCCTACTAAAGTAAGACACAGAGAGGGGCAGAAAAGCTAGCCTAAGTCAAGGGTCCTCCTCTTGTTTCTCCAATCTCGGCTGTTGTTTCATTTTAGCACCCACCCACACCCACACACTCCCTCTCTCTCTCCCTCTCTCTCTCTCTCTCTCTCTCTCTCACCAGTTCCCATTTTCAGTTCCAGTTCAGGGGAAAAAGAGGGGCGGCCAAGAATGATTGACTGACTGGTTGGAGTGGGTGAGTGACTTGATCATCCCATGCTAATTTACCCCAGTGGAGGGGAGGAGTGGTGGTGGCTATGCTCCGGTGATCGATTGTGGCTTGGTCACTCACGGAGTGCATCAAAAGTCAATTATGGCGGTGTTGCTGATATGAATCTAGTTTAGTGCGGTATGGTATCATCGTATCTATTCATACACCAGTCTGTATTGTATTACTAGTTATATACTGGAATACAAATCTACAGTAGAAACTACTCAACATCTTTCAAATCAATACGCAGAGAAAACACTCTCTTGGGCTGTTCATCACTTCCTCCATCCGGCTTAGTCGCCCGGGGGCCGAAGTTCTCCTTAGCCTATCATTCTGCCATGCTGTGGTCGATGACCTGGGGGCCAGGCCATGCCACACACCATCTTTCTCCAAGTCAGATGGGCATCAGGCATCAATCGACCGCGTCTAGACACAGTCAAGACGACTTGTCTTCCACTCGCAAAAGCAAAATGAAAAGGGTGAAACCACGGCTGAAACTCCAGGGTCTCGATATCCATCGTACAACGCATCACTCCCCCTCCATATCACGCCTTGGCACACCCGGATCGTCCCGTCTTGGCTGATCTTGGCTGCCTGGGGCATCGGCTGTGGCATTACTGGGATTCAATACATTCCCCCCCTTGTAGATACAAAAGAATGGCATTTGGTGGTAAAGTAATATACTGGTCGTTAAGGGTACAGCTATATTGCTGGTAGAATGAAAGTTAAATACATGGCGGACAGTTAGAGGCAATAGTATCATCCTGAGATTAAGCATTACATCCAAAAACACTTGGTCCAAGTTGCTTGTGGGTTCTCATGGCGAAAGTATTTTCGTTAAGTTAGGAAGCACATCGTTTAGATGGCTGCCAAGAGGAACAGTGCAAACGCTGACACTGCACCCGCACCGTGTTGCAGTCGTGACACCCGCGAAGCCGCGCCGGTGAATACGGGCGACACGCCGGCGGCCGTGCCGCTGGGAGCCACAGGCACTCGGGACCCGCTCTGGGATGGCTGGATATGGAAGGTCGATGAGGCACGGACGCTGCCGGTTCCAAGAATTAGCGGCTGGCTGGTTGACGATTGGCTCGGGACCACAATGACCGTCTCGGTGGTGGTGGGGGCTGTTGGCGCGGGGGCTGTAGGGGCACTTTGACCGGGCGAACTCTCCCCGGCAGGCTGACTGCCGGACGGACTGGCAGTGAGGGCATCAACACCCGTGGCAGCGCCGACGGGGATCGTGACCGTTACCGTGGTAGGCGTAGGACCACAGTCAGTGCAGACACTGACCGTAGTGGTCCAGTCTTCAGGAGAGTTCGGTGCGCTGGTCGAGGACGCCAGCGCAGACGGCCGATTGGTGGCCGGCAAAGTAAGGGTCACAGTAGTCGGTGTGGGAGCGCAGTGAGTGCATACGGTCACAGTCGTCGTCCAGCCCTCAGGGACGCTGGGACTCGTGGTCTGCGCTGGAGCGCCGGGAGGGTTGGTGATGGCGGCTGTGGCTGTGGCTGTGGCAGACACCGTTGCAGGACAGTAGGTAGTGGTGTAAGTCGTGGTGATCGTAGTGAAACCTTCTGGGCAGATGTCAATGTAAGAAGTCACAATGACCGTGGTAGTGATGGTAGGCTCCGGCTCCGACTCCAAGCCGCTGGATGTGACGGAAGGTACCGCCTGGGCAGATGTGATGCTGGAAGTGATCGGAGCGAGTCCACTTCCATTGCCGGTTGGTATACCAGCTGGAACGGTAGTTGGGCTGCCTGTTTGTCCTGAGGCGCTGGCGAGGGGAGTCGAGTACGATGGGGAAAGAGTGCTTGCGTGATCAGTAGATTTTGTGCTGTCCTGAGCACCCGAGCCACTTGCAGCGGCACCGGAGGTTGAGGTGCTGGCTGCTTCCGAGCTGCCCAAAGGAACGGAAGTCGTTGGCGCTCCGGTCTGGCTTGATGCTGAGCTAGTAGACTCGGTACTCGAGGTTGTCGACAGTTCGCTACCAGAGGACGAGCTGTCGGAAGGCACCGATGGATTGGTGATTACAACCGAGCTAGAGGAGCTTGACACACGAGAGGCGCTGGATGAAGTCACTGATGTGATCACCGATCCTGAGGAAGTAGGCTCCACGGAAGAGGCGGAAGAGCTTGATGAAGCATCTGTGCTCGACGTGTTGATTGAGCTTGGCACGGTGGGACTGCCCGATCCACTTGATGAAGAAGTAACAGACTCGGTGGCTGTTCCCGAAACTGGCGGGATTGGCGTGCCAGAGGGGACAACTGACGAGCTTGACCTGGTCGACACCCCAGTGACCACATTGGACGAGGAACCCACACTGGTTCCTACAGCAGAACTTGAAGAGACCGGTTCGGCGGAGCTAACGGGTGAGCTTGACAGCAACGATGTGCTAGAAGGATGTGGCAGGGTAGATGATGATGGAACGCCGGATCCAGCGGGAGCGCTGGAAGAGGGCAATGACCCAGAGGAACTGGTGAAAGTTGCAATGACCGTGGAGGATGGCTTTGGAATAACAGGGGCACTGGACGACTTTCCTGGGGCAACAGACGAAGTTGACCGGACAGGCGTGCTTGAAGGAGTGATGGAAATGGCTGAACTGCTTGGAATAACAGGATTGCTGGGAGTGCGAGTGCTGGACAGGGCCGGTGAGCTGGAAGAGAGCAGAGTGCTTGATCTCACAACGGAGCTTGAAGGAGTGGGAGAGCTCGATACGACGGCAGAACTGGCAGTCGAGCTTGGAATGATAGGTGTGCTTGATGCAGATGCAGATGGGCTGCTTGACAGGGCCGGACTGCTCGATGCCACAGGAGAACTCGAGACAGCGGGGCTGCTCGATGCCGCAGGGGTGCTTGAAGAAGCAACATGAGAGCTAGACGCAATAGCGGATCCAGATGCAATAGCAGAGCTAGAGATAACGGGGATGCTGGATGCCACAGGAGTGCTGACCGCTGGAGTGCTGGAAACGATGGCAGAGCTAGATACTGCTGGAGAGCTAGACGCAACAGGAGAGCTGGGCGCAACAGGAGAGCTGGATGCAATAGCAGAGCTGGACGCAATAGCAGAGCTGGACGCAATAGCAGAGCTGGACGCAATAGCAGAGCTGGACGCAATAGCAGAGCTGGACGCAATAGCAGAGCTGGACGCAATAGCAGAGCTGAACGCAATAGCAGAGCTGAACGCAATAGCAGAGCTGGACGCAATAGCAGAGCTGGACGCAATAGCAGAGCTAGACGCAATAGTGGATCCAGATGCAATAGCAGAGCTAGAGCTAACGGGGATGCTGGATGCCACAGGGGTGCTGACCGCCGGAGTGCTAGAAATAATAGGAGAGCTAGATGCTACTGGTGAGCTTGGGGCAATAGGTGAGCTGGAAGCCACAGCGGAACTGGTAGCCGAGGGCGCGCTACTTGCCACTGGAGTGCTGGAAGCCACAGGGCTTGATGTAACAGGGCTACTCGACGCAGAGACGCTGCCCGATACCACCTGCGTACTTGAAGACTCGGTAGTACTTGAAACCGCGGGGGAGCTGGAAACAGCAGAGCTTGACGGAACTGGGCTGCCTGAGGAAATCGGGGTGGATGAAGCGGGAGCGCTTGATGCAACAGGGGTACTCGAGGCCACAGGTGTGCTTGAGGCGATAACGCTGCTAGACGAAGGGCTGGGAACCGGTGGTGAAGGGTCAACTGCAACCAGAATGTCTTTGATCACGTCGGCAAATGTGAGTCCACTGAACGTGTTCTCATCCGAAGCCGTTGCTTCCCAAAGCATGATTCCTCCAAACGTCTCCGGGTAGAGGTTCATATACACATCCACTAGAGGGTAGACTTCCTCCGGTGTCAGGTAGTATCCCGCTCCTGCTGCACCGGGGCCGGCAGGCAATCCCACATAGAGCTTTGCGTCCGGGTTGGCTCCACGCTTGATGACATCCACCCAGTCATCAAAGTTGAAGCCGGTGCTGACACCATTGATGGAGTCACTAGCGGCACAGCCAGCAGTGTTATAGAATTGCACCCAAACGAAGTCAAAGGGGGATTGGGCGATTGCATCACCGAGTTGAGGGTCGGGTATCGGGCACTGGGGGGCACCAGAGATGTAGAAGGTACGCTCCGGGACCAAAGCGAAAAGCTCTCTGAACCGATTGACCATAGTCGCATATCCTGGTCACGATTAGAGGGAGGGCACATTAATAACAAAAGTCCTCGAGCGGGAGACATACCAAAACCGCCGTTGTGCTCAATGTCGAAATCAAACCCATCGACAACAACATCTCCAAAAGGACGAGGACCATCATTGGACACCCATTCCTCCGTCTGCGGACCAAAGGCACCCCAGAGGAAATCGGCGAACCGAACAGCAGAGGCATCTGACAGAATCTGCTGGTTGTCGGGAGAGGCACCACCAAGGGACAGTAAAACCTTCTTTCCTGCTGCTTGGCAGATGGGAATATCTTCTGCAATCTGGTGACAACCAGAAAGAAGCTGCGTTGAGACGCCGTCAACTTCATAAGTTAGGCCATCACATTGATTGCCGAAGTTACTACCCGGCCACCCGGCAGCTCCCTGATCAGGGAAAGTATTGATGAATCCAATGTTGATAATATCCAACGAGGTTTCCTGGCAGAAATGGCTCAACCGTTGTTGACCATATCCTTGACCCTATAGACAGTTGAGTACAAGTAATAATGGTTGAACGGGCGCTTAGGTGGTCAGAACATACGTAGTAGACGGCAACGTTGGACTTTGCCTGGGCATCGAAAGCGGACACAAAAGGAGTGAGGCCGGCTATCGCGGCAGCGATGGTGAGAGGCTTGAACACCATGTCGAAGAAGGAGTGGCAACTGGCAGGCGTAAGGAAGCCGCAAGCCAGTAAAGAGACCTTGGTGATTCAACGAAAGGACGCAGACAAATGTCTGCTAAGGAGTGTCTTCGCAAGCGAACGTCGAAGAATGAGGCACTGGAAACAGAACTGGTGGGCAGGGAGGGTATATAACATGATGGAAGATAGGTCTTCTGGGGGGTTAGCGTTAACCCCATTGCATCTTCCCAGTCATTAGCTGGAATATCCCAAATACAGTTCATCCAACGAGCACAACCGAAATTGCCATGCGGATAATATGGCTTGGCAAGTGCAACCGGACAATCAGGTGATGGAAAATGGGCTCCATTCTTGTGCTAGCAGCAGGGAATATCGGAAGCTAACAAGGCGCTTGATATGGGAACACCAGGGGTCACCGGCCAGGAGCAGACGTGACTGGATCCGGAGGATGGAAGATGTGAGGGCCGACATTACGCTCAAGGCAACAGTAGGCATCCGAGCACCCTGATTGAGTAAATGCCTGGTGTAGAGCCGCATCAGGGTCCGACTGTTATGGTTAGTCTCGGTCGAAATGGACAATAAGAGGCAAAATCGATATACGCTACTCACAGCGTTCAGGCTCCGGCTGTGCTTGAATTCAGCCTAAGTGGAGAATGAGGAGGTAGCGCCTCATAGTCGAGAGTAGCTTCGATAAACGGTGGATATAAGATGAAGAGATGGGATCACTTTTCTGGACGGATAGAGGCCGGAAGATGAGAGATAGATGGAGATAGCGAGGTGGGAATGGATGCCTTCCATGGACCTGGAGGCCTGCCTGGAGGGAAGCTAGTCTAGTCCTGGACCCTGCTGGTGGGCGTGATCCTGGTATTGTGGTGACAATACCGTGTCCGTGTTATGTGCTAATCCCATTTAGGGCTAGCGTATATGTGGAAGTAGCTTGATCGGGACTAGCTAGGGGTCTCTGGTGGAACGCTGATGGTCAGGAACACCAATCAAAGAGACGGGATATAGAACTTGACAGTCCACTGGTCAGGCTGGGAAACGTCCGGGCTAAACTTTGGGCTCCAATGTCTTACCTTCGCCTCTCGCTTTCTGATTGTTGTGATGGCGAGAGATGAAAAGTCAAATATTTGGACCGGGACCCACGGAACGGCTCTTCTCCGTTGCTTAAGGCTCTCGGAGTTGACCGGATCATCCGATCGACAATCAGGGACTACTAGTACTGTGCAGTGTTGTCAATTTGTAACTGCCTGTCGCTTGTTTAGAGCTTGGTAGGGGCGGATGTTCAATTCATAAGTAAGAATAGCTGAGCCCGAAAGTAAGGTGGAAAGTCTGACATGACAGTTTTCTCAAGGAACGCCACCGAGGAATATTTTCTCCTTAGTCGATAGTCCATTGGTCTGTTTTTTCTCTCCTGGTCCAAATAATCACACTTTGACTAGATACTTTCTTAGCCGACCCATCCACCAGCCAGATACCCCACTAGGCCTCAAGCAGCCTCCGACCGACCACGGACCTTCCTGGCTGCATGGCTCAGTGTACCTGTTCGTAGAGAGGGGAGCCACTGGAGGTCAGGGTTTTCTTCCACTATAACCAGGCGCTAAGCGACGTCGGAGTCATGCATCGGAGAACCGGAAATTGCACTTGATAGTCATTTTTTCTCTGAAGGGATTAGCGTGCTGCAATCTGGCGAGGAGTGGAAATGAACGGTCATAGAGCCTTATGGCCAGGGCCGTCGGATTTCCTACTGGAGCAGTTCCCCGTGTGCCTCCCAGAGTTCATTGGTCGGTGGATACCACTCTCATAGGACACATAGACATCGAGTAGGTGTCAGGCATTTATCTGTGCTCGTAGTCTTACGGGGCTAGAATTGTTACATTAGACCCGGCTGTGTTTTTTCACGTCTATGCTTTTGTTCTCAAGGAGAGACTTGTCAAACGGGCAATTCAAGCATGTGACGTTTCACTGTTCGTAGCAATAACCGTGTACCACTCTGGGGAACAGTATGAAGCTTCCGAGGATGACAAGACTAAAAGCTTGCAGGACCCTTTGTACAATGGTATCGGCCTAGCTGGGGCTGAGACACAGTGGCATGCCATAACCCGTGTTTCACAGACAATCAACTCGTGTTCGGGGAGAAGTGAAAGCCATGCACAAACTGGCTACCGCTCGAGGCTGCGACAACCGACATTACAACAGAGAAAGTCCGAATATACAGGAGGGACAGGTACACAACGACAATGCTGGGGCTCGGAGAACAGTCCGCCCGGAAAGGAACTGACATATCCATGTGCTGCAGGGTAGCTAGGTTACACCTGCAGCAAAGGGTGCCATGTTACACGCCGTCAGCTGCAGGTGTCGCAAAGGGATAGCGTAGGACAAGAACCCCAGTACTCTTTTGTGAGCTTTGTTTCATAACCCGATGCGTATTCCAAGGACTTTTTTGGTCGGGGATAGCTCACTGCGCTATACTTACCCTAAGATATAGTGGCTACTAGTACGGTCCTCCTACCCTTCTTGTGAAATGGCCAAGAGTGAGTGCGAAATGTGGGCACAGTCATAGCATATGAGCATACTAATTGGTTCTATTCCAGTGTACCCCTGTTGCTTCTCCCTAAGGCTTCGTCCAAAATACCTCCGTCAGTAGATCACACATCAGAGTAATAGACCGTTTCCCCTCCTTCAACACAGCGTCCATAGCCAGGAACGGATGAGGCATGCCCTTCATGACCTGCAAATCTACCTGAACGCCAGCCTTCTTCAACTTCTCAGAATACTGTTCCCCTTCCGTTCGGAGCACATCCAGCTCACCCACCATGACTAAAGCCCGGGGCAGGGCAGACCAATCTCCCGTCCAGAACAACGGGCTCGCCTCAGGGTTGTCCCAGTCCGCCTGATTCGGCAGATAGTGGTTCCGATACCAGAGCATCTTTGCTGCCGGGAGAGCCGGTGTATGCTCGTATTCCCTATAGGCATGGTTTGTTTCCACGCTGGCCGTATTATCTGTCACCGGCACGGAGAGCAGCTGGGCCTTAAAGTGAACAGGAGGCGATAGTGTCAGGGCTTTCTGAGTGATAATGCAAGCCAGGTTTCCGCCCGCTGAAGATCCACCGGTCGCAATCTTGCTGATATCGATGGGAAGTTGAGAAGGTCCTTCGGAAGTCAACCAGAGGAGAGCCTCCCAGCAGTCGTGCACGGCAGCGGGCCAGGGATGTTCAGGTGCGAGACTTTCAAAGAAAATGTCTTGTCAATCTTTCCATCCTGCTTAATTGCATGCAGATACACTCGGAATAGATACATACCGATAATCCACCGTCACCACGACACAGCGGCCCCTCACACAGAGATTCGAGCAAACTGGATTCTCCGTGTCAATGTTTCCCAGCACCCATCCACCGCCATGGAAATAGAGCATGACCGGCCATCCGGATGCCGGCGTAGTGCCTTCTGGCACAAACACTCGCACAGGGACCTCTGGACCGTCTGTGACGCGTCGTGGAAGACGAAGATCGATGGTTTTCCCAACAGGCAGAACGGGACCCCCGCCTGGGATCAAGACCCCGCTCGATCGCGAGGCCGCGACAGGCTGCAGATGAACCTGCTGCTGGTTCACCACATACTGGTTGTAGAAGGCGACATATTCAGGGTCGAGCTTGTCTTGCACCGAGGGGTGAAGGGGGTATGGGGGTTGAGGATTGTAAAGGGACATGATGAAAGTAGTAGGTCACTGATTGATTTCACTCTACAGATTGGGAATTCTGTTCTGTTCTGAGGAAAGAAAACGGGTAACTCTATCCTATCTATCTGACAATCAATGCCAACCTCTGAGTTGTATTCCTCGGTTACATCGCGGTCATCGTCCGAGCGCAAGGGATCAATCAGGGGATGCATTCCGGCTCGACTTTCCTGTTTGTGTTGCTTTCCCCTCACGGCTGGTTGATGATCCCCGATAACGAGTAGTAACGACTTACTAACCTGCGATAAGAGAAACGCTTCCGTCCCCTCACCTTTCCCCACCCCCACCACTTAACCACTGACAGCTTCAGTGGTAGCGAGATGAGAAGAAAGGCAGGCGATGAATTTTCGGCAATCGTATCTGTATCCGACTTGGAAAGCATTAGAGTGCGAAATTAGTACCCGCGTGAGAGGGGTTTGTAGTGGTAATGACTCATAAGTGCATGCCGTCTAAGTAACATTGTTGGTTTGTATATATATAACCTGCCAAACATCAGGTGCCACTCTCCGACTCTTCCAAACACAAATCGAAAGAACCGAGCAATTTCAATCTCAATCACCATTTTAACATCTACCAATTGAAAGAGAAACAAGCAAAAGCACACCAAAATGGCCACCAAAACCCCCATCTCAACTGACAAGGCCCCCAAGGCCCTTCCCGGAATCTATTCCCAAGCCATTGTCTCCAACGGGGTCGTCTACTGCTCTGGCGCTGTGGCTATGGACGCAGAGACAGGCAAGATCATTGATGGCGATATCAAAGCGCACACAGTACGCATTTATCTTCCCTCATTCCCCTCACCGATAATTCTACAACATCCCCTAATGACTCGCTGGTAACATAGCACCAATGCATCAAAAACCTCGGAAACGTTCTCGAAGCCGCCGGTAGCGATCTCACCAAGGTACTCAAGGTGAATGTATTCTTGTCGAATATGGATGACTTTGCCGACATGAATTCCGTCTATATGCAATACTGGGGGGATGTTAAGCCTTGTCGGACGTGAGTAATTTTCCCTTTCCCTATTTCTGTGTGAATTCCACGAATGTGGGGGAGGGTTAAACGCTGTGATGTAGAATTATGGCTGACTGATACTGATTGGATGGGTAGATGCGTGGCGGTTAAGACTTTGCCCCTGAATACAGACGTCGAGATCGAGTGCATTGCTCATCAGTAGGAGGGTAAGTATATCTGGTGATAAAGAGTGCATGGTTGGAGAAACAGAAATCCATTTTGCATGTCTCCAGGTTGTTGATTGTTGACTGAGAACCACAAAGATATATCATATGTATATAAAATTTACAGAGAACGAGTTCGAGGACTGTGATTTTGTTGTTAGGGAAGTGAAGTACCCTGAGATCGATGTGAGCAAAGCTCCACTCCACATGAGTCAGACCAGAATAATCGAGAAGAAAATCACTGCTCAATAATCCCCGAAAAACTTTTGGCGAATTCGTTCCATTGCTAGTTCGTCCGGCATAGGGGTGATAAACTTATCGATTTCATTGATCCAAAAGGAGTTTTGGGGGTTGACTTGGCAAGCTGTAGTATATTCCCAGTATGATGGATACCAGCCGGCAGTTTCCTAGTCAATAATTCCAACAATAGTGTCGCCGCGGGCCAGAATGTTGAGGCTACTAAGATCGCCATGGGTAAATTTAATAGGGAAAGATCTATCATGTTGTCTGATCAGTTCCTGTATGGCGGGATCAAGTCCCGGGTCAAAGTCCATGCCACCTCGCAAATGTCGGTGGAATTCTTGGACACCTGGGAAAAGGCCCAAAGCGTAGGGAAGTGCCCGGCAGGCGGCCATCAAAGAGAGTCCCGTCCACAACGGAGCCCACACCCATGCCTGCTGGAGGTGGGAGTGTTCGCATCTCCCGGACCATCTTCTGCAACTGAGTAAGAATCTTTGCCTTCGACTCCTCACTCCGATAAACCCAGCCGGCACCAATCATTTCCCCTTTGATTCTTTCCATCACAATGTAGGTGCAACGCTGGTGCGTAAAGGCGCACAGGACTTTTGGAACCGGTATAGATGTGTTCTGTGAGACGAAACACATAGTACCTGCCTCTGATAAGTCTACATGTTGTCCGTATTTGACACAAATTCGATCTGTCAACATAAGAACGCTTCCCTTAAACGGACGAAACTTCCTTAGAGCCGCGATCGCCAAAAGGGTCAAAATCCTGTACAAGGCGCAGTCATTGATCGGGCCCAATTTTGGAGCATCACGCATTCTGAATATGCAATTCGGTTAAGACCCGTTCGGCCGATCAACTGGTCACTGTACGGTTTAGCCTGTGGTTGAGCGGTGAAATGCGAAAGCGATTTGGACAGCACGAAGCACGTGATGGTCATGGCTGAGTTACTAGTTATAGGATGTGGATAACATCTACACCGACCATGCGATTACGAGTTACTGTAGATGCTGCAGCTAGTAGGATCATTATATCTGTTAGCTCGAAATTGCTAGCAACTACAGGCGATAACCGCTGAGGAGAGACAATCACCGCATTAGTGAGGTTCCCCAGAGAATGCTGCAGCCTACTCCCAGAAGACAGACCCCTACAACGTCACTGCTCAGCCAAACACGCGTACAGGAGACTCAACAAACACGAACTTAAAGAGTAAACAACAAACATAAACATTAACCTTCCCGCGCGCCGTCCGTCCGTCCGCCCGAACCATCATCGAGTCGGGGCTTAATCAAAATGAACAATGTAGTGGAACTGCTCTAAACCCGGAATGCAGCCGATTCGGGTCCTCAGCTCCCACAGGAAAGGGCCTGGCATGTGGAAGAATTCCAATAGATTCTTCTTTCGGATGAGCATCATGTTGATAGTATGCATTGATGATGGCACATGCATACTAGCTCTATTATGACCAGGGATTAGTTATCTTTTGGTATTCTGTTGTTTTGCTATAAATAAACGTCATATAGAGAACTCTGTATAGGCAGCCACAAATTCCATATTTGCTTAACGATATCCCATATGTGGTAGCATGTTTTGTCAACAAATTGCTCGAATTGTTGATTGAAGATACATGAGTCGAAAAGATGTAGTAGGAACTTGTCATGGCAGGGAACGAGGGGGAGAGACTAGACCTATTGGTGTATAGCTCAATATGTGGTTGAAAAAAAGGTCGTGACATTGATCTATTGATGTAAGTTGTCTATTTATACTATCAATAAAGAGGTCGGCTAGTTGAGGAAAGATACATTGCCTACTAACTATATAACTCCTCAGTTTTGCCCGCGAGTTTTGGGCTGGCAATCGAAATTGTAGTCGAAACATGGGTAATCAGATCTGAGGCTATGAGTATTCGATGACTATGACCCATTAGTGTTAATCATATCAGCTGTGTCAAATATAGAGAAAACTTCATGAGGGCGCACCACATAGCATATACATACATGTATGAGACCTTAGTATCGGAAGCAGCCGGAATAAGGACGAGCACTGTCATGCAGAAAAGATATGTCATAAGTAGATTATAGCCACTAAAGCCCAGCGATGAAATAAGCCAACAGGGACATCCTGGATCCAGGCAATTCAAGGATTGCATACGGGCACTAAATTGCTGAATGGTGAGAGTGAATTGTGTCAGGTTAAATTCAGCTCCACCACTATTGTTGTGAACACCATGTCTCATAAACTCGAGTGACTGCCGGGTGATCTGCGTTCATGAGTAATGTGCATAGCACCGCAGGATATGGCCAATCATCGATCAATTTCGAAGACTTCAATGCATGGATCTTCTACGTTTTGTAGACACAGGCGATGGCGCCATAGAGCAATTGAGCAACAAGCAAACCACGATGATGGCTTAAATCAATCACGACTAAAGAGAACACAGTTTACTGGTATGAAGTGACTCAGGGAGTAGAGAAATTGGTCCCTGTTCCTAGCCCTTCATGCTTCTGTTTATTGGCATGACTTGGTTATTTATAAACAAACTTGTAGTATGGTCTTTCCTTGCAGAAAGCTCACCAGAGGGCAAATGAGGCGGAATAAGTAGGACGACTCGAGGGACAGAAGGAGGAGAGGAGGGAAGGCGAGAAAGTTGGAGCGAGTGACTCTGTAGACTCCCTGTGAGCCTGCTGCCCATCACGTGTCCCCATCCCTTCCTCGCCTTCAACAACATCGTGACGATGAAGTCTCCTCGGCTCCTCGCTCATCCCTGGCCTTATCTGCAGCCCTGGATTCTGCATCGCATCCTGCATTCTACTTGACCGCTCTGTCTCACTACGTGCGCCCACTTTAGCTTTGACAACCCGCGTTTTCCACGCGATGATGACGCTGAAATGCAATCGCGGCTTTTCTGAAGGAGTAAACCCGCCTTCTACTCTCACATACAGGGCTAACTATCAATCCCTAACTGGAAATAAGTTGCAATTGAATCTCGAGGATATTGCATACGACCTCCGATGACTAACACTTAACAGGAGAATAGGGGCAAACTATTGGGATTGCGAAGGTCCAATGGCCGTGGATGCAAATTTAGTCTGCATTCCTCAAGGACAGCTCCCCATATCAGGCAGTGACAACAAACATCACAGACCCTATTCCTACCAATTCCCTTTTCTGTTAGTGGGCATGCCTCGGAATCGCCCATTCCAACCCCTCGGTCCTCCGCGTTCACGCGCGAGGCCATTCTCCCAGCATATACATCCTTTTAGTCGGCCTTGGCCCATTGTTTTGCTTCTCTTCCATTGTTTCCCCCGTCACGTTCACCACCCACATGTTCTTTATGGGCTGCACCTACTGTTCTTTCCGATACATCAGTTTTCATCATCTCTAACCTCTCGAACCACTGGATGCTTGGCGAGTCTTGTTAACAGAAGCCGTAGCGCAGCTGGTTCCAGCTACTCTCGACGCGGTCCATCATGTTCAACCGTTCAATAGCCTCCCCAAAAGGAGGCGTTTGGACCAAAGTAGTGATATTCATCTCGTTATATGTCATGCTCTTCGACTCGTTCATTGAATGGGCCATCGTGCTGTACCTGTATGGGATCCGCCGTGTGGACTCAAAGATGACCCCGAGCTTGGTCCTGGCTCTTGTTGCGGTAAGCCTCTGCCTTGACTTGGCCGGCTGGTAAAGACACTGACGGATACTAGTCATTCTTCACTGTTCCTCTTGTCGCTCTCCACAGCCTCCTTGCCTGGCAATACAACAAGGTTGTAGGGTTCGCGAGTCAGAAAGCTTTGCTGAATGCCGCTTGTACCTACATCCTCCGACTTACGATACTCATTTGGATCGCTGCCAGTGCAGCAGGATTGGTGTTGGTTTCGCAGCAGGTGTACTGCCTGGCTGATGACGGTGGTGGTGACTTCTGGAAGATCGGTATTAGCTGCGCGCTTCAAAGGGCTTCTGTCATTGTTTCGATTATATCATTGTAGGTCTGCTGGCCCAAGTTTCCGATATGTTTACTGACTCGCGACAGCGTGACCGTGTGTCTTTTCTTCTGCTCAAGAGAACTTTGCGAGCGTCCGTACGACATATCTCTTCTCGGTGTATACAAGCCACAATTATCGTCATACGATGACAAGATGTCTGCCAGCTCAACTATGGGAAGCCACGTCAGTCTGGAAAATGACATCTATCACGTTTGCCGCCGGCCTGATGTGACATTTGGGCGCGACCTGTACCTGTCATCAAGCAGCAACTCCATATGTAAAGCTGGTAGTATTGAACACCCTGCATCCGTATATGAGAAACCCCATTTAAAGCTCGACACAAAATGTGAAGCAGAGACCTCAGGGATATACTCTGGAACTACGCTCTCGGTCGATGGCACGCCATCCAAAAATTCTTCCAGGGATGGAACAAACTCCGATGTCAGTTCGAATGCCTCAACTACACCCCCCAAAGCCGCGTTAAGGGCTCCTTTCGACTCTTATCGCCCGGCTGAACTGGCAGAACTACCGGGATCTCCGCAAATCAAAAATCAAAGGCACCAGGCCTCTGGATCCCCGTTCTTCCGACTCCTTCCTAAGGTTTTCGCAAGTCAGATCTCGTTGTCATCGGACCCTGACATCCTTGCTCTCGCTGGTCCTGATTCTGGTACGGATGTTGAGCAACCAGCAGAGGAGAAGTCAACAGAGATGATCGAGCCACCGCCAACTCCCAAAAGGGAATATGCCCCTGGACACCCGCTCGCATCTTCCCCTGTGGAGCTTCCATTCCCATCCTCTCCTCCAGTGGAGAGGTCTATGTTTGCCATGACGAACAGTAACCCTGAGCTTAAGTCGAGTCGGTCCGAAGGAAGCACGCTTCCACGATCAATATCAAGCAGCTCCGCTGATGCCCCCGAAGTTGTCGCGCCAGAGCCACTTAGAATTCAGAGATCCAATACCTCACACACAGCTCCAATTACTAGCCAGTACAACTTCTCTCGGCCAAAACCCCCGGCTGTACCTCCGATCCCGCCACGACAGCCAAATCACAGCTACCAAGGCTCTCTATTGCAGCACGGACGATCCAGACGCCAAAACTCGATTCGTTCGAGCGGACGACGAAGCCAAGTCTACCGTTTTGAAGCCTGCCAGATACCGCGGCACACACAAAGCCAATATCATCCCCAGCAAAGCCGCTACACTCGTCGATCGTACTTTGATACCCACCGTCGAATGCCCTCACGGCGGCGTCGAAATGACGTCGAAATCGTGTACTCTAGCACCCGGCGCCCTCGCAGCAACACCTGTGGAGGATTCGGCACAACATCCAGTCTAGACTGTATCCGCGAGTCTGGGGCCTCCGTTGATGAACCGGAAGATATTTTCGCGGATGGAAACACGTATAGAGGCACTACTCGAACTGCTAGTGCCCACGGCATGTACGCATTTTGAGTGAAGTCTGCGGGTCGGACTGGCTATGATCGAATCTGTTCCATTATCACGTTCTTATTGGCTCATGATTGATATAAACTGTATACTAGCACGCTTCTTTTCCTTTGTTTACCTTTCTTGCCATATACTATTGGATTGAATACTATTATGATTTTTATTATTCGTTTGCTAGTTCTTCCCTTTTCAGTTGTCACAGCTTGGCTTAGTTGAACAGATAAGTAGGGTCAAATTAACTACCGTCTAATGTACGTCTCGACACCAACCATAAAAACAAACCCAAACGCCACAGGACAAGAACTAGAGCCATACCCCCTATACAGCACAGGAGAACACCAGCCCCCCAGCCAACCATTTCTTAAATGTATATACCCGAGACACCATAAGAGACCCCAGTCTTAGATAGTTATGCCGCAATCCCACGTAATTCTCATGTAGGTAGGCCAAACGAACAGACAGACAGACAAACAAACATTCAAACGGATACGCGCAAGGGCGATCAGCACCAGAACCATAGAGTCCTCAAACTGCTCAAGCCCTCTTCGACCCCGATCGAGACTGCGACTTCGACTTGATCTCCCCATCCACCCCATTGGCAAACTTATACCGATACGCCTGCCTCTTTCTCCCCTTCTCATCTACATTCGCATTCTCCTTATTCTCCTTCTCCTTGATACTGCCCATCTCCTTCTCACCCCACGACCACATCAAAGCACGACTCATCCTCTCACGCTCCTTCAGTAGGAGATCCACGCGCCGCTGCCACTCCTTTTCGCGCTTCTCGACGGACCGCGCGATGCGTTCGTCAACTGCAGCGGCGGTTTCGTCCTTCGTGGCGATGATGGATTCAAGGTGCTCGATTTTGGTTTTCTGCGCGCGGAGTTCCGTTTGATGCCGGTCGCGGAGGGTGAGGATGTGGGCTTTTAGCTTGGTTTCACGGTTGGAGCTGCTGTTGAGGAGGGTTTGGAGGTTGGTGTTGGTGGCGCGGAGGGTGGTGAGTTCGCTCTCGAGAGTCTGAATCTGGGTTGTGGATGTGGATGTAGATTGGTGTTGGTGGTGGGTGTTTGTTGGAGGGGATGGAGGTGGGCTGGGTTGCTGTTGTTGCTGTTGTTGCTGTTGTTGCTGCTGCTGCTGCTGCTGTTGGGCGGCCTTTTGGATGTCCTCTTGTTCCTTTTTGAGACGAGTGATGGTTTCCAGAGCACGCGTGCGTTCTTCGTTGGCTTGGGATAGCTCTTGTTGGGCTCTGTCGAGGGAGGATTTGAGCTCGTCGGCGCGTTTGGTTAGGCGCGTGTTTTCGGTTTCAATGGAGTGGATAAGGGTTTGTGCTTCTGTGGCTTGGTCTTGCGAGCGGGTCAGTTGTAGCTCGAGGGCTGTTTTCGCCGAGGTAGCTTCGGCTAGTTCGGTTTGGAGCTTTAATAATTCTTCATGAAAGTGTTTGAGTTCGAAGTCTTGGGACGTATCTTGGTCCTGAGGGACTTTGTCCTTGGCGAAGGGGTCTGGCGTGCGTCGGATGCTGGGCTGGCCGAGGTCTTTGATCAATTCAAGGATCTCAGTGTAGGTGTTGCCCGTCTCGAGCGGGAGATCCGCTGCCATGGCCTTGAGGGCATTTTCTTGCGCAGTGACTTGCGATTGCGCGCGGGTCAAGTCGGCTTCCAGCGTGCTGTTCTTCTCTTCTAATGGGCGGTTCTTGGTTTCCAGAGAGGCGATTCTTTCCTCGAGAGTCTCGTATGCCTGGTTGGCACGGTCAAGCTCCCCCTCCAGCTTCTCGACCTCTAGCAGATGGTCACTGACCTGGGCTTTGAGGCCATCGATTTCGCTATTCTTCTCCCGAAGTTGCTGCTCCTTGGCGGTCGTGACCTCCTTCAGCTTGACCATTGTCTCGTCCAAGGTCGCATCGCGCTTTCGCAGTTGCTCCTGAGCCAAGTCCACTTGCTGACGCAGATAGGCGATTGTTTCTAGACGCTCTGTGTCAATATCGGGGTGCGAGCCTCGATTCTGCAGCTCCTTCTGCATGTCGCTCATCTGCTTTTGAAGAGTACCCAGCTCGGACGCGTTCATGGTAGACTTCTGGAGGAAGGACTCTTTCTCCTGGTTTTGTTTCTGTAGCAGCTGGATTTGCTCACGCAGGAGTGTCTCGTCGCTGCGTTTAGCGTAAAGTTCCTCGAGCAGCTCCGACTTTCTCTGCAGCTCCCCTTGTAGGTGCTTGATTTGCTCTCCCGCAGAAGCCGCCTCCAAGACACGCCTGTGGTTCCTTTCAAGTTGTTCATCGCGTTCGCGCAGCGCATCCTTGAGCTCCGCAATCTGCCGGCGCAGATCCTCGGTCACGTCCTTCTCGTTCTTACTAGATGTGCGCTTGTGCTTGCGAACGGAGGGTGTAGTCGTAGTCGCTTCTATCTCGTCATCCGGGTCTTCTTCAATATTCTCAAGATGGGTTATATCTTTCCCGAGTCCGCCGGCCCGACGCAGCAGATGCGACGGGGTAGACATGTCGACAGGCGGTCCGAATTCACTGTATTCGCCGAGCTCCGGCTCATCCTCAACAGCTGGTTGGTGCAATTGAGAGTTGTTCTGGGAATCTTCCTGCTGCTGTGGTTGTTTCACTTCTTGTCTTTGAAGCTGTGGCTGGGATTGAGGCTGGGGAAGCTCGTCCTGCAGTTCCGGCTCGGGTTCTGACTCGTGCTCGGCATCGGAATGGGGCTCTGGCTCGAATAAGTCGCGCTCCATGTTGTCTATACTAAAATGCTTATGATCCATGGTATCATCCTCCCCCATGAGGTACTTCTCCAAATTGGCAGTAAAGTCATCTGGTCCACCAACATCGGACAAGTTGTCCTCATGTGGCAGTCTCAGATCCTCCAGGGGCTCCTCATCCAGCGCGTGGTTACTCGGAAACTGACTGAAGTCGACTGTGTACTGCGCCAGACGGGCATCGATCTCGTTCGCGGCGCGCTCGAGCGAGGACGCTCTGGAGGATTTGGGGGAGCGGCGTTGCGGCGAACGCGCGTCGTCGAGGTCTGCGCCGGTCGCGCCGCGCGAACTATAGCGGAAGCTTCTGGTGCTGACCGGAGAATAGCTCTCTCCTTGATCAGGATGAGATGGCGGTGACGAAGGCATGAAGAGGGGGGTGGCCAGCGTGGACGCGCCGACGGTATCATGGGAAGTCGTGTCCATGATGGCGGAAACGATTGGGATTGTTTATTGATCAGGATAACATATGCGATAAGATCGGTCACAACTTCACGTCCCAATCAGGCACATCATCGATTCTTCGGAGATTAGGGGGTGGATAAATGAGCCGATAAGGATAGGCAATTCAGAGGGAAAATGCGCGTCACTTAACTAGTTAATTGCTCTGTCTGAATGGAAGAAAGAGTGGAAGATGGATGGAGGATCCCGTAACATGGCAGCCCCAGGCAGGCAGGCACCGCAATTGGCCCGTCTTTGCTGGCCTGCATCCTCAGGCAGAAAGAGCCACGAATGCCCAATAAGGACTAGCGCGATCTCGGCAGCTCCGCATTGGGATCCACCGAGCTATATTTACTAGCAACTAGATAGAGATGAAGGAGACTGGTATTGGCCTCAGTCTCAAGAAAATTTAGAAGGGATTGAAAGAGATGAGTTCTAGTAAAGTAAATGCTGAGATACATTCCTAGGGGAGTATGCTCGGCGTCGTAGAGTTGATGAGTTGAGTCGCGGAGCTTCCTGAATTGCTTCAATCTACGGTTTACACAGAAGTAAACCTCAAGCTTGTCCATGCCTTTCGCCCAGAGTGTAGTACCAACCCGGCAGACGGTGTCAAAGAGCCTAGCATATATGATTTTTGTTTCGTTATGCAAGTGTATCAAAAGCTCAAAGTGATCAGTTGGTGATTCGATTCGGTGTTGATCGCCAACCAAAGCCCGTGATGCTGACATAATCACATAGAAGAAAGTGACACAGAAAGAGTCTCCAACAAAACGCATGATTGAAGTCAGACCTCTTCAGTCTGGTATCACTGCATATGCTTACCATGAGGGGTTGTTATGCAGCCATTTGATCTCTTCCCTATTTGGCTGCAGGTCGGGTTTCACATCCATTCAAACTGATAGGCGAGAACTGAACGGCTAATCAGTGGGCCATTCATTGACGGATTACGCATGGCTCCCATTCCCCGCTGAAACCGTCAGAGAGCGCCATTGCGCGCATCCTACACCATCCTGCTCTCCTTCCATACCAGCAAGTGATTCGACTATCCTTTTGACGGCCAACCTGGAAGATGCCCCCCGTGTCCCCGCAACCCGAGCGCCCTCGGGTGATCCTCTATCACCAAACGATCTGTCCTGATGGCCAGTACTGCTCCATGCTGCCGCTGTTGGACAACAACACCGGCGTCACGCACATCATTCTGGCCGCTTTTCACCTCAATGCCGATCCACAGCACATCACTCTTAACAATGACCCCCCTCATATGCCGCTGTATGAACCGCTGTGGGCCGAAGTGCCCGCCGTGAAGCAAAGCGGGGTTCGTGTCATGGGACTCCTGGGAGGCGCGGCGCAGGGCTCGTTCCGCTGCCTGGATGGTAACGAGGAGAAATTTGAACTATACTACCAACCCTTGCGGGACATGGTGCGGCGCCACCAGCTGGACGGGCTGGATCTGGACGTGGAGGAGGAGATGTCGTTGTCGGGCATTATCCGGCTGATCGACCGGCTCAAGCTCGACATGGGCGACGACTTCATCATCACGTTGGCTCCAGTGGCGGCGGCCATGTTGGGCATGGGCAATCTGTCCGGTTTCGACTATCGCGAGCTAGAGCGACAGCGAGCCTCGAAGATTAGCTGGTACAACACACAGTTTTATAATGGTTGGGGCAACCCAGAGGACCCTCGGATGTATGCTGCCATGGTTGCACAGGGCTGGGCCCCGAACCGGGTGGTGTACGGCCTGTTGACGAATCCCGGGAATGGATCGCAGGGCTATGTACCACTGGAGAAGATCGGGCCGATTCTAGGTCTGCTGGTTGAACGCTTCCCCAACTTCGGAGGCGTGATGGGTTGGGAGTACTTCAACTCGAAACCGGGAGACCGAGATGCGCCCTGGCAGTGGGCGGCGGCGATGAGCTTGAGCATGCATATGAAGGAGGTGCTACACGTTGCGCGCATGATGCGCTCGGGGCCAATGGCCAACAGCTTGATGAATTTACTTCGGGACATGATGCAGCAGCGATAAATACATAACTTGCAAACTTACGCATCTTGCATATATAGCTAGTATAGAGAATTGAGAATAACAACTGACTTATGCATGACTTGGTGGTGGTTGATGTTGTTTTGGGTTGGCGAAGATGTCGTCATTGCTGCGGCGCCTCATCCGTTCCGCCTTTTCGGATTAATCAGTTGATCTACTCGACTAACGTGTGAATTGCTTCTTCTTCTCCTCCCTTAACTACCTCTCTCCTTCTCTTTCTCATCTGCCTCTCTGGAAGAGCTGCGTGAGCTAGTGATGATCAATTCCCATTCATCCGCGTAGATCGTGTCGACAGCTTCTCGACGCCATGGTGTCTGTTCCCCGCGTAGCTGCTGCTACGAGCTCCGCGGCCCTCCGAGTGACGGCCTTCTTCTTTCTCCGCTGGGTGCGTTGACCGTTCCTCATGGCCTACAAGATCATGGTAGCTAATTGGGACTGTATAGATTCCCGGCCATCACTTCCCACCCCTCATAGTCACATTGTTGGCTGTGTACCTAGCTTCATTGGTGTCGCTTGGCCGGCCGGCCGACCAGAGCAATGCCGATCGGCGCAAGGGCAATATCGATGCTCAGCATGCTTCCAGTAAGTAGGCTCGATATGAGCAGATTCTACAACCGTCAAAGGCACACAGAGTAACTTGCTATAGGATCCCCGCCGCCAACCGAAGGCGTCCTCAAGGTTCTGCTGACTGGGCTGCCGTCCCCCCGACTACCGTTGTCCACGCGTTTGACCGTCCTGATCAACATTGTCCTCGCTCTCCTCACCCTAGACTTCGTGGGACGAGGCTTCATTCTCTATCCCAGCAATGATCTTGCTTTCTCTCGTATCGGTTACGTCTCTCCGACTACCGCGAATTTGCTGGTCCGTGAACCGGACCCGGCTCAGCTACCTTTGATCGTATACTATCAGCCAACGGAGGAGGACCCCTCACGATGGACAGAAGAAGGCGTGATTTACTCACTGACGGATGCGACGGACTTTACAACCACCGTAACTATCAAGAACTTGGAGCCATCATCCGCGTACCGCTATTCTCTATCCAACAATCTGACGGGCTCTTTCGTCACCGCGCCAATGCCAGGCTCAAAATCAGCCAACCGTCTGAGCTTCCTCACATCGAGCTGCATGAAGGCGAATTTTCCCTACAACCCCCTATCACATCCACTACGTATCCCGGGACTTGAGATGATGACAGAGACGGTCAACCGGCTGCCGTCTCTGCTCCGACCAGCGTTCATGTTGTTCCTGGGTGATTTCATCTATGTCGATGTGCCTCAGCGCTTTGGTTCCTCCATCTCTCACTACCGCAGTGAGTACCGCCGGGTCTATTCATCCCCATCATGGAACAAAGCGCAAGATGGTCTCCCTTGGATTCATACGCTCGATGACCACGAGATCGAGAATGATTGGTCCAAGGGAAACACAACCGCGCCATATCCCGCCGCCGCGGAGCCCTACATCCATTACCACGTCAGCGCGAACCCTCCCATCCCGCCAACTCCCTTTGCTAAGCCCGAAAACACCACCTACTTCTCGTTCATCAATGGCCCGGCTTCATTCTTCATGGTGGACACGCGCACCTATCGCTCCGAGCCCGCCCAGCCCAACTCCACCATCCTCGGCTCCGCACAGCTCCAGTCTCTCCTTGCCTTCCTCTCCCGTCCTGAACCGGCCGAAGTCCGCTGGAAGATCGTAGCCTCCAGCGTTCCCTTCACCAAGAACTGGCATGTCGGCACCACCGACACATGGGGTGGATTCCTCAGCGAACGTCGCACTGTCTTCGAAGCCATGTGGCGCGCAGAGCGCGAGCTAGGCGTCCGCATCGTCCTCCTCAGCGGGGACCGTCACGAATTCGGAGCCACCCGCTTCCCAGACCCTGAACTCGACCTCACCCACGAAGAGCTCCTCCCAAACACAGCAGGCGAGGGACTGCATGAGTTCTGCGTCGGCCCCCTCAACATGTTCTACCTCCCCATCCGGACTTACCGCCAAGACGACAACGAAGACGTTGCCATCAAATACATCCCCGATGGGAACACCAAGTACGGCCTCATCGACATTGACGTCCAAGATGAGCTCATCACCACTCCCACCGGGAAGACCATCTCCGTCCCCAGCTCCGTCTTCACTTACTCCCTGTACGTCAACACCGATTTGATCTGGAAATATTCCCTTGCTGTTCCTCTACCTGGCCACGAGGCTGCGGTCGCCTCCGCGTCGACTTGGAAACACCCTCGCTTCCCACCGGGTAAGCTCCTCCTGGATGATCGCGAGCAAGTTACGTGGGATGCATCTATCAAGACGGTGATTGGCCGCGTTGAGGAAACGGTAGGTCGAGTGCGTTCGTATGTATTGGGGCAGGCCTATGAATTATTGGATAGAGTTAGACGGGTGGAGAGGGTGGATTGATCCTGATTGGTATCGGTATCAGTCTTGGTGTTGGATCAGTTGATCTAACTATTAATTTATTCCTCGCGTCTCTTTTGGTAATAATCGCATTGTCGTTCTCAAGATAGTTTAATTCGAACAGTAAACTTTGTATGACATATACTTTCTACATGCATATATGTGTAGGTTACAGAAGTTTAATGGGTTGAGACAACTCCTAAGGAAGCAGACACGGGAACTGAGTGAACTGGTTCGGAGTGAGTAGAGCTATGAGCACTACCTCTAGATGGGTAATCAAGGTATTAGTGGTACCTACTGGTATTTGCAATCACAATCAACCTAGACACTATAGATGTATTTTCCCAGTCTAATAATTAGTATATCATATGGAAAGAATGAAAGATGAGCTTTGATAGCATAGATTTGATGCCCCAGAGGGCCAGTCGGATATTAGCAAAGAGGCAAGCACAAGTAAAAAATAAAGTCACGCCCAACACCATCATATGCTAGTTACAATCGACGAATGAGGTGAATGATGACTGAACTGAAGTAAGGCCATATATCCCAGTCTCTTAAGAATCAAACGTAACAAAGAGACGGAGCACAGGTGTAGAATATAATCATGGAATGGTAACAACGCGAAAACAAAAGTCAAGAAGGAATTTCAGAATGCGTGCATCATCGTCATCATCACAATCACCGTCCTCTACCGCGGCCACCACCACCACCGCCACCGCCCATCAATCCACTCATCTGGCTCATCATACTTTGTAGGTCCATACCACCCAGGCCGGGCAGACCACCACCGCCGCCACCTCCTTGACCCTGCAGCATTTGCATCATCTTGGCCATGTCGCCCATGCCGGGCATACCGGGGAATCCACCACCGCCAGCACCACCCATGGCGGCCATGCGCTTCTGCATGGCGGCGAGCTGCTGTTCCTTGTTACCGCCCTTGAGCATGTTCTGGGCACGCTGCATCTGCTTCTTCTGTCCGCCGACGCGCTTGGCCATACCAGCCATCATGCGGTGCTGGGAGAGCAGGTCTTCGACTTCGCGGACGGTGGTACCGCTTCCGCAAGCGATCCGGACCATGCGGCTAGGCTGTTCGACGAACATCTTGCCGTCGCCGTCGAGTTCGGCGGCCGTCATGCTGTCGAAAATGTAGATCATGCGGCGGAGCTTCATGGAGCCGTCTTCGTCATCAAGTCCCGCAGTCAGGTTGGAGAGACCGGGAATCATGCCGGAGAGCTTGGAGAGAGGACCCATCTTCATGATGGAGGTGATGTTCTCGCGGAAGTCGCGCAGCGTGTAAATACCTTCTGAGATGTGCTTGTATGTTTCCTTGGCGGAGGCCGAGTCCTTGGTCACGGCTTGTACGTGCTCTACCAGTCCGGCCATATCACCCATACCCAGGAGCTTCTGGATGAAGGCCTTGGGCTCGAAACGTTCCAGATCCATCAAGTGCTCACCGGTACCGAGGTAGATAATGGGAGTGTGTGTGGCGGCGACGGCGGAAATAGCACCACCACCTGCGGCGTGACCATCCGTCTTAGTGATGATGATGGCTCCGAAGTCTGCGGTGGCCTTGAAGGCGGAGGACTGGGCTTCGGCAGCCTGACCGATGGTGCTGTCGAGGACGAGGATGGTCTGGTCGGGGGTGACGGCGGTCTGAATCTGGGTCATTTCGGTGAAGAGCTCTTCTTCCTGCTTATGACGACCACTGGTATCGACAATGATGATTTCGAAACGCTCCTTCTTGAACTTGGCCACACCCTCGGCTGCCACGATGGCGGGGTCGGTTTGCGTCAGGCTACCGTAGTAGGGGATCTTGGCCTTGGTGGCATTCTGTTTCAGCTGGTCGAAAGCACCAGCTCGGAAGGTATCGGCACAGACGAGGGCGGTCTTGAAGCCGCGCATCTGGTAGTGGCGGGCCAGCTTGGTACAGGTGGTGGTTTTACCGGCACCCTGCAGACCGACGAACATGATCACGTTGGAGCGGCCCTTCTTGGGACGGAATGGCTCCGCATGGGGATCAACCAGGGAAACCAGCTCATCGAAGACGGCCTTCTGAATCAAACGCTTCTTGTTCACGGCGGGAGGAAGAGAGGCAAAGTTGACGCTAGACTTGATGGATTTGCGGAGGGACTGGACCAGGCGGACGTTGACGTCGGCGGACAGCAAGGCGGCGCAGATCTCTTTGATCATGTCATCAAAGGCCTGCTAGCAGTCAGTACATACATCAGACAGAGAGAAAAATGCTGTTCCTCACCTTCTCGTCCAAATTGTTAGAGCGAGTCAGGTCATTGACGGCGGCGTTGATTCGCCGCCCGAGATCCTGAAGGACCATGGCGGGAGAGTTCTTGTCGAAAGGGGGTAAATCAAATTAAAGCATGTACAGATTAAAATATGCGTCACTTGCTGCCAGAAATCGTGAAAGGTGGCAGAGAGGACAGGAGAAAACGAATGGAGGATGCAGCGAGATGGATGAATCGATGGACTGAGAGGCCAACTGCGCGGGCGAAGCGATGCGGAGAGCCCCGCGGCCAATCACAGCCACGCGTTGCTGGCCGCCCGCGAGGGACCCAAAAATTGCTGGGAAAAAAAGTTCGGGATACAATGCAAGTTCATTGCATTTTCCACTCCATATCTTCTCCCACATTCGAATCAAAGTCAGATTTCTTTTAGTCAATTCTGAGGTTGTCAACATCTACTGTCACAATGCCTCCCCACATGAAAAAGCGCAAGGTTCTCGAGTCGTTGCAGGCCGGCCCTAAGAAGAAGTTCAGAAAGCAGCGCGAATACCACAGCAGCTCCGAAGAAGAGTCCGAAGACGATGAACCTACCGATTTCAAGGCTGTCAGCTTGGCGGACTCTGACGCTGAAGATGAAGTCCAAGTGAAGAAGCCCAAGAAGCAGACCAAGTCGATTGGCGCCTCTACGAAGAGAAAAGCGGAGGAGAAAGACGAAAGCTCCGACGAGGTAGCCGACGATGACGAGGACGACGAGGAGGATGGTGATGTTGAGTCTGAAATCGACTCTGAAGGATCCGACGATGAAGAAGGTGCCGACTCCGATACTTCTGCACCTGCGACAACGGGTCGCAGAGCTGTCTCTAAGCGCAATGATCCCTCGGCCTTCTCTACCTCTATCGCAAAAATTCTGTCCACCAAACTCCCCACATCCGTTCGAGACGATCCCGTGCTGGCGCGCAGCAAAGCCGCTGCCCAGAAGAGCACCGACGTTGCAGAGGAGAAGCTGGATCGGCAAGCGCGGGCCAAGCTTCGTGCGGAGAAGAAGGAAGAGCTGGACCGTGGTCGTATTCGCGATGTCATGGGTCTTCAGCGTGGTCAGGCGGGTGCGGTTGCGGAGGAGGAGAAGCGTCTGCGCAAGATTGCCCAGCGTGGTGTGGTGAAGCTGTTCAATGCCGTCCGCGCCGCCCAGGTGCGCGGAGAGGAAGCAGCCAAGGCAGAGCGCAAGAAGGGTACCGTTGGTATTGACGAGCGCGAGAAGGCCGTGAACGAAGTCAGCAAGCAGGGATTCTTGGACTTGATCAGCGGGAAGAAGGGCAAGGCGTTGAAGATTGAGGAGGCTTAAGGATATATTACGAGAAGTTTCTGTTCGCTGTTCAAGACCTGGCATACCTTGGGCGTTTGAGGGGTTGCTCTACTGTTGTTCTGTTTCGTTTTTATCTCAAGTGTTTGGATTAAAAGTGATATGCTATTTACAGGTACTTTCATGCCAAAATGTGAATGGAGATCGGTATACCCAATAGAGACACGTTCGTTTGCAAACCAATGAGCCCACAATAACCATAGATAGACCTGGAACCCCTCCCCAGTGTATGCGCTTGGATAATCATACAGTCCTTTACCCACCCCCGGGCGCCTCTCGTATATACTCGTACAAAGCTCTCTCATTTCTTGGGCTCGAAGTCGCTTGCCTGCAAGTTCCGAGTCATCGACGGCAGCCGGACCACGAGGCCATCGAGGTCCTTGCTCATGGCCACTTGACAACCCAACCGGGAGGTCTCTGTCAGACCGAACGCCAGATCCAGCATGTCGTTCTCGTCGTCCGACGGCTCTTCCATCTTGTCGAACATGTCCGGGTCCTCGACGATCACATGGCAAGTCGAGCAGGCGCAAGAACCACCACAGGCACCTAAAGTATTCCAGCGTCCGTTAGTCACGATAGCCCTGGGATTCCGCGTATCTCCCGATAACTGGCATTACACACCTTCCATCTCGATGTCATTTGCCTGTGCGATGTCTAGCAGGTTGTCACCCTCGGAGACCTGGAGTTCAATCTTCACGCCGTCCTTGTCGATGAAAGTCACGTTGATCCTGCGCATCAAGAATCAGCATGGGTAGTATACGAAGCCAGCGTCCGCAATGACTCACTCCTCCCCGGGCTTTGGCGGCGTGATATGGCCGTGCTGAGCACCGGCCGTGACGGAAAAGCTGCGACGAGCCATCCATGACTGTTGGCTCAGGAAGTTCCTCCGGGCATTGATGGGGAGTCGACTTGAGGCAATCACTCGCGGTGTCTGAGTCGAGTAAGAAGAAGTGAGGAATCTCTTGGATTGGGCGCGACCGATGCTGTTCCCGGACTTGGGGACGGCATGACGCAGGTTCAGGCACGCTTCTTTCCAGAACGACATGGCGGAGGGATGCTGGGTAAAGACCGAGAGGAGGAAGGGAAATTAGAGGAATAATAAAAGATACTTTTAGAGAACGCAATGCGAGGGGAGAGGAGAGGGGAGGAGAGGAGAGGAGAAGCCGACCAGCAGAAGTGGAGAGGAAGAGAGAGCAACAGAGCGAATCCTGGGGCACGAAAAAAAGGCGAGGCCGAACAGCGGCGGGAAATTCGGGCTTCTTCATTCGTCGGCTTTGCTTTTTTCGCCTTCTTCTCCGAATTGCAAGCTTCAATCTGCTGCTGCTCCTTCTTTCTTTTCCCCCCTCCTCTTAACCGTCTTATCCCCGAACAAACTAACTAATTTCCCCCTTCTTCTCCCTCTCTTAATCTTCTATATCTATCATGGCTGCCCCGCTGGATGGGCCAAATCCCCTCCGTCCTTACTACATCCCTCCCCCCATCGGTCTGGACGCCTCCAACGTCTCCTCCCCTCCCGATGCGTCATCGTCAACTCAAGTGTTTGGTGGTTCGGCGCGCGATCTTCTGCCCGACTTGGACTACTCCGATTACCTCGACAACTCCCCTTCGCTGTCCAGCTGGATTCGCGATGCCTTGGACGAAGCACTCCGGCGCTACCTTGGTGTGCTAACCGCTCAGCCCTTCGATGTCGCCAAAACCATTCTACAGACCTATGTGGCCCCCGATGATTCTGCGGAGGGACAATGGGCGATGCATGATCGCCGGAGCTCCGGGCTGGACAGTCAGGTTGACTCCTACGATGAAGATGTGTGTATACGACAAGAACAATTGCAATGAGGGGAAGCAGATAGCTAACAATATGCCTTTTGTGCTTCTCAGGAATCCCTCTCCTCCGACGATGAGAGCAGCTACTTCACATCGGCAGCTCCCGCAGTGCCAACACCGTCCACTCCCCGATCCCGGAAGCCTCGACGCCATATCACCGACCGGAGCGGCTATATCCCGCCCCAGACCTCCTCGTCTCGATATGCATTGGCCATCAAGAACCCCTCCTCCTTGATGGAGGTGCTGGGCCAGCTCTGGACCACCAGCGGGCCTTCGTCGCCCTGGAAAGCGACCAACGCGACCTTCATCTATTCCCTGCTGCTTCCCACCTTGAATACCTTCATCCGCAGTCTGCTTTCCGCCATTGTAGGCTTGCCAGAGGAAGATGTTACTTCTTCCTTGACCGCAGACATTCTCACGTCAACCGCCCCGGTCGCGACGTTGATCCTGTCCTTCATCTCTTCGTCGCTGTCGGCGATGCTCCTCTCTCCCATTGACACTGCACGCACATTCCTCATCCTCACACCGGCCACTCACGGTCCCCGCTCGCTTCTGCGGGCCCTTCGCCAGATCCCGACACCCAACTGCACCATTCCCCCTCACTTGATCCCGATCACCATTCTTCACTCCAGTCTCCCCAACTTCATTATCAACACCACTCCCCTGGTCTTGAAGTCATACCTCTCCATTGATCCCGTGCTCAACCCGTCGGCATGGGGTCTTTTCACCTTCCTGGGCTCGGGCCTGGAGCTCGCAGTCCGGTTCCCTCTTGAAACCGTCCTCCGTCGCGCGCAAATCGCAACGTTCACCTCCCCCAGCCTTCGGCAGCAGTCCCGCGGTTCCATCCGCTCAGTATCATCCCCCACCACTGCGGAGCCTACGACGACTGAGGTTGAGACCATCGTGCCTACACCCCAAACCTACCGCGGCATCATCGGCACGATGTGGAGCATCGTCTACGAAGAGGGGGTGGCACCCGCGCCGGAGACTGATCGTGCGCGCCAGCTAATGAAGAAGCCTGTTGTGCAGCGGAAACGCCAGGGCCAGGGCATCAAGGGATTATACCGGGGCTGGCGCATTGGCATGTGGGGGATTGCCGGGATTTGGGGCGCCAGTCTTATGGGCAGCTTCAGTGTAACCGGCGAGGACGAGTCGATGGGCAGCGGAGGTCGCTTCTAGAGAAGCGGCACCGGGCCATCTCCCCCCTCCACCCAGATCTCCTCTCCTTTGAGCCTTACCCTCTCCTTTCATTCATTGTTCCTTTCCTTGTTTAATACCAATACCAACTGACGCTGCCATGGGATGTATTTTATTTTATCGTTTTAACTTGCAGTTGTCATATCTACGGAGCAAGCGGAATGGAATCGGCGTTGGAGCCTGTCGTCTTCTCAATTTATATATTGTCCTGTAGATCATACGAATGGATACTACCTTTTTGTCATTCACCATTATCTACACTACTAATTTCCACATCCGGAACAATTAGCACAACTGAAGATAATAAGTCGTAGTAGTAAATAACCCGAAATAGCCCACCCATTACTTTACTCAACCAAAACCCAGCTTATGCAACAAAATCCAAAAAGACTTAATACCACGAAATGATATATGTGGAAAGAGATAAATAGAAGTAAAAAAAACGCCATATCATTTATTTCATTTCACCCGGTCTAAATGTAATCATATGGAACGACCTTCAATTCGTCCCGTTCTCTAGACAGACATTCCTGGCAGTCCGGTCGTTATTATTTTAGCTCTTTTTGCTGATTTTCATATGAGTGAATTTTTGGGTTGTTGAGGTTCCAGTTCCCCTCCTTCATGGTCACTTCTTTTTTTGTGTGGGGTGGGTCGTAAGGGAAGGGTTCATAAATCCCTGGGCGGATGTTAGGGGAGGAGGTAGTAGATGGGAAGGGTGAGGGTATTATGGCAGAGGAGGGGGTGTCTCTCTCGTCCACGAGATGAGGGTAGGGGATGTGAGTGAGGTGTGTATATATAATACAAACTCAGACATGCCATGAGTCAGGGTTGGGTATCATGAGAAATAAAAGCAGAATCAACAAGGTGCCGAAAAGAAAAAGGTGGAAAGAAGAAAAAGGTAGAGTAACAGAATGCAGAGGAAGATCACTTGTCGGCGAATCTCCGATCAAAGTAGCGTAGCACACCCATGACACTGGCGGCTTCGACTTCCAATGCGGCTCGGGAGCCTGGTTGCATAACCTCCTTTTGGCTCTGACTAGGATTAGGCAGAGTGTGAAGTTTGGGAAGCCACGAAGAGATATCATCGCTGGCTCGAGAGAAGTTCGGGTGGCGGGAGAGGGTAGTGAAGGCGTCGGCACAGGAGAGAGTCAGGGATGGAGTCGCCGAGCGGCGCGAGCTGGAAGTCTGTGATTGTTGTTGAGTCGACCCGCTGCGTTGAGGGTTGGAGTTGCGCGACATGCAGCATCCACCATCGGCGCCTTTACCGCCGCAACATCCGGAGGGAGCAGCGCTGGCGGGGCGGGAGGCCGCCAGCGTCTTGCAAAAAAGGGTCCGCCTGGGATCGGCGAGACATTGGGCACAAGTACCCGGGCCGTTGGCGCAGGGATTTGTCGCTTGGCTAATGGGGGGGAGGGTCACCTCGGACCGCACATCGCCGTCGGAAGGGGGCGGCGTGAACTGCGACAAGTTCTGGATGGGTGCCAGGCGGTTGTTCTCGAACGAGTTGCGCCGCCGGCGCTCCTCTTCCTGGGCAGCCATTTCAGCACAAATGCATGGCGTGCCATCCTGGCAGAAACCACAAGGATCGACGGCGGGGGAGGAAACGTTAGTGACAGTGTCGTCCTGGACGTGATGAGGGGCCGCGAATCGCGTTGTGAAATCGATCTCCATCTCCTCTGGCTCGGGCTTGATTTCAGGCTCGGCACGAGACTGGCTCGAGTTCTCAGGACGCTTTGACTGGGCTGAAGTCCGCTCGATGCCGGGCATGCCACTAAAGGCGTCTTCAATACACTGACAGTGCACGTTCGAGCAGTTACTACAGCCCAGGGGCACCTCCTCCCGCTCCTCGTGCATGTTGTTCTCAACTGCCGCATGAGCTGCAGATGAGTCTCTGGGTATGCGTGTCAAGGGTGCCTTGTCGGAGCGAGAGGCATTCTTGTCGGACAACGAGGAGCGGAACTCCTTCACGAGGCTTTCCTTAGCGCTGCGCTCGACGGAGACCTCTTTTTCCAAAGCGTGGCAACGGTCACGCCACCAGGCCATTTCGCTCCGACATTGTTCGACCTCATGGGAAAGGTTCGAAATCTGTTCCTTGAGTTGCAACACATGGATCTCATGGTCGTCTTCAATCTTCTTGATCTGGTCCTCGAGTTCGTTGACGCGGGCTGCTCTACGCTCGCGGAAAGCTCTCTGGGCAGCTCGATTCTGCGCTTTGCGTTTCGTAGGAGGCGTGTCTGTGGCGGGCTTGCGGCCGGGCTTGGGACGAGGGGGAATCACCCATTCCTTGGAGGTGACGGAACCGGGTGTGCCCGGACCGGGAGACGGTGAGATGGCTGGCTTGGCGGCCAATGCGGGTGCCAACGGAGCTGGACCGGGCGCAGGGGCGAGTGAGGGAGCTGCTGGAGTGGCCATGATTTTCAGGGGACCTCTTTTTATTGTAAGAGGTGGCCTGGATCGTGGTCAGCAGTCATAATTTTTTCACCGCGAGGAGCGGGTTGCGGGAGGTGTTTGGGGGGGGAAGAAAACGGACCAACAGGTGGGAAGGAAGAAGAAGTGGTGGTGTCACTTGATCGCTTCGGCGGCCGGAAGAGCGGAAGTGCGCCCCTTCAGCCGGTAAGCGAGACGAGGTGTGGTGCAGAGCACACCGGAGGAAATTGGGCGTGCAGCAGCAATGTGTTTTATCAATCTATGCCACGAAGCAGACAGAAGGATGGGCAGGGAACGAACAAGGTCGGGAAGAGGAATGGACGAAGGTAAGGCAAAATGAAAACAAGAGGGCGACCGAGGGAAGAAGAGGGGGAAAGAAGGCCGGGAAAAAGGCGATCGGATCAGATTAGATTATCGTGCGCGCTCACCGACTTCGGAGTTACGGTGGGACGTTCCTCGCCCCCGTCTATTATTCGCCAGTCCCGCGCCAGCCCGACGGTTATCAATCACCCAGCTCGGACTTGCTTGGGGTTAGGGTATACGTTATCCACCTATTCTCTCCCCCCAGGAGTAATCTTGTACGCCGGGATTGCGTCGTTGGCCATTAGTTGATTCTAAGCAGGGCTTGACCTTCAGCCTTATATAAACCGCGAAGTCTGCTCTGCTGCCTACCGACAATACTTTGAACTACATCTTCTACACATCAGCATGGCCGAGTCTCCGAAGAGTTTTGAGATAGTAGTCGTGAGTCAATCATGACACTCTACACTCCCCATCCCACGGGACTCGAAATTCTCTCACCCTCCCAAGGCCGCACATGTGGGTACAGGCCTTCTTCCCGTCCAACCTCTGTTTGGTGGTTGTTCCCACCCGCGATGAGCGCGGATTCCTTGGCAAGACCATCGTCTCCAGCAGAGAGAAAAACCGACAAGCACATGGCAAAAGCGGATGCAATTAATATTTGCCTCAATTATGACGAAGCAAGGCTGACACATAGAAACATTGACATTCGGCGTCGAGTCCCCAATGGCCCAGGTACTCCCTGACAAACGAAATGAAAAATGAAATCAAACGGGGCTCATGATTAGCAATGAGAACAGGAAATGGAGCCAATTACCTCCTCCCGGTTGAACGGTTTTCCAGTCACGGAGACCCTTCAGGAATTCTTCTCCCTTTTTGACCAGACCGGACCAGACAAGACCCATCCCACCCCCAACCCGTCTGCACCTGGGTTTTGGTTCATGATGGCTGGCATTATTCGGTACCACTGCTCCCTCCGTCGTCTGATCTTATCAGATTACGCTATCCCCTTTCGGGAAATCCGAACCATGCGTGTCGTAATGCACGAACCAAAACCTGTCGACGATCAGTCGAGGAAATCCGCCTTCTTAGCCGGGTTCAGTCTAGTGGGATGGGTATGGTGAAAACTCTTCCTGGTTACTTGCCTGCGTTATTACCAGCAATTGGAGAACTCATGGTTGAAGTCTCTTATTGTAAGTGTTTCAAATGCCGATGAACGGAATCCCTTGGAGGCGAATACGGCCCGATTCTGGATGGCTGTCGTTGAACGCGGCAGACCGACTTTTTTTTTTTTTTTTTTTTTTTTTTTTTTTTTTTTTTTTTTTTTTTTTTTTTTTTTTTTTTTTTTTTTTTTTTTTTTTTCCATGCAGGGACTCGCATGTTAACTTCCCTATCATTCAATTATTTGAATTCATAGTTGATATGGATGTGACATATGCTACATGAGATTGGTAACCTGTGGTTCAAAAGTACGTGGTCGATGGGGATGCCTGCTATTCGCCGAAGCAACCGTTGTAACCGATCAGACTCTCCCTCCATCCACCGATCATCGCTCATTCCTTGTTCTTCGGGTTGCCTTTTCCCATTCCTTCTTTTTGTCCTTTTTGAGTCCCGCTGAGTACTTCCTCCGCACCCCCTTGTGCTGGAACATAATGCGCCTGGCATTTAGATCTGTGGTTTGCATTATTCGATAGGTAACGCACAAGTTGGATGAAAAATTAATAAATGAAACAAAGCATAGACAATATAAGTAGCATTTACAGATCGACCAGAGCTGGCGATCCTGTTGACGGATGAGCTGAGTACTTGGTTTGGACAAAGACTTTTTGAATGCCTCCCTCACGATGGTCAAATAATTCGTATAATTTGTCCATATCCTCCAGGCGGACGCGATGGGACACAATGTCCAATGGGTTGATCTCTCCCTTCTGGATCTGTTCGAGGAGATACTTCCAATACTTCTGCACTGGAGCCTGGCCATTCCCAATAAGCCGGACACCTGTCTGCATCAAAGCGCCGATGTTGAAGTGGTTCGTCTAGTAGTCGTTAGCCCTGCTAGAAGAGAAGAAAAGGAGGCCATAGGTAAGGGTGGTTGTCACGTACATAGCCAGCGTAGACACCCGTGACTCCCACGCGGCCAAAGGGCCGGACAGCCGTGATCATCTCGTTCAACATCTCTGAAGTGTCTGTCTCCATTCCCAAGAGCATCTCGAAATAATGTGCCCATCCTTTGGCGTACTCACCCGCCGTACAATCCAAAGCAACATCTGGTCCACCAGGGACCATCTTCTTCAACTGAGATGTAATGGATTCCCCTCTGGGCAGCTTGGTGAAGTCCAAGGTCTCAAGCTTTGGAAGTTTGCTCTGGACGAAGTCCAAGCGCCAGGCGCCCTCTCCCCCATCAATGAGGATGACTCTACTGGCTCCCTGTGAGAAGCTGAAGCTAGCCACCATTTGGCCAATGGGTCCCGCACCCCAGACGGCGACTACATCGCCTTCCGTTACCCCGGTGTCGACCACACAGTGGTATGAAGTGGCCAGGACGTCGGACAAATACAAAGCTTTCTCGTCTGGTACATCATCCGGAAGCTTCAGGAGGTTGACATCACCATATGGAACCCGGACATACTCTGCTTGACCACCAGCAAAACCTCCAGTGAAGTGGCTATAGCCAAAAATGCCTGCCCAGGATGCAGGTTAGCATCAGATATTGAGGTAGAGGTTAGAATTAGCATAGAATGGTAACATACCGGACGTCCGTTTACCATACATGGCATTTGTGACACTGTTCTGGTTGGTGCGCTCGCATTGGGAGGTCAGCTGCTTCTTGCAGTTCCGACACTCGCCGCACGCAATGGGGAATGCTGCCACCACTCGATCTCCCACTTTCACCGACTTTGCCCCTGGTCCTACACTTTCAACAACACCGCAGAACTCATGCCCCAATACATCACCCTTCTCAAGCTGAGGGATGACTCCTGCAAGAGAGGACAATAGCAGTTAGGGACACCACGAAGCATGCGAGACTTAACTCAGACACAGAAAACATACCATGATATAGATGGAGGTCACTTCCGCAGATGGTGCTGCCAGTCACTTTGACGAGTACGTCGTCTTCATCCACAATTCTTGGCTTAGGCATCTCCACTATCATACGGTGGTCAGAAAAACGATAGCAGAAAGCCAAGCCATATCCAAATTCTACTTACCAACCTCGACATGGTTTTTACCTGTCCAGATGGTCGCCTTGATCTTCTCACCAGTCTCCTGGCCATACTCCCCGTAATAATTGCTCACATCCGTGGTGACGGAAGCGTTGCCGCTATGTCCGACTGCCTTCTCCACGAGATTGGCAGCTTGTGTTGCAGCCATAGTTGCGATCGCAGTTGGCTTTCAAAAGAACTGAGCGAGAATATTGATACAGTATTAACAATATCGACAAAGAAATCAATGCTGTAGGACTACCGGGCGCACGGGGGTTTTTGTGTCGCCTCTCGCGGGGCCTTCATATCTGACATCACAGTGAGGTCGGTGCCTGTCATGCCCGTCATGCTCTCCAGCAATGGTGCCCCATATCTGGTTCAAAGCTTGAACACGGCCGTGAACTCTACAGCACGCTGTGATAGGCAGCGTTAGTGACCCGACTTACTGTCCTTTGGTGCTCTCCGGATTTCTTTGTTTCAGAGAGCCATCTCCCAAATGACGTCATTCATCACCACGATTCAATGCCCTCGACAACAACTATCGACTGGTCCCGGTATTGACTGTGCACATGGCAAATGAGGTGGATCTCCAATCATGCAGCTTTAGGATGCACAGGATTTGAGTACTGTCAGATACCCCGTTGTTGCTTGTCCATGTTGGAGCTGGCCGCGTTGCAGATCCCATTTCGCCCGTCGCTTATCGCGAATCGGGTCTAACTTTAGATGCATGATTCTGCATTGGTGGCTCGATTTTCTCTCCTGGGTAACTCGTGCTTCGTGTTGTCAACTGTCATCAACAGTTGTCAACATGAAGAACTTCTGCCTAAAAGCTCTCGGGTGCACTGCCAAGCCGGTCCCCGCCATTTATGATCTCTGTCTTCCCCATGTCATCGAAGCTGTACAGCACCCGGCTGAACGCCCTGAACATCTCCGTCGCTGTCACTTCTTGAAAAGGGCGTCTCTGATTGCCGAATGAGACGCTTGCTCCTTGAGCCAATAAGACGCCCTTCATTCTCGCCGGTTCACTCCTGTCTTGGCCGAATTCTTCGCGGCGCCCTGATCTCCCTTTTCAAATTCCATCATGAAACACCTCGATCGTTGGCTAGACCGGATTACCCGTCATGCCAGAGAGATATTGGAGCCATCTTCCCAGCCTGTTGAGCAGACGGGTCCGCCGCCCAATCAGCCGTATCACCGTCCTCCGCCGCCATTACCTCCAGGTTTGTACTGCATTTTCATACTTTGTTCACCCCATTCCTGAACGCTGTGATTGATCCTATCGGGAAATGATCACCTTCGTCTTGTCATTAAGTCGCTTCCCTTCATTTTATGTCGCTCTTGTATCCGTCCACTTTGTTACTGTTGCAGGAATCCCTTCTGGAGCAATATGGGTGATCCCCTGTGTTTATAGTGTAGATTGCCTGTGTATCATGTACATGTTGGTTGGAACAATCGAGACTGCACTCTTAGGCGTCTAGCGACTGCAGAGTGTATACGAGAGCAAAGTGTACTAAGTTAGGCGTGCTTATATTGCGCTCAGGATAGTACTACTTTACTTTCAATTGACCATACACGAATCTCCATCCACTCAGCTTTTTTGAAATCAACAATTGATGCCAGACACTGGATGAAATGCTGATCGACTGTCTAATCTTATGGTTCTTAGTTGCAACGCCGGTGCTCGCCAGAACTGGCCCACAAACCGTTTTTGCCCATTTTATCGTGAGTCCTGCTGCCTTTTGAGAGAATGACTCACTGACTGTGTCAGGTTGGAAATGCCGCTGCTATGACCCCCGAGCAATGGGAGTCGGACATCAGAGAGGCACAAAAAGCTCATATTGATGGCTTTGCACTGAACATTGCTCCCCAGGACAGCTACACGGATGATGTCCTCGAGAAAGCGTACTCTGCAGCGGAGAGCGTTGGGAATTTCTCCCTCTTTCTGTCTTTTGACTATGGATCAGGGGGGCCATGGCCGGCCGATCGGGTGATCTCAACGATCAACGCCTACCGGAATCGAAGTGCCCAATATCACTACCAAGGAAAGCCGCTAGTCTCGACATTTATAGGGGCTGCTAATGCAGGCGACTGGCCGTACATCAAAGGGTCTGCTGATTGCTTCTTCATGCCATCCTGGCCCGATATGGGGCCGGCCAGGCTCAGGGATTACCTGGACATCATTGACGGCGCTTTCAGCTGGGATGCCTGGCCAGTGGGGGCACAGAACAAAAACGTGACGAGCGACCGAGAATGGATGCACGCTCTTTCCGGAAAGCCGTACATGATGCCCGTTTCGCCCTGGTTCTACACCAACCTACCCCAGTGGAGCAAGAACTGGCTCTGGCGCGGGGACGATCTGTGGCATATACGGTGGGAGCAAGTCATGAGCTTGCAGCCGGCCTTTGTCCAGGTATGGCATTCCTCGGATGATGCTGGGCACTGCTGACAATGATTTAGATTATCAGTTGGAATGATTATGGAGAATCTCACTATATAGGACCAATCTACGAACCTGGGATGCCCGATGGATCTTCCAAGTATGTCTCGGATTGCCCGCACGATGCGTGGCGGGCACTGCTGCCCCACTACATTGCCGCCTACCGAGGATGCAGCATGGGCGGTTTGTACCAGGCGAATCAGACCCTACCTTTGGAGGATAAGATGGTGTACTGGTATCGCCTGAATCCGAGTTACGCTGGGAGTGCCAACGGCACGACGGGCAATGATCCTGGCGTGGGTCAGGAGGTGATGCCACCGAGTGAACTTGCCCAGGACCGAGTATTTGTCAGTGCTACTGTGAAAGATGCCTGTGATATGTACGTTCAGATTGGATATTCGGAACCTACGGTACTTCAGGCGTCGGGACCGGGAATTCATCACTTTTCGGTGCCGTTCAATGGGCAAACGGGGCCGGTGCGAATAGTGATGGTCCGGAATGGCTATGAGGTTGCCGTTGCGGTTGGGCCGGCAATCACGGATGATTGCAAGGATGGCAATGTCAACTGGAACGCCTACGTGGGAACGAGCGACTAGGAGGAGTGTATGGGACTACAGTAGAAAGATGGAGATAGGAGATAAATAGTGGTTCATCCTCGGCTCGGGCCAAGTGGGACGCAGCTTATCAGTGACGCAGCTCCCGATCACAACCTGGCTTGGTACATAGATCCTGGGAGCTATGCACGCCCTCGTATATTACTGTGAATCTTGAGCAATTGCTGTTGTGACTATTCCAGTTAACTTCAATGACCATAGGTTCCTTCTCGTTTACAATAAAGCCCACTTTTTGCCCTCGCCCGACGGAGCTCCGGGCCTCAGCATCAAAACTGGTCATGGCGCTTATCGGAATGATCAGCGAAGCTCCGCTCAGCTGACCTCGTCCCTTCTCCGCTCTTCTCCAATTCCCTCCCTCTCCTCGTCCTCCTCCTCCTCCTCAATTGACCACTTGACTATTCCACTACTTCATCAACCACCTCTACTACCTTTTATACAGCTCCATGGCCAAGAAGAACATCATGGGCCTCCGTGAGGCTGCCATGGCCTATCGTCCCAGCTCGTCCGGCCACCTCCCCGACCCGGTCCAGGACTACTCCCCAGTCTCTCCTGCTCCCACCGCACAACCTACAGCGGGACCGGGCTCCGTTAACCCAGATGACTATGCGAAACCATACTGCGAATTCATGACTGCGAATCCGACCATCTTCCATGCTGTTGACGGCTTCACCAAGCAGCTGGAAAGCAAAGGATACAAGCGCCTGCCCGAGCGCGAAGCGTGGACCTCCAAGCTCGAACGCGGCGGGAAATACTATTGCACTCGGAACTCCAGCGCGTTTATCGCGTTTTCTATTGGCAAGGATTACCAGAGTGGGAACGGTATGGCCATCGTGGCCGGTCACATCGACGCCCTCACCGCCAAGTTGAAGCCCGTGTCCAAGCTCCCCACGAAGGCCGGCTTTCTGCAGCTCGGGGTTGCTCCATATGCTGGTGCTCTGAATGAGACCTGGTGGGATCGGGATCTGTCCATTGGTGGCCGTGTCCTGGTCCGGGACCCTAGCAGCGGAAAGGTCGAGTCCAAGTTGGTCAAGCTGGACTGGCCGATCGCCCGTATTCCCACCTTGGCACCGCACTTCGGCGCGCCATCCCAGGGCCCCTTCAACAAGGAGACACAGATGGTCCCCGTTATTGGCGTGGATAACTCCGATCTCTTCCAGCAGCAAACGTCATCCACCACTAGCCCGTTTGCAGCAGGCTCATTTGCCTCTACGCAGCCGGAGAAGCTCGTCAAGGTGATCTCCAAGGAATTGGGAATTACGGACTACAACACCATTCTCAACTGGGAGCTGGAACTCTATGACAGTCAGCCAGCGCAGCTGGGTGGACTGGAGAAGGACCTGATCTTTGCGGGACGAATTGACGATAAGCTGTGCTGCTACGCGGCTCAGGAGGCTCTGATCGCCTCGCCGGACAGTACGTCCCCGGGATCAGTGAAGATGGTCGGCATGTTTGATGACGAGGAGATTGGCAGTTTGCTCCGCCAGGGTGCTCGGTCCAACTTTATGAGCAGCGTGATGGAGCGCATCGCCGAGGCCTTCGCCCCGAGCTATGGTCCCAACGTGCTGGCGCAGACCGTGGCCAACAGCTTCTTCGTCTCTTCGGACGTCATCCACGCCGTCAACCCCAACTTCCTCAACGTGTACCTGGAGAACCACGCACCGCGGCTGAACGTTGGCGTGTCCGTATCCGCCGACTCGAACGGGCACATGACGACTGACAGTGTGAGTCATGCTTTCATGAAGCGTGTCGCTGAGCGCTGCGGTTCGACCCTGCAGGTCTTCCAGATCCGCAACGATTCCCGCAGCGGCGGCACGATCGGACCCATGACCAGCTCCCGGATTGGCATGCGGGCGATCGATGTGGGCATTCCCCAGCTCAGTATGCATAGTATCCGTGCGACGACGGGCAGTCGGGATCCTGGTTTGGGAGTGCAGCTGTTCAAGGGGTTCTTTGATTACTTTGAGGAGATTGACAAGGAGTTTGCTGACTTTTAGAGACACCAACCATTGTACTTTGATGATAGTCTAGATATAGAATCCCATTACTATGTGCAGTACCCCATATTCCGTCGAGCCATTCACTGTAGCCAGGCACTGCCTGATCCTTCGCCACCCTTTCCTGCCTATGTAGCCTCCCCTTACCACCACCAACAATGCCATCTTGGAGTATGGATAGACCAGATACATACAATTCAATCACTCCCTGTCCGTTGTCTGAGATATCTGAAAGATTGTCTACTATTCGAATGAATTATTGATCGCAATATATTCTCAACCCTTCGGAGCTTCATTCAACCATTTGAGTCTGTGCTTCACTTGTGGTGTGATGAGAAGATCTAGAAAGGATTTTGAAAAAATAATTGGGTATTTGTCTTCACTAACTATACGGGGTATACAGAAACAGCGAATGTGATTGAGTTGATGTGTGAAATGATTGGGGGGGGGAGGGGGGCGCGTTACTATGCGATATAGTCACATAGTTATCTACACCAAAGTGTCCCCGTCATGAATGCATGAACAGTATATTCAGGATAATAGGGTTCAAGACACTGCAGCAAGTGATCAGTCCAATCATTTTGCCACTTCCAGACATACAGAGCCTTTGCAAACTCCCAATATTCTGGGTACCAGCCACTAAACTCCCAGTCCACAATTCCTGTTGACCATGATATTAGCGAGACGTAGGTCTCCATGAGTAAAGACCATACGGTGTTTCCTCTGGGAAAGCATCCCAGACAGGAGATTCTTTATATGACGTTTAGGTGCCTGTGCTTGATATGCTTTGACAAGGGTATTGTTAAATTCATCCTCTGAAGTGAATGGCCCTGCATTTGTAGTAAGTCGTTGTTATTAGTATCGGGATGCCCAGTGGAATATGCAATAGGTCTTGATACTCTACTCACCCTTGTTGTGATAGTTCTCCAAGATTGGATCTGTAACAGGACCAGGACCAATCGATCCAATATAATAGCTCCCATTGCCATTCCCGATCTGGCGAAGCTCGCCGATATAGTTCTTGAGTTGGGTGGTAATTTGGGCTTTTGTGATACTGTCATATGTCTCCCACACCCTGTCGAGGCTCTGATATATGTATCATAGAGACTCCCATAGTCATCCGCATCTCGATTAATTGGCCCGTGAGTGTAGTAGGCAGATATCTTTGGTACTGGGACTGTTCTTGTATTTTCTTCAACAAATACCATATTCTTTGCCTCGGTCAGGGTGACATGGGGTCCCAACTTGACAACTATTTCAGAAGATATTTTGGCTATCTTCACACCACCCCAATTGAGTATGGTATTATTGGGGGTTATCATCTCTTTAACAAGGTCTGGGTAGGGCGCCTCAAAGGAGGGGACCGAGTATTGGACTTCTACCTGCGGCCCGCAGTCCACAGATCCAGTCTTGTCATTTTCTTCCGCACTAGACATAGTGGAGGTGAAGGGCAACAGAAATCGCTGAAAGGCTTGGCCGGAACCAGGTGATAGGGATGTGGATGAGAGTGATGAGCGATGGGAGAAACTCACAAAGGTCCGCATGTTTAGATCAGCGCGATGCTGCTGCTTTTATACGGTCTGAATGTGCGCACAACAGCACCTGGCCAGACCAGTCAAGCTAACCTGATTTGATAATCCGGACATACTGATTCACAGAGCGTAACAAGTGGAATCGAGTATATACCAAAGCGCCAATGCCTTCAGTCCCCAGAATTGATAGTCGAAGTGGCTAGGTACAGGTAGTTGCCTACTACTCAATATCGTAATGACTTGATATATGTGGGATGTTCTACAGATCGCAGTCTTCCATAAGAGGCAGTCTAGATGATATTTATTCAACATTAATATGCTCATAGCTAAGACTTGGTACTCCTATCCATTTATTGGATTATGCCACCGGAAGTTACCGTTGAGGTTCCAAGGGGAGATTTTATTCGTCGACAAAACCTTATAAAAGGTTAACATATCTCTGCTTTAATTGTGTTGCTACCTTTGTGGTCCTAAGATATTATGAATCTAAGTGTATGAATTTGACGAAGACTCTCAATCGATTGAATACATCCTCAAACTAAAGTGACGACAGATACTAACACATATGTAATCCAGGAACTTCTGGCGCAGGCGCAGTCTGACTCACAATTATACCCAATGGATGTTTCAAATTGACGATTGAACTAAGCATGCCTAGTAATTCTAGAAGAAAGCGAACAGAAGGATCATTGTTGATGACACTCCTCTGTCCATCTGGAAAGCTCCGAACCTGAAGGTTGCGAACCCTGCTGCGGTCCAGCTAAGGCGCCCTAATTCTCCAGTAATGAGACGAATCAAGGATCCTGGCCATATGTAATCGGTAACTGACAGGTTCTCTGTGCACACGATCTTTGCCATATAGCAGGAAACGGATTTGCCCTAAAAGTATCCTACACCTGGTGGAAGAAATCCTCACCAAAGCCCGTGTCGTCTACCTGCTTGAAGCTTGGCTTCCACAATCACCATTGTAAGACACGCAATTCCAAATGATTTATATCCCAGCCAGTCGTCCATCGAGGATAACTCTTTATCTCCTACAGCGACAGTGCCTTGCACCATAACCAAAATGCCAGGATACCAATACACCGGCCAAGCGGTAAACTACAAGCTAATCGCAGATATAGTACAGCTCCTGGAAGAGAATGATACACCATGCCTCCTAATCGGCGACTACATGTTCGAAGCCATGGGAGGGCCTGGACTCCGTGGCGTAAGTTCATCTGTCTTATCTCAATTCTGCATATATATTCAACAAAAAGAACTAACTAAACACCACAGAACATCGAACTCGTTCTCGAACGCCACGACATCAACAAAGCAATCCGCATCCTCCGCAAAGCCAACTTCCCGGACGACCAACCCATCTACTACAAGCATCTTCTCTGTCCCTCTCCCCTCATGGGACAAACGACCTGTTCGGCCAACGAAACCCCCTTCATCCCCTACCACTCATTCCACCTAAACGGCAGGTTCTGCGGAGAGCCATACACAGGATTTCATACCGACCTCTGTCTATACGAGAAGCAAGATCTCTTCTGGGACCTGCCCGAGCTCTCACTGGGAGAACTGTCTGCAAATGATACGGATTTCATTCTGGCTAGTGACCATCGCCTCCCTCCCCAGGAGGACTGGCAGTATTGGGGCCGGTTTCCTGATACGCTGTACCCGGTTAAGATACCCATGCCGGTGCGGTATGTCGAAGCGATGATGCTTCTCACGGCCCGCGATTGGGAAATCAGGGGACATGGGTGGTCTTGGCGGGATGAGATTATGTACATGTGGAAGTATATAGTCGGTTTACTAGGGGAGTTCTTTGAGGTGGAGATGTTCAAGCCGATGTTTAGATCGTGGTGGGCGGTTTTGGAGAACTCGGAGTCGATGTCGGGTGGTGAGGTGCTGTGTGTGCATAATTTGAGGAGAGAGTTGGTGGCTGCGAATATGATGCCTGAGACGCCGTTTACTTGGTTGAAGATGTATGGTTGAGTTCATGGTGGTTAATTGGTGATAACATAGGGTTGAATTTGGTGACAGTAGAATGAGCAGATTATGTAACGGATCGAAGTCTAAATACGAGCAGAAGTAAGGAAGTTGATTCTAGAATATAGACGATACGACCAACAGGAATCAAGTGAAATAGGATTGTTTCCCCAAGACGGCAATTGATTGCCTCCCTTATGTCATACGTCATTCCGCGTGTCCGACTGTCTCACTGCTAACTATAATAGTCCACCAATATACTCTGAAACAGATAAGGCCCAAGCGTAAGCACTCAGAACCCCCCACCTATATGTCCTCTTCTCTATAGCATAGCGCCGTTTACCCGGCCTGCTTACTGCTTATTGCTTACTGCTTACTCTCCATCCCACACCACTAACAGAAAGTATACCTAGTGATGTATACTATGGACAACACCACTCTCAACTAATGACATCAACCAATATTTCAAGAAAGAAAAAAAGTATATATTTCCCCCCCATCACATGAACACAGGACAGCATCACCAGACCCCTGAGCCAAAAGGCAAAAACAAATAACAGACTAACACCAAAATCGGCTCTCGGAACCCGTCGGCCCAGCCTAACACTGAGTTGACTACGGTGGTAATGCCCCGAACTCCTCCTCTTATCCGACTGGAGGAGCATTAGACTACTTCCTAGGCGTCCAACTAGCTTCCTTCCAGGATTGCCGGGACCAATCATTTGATCGTCTGGTTATTAATTGAGGGGCTTGCTCAGGATACCTGGTTGTAGTTGGTGTTATGAGGTAGAATAGGAGAACAAGTAGTGGTAGTGGTAGTAGGGCAGGCGGACACCGAGATTGTCCGTGTTGCTTGCTTGCTTGCTTGATTGTCTGTCTCCTGTTATTTGGATGACGTTTCTCTGTGTGTCTTTGGGGGGTTATAAATAGGGTGTCATGATTCTAGGAGATAGTCTCTTTTATCACCTGGTATTTTCTATTCATTAAGCCTATACTGAAAGAACTTATACTGCATTCAATATGGTCACCATCACCGCCAAATCTGAGGCAGCTTCTGCTACTTCCCCTATTTCTTCCAATACTATCACTACTACCCTCAACGGGGTAGGCGATCCCAAAAGTAAAGAAAAAGATCTTCAACTTCAAGAAAAAGAAGAAGAAGAAGAAGTTTCGAAAGAAATGAAAGCATACAACTCCTCCAACGGCGTAACCAGCCAACTCTGCACCTGGATCGCCTCCCTCCAGCTGGACGACATCCCAGATTCTGTCCGCACCCGCGCTAAATACCTCTTCCTCGATGGCATTGCCTGTGCCCTCGTCGGTGCGCGCGTCCCATGGTCGCAGAAAGCATTTGACGCGATGACTGCCTTCGAGGAGAGGGGGAAGCATGTGGTCATTGGCTATGAAGAGGTAATTCTCCCTCCTACCTATATAATCTTTTCATTCATGCTATTACATGGATGAATGGATAGAGTTAGGATTGTAAAGGTACTAATAGATTTGGCAGCGCCTCGGTGCCATCGCCGCCGCAACCCTCAACGGCTCCTGGATCCAAGCCTGCGAAGTAGACGACTACCACAGCGTGGCGCCTTTGCACTCCCAAGCCGTGGTCATCCCTCCTCTCTTCGCGGCAACCGTCAGTGCGCGGGACCATCCGACCACCCCGCGCATCATCGACGGACGAACACTTCTTCTTGCCTCGGTGGTGGGGTTCGAGATTGGTCCCCGCGTCGGCATGGCGCTGCACGGCACCGAGATGCTCGCGAAGGGATGGCACTGCGGTTCTGTTTTTGGTGCACCAGCGGCTGCAGGTAGTTCCGCGAAACTCCTCGGTTTGTCGGCGGGACAAATCGAAGATGCGATCGGAGTAGCAGCGACGCAGGCATGCGGGCTCATGGCGGCGCAGTACGACGGGATGGTGAAGCGGATGCATCACGGGTTCGCGGCGCGGAATGGACTGTTGGGAACGATGTTAGCGTGGGGAGGATACGAAGGGATCAAGAAGGTGTTTGAGCGGCCGTATGGAGGTTTTCTGGCAATGTTTGGACTAGGGTCGAAGCATACGCCTAGTTCGAAGCCAGAGGAGGTGGCGAAGGATTTGGGGACGTTTTGGCATACGGCGGAATGGATTCGGTTGAAGTTGCATGCGTGCTGTGGAGGGATTCATGGCACGATTGAGTGTCTGGCGGAGATGCAGGAGATGTATCCGGAACGACTTGGACGGGAGAAGTTGGGAGAGATCAAGGAGATTCGGATTCAATTGAGTGATGCGGTGTTTCATCACTGTGGATGGGCGCCGGAGACGAGGCCGTTGACGCCGACGGGGGCGCAGATGAATACGGCGTTTGTGGCGGCGTCACAGTTGGTGGATGGACAGGTGTTGTTGGAGCAATTTTCGTCGGGGAAGCTGGATCGGGATGAGGTTTGGGAGTTGATCGGGAAGACGAGTTGTGTGCATACGACGGAGTTGGATCAGCCGAATATTGGGTGCGGTGCGTTGATTTCGATCACGTTTGCGGATGGTAGTCAGGTTCAGCATTCGTTGTTGAAGCCGAAGGGGGTGGACGAACGGATTTCGAATGAGGAGATCTTGGAGAAGTTTCGTCGGTTGACAGGAGGGTTGATTGGGGTGGAGAGGCAGGAGAAGATTGAACGAGCTGTGCTGGGGATGGAGGAGTTGCAGGATGTGAACGAGTTGATTGAGTTGCTGAGTGTGAATGTGGTCAATCCGTTGCAGTAGTGAATTAGTTCTCTTGTTTGTTTTGTATGGCGTTGGTTGTGGTGGGATGCTATATTAAGTAACTAGCAAGTCATTCAACATGGTCAGAATCATTTTGCCAACTAGTAGTCATTCTAATCTGTGTACAGGAAAGCGAAGAGTGCAGGATGGTTGTTTATCTCCTATTGATGAGTCTGTTGAAGACTATCCAGATCACAGCTGGCATACGATAATAAATACGTTTGAGCATCATACATCATTATATCTCTGGTAGCTACCATAGCCATCCATCATCACCTCGAGGTCAGTATCCCAGAAACATGCGTCGCCATGACCTATGGAATGGCTATTCCCTGTCAATGGCCCCAGCTCACGGCTTGGTTCGGAATGATGCGGTGCTGGTGTTTGTGCTAGAAGACTTCGCTCGTGCTGCAGAAGCGAAGTAGCAACCTGACTACAAAGCTGAGATACAGAGCGGATAGTATCGGCATGAGAGCCTCTATAAGCGTTGGCAGCAAGACACTCCGCGCGTGTGGCGAAAAAAACAAGGGCATTGACGTCGGAGGTCACGGCAGCTGGATTGTCATGAGACTCCGGGCTGAGGAGATGGATGTAAACCTCGAGAAAGAGGACAAGGGGGTAACGTAGGAGAATACTGCCAAAACCCGAATTAGCTCTCTGAACGTCAAAAGGTGGAGGTAACATGGGCCACAATGCAATTCACCTTTCAAACATAGCGAAGCCGGAAATGCTGTCGCCCGGATGGTAGCTCTCACATAGTTCCTGAAGAAGCTGTAGCCCCGTGCGAGCGTGCTCAAGTCGAGCTTGGCGACTCTCTGAAGCAGGTATGCAGCGCTGCACTAGCACATGGCAGATACAGAGGGCATATCGCAGTTCAATGGCCTGCTGTGCGGTGGTGGTGGTGCTGGCTGGAGGGTAGAGAATGTGACTGTGCTGGGTGGTCCAATCGTTGAGGCGTCGGACAAGCTTATAGGCACGCCGCCTTAGGCGTTTCCAGCTCAGGCGCGGCATGCTGGCGTAAAGTCTGCGAGAGATTTCCCCTTGAATTCGAGCGAGTGAGATGCGCGCGCCGAATTGGTCATTGAGCAGAATGCCGGAACCTGTGGGGAATGGGAGACCAATGTCATAGGATGGCAAGAGACAGGACGTGCCAGTTATGGTGGAAGCGTGGTTCTTGTCCAATCAGTGAAGAACGACAATGGCGATGACGAACTCACATCTACAATGAAGAGACACCAAAACAGATTCTGACCCTCCGCGCATAGGTTCGCGGCATTGCCCATGCTCCGGTGTAGTCCCATTGACTTGGCGAGCTCACAGGCATGGGTAAAGGCGGTCTCGAACACTGTAAAGTAGAAGTACTTGAGAGCAACCAAAGCCTGGATCAATGTTAGGATCGGGCTCAGAAAAGTGCAAGTCTGTCATACCAGGCTCAGAAGGGCTTGCACATTTGCCATACGCGGTTCTAGTAGCTTTTGAAAGTTGCTGAAGCATCGCCGGATATTCTGCAAAAGGTGGACGATGAGACTTGCTTCCAGGGGCATTGCGCCCGTCTTCTTCGCTGCGGTGCACTTTCCTTCCAATGCCTGGAGGAGAATGCTGTTGAATGATACGATCCAGGCTGGATCGGGAGCATCCAGCGTTTCATACTGAATTTTCATCGCTGTCAGAACGCTCTGTCGATCGTATATCGGAAGCAACGGGCTGATCTCGGTGAAGTATGTATCGATGAAGGCTTCCATAAGGGCTCGTGGTGGAAGACAGGGTGACTGGTCACTGACTTGAGTAAAATCCAACAGTAAAGGGCTGTCCGTGGCCAGTCGTTGAAATAGCGCACTCACATCGGCAATCTGAGCTTGCAGCACCGATGTAGAAATGAAGGGGCCTTCAACTGACGGCTCAGGACTGTTCAATGGTGACAATGACAAGACAAACTGGTCACCGGCAGCTTGGGCTTCACCATATATCCAGCTCAATTGCTCATATCCATGACTCCCCAGAGACTCCACAATCGACTGATCTGATAGACCGCCCGCCTGGCTTCCCTCAGAGGTATTCGAGCTGCTCCATGAATCCTCGACACTTGGTCGCCGAGTGTTGGGGCTGTAAGAGGTGGTCGAGACACTGCTGAGAGGCGAGGTGGAGGCTTGTACGCTAGATGAGAATCGGACAAGGGCTTCCTCAAATCGTTGTAAGCGGGTTGCGAGTGATTGAACATCATTTACCCTGCAAAAGGGTCAGTTGCAATAATCAGACGTCTTGAGATGAGAGGCAGACAGTTTCTTGGTATGATCAATCCGCTTCCCCTTGGTGTATTGGCAAACCAATCCTGACTTGAGACAGCTAGAGCACAAGGGCGATTTCCTGTCGCATCGAACCTTGCGAATCCGACATTCGCTACAAGCATGCTCAGGATCTGAGGATCCCATGTTCATATGAATTTTAGTGTTCGTGTTTCAGTGTCGTCTACCGAGAAAAGCGAAATGTACGATGTGGGCAAGATTTTGTTCTCTAGCAAAGAAGGACAAAAGGGATCAGGTGAGGGAAGAGCCTCGCCCCGTATAATCGATATAGAGGATCCATTATACATTCAGAGCCCCATTTGCTCTTCATTCTTGATTTCGATGTCATCAAACACAATACAACTGCCAAGAATGCAACTGCCAAGAATGCAACTACCATGTTGTCCATAGGAAGGACGACGATCTAGCCTAAAGGAGCACTCAATCTTGAGATCCTACCGGTTCAGCATCAGGCCTAACCGTCTGTGCATTATACACAGAATCAATGGCACAATTAGAGCGTCAGAAATTCTTATCCCTAACAAGACAGGCATAGTATCTACCGGTCGTTAGCTTAGTAGCGAAGGCCTGAAGCCGGCAATAGGCCAGACCTGGTGGTCCATGCTACGGGCCGACGGACTATAATCTTACCTCAGATCATGAATAAGGATCTTGCCGAGACACCGGTATGAGAAAGCCGGGATAAATTGATAGCCGTCTTTGGTTCTGTTGCGAGGCCTCCAGCTTGTTGAATTGCTCTTTTATAGTGTTGTGCCGGGGTGCTGATTTGCGGAAATGCGAGAGAAAGGTCATCTGCAGGCAAGTCGCCGCTGCATGCTCTACGACTTACCCCCCTGTTAGATCATCAATATCATCAATACGGATCATCAGTCTCATTGATAGTTCCCGAGGCCCGAAGATGGCGGCATCGCTCATCATTTGAGTGGGTCATAACTCTCAGGCCGCTGCGGCGCTTCGCAGTTAGTGGAGGACCGACTGGGGATTGCTTGCCGATTAGGGCTAGCTGCCATATTCCAGGCGGCCTTATCTTGAAGGAATACCCGAAAGCTAAAACAATGGATAATATAGTATATATATAACTTAGTCGAACAAGGCAACAGCCAGTAGATACATCGGTAGAGGTATAGACAGAAAGGAAACACACGCTTAAAGAACGAAATGGTAACAATAGGTCCTATATTATATGAGCAGTAATCATGGCATCAACATATTGCGACTCCTATTGGCCTGGTCGATTGCTTATGGTACGCTGTTCACGATGATGATGGCGATGCAATGTCTGATCGCACATCCTTCCCTGTCACCGAATCGCGGAGACCGGCCGAGTTATTGTTGGTCTCTCGCACCATAATCTTCCCTTTGCCGCCAAATTCATGTCCCGGAACAAGTGTCAGATATCTGTCCGAATCTCCCGTGCAATGAGCGTACTCCAGATCGTCCATGTGCGTGGTAATCGTAGTCGTCACCGTGCCGGTGCCGTTCCAGAACGTTGGCGGTTGGCTTTGCGACGAAGGCGCATGTGCGTAGCCGTAAGCATGGCCCCCACCACTTAGAGTCGAGAGGAAGTGTGGAAGGAGTCGCGAAATGAGAGGCCGGAGGGTAGGCAGGCAAGCACAGATTATCCCCGTGTTGCATTCGATTGCAGACCAGGATGCAGCACCGACATTGTCATCTAAGCATTCTGTTTAGCCACACGCCGCGTGATGCCCATAAAGGGACGACTTACAGGTAGGGTCGCTAGAATCGGAGATCTTCTTCAGGGAAACCAACCGGCAAACACTAGTGACGCAGACACTGGATATAGCGTTAGTAAGATTTCATCGCCAACAGCGCGTGGGTACTGGGACACTCACAATCCACCCAGAGCGAAGATTGAAATCAAGGCCATTTTCTGCCTCTGCGGCAATTCAAGCCCCGACAAAGCCGGGATTGGTATCAATAGAATCACAATATCGGTTGCGATGTGCATAGACGCATTCGAGAACCACAGTCCCTCCATGCTCAGACAGTATCCCGGGAGAGTGGGGTTCCAGAATTTGGCGACGGGGATACAGTTGAGGAAAGCACTGAGAACCGCCCAAGACCCGTAGGTAGCAAGCACACCGATCATGATCCAAGAAATACGCCGCATGCGCCGGGTTGGGAACACGCGAAAATACTGCATTAATATTGACGCTTTGGCAAGCAGCAATGCAGCATTGTAGAACGGAATGGTAAGCCAGAATGCCTGATCGATCACACTTATGTTAATGAAAAGCAGTGCATACTGTATAGAAGTACTGACTTACCTTCATCTGCTTTAACAGGACTGATGATGGGATGTGTGCCTCATGCATGCCCATCCCATTCATGGCCTCCACAACAAATAGGCCCATAAAGACATAGGACAACGTCTTGCCAATCCTAATAGTCAGCAACCTGCTACCTTTCCGTCGAGGATTCATGCACCTACCAAGGATAGCATTATCATCCAATCGTTTGGCTCCATGCGATGCATCAACTTGGTGCGCGTGTAAATACGAGCGGCAACACAACATGTTGCTAAACTGGTAAAGACAACACTGACGGCTAACGCTCGACCCCCCCGGGGTGACATGTATGACCCGTGCGCACCATCGTCCGTCCGGGCGAAATGGTTGTGGGAGTCCATCATGGTCGCTTTCAAAACGCTCGTTCCGTGGGAGCAGTCGTGGACAAGGCTTAGTCTGTCGGGGCTCTAGAGACAAGATGGGCTGAACAAGGGTACAATGCGGCCGAGGGTTCACGAGTACACGGGCCTCTGTGTACAGAGACCAGCAACGTTACTCATATAAAACCTGGGGTCTGACTGACCCCCCAATGAGCGAAAGGAGCACTTTTTCCGCGTGTCACTGTGAGGGGGACACTCGCAGGGGAAGGGGGAAAGAATGGGGATATAAACGTTTTGCGCTTGAGCAGACCCAGTAACGGTTCTGTCTGACTAGAAGGATGCGAATAGACCAATGGTACCCAAGCCCGTGAAGATCCTCAGTCATGTCTAATTGCTGCTCCGGATTCACGGACCGACCCTAGGACAGGAGCTGGGTCCAATTAGTGTGGTGCAGAAAGGGAGGGTAGGAAAAGCAAGCAAGGGAGGAGACAAATAAGCAAATGATAGAGAGCAGCCACAATGTGGTCCTGGGACAAACTCAGGTTGATAGATGGGTAAAGGCAACAAAAAGGTACATTTGGTGCCTCGCGCGGTTTACTTTTTCTACTTTTCTTACAGCTGTTGTGCGTAAGTTTCGCGGAGAGTGACTGGAGACGTCTCCATGCATAGCAGGGGCCTAAGCGACAAGTTCCAGCCCTGTGGTGTCTCTAGGGTTATGGATACTGTCGATGATGATCAGCCATTGACTGCATCCGCGGCCATCGAAAAAGATACCGTCCAGTCTGGTCTGTCGAAGACAGAAGTGGAGAGACGGTGGATCGACGGTGTATCCAAAACTCTCCTCTGGTTGGATGCATACATGGATTGTTCTATGCGTCTGCGGAGGCACTTGCATGCGACCGGCGTGCGTACGGAGTACATTGTGCGTAGAGCTGTCTGTCTCCAACCTGACGAATCTTGACGGGCTGGATGACAGTCTGCCCAGCCAGCAGATCGTGGAGCCCAGGACTCCTTGACCTGGGACTGGGGCCGGAGCTGTCATTGAGCCATGCCACGGCGCAGAGGCCAGGTAACCTGCAAGAAGCGATTATCTCCGAGTCTGTCCTTTCCATGGTGCCTGGTAATGGCCTGTGCCCCTGGTCGACATCAGGTGACTCTCTGTTTTTCCCCAAGACGGTCTTGCTTGGTGATGTTGTACAGGGAGGGGATCAATCAAAATTAGTCCTGCCACAGGTCCTACACAGGGGCAGGGATGAGCAGAGCAAGGGATGCAGAGGACTGTCATACTTTCTCCCCTATCAACACTATCATAAACCTCGAAATGATTGATTCATTTCTGGACAAGCACTTCAACTTGTGAGGGGGAGGCATTATCCGTTATCAAAAGTACTTTTGGGCGCGCCAGCTGGCCGATGCGACCTGTCATTTCCTTTTTTGGGAATTTCATGGCATGATCTCCGGGGCCTTAAACAGAGCCACATTGAATAACGGACATGCAGGGGGGCCAAAGTACCGTACAGGCGGAAATTCGTGTCTCTATCTACAGCCCGTGAGGAGACTCGACGGATAGACCATCACTTTTGTCAAACAATGCTGATTGATCGATAGGGTGCTAATGTTGGTGCGATTATTTGACTGAAACACCCGGCGTGGAAAAGAAAGGCGATGTATCACATCCGACTAGGCGCGCCGGGACCTTCCTCCGGGTTGGCCAAAAACAGCCAAGTGCAGACGAAAATCGAGCCCGCTCACTTAATTATTGTCTATTGATCTTTAGAATTGGATGATTATCGGTCGCATTGTCGCTTGGCCATAGCGTCCATTTTTAAGAAGGAAAGCAGCATCTGGTGCTGCGCATTCGGCTCTGGTGACCCTCACTCGCCGCCACCGCACTGATAGTTCCACGCAGAGCCATGTCCATTGGTTGATCAGCACGCCTACACTTTGGATTGACCGAAGTGGAGTCTGCGTCAAGATCTCGTACCAGCCAAAAGGAGCTGGGTAACACAATCGTGGCACTCATCCACTCCCAATTATATATCTCGGGAATCATACCCGTGGCAAGTCGGTCAAAGAATCATCGATACTACTACTCGAGACGTTTTCTTGGACCACTCGCGTCAACAGTGATCATGAACTCGTCGTGGATATGGAGTATTTGTCGCCTAAGCTTGACGATATGGAGACGAGGCAGCTGGTTGCCTTCTGGTCAGACAGCGAGCGTCTGGACAGGTCGAGCGCAGCGATATTTTCAATATATAAACATTATTAGGAATTCTGCCATGCATCGAATAGAGCATAAGCATGGACCACAAGATGATGATAAAGTCCACACGTGGACACACACATTCTCTCTATCTGTCTCCTTCTCTCTTTTTCTCGTCCTTCTTGCGTGTCTACTCAAAATTCGTGTCGCTCGGCGATGGTGACTGAAAGAGTCTTCCAGTTGAAGTATCAGCTGGCATTTGCGCGCCACCGTTTTGCCAAAGCCAATCAAACATGATAAAATAACCCAAAATTTTGAAGTGCTAGTTACTTTGACATCTGTGAGCCATGCACGATAGCCATAGATCCCAGTCACATACAGTAGTTTCTGAGTCGGACTGAAATCATCCGCTGTACGGGATACCTGTCAGCAGAAATCCACCGGACGAACGGCCTATCAGTCTTTTGATTCCATGGATACCTGCATTAGTGTGAAGATAGATAGACGCATGTCCAGGGTACTGTACGCGCTTCTGCAGTCAGACGGAGTACTCCGTCCAGGCACCTCCATTCAGAGTCCGCAAACTGACTGTGTGCAGGTCGAGACGAAGAATGAGTCAATTGTATGCAAGTACTTTTGGCAAGTGGGCACACCGTGGCCCTGGTCGGTTGATGCTAGTCGCCATCGTTTATTTTGCTAAGGACAGAACACGCATTCCTCTCAATTTTCGCGCGGAGAGCTCGGCATCCTGATGGTGCCATGTGAAATTATTGGAATCCTCATGGTGATGCCAATCCCCTCGATTGTTACTTTTTCGATTTCCGAGAAAATCGTGGTCTTGGGAGGCTACTGGTGTGCTGACCATTCTGAGTCCTCGTACTTTGGATGGCTCTAATGGATTATGGACGGGGGTCTTCTGCATCGGAATGACCTGTCACTGCCATGTGATTTGAAATACATAGACTTTGTATGCGGATGTCCAAATGATAGACAGACCATGATAGTGGCTTTTCGAGGGAATCTGTCAGAATATTCTGAATCTTCCGGGACGATGAATCAGACAAAGGATTTCCGGCTTGTTTACAACAGCACTGGCCAGTTGTCGCGCGAGTGTTGGTGAAAGTCGAAGAGTTTCGATAAGCGGGCGCTAAGATAAGGAACGATGCACAGACCAGTTGAAAATCCCATCCGAGGAATTTCCATCCAACGATTGCGGCCCAAGAGTCAATCAATATACTTACTCTTACATTGGTCCCCCATTTAGGAAGTTCACTAGACGGTCGCAGAGATATTATCATTATCTACCGCCAAAATGACGGACTCGGCATCGCCTGCGAAGCCCGTCCATACCATCGTCCTGGACGCCGGTCCCATCTTGAAGAATACCCCGCCGCTATCCACGCTGCTCGCACAGTGCGAAGAACTCCTCATCACCCCCTCCGTCGTGAGCGAAATCCGTGACCCTGACGCCCGCCAGCGCGTGGAGACACTATACCTTCCCTTCTTGAAGCAGCGCACACCATCCCCGAAAAGCGTCAGCGTCTTGAGCGAATTTGCACGCAAGACTGGTGATCGGGCTGTCCTGAGTAAAACAGATATTGAGGTACTGGCGCTTGCATACGAGGTGGAATGCGAGCGCAATGGTGGCGACTGGAGACTGAGAAGCGTTCCGGGCCAGAAACAGGTGAACGGGAAGCCTCCTGTGAAGGAGGAGAAGGCCGAAGAGAAGGGAGAGGAGGCTAAAGCCGAAGAGGCCAAGGGTGAGACTGAGGGCGAGACCACTCAAAAGGAGGAGAACAAGGACGAGGTTGCTGAGGTGGATGCCGTTGCAGAAGATCTGAAGAACGCAAACCTGGAAGACAAGGAGACCAGCACACAGGAGACCGAAGTGCAAAATGCCCCCGCAGAGGTCGAGGCGGAGGAATCAACTCCTCAGGACGCCGATGCCCAAGAGGAGGAGGATGATGGCGATGATTCGGATGGTGGTTGGATCACTCCCTCCAACTTGAAAAAGCGACAGGCCCGCGATGAGGCTAGCTCTGCAGCTGCGGCGCCAGAGCCCAAGGTGATGCAGGTTGCCACCATGACTACCGATTTTGCGGTATGCTTTGAAACTTACTTCAATGTCCATGTTCCTTACTAACTATAATAAAGTGCCAAAACGTGCTGCTGCAGATGAACTTGAACTTGCTCTCCACTTCCACTCTGCAGCGAATCCGCCATCTGAAGTCTTTCATCAAGCGCTGCCATGCCTGTTTCTTCACCACCAAGGACATGAACAAGCAATTTTGTCCTCGCTGCGGCAAGGACACGCTCACTCGTGTCTCCTGCACGACAGACGCGAATGGACAGTTCAAGATGCACTTGAAAAAGAACATGCAGTGGAACAACCGCGGCAATCGTTTCAGTGTCCCTAAGCCCGTACACGGCACCTCCAATGGAAAGTGGAAGGGAGGTGGTGGTAAGGGTGGCTGGGGAACGGAATTGATCCTGGCGGAAGACCAGAAGGAGTATGTTCGAGCCACCGCAGAGCAGAGCCGCAGAATGCGCAAGGAGCACGACCTCATGGATGAGGACTACCTCCCGAGCATCCTGACCGGAGAGCGGAACAATCACGGTCGAATTCGTGTGGGAGCTGGCAGAAATGTCAACTCGAGGAAGAGGTAATGGCATGGCTTCTCGTCTCTTTGCATCAGTCTGGGTTGGCGTCTGGCTCAAAAGTTTATGGCTGCACCTTTGGTCTACTTCTGCGATGGATTATGATGAACGGTTCGTGTTCAACGATTTATAAAGCATACACATAGCATATGCTAGGTAACGAATATAGAGCAAATTCTTGGATGGTATATTTTGCACACTAAGATACCGGCCATGGGCACCGCACAGAAACCGAACAAAAGTTTCTCATCGTCCAAAGACCATAGATAACACCATTCGCCATTAATGATTCAAAGCACCTTTTGTATCTCAATCATGTTTTTCCGTCAACCAGCTTACAGCTTAGCAGCCTCCTTGTCTGTAGTCTGCCGTCAGCCATATCCACTATATTGGGACTCGCACTCGGGGTTTCATACCGGCTTGCTGGGTCATAAGCAGGCCGTATCTCTTCTTGAGGGTCACACGGTGCCTAAATAGCAATATCGTTAGTCCACAATCTCTCTCTCCAATGTGCCTGGAGATCGTCGGCGAAAAGAACCTACCGAGAGTACTTGTCATCGGGAGAGAAACGGGCGGGGTGAGCACTCTTGGTAACGCGACCATCCTCGGTAACCTTCTTGAGGGTGTAAACCCGCTTGCCATCGGGGCCCAGAGAGTCTTTGTGCATTCGTTAGTTCCGATTGATCGAGGGGAGTCCGAGTGCGGAGAAACATACACATAAGATGCATCCTAGAGAACTTCAGTCAGTACGAGTCAGTAGCATTGGAGTAGACTGCAAATAGGCTCACTTGAATGATTAGTTTTGTTAAGCGACTGGAAGACGAAATAAAGGTGCTGGGTGTTGAACGAGTGCGTTTATCGATGCCAAACCGCTGCACTTGAACTTCGGCGATACGCAGGAAATTTTTGGCGGACCGAACGGGGCACGGGCCAAGGGCCAGCTTAGTCACGCGCGGTCCCATTTAAGGCTGCCCAAGCGAGCTCCAAACACTTTTTTCTTCCTTCCGCAAACCATCCCATCGCACTTCAGGCAGGATGAGGGAATGTTGAGGATGTTGATGATGATAATGCGCATCCATTCCCGTCTTGCATAATGACTCTGGGATCTTTTCGCTAATTGATACTTTGTATTTATAAAGATACACTACATCGCATCACGAGGGACAAGCTGCCTCTCGTGTAATGGCTTGACCAACCCCAGATCTTGCACAGGATTTCGGGTAAGCTTCAGCCAGCAGCCTTGTCGGTCTTGCTGGAAGGATTTTTGCTTTCATTGTTTTCTCCGGTGATGATCACATACCTAAGCTTAGGCAATGGCAACTTTGATTTCTCGCTGTTGTCGATGAAGGCTTTGTATTGACTACAACGGTATCTGAGGAGAAACACAACAATGATTCTGATTACTTCTGTCGGGGTTGGCGATGGCGGCTACATTCCAGCTTGTAACTGAAGAGTTTCTTGCTGACTCTTCCCTGTAGTTAGAGAATCGAAAATATCTATCCAATTGAGCTTATAAGATTTACTGTTAAATATGGCTTCCAATACAATTCCTAGTCCTGCTTCGGAGACTGCTGCTCCTGGCAAATCCGACTCTTCTCAGAAAAACAATGCCTCCCCAGCTCGTCGTTCGCGGCCTCCAAGGCCCAATTACCGACACATCCATCGCTTCCCCTTCCCGGTCGAGGTGCATCCTCTCCCTCCTCTCATCCCCCATAACCCTCTCTCGCTCGTCAGTGTGCTGCTGTCCTACCTGACGTACTTTATTTCTCCCCCTCATCAGGAAGTCTACTCCGCCTACTTTGACTCTGCCACATCCTCGGTTCATGTCACAGACCCTAAGGCTATAAAAGCCCTCTGGGAGATGGGTTTCTTTGGTAAGGGAACCCTGAGTCGAAGTGAGCCGAGCTGGCTTGAGCGTGAGAAGAAGAGACGAGGATTACTTGGGGGGATGACTAGCGAAGAGGTCACACGACAGCGGCGGACGGAACGTCGCGAGTTGAAACTGGAACGCGCGAGGATGGAAAAGCTTGCCATTGAGGAAAGACTTAAGGCCGAGGCGGCTGCTAGGGAAGGCACCGCGACGCCAAGCGAACAGTCATCCCTCTCACCCACTCCGAATGGTGTCTCTGAAGGCACAGTACCAATTACGGAGAAGTTCTCCCTGAGAAAAGCACGGGAAGCCAGGGAAGCCAAGCTCCTTGAGTCACAACGTCCAGTATCACAAGACGGCAATACACGCACCCCTAACTCCGCCGGAAAGCGGTCACCTAGTGGCAGCAAAACTGTGCGGTTTTCTCCGGTTGTTCAAGCCAAGGAGTTCGCTTCTGATTCGGCCATCTTGAGCTTGCCAGAAATGTCTGCAGATAGAAATACGGACGGAGGTAAGGCGAATGAGGAGCCAGAATTAAGTAATGAAGAGCACCTTCAATTATCTAACGAAGAGGCCTTCTTCCTTGCATATGGGCTGGGAGTCTTGCGTGTGCGCGATGATACTCGCACATCCGAGATTCCTACATCTTCCCTGTTGCCATTATTATGTCAACACTCTTACTTCCCTCCTGGAGCTCCGTCAGCGGATCCCACGCCGGACGACCCATTTATAATATCCTATGTTGTGTACCACCATTTCCGGTCTTTGGGGTGGGTTGTGCGCTCCGGAGTGAAGTTCGGTGTGGACTATATCCTCTACAACCGTGGGCCGGTCTTCTCACATGCTGAGTTTGCTGTCGTGGTTGTCCCGTCCTATGGTCATGGCTACTGGTCTGAAACGGCCGAGCGCAAGGCCCAGTGTGAGGAGAAGATGGCGCGCAGTTGGTGGTGGCTGCATTGTGTCAATCGAGTCCAGGCCCAGGTGAAGAAGAGCTTGGTAGTATGCTATGTGGAAGTGCCTCCGCCAACGTCCTACGAGCTTGACACTCCCTCGGAAGAGGATATTGGTGCGATGTTGGCTCGTTATCAAGTCCGGGAGATGGTTATTCGAAGATGGGTCCCCAATCGGACTCGGGACTGAAATGGGTACATCATCTGGTTTCTCTGTACTATATGCAGCGTGTTGTTCGAGCGTTTGGGTTTTCTTTTGGCAAGACGTAAAGCACTTCACTCATTGTAACCATATGTAACCCTGCTCTCACGAACACAATGGTTGGCATTGCTGATCGTGAAATTCCGAATTAAGGAATGCAACGTTAATCTACTCCTGCGCTCCTTATATAGTACTGTTCATCCTCTTGTTCTATAGATGGATGGTAGATGGTCTTTCCAGGCTTATCAATTTGGTGAAGCTAAACCTGGAGCGGTAATATTGACATATCACGTGAGTGACGCGTTTCGCGTTTTGATTTTGCGGTATTCTGTCCCTTTGGAGAAAAGCACGAGAGCAGTCGAGGAACAGCCGACTGGTGAAGTTTGCGTGGGTTCGGGGCGCCAGGCACCTCGGCAATGAGCCATCACTTGTGCTGTGTAACTGGGACCGCAGTTTAAGAGGGATCATGGAGACGCAGGAGGATAGCATCGACATCGCGAAGCTGCAACGCGTCGCGTTGGGGCTTGTGAGTGACGGCCTCTCCCGGTGGCGGAGTTTCTGATCTGCATTCGCTAACATCATTCGTCTGCTATCCATCAGGAATCTGCAACTTCGCAGCTCCAATTTCATGGCTTGGGGACAGTTGCAAATCACAACTGTCACCCGGAAGCCCATAAAAAGTCGCCGTTTTCCTCTCCCGCTCACGAGAAGGCTCGAATATCCCCGACGCCGTCGTCGCCTTCACAGTCATCCTCGCGATCACATAATGCCACAACTTCGATGAACACGAACGCAGCATTCAAAGCCAACTCCACAAACCCTTCTACGGCCCCAGTGCCTCCGTCTACGAAAATGCCTTCAGTCGATGCCGTCCCTTCGGACACGCAGGTCGTCTCCCAGTCGGTTTACGATGAAATAATAAGGAAGAACCAGGAAGCTGCGGGCAACGCTCAGGAGAGCAATTTGGGTGATCAGGCAACGCTTATGACCCTTCATGAGGGCGATAGCGGTCATCTTGACTTGCTATCTGGCTACGATCCTCTCCATACTGATGCTGCCAACGAGGACCTTGAGGATCAGAGTAGCTCTAAGCTAGGAGAATCTTCGCCCATGCTGCATCAGCCGAATCTTTTTCCAGAGTCGCAGCGGTTCTTGACAAAGACTCCTATGACGGCAGTGAAGCGTGCCCATTCTGAAGGTCTCGCCACTGTGTCTCCCACTGCTTCGCGGAATCCCCTCGCGGCAGACATCGGGTCAAGCGGTGGGATATTGGCATTAAGTCAGGTATTCAGGGCAACTCAGGCACCATCGTCTCCTCTAGTGAACGGTCAACATTCCGACCTCGTGTCAGACCGACCTTCTCCTAATATACCCATCCAGAGCCATCCGGTCGCGACAACGCTCTCCTCACCTTACAATAATTTCGCCGCAACCTTTCCACGGGACACGTCCGCCAACAAATGGAACTACATCAGCATGCAGGAATCCCAAGCCAACCGGGATAAGGCATTGCATGAAAGAATGACACGTTCTGCAAACCATGTGTACTCGGACCAAAGCGACGGGGAATTTGATAAGGAGCCTAGTTTTGTTGAGCGGATGAGGCGCCGGAAGATGTTTGACCACGAGGCTGATGCTCAGCTTGTGGAGCTCACAGCACCTGCGAGGCCATCTAGTCGGCGTGGTAATCAAGCGAACATGATCATAAATCCCGTATCTGAAGTGCCGGAAGGGCCAGATCTGACTGATGGGTCTTCTGGAGAAGTCGAGGAGGTGAGAGAGCAGGGGTCTACCGGGCTGCAGCATGGGGCGCTCAGCGAAGAAGAAACGGAACAAGAGCAAGAGGATGACTTGGAACAGCCCACGCCACGGCCTTACGAGCTCGATGGTTCAGCTGAGGAGGATAAAGAAAATTGCCACGACCTTTCCACAACCAGTGCTGCTGCTGCGAGTGCGCATGATCGCCTATCGCAAGCTCTTGCCTTGCATGAAAGTCCATGTCCAACCAATGGGGAAGCGGTAAACGAGCGAGAAAGGTCGCTTTCGCGCGTTGGAAGTTTTGTACAGGATGAGCAATTGCATGAAGGCTACTCCTCACAGGTCTCAGTCATTAAGGACTCTCAGCGCTCCGCTGGTCGGAGAGATCCTGGTAATGACGGCACAGAGGAGCAATGGACCGCGCAGCGCATACATCAATCCGGCTCTCAGGCTCATATGGAGCCTTTGTCTAATGTAGACAGAGCAACTCCATCGCCCACAAAGCAAGTCCGTATACGTTCTTCTCCCCCTTCAGCGTCCCAGACCAGCCGACGATCGCTCGAGCTAGGCCGCGCTCACTCCGTAAGCAGGACAGGATCAGAGCTGGGCAGCCCATCTCCCTCCCAGACTCCACGGGCCTCGTTGGCGCAAGAGCGTAACATGATTGAGTCAAGCAACTCAGCTGTGCAGGGGGTTGCGGATACAGGCGATGCACCATCTACGTTTGATCGTCCCGAGAAGTCCTCATCGATGCCCTCGCGCGTCGCCGAGACTCCCGTTGCTCCCAGGGCTTTTGCAGAAATTGTACCAATGACAAGCATTCCCGAAACGAGTCCCAGCCGCCTTGGTCACCAAAGATGGCCGAACGACCATAATACAACCGATGCAGCCGATCAGGAAGATGATGACTTGCCACCGGTGTACATGGATGCGCACGAACGAGGGTCTCGTTCTCAGCCGATGGTTTCAGACAGCTCGTCGCCTATGAAACCTTCTTCGTTCCATAATTCGAAGATTCTCTCCAGCCCAAGTGGCAGACAACGCAGGGCACTGACGGAAATCGCAGCTGATGCTTCACCACAAATGGGTGCTGGCTCCTTCAACCTCGACATTAATATTCTGTCCGCCGATGACCGGGAGTTCCGGTCTGCGGTTGCAATGTCTCCTATTCAGCCAAGGAAGAAGCGCCGCGGTAATGTTGGACAGAGTATTTACGCTTCCGACCCAGTTTTCCCTGTCACACCTCGCGCGCCTACTCATGTCGTGCCTCCTCCAGAGAAGAATATGCCACCTATCACTGAGACGGAGCCGGAAAAGCCGGCTGAGCCGGCTACCAAGCCAATGCCAGCCTATCGGAGACGGGCAAAACCCTCTAGAAGAGCGGAAAGCATATGGGATATGGATGACTCTACACAGTATCACCTCTCTCGTAAAGAGAGGTCTCGGATTCTAGCTCGCTCTCATCCGGTGAAACAGGTACCTACTGAGGTCGAACAGCATGTTCCCATCCAAGAAGATCTGCCTGCCATACACGAGGACCAGGCGGCCAGTTCAATGCCTGAGCCATCCAGTGAGCCAGTGGGGCCCCAGCCAACAGAGACAGCACCTGAGAAGGATCCAGTCACGGAATCTCCACCTCGAGTTCAATATCCAGCTCAGCCTTCAGTCGGTCACGATAACGTACCTATCGCGGTCAACCAAGTTCTTGCCCCTTGGAGTGGTCCAAAGCGCGCGTACTATCCTGCAACGTGCTTTGGCAAGCCATTTGGCACATCGCAGTCGCGGTACCTGGTCAAATTCGAAGATAGTGCACCGCTTGAGATTCCTACTGGAGCGGTGAAACGACTTGAGCTGCGTATCGGTGATGGTGTGAAGGTGGATATGCGTGATGTTCCCAAGGTGACACATATTATCTCTGGGTTCGCCGACAAGCTCAGTTTGAGTGATATCGAACAGGGAGCTGCGAACGGACTGATTCCTATGACCGATGTGTATGGATATTCCTCCGTTATCCTGACACCGAAGCAGCGCAAGAGTCTCCCTGGCCTAGGGCTAGCAGTCACAGAGAACAGGATTACTGTTCCTATATCCCGAATCTACCTAGATACCATCCTTTGGAATCAATTGAAAGACCGGGCATTCAGCTATGATTCCGAACCTTCTTTTTCCCAGAACGGACCCCAAACGCCAGCCGACAGGCACTCCACGCCCATGTCCCCTGGTGCTCGACTCTCGCGCAGCTTCCGTTTTTCCACTGGTCTATTTGCTGGTATGGTATTTGCGGTATCATATGGAGACAACAACGAGGCCAAATCGCGTATCACAAGGATGATAATGGAGAACGACGGCCGGATTCTAGAGGACGGGTTCAACGAGTTATTCGAACTCCCTCCCAGTGCACCAGTTGCTACACCTACCAAGTCTTCAGCTCCAGTCCCTAGTACCCAAAACGGCCATCTCCGGCTGACCAGTGGTGCCGCAGACGTGGGCTTCGCCTGTCTAATAGCCGATAAACATTCCCGTCGGTCGAAGTACATGCAAGCTCTGGCTCTCAATCTCCCCTGTCTCTCAGACCGCTGGATCGAGGACTGCGTTTCCCGAGGACAAATCCTCGATTGGGAAATATACCTCCTTCCAGCTGGGGAGTCCACCTACCTTAACGGCGCAACCAAGTCCAGATTCTTAACCCCATACCCTGCCACAGAGGCCCGACTGTCCGAGACCATTGCCGGACGGCCAAATCTCCTCAACGGACAGTCAGTTCTTCTTGTCACGGGACGCAGTGGGCGAGCAGACGAGGAGAAACGCAAGGCGTACCTCTTCTTGACATATGCGTTGGGTGCTTCTCGTATTGAGCGCGTGCCTGATCTCAAGTCTGCGCGTGCGATCCTGAGTGCGACGCAGACGGATTGCACCAGCTGGAACTGGATCTATGTCGATGATGATGATCGAGCGTCCTCCGCCAAAGCCATGGCACTAGGAAGTTCATCGTCGACCGCCGGTTCGCGGAAGCGTAAGCGGTCGAAGCTGATGGAATCCGTTGACAGCAATGAGCTAGGAGTGAACAGTAATGTCAAGATTGTCGGCAATGAGTTTCTCTGTCAAAGCTTGATCTTGGGAAAGTTGTTTGACCAGTAATAAATTGGATCTAGTGGGATTAACATCTTCGACGATCATCTATGATGAATGTATGGGGTCTGGAGTATCTGCTTGTTTTTCATGCTTGCTGCTTTGATCAATCAGTGTGTTTGCGAGACTGATACTGATAGCAATATACCCTGGAGTCTGCTACTCTGTTAAAACCTCAGTTATTGTTTCTAAATAAAAAGAAAAGGAGTAGTAATTGCAGCCTATTCAAACGTCTTATAATACATACATACATATAGGTAGACAGACACAAAAGAAACCCTAGAACCAGAACTAATATATCACACACACGCAGTCAACTCTCTCTGATATAATCTCCATCACATCATCTATTTTCCACCCTTCTTCTTAGCGCCTTTCTTCTTGTTCTTCAAGCTCTTCATCTGTGCCATCCGTTCAGCCTTAGCCGTCCTCTTTCTCCATGCCAACCAACGGTTCTTGCGGTTATACGGCTTGGCCGTAATACCAGCCTTCTCCGCAGCCCGACCAATACTCCAGTTAGCCTCACGGTACATATAACCCGGACGCAACTGAACCGCAGCCTGAGCAGCCTCAACCTTAGTAGCACTGCCAACCTGCGTCCCTTCCTCTCCAATTTTAGCCACCAAATCGCCCTGCTTGGCGGCCAACTCCTCCTCAGGCTCAAACCGAACCGCCACACGGTTCAACTTCCGCCTAGTAGGCGCATTCTTCGGTGTCGGCAACTTGCCCTCCTTCTCAAACACAACTCCAATGTACTTCCGATCCGGATGGCGCTCAGGGTCCAGGTAGTACCGTACATACCCAGCCTCAGCAGCGTAGATGGTATGGTCGCGGCCCATGGCGCAGTTCTCGCCAGGGAACCATTTCGTGCCTCGTTGCCGGAAGATGATGCATCCCGGCACGACGTATTCGCCTGCTGTGCGTTTCGCGCCGAGACGCTTGCCAGCCGGATCGCGGGAGTGACGGTTCGCGGTACCTTGAGAGGCGTGGGAGGCGTGTCGGACTTGGAGGAATTGGTGTAATGTTGGGGATGCTAGCGGGGTGAGCTTGGTTTGTGTTATGCTGGTTGCGGAGAGGATGGAGGAGGTGTTGCGGAGGAGCGAGGAGGTGTTGCGGATGCTGGTGGTAGCGGCGGTGGGGGTTCTGGTGAGTCCCCTTTCTAGAGCCCGGAGGGGCGCTAGAAGACGAGGTTGGAACATTGTGTGGGTTGGGGAATGAGGTTCAATGGGATTGAACTGGAGAGGGAGATGGCTCGCTCTATTCCGGGGCTGCTTTTTTTCGCGGATCGGAGATGGACTTGGCGGGTAAGGTCACGTGCCGGATGCGGCCAGATGGCCGGTAACTTATCTACAACTATATACTTCTCTGCTTGCTTTTATCGATGATTTGATTTGCTCCGCTTTTTGATTTGGATATATTGCTCGCTTGTTTGTTTAAGCACCATTCGCAATGTTCTCCTGGATTCGGCTCCTCGGAGCCCTTCTTCTACTTGCCTCCGTGGCTCACGCCCAGTTCCAGTTCTTTGAGCATATGTTTGGAGGCGGCGGCGGCGGTGGTGGTCACCAGGGTCGTCAGCAGGCGGCGCAGAATGTTCCAAGTGATAGCTCGCGGTATCAGAGTCAATGGGATTCGGGTAAGTACTGTATATTTCGATTGAGGTATGCGTGCAGCGCTAATCCGTACAGCCCATTGCGATAAATACCTCTGCCCTGGCACGCTCGCATGCGTCCATTTCCCGCATCATTGCCCGTGTCCGCATCCCGATGTCGAAGAAAAGGTTGAGCTTGGAGAAGGAAGTGCCGTATGTGTGTCAAAGGGAGGATACAAGGAGGGTGAGGCGGCGCGGAAGATTGAGCTGGCGCGCAAGGGTCTTTTGTGATTGAGTTGTCTGAAAGTGGTTATATGTCGCTTTTCAGCTGAATTGGGGGTTATTGGTGTTGGTGTTTGCGCATATTGGTTCTGAATATGTCTTATGGATTCCACTGCTCAGGATGTCACTTCTGAGGCCTGCGCGTTGATCTGCGTCCTGGCTGAGTGACTCTTGCAGCATTATCGCTATGTTACTGTCGAAAGGCTCTTGGATTGTTGCATAGACAGCTGCTTGGGATATCACCTTTTCCTCGGACCGTTGATCAGAGACACCAAACCGCACCTAATACGTACATTTTAGGCGTCTGTGCTTACTTTACGGCGTCATTTATTAACAACCAATATGCATTTCAATGTAGATCTCATCAGTACTGAGTGTTGTAAGCGGCTGTATCGAATCAGCCCTCTTAGGCAGACTATCAGCACAGCTGTGTAGTAGGTTAGTAGTCCACGTAGGCAGAGCTGGAAAAGACAATCTGGAACGACATGAGAGAGGTCAGTTTTTCCAATTGACTACAGTCATCTGTCTGAATAAGAGTGTCCCTCGATACTGGAACTGCTGTTACATGCGGAACATCATTAATTATGGTCATATGAAGTAGTACTTGAATCATTATATGATCAGCTGGAGCAGAGCACTTCAAGGGCAGAACCCGTTAACTAAATATACTATTTAGTATCAATCGAGTCCAGATATCCAGTATTAAAACCGAGCCTGTTGGAGATTGTTCCTATATACTGGAGCTTCGTATACGTCCGTTTGTAGATATTCACAACACAGACTAGAAAGTACTGGAAAATAAATACTCTGAGTTATCTCGCAATCAGTTCGCGGGGTGGATGAAGGCAAAAAGGGCAGCGGATGGATGATCAGCGTCTTATCGCCGTTAACTCCGCCCGCTCCCGCAACTTCGTCATCGCGGGAATCTTCCATTCTTTCTCTTCCATCTTCAGCTTATTCAACTATACTTCTCGGTGCTACAGTTACCTCACATATCTTTGTCTAATTTCGCATCATACATTTTTACCGACTGGCCCCCAACATTGGAATGTGGAGTGCGCTCCGAACACCACCGGCGCAGTGCCTTCGAGCTCCCGGTCGAGCTCTCGCCAGCTCACTTCGCGGCCGACCCAACCCCCGAGGCCCCCGAAACTCCATACGCAGGCCAGAGCCCATCAGAAGAGACGTCCCAGCGTCGCGAGCGCCTGAACCCAGCAATACAGAGACATCCCCCGAAAATCCCACGCCTCAATATGACCCCTCCCAGAACACCCTACTCGCCCCAGTTCACATCCCCGAAGACCCTCATGGCGTGATAAAAGAGACGCACCCGGCGACGGGTATCCTCGCCAACTCAGGTCTGGTGGTGCAGCGGCAGTTGGAGCTCATGAATGTGATGATTGGATTCGAACAAGCCAACAAATACGTCATTATGGATGCCAACGGCAACCATATTGGCTATATGGCGGAGCAGGAGAAAGGCATGGTGAACATGATGGCGCGACAATCGTTCCGAACGCATCGAAGCTTCGTGACGCATGTGTTTGACAAGCATGAGAATGAAGTGCTTCGGGTAGGTATCGATCTGCCAGTTACTTGTGGATGATGCTGACTGCGTAGTTCCACCGTCCGTTCTCGTGGATCAACTCCCGTATCCGCGTATATGATCCTCTCGACCTGGCAAAGGGTGCCTATTCCTCGTCCACTGCACTACAGGCAACCTCAGCCGGATCTCTGGTCCAGCCTACAGGGGACTCGAATGCTCGGGTTTCATCCTTGGGCTTGGATGAAATGCGGGTTATCGGAGAGGCTCAGCAACAATGGGCTCCACTACGGCGGAAATACAACCTCTTCACGTATCACCACTCGCCAAATCCAGCGACAGAGATGAAAACAGAGAAGCTACCGCTTAACCAGATGGATTTGTCTAATAAGCAGCAAATGCAGCTGGTCCAATCATCTCAGAGTGGCCAAGAAACGGGCGAATATCACCAATTCGCCTACGTGGACGAGCCTTTCTTGTCGTGGGATTTTGGTCTACGCTCGGCTGACAAACAGCTGATCGGCTCTGTGAATCGCAACTTTGCCGGGTTTGCCCGAGAAATCTTCACGGATACGGGTGTCTATGCTCTGCGAATGGACTCTGCTTCTCCCAGCGAGGAGTTCCTCGACAAGAACCGTGCGGCTACTGGGATGACATTCGACCAGCGTGCCGTGATGCTGGCAACCGCTGTGAGCATTGACTTTGACTACTTTAGTCGCCATAGCAACTCGGGTGGATTTGGTTTCATGCCTCTCTGGATCCCTGGATTTGGTGGTGAGGCAGCTGCTGGGGGTGCTGCCGGGGGCGCAGCAGCCGGTGAAGCAGGTGCCGTGGGGGAAGCGGCCGCGGGAACTCTTGGTCGGGCTGGGGCAGCCGGTGGAATGGCTGATGGCGCTGCAGCAGGTGCAGCAGGTGCGGGCGCAATGGCTGGCTACGAAGCCATGTCCCGTGGGATGGGAGGCAGCCAGCCTGCTCCCGATCAGCAAGCGGCACCTGTAGACCAACAGCCACCGACGCCAGGTCAAACGGGTCCGTATGGTGATGTCTGGGGGGAAGAGCCCGAGAACCCATGGGGAAAGGAGCCTGAGAATACATGGGGCCAGGAAGAGGACCCGTGGGCAGATGAAGCCGACGAGGGCGAGGGAGGCGATGATTTCGATTGGTTCTAAGCGGCTGATAACTACAAACAGGCAGTACGATCAGGATGGTTGACATTGTGAGATGGTCAGACATATACTATCCCCCCATTCATGCAGGGATAACGACGACAGAGCTCATGTAACCGGGAGCACTGAGAATCACCGTAACGGCTTTAATGACATGGCCTGCGGCATACTCGACATGATCTGACCGAGTAGACACTGATGTCATTCATACTCGGCCCTGCTTGAAGTGCAAATCGGTTTATGCAGCTGACTGACGATGATTAGCCCGATGTACCATAATGACAGTGAAATCTCCAAATAATTGTATAATATCACGCGAAAAGGAAACAATGCTAGCCAGAAATGAACTCAAGATCATTCTCCTTCCATACTGATGAAAGCGGCGATAAGCATCATTGCAGCCTCAGGCACCCAACGCATCCCACCGCTCAACCATCAATGAATGGAACCTCAATCACTCAATCATTCATTGGCTTTCAAAGTGGCAAACCTTGATTTCTCCTCCAATTCAATTCCAACCCACTCACCTTCCCCAGTAAACCAACCTCTAAAAAGTTTTCTTAGTCCTATCTTCTCAACGCCACCCCAGGTACATAACCACCACCCCTATTAAGTACCCCCGTTGTCCTCACCCTCTCCGGTCCGATCTCCGCACTCTCCTCTCCCCTCTTTATCTAATCGCCAGATAGACAGCCAGACCGCCACCACCACCAGCACCAAAAACCCACTACCTGCTTCCCTCACACGACGCCGGAGAAATTAAGCCAATAATTAAAACCAATACTTCTCAAAGAGAAAGAAAGGCAGTGATCAATCAAAATGTCCTCCGTCGCCCAGAAACGCCTCTTCCACGAATACAAAAACCTCTCCACCAACCCCCCCGAGGGCATCACCGCCGGCCCCGTCACCGAAGATGACATGTTCCACTGGGAAGCACTAATCCAGGGGCCTGAAGGTACGCCCTTCGAGGGCGGCGTGTTCGCGGCCGAGTTGAAGTTCCCTAAAGATTATCCGCTTAGTCCGCCTACAATGAAGTTTGTGGGTGGTGGGGTTTGGCATCCTAATGGTAAATAACTCCTTCTTTTCCCCTTCTTTCTCTGTCTGGATTTTTCTTTGTCTTCTAGTCTTTTCTGGTGATGCTTGGTTGAGCTTATGCTAACGTGTTTTGGACATACGTATAGTATACCCCAACGGGACCGTGTGCATTTCCATCCTCCACCCCCCCGGTGACGACCCCAACCATTACGAACATGCTTCGGAGCGGTGGTCACCTATCCAGAGCGTGGAGAAGATTCTCATCTCCGTTATGAGTATGTTGGCGGAGCCGAATGATGAGTCTCCGGCGAACGTGGAGGCTGCGAAGATGTGGAGGGAGCGGAGGGGGGAGTATGAGCGGAAGGTGAGGGATGAGGTTAGGAAGGGATTGGGGTTGTAAAGCACCCTCTTCCTCAATACGAGTTCAATGGTGAAGGGGAGGGGTTTGGTCGTATATAAGTAACCGGTTGCTGGGCTGGTTGCTCACTGTCTGTCTATACTCTGTGTCGTGGAGGAAATTGTGGCATAGCTTGGATGGATGCATTGGTTGCTTGGGTTGGCGTTGTGGTGCGTTCGTTCTTTTCTCTTTCCTTCATCTTTATATATGTTCTATTTGACGCCCACTCCTGGGGTAGATGCATGGTCAGGAATGCATAAATGCTTTCATCAGTATATATCGTTATCTTTCGTCGTGATAATGGTACGAAGTCATGAATACGTCCTACCTACCTACTGTTTTGTATGAGATGGATCAGCTTCCTATCTAGCCATCCTGTCAAGCCACCCTCCATGTCGTACAGAATCTCCATCTCTGCCTTGAGATTCAACATGAGCATCCGTTGCAGCTCCACCCGCCATTCCGGCTCCGGTCCATCGGCCTCCCAGACAGGATTTCTAGACAGTATAGCGATGACCTTCTTCCTATCCCGCTTCGTAAGATGGAGTAGCGTGTCATCGCCTAGTGGATCAGCGCCTGCAACCACATCCGCTAGTCTCAAACCCAGCCAGTGGAGACCGGGCACATTCAAGTTCCGGTTTTCGTGGGCAAAAGCCACAGAGCCATACTTGTATGTGGCCATAATGGCCATGCCGTCGGGGTCACCGTCCACTAAGGCGTAGAATTGCGGTTGCTTGGTGAGTTGGTGGCTATGGTCGAAGAGTTTACGGACGAATGCCCGAGTGCTGAGATCAGGATATCCTTTTCCCTGGAATGGTTTGTATGCCTCTTAGGATGTAATAGGGGTATCAGCACTTACAGTGACGAGGACGCCCTTGCCTGCTGCAGATCTGATGTGGTAGTTGCTGCTTGCGAGTCGACGGTATACGGCCTGAGGGTGTCAGTTCACTCCAGCTTGATATATAAGTTCTTGATGGCAGCAGGGACCTCCTTCTCTAGAACCAGTACCCAGGCAACATCTTTAAGGTCGAGTTTGTGGATGTCTTGCATTCTAGGTACTAGAGTATCCTGCGAACGTCAGTCCATGCTGTGTGTAGTAGTGATGACTGCAACAGACCTGGTTTGATAATCGCGCGTCCACTACTCCCGCGCTTTTGGTGGTCATCTGATAGTATCCCACAACGAGTCCTTTTGCTGCTGCCCCCTGTGTTGCAGGATACTTAGCATCCTAGAAGTAGGTACTGTTGAGGCCCACAGACCACATATAATGCAGCACGATCTACCCCCATTGTGTGTGCCAAGTCGTCAACGAGTGTATCGACGGTTTTCTGGGAGCCGAAGCAGATAGGATCACTGTAGTATATGTCTCTATATCAGGTTTAGTGTTTGAAAGTGTTAGAGTACACTAGTGGTCTGTGTTGTTTACCTCTTAGAGACCACCAACCCTGCCTGAACTGCCTCTGCAATGGCCGCGAGGACTCGAAGAGCGGCAGCTGTGTCTTCATTAGCAGAGTGTCTGAATGGTGACAACATATCGTACTGAATTTCAATGCTTCGTTCATATCGCCGCCGGGCCATCTGTAGGTGGTGTATGTCTGTATCTCCGACGTCTCCAGGGCCAGTGTACGTGGGTTAATGAACAGTGAGGCAAACTTTTTACCTCTCTGTTTGAGGGTGATAGAGAGGTGGCCTTCACGGAAGGATACTTCATCCAGGATTGCTGCTAGCGTTTCCTGAATGTAGCTTTGGACTGGTGTTTGGGGAATTGTAGCGATGATTGTTAGCCGTTCGAACGCCTCGGCCTCCATGCCATCTAAATGTGATGCTTCCATTGTTTCTAGGATCAAGATGGGTTAGGAGTGGATGACCTGTAGGGGTAGGATGGAGATGATCCGAAGCCGAAAGGTGAAGATAGACTAAGAGGGGTCGTGAGTATGCGACCCAACATATATGGTATCTCATCACGTTACAACTAGTGAAACGAGTTCTTCTTGTACAATATACAATGTCAAGTGAATGGCCGAAAGCAACAAAAAATACTCAGTGATCTTGATTGGCCAGTGTTCAAAGTATAGCAAGCCGGTGGCACGTAGTTACAGGCACAGAGTTAGCCAAACTGGTTTCCTGGAATATCGCTCATATCTTCATACAAGAAATGAAGTATATCCTGCTTAGGGAGCCGGGGGTGGAAGATGACTAGGCTGCGACCAGAGCCATTATTTAAGTAAGCTAATTGTACTGATTCGTGTTTAAACAAGCATCAGCAATGCGAATGCTCATAAAGGGCACTACTAACATGTTTCACTGCCAAGTGCCATAAGGCTTAAGTCGTGCCCTCTTCAGTCTGAATCAGACAACCTAATACATTCCAAGCACAGTCAAGACATCCTCATTTCACTCGCACCTCAATCGTTCTATCCTTCTGTATTTCCGCATTTGATTTCCAATAACGTTCCGCTCGGAAACTACATCGCCATCAGTCATCGTAGCGAAGTTGAGATTAGCTCTTACCTCCAGTGGATATTAGCCAGAACAATATTTTGGAGGCCATCAATATACGTCTGAACCTGCGCATCGACATCTTCGCCCCAGCTGGGTAAATCGGCTAGTGTCAAATACCAATCACGATAGCATGCAGCCAGTAGCTTTCCAGCTTCATCGAAAGCAGCTTGAACTGAGAATCCTTGCCGGAGATAAATTTTGATCAAGTTGCTGCTTTCATCGAGGATCTGGAAGGGAATGTTAGTCATTCTGTACCATTAGCTGACGGACCATAAATATGCACATACTTGCTCCTTCCGATAGGAAACGATGTCATTTTGGCTGTAGAGTCAGTAGCCGGCTTCTACAACGGACAAGGTTCTTACATGACCGTCACTTCAGTGCTGACCCTTTCCAGCTTTTTGATCGATGGACACTCAAACACTTCATCTGGAATGTTCAATCCATAGGCATACCTGGATCGTCAGCACGTTTGACCCTTCCAAGGAGGGAAAAGGCCTACTCAAATAGCGCATATAGAGGCGTGGTCGCAACACTTCCACGTCTCATTACGATAAACTCTTCGACTGACAGTGTTTCACTGCCTTGGAATTTGGATTGCATGATGACCTGCTGAATACACGCTTCGGAATAGTCTCGCATTGAATTAGCAAACCGACGACGGGTTCCTGTGTGTCGTTGATCCCATCAACTCCATATTCAGATTAATTGAGGCTGACAATGTGATTACCGGCAGAGCAGTTCGACTGAAACATTAGCGAGGATCACAGTTTCATCGACATAACTCTCACCTCGGATAGTCTGTCCCAGATGGACTTGAACGCAATAACAAGAGGAGCTCTCGGTCTAAAGATTCCTTCGTTTTTCATGACGGCCAAAAGCTCGTCCATCATTCTTTTCACACCATCCAGATCTAATTTCAACTCTCCATTATCGAAAGCTGTTTACATCGCATCGTGAGAACAGGAAGTGTGATTGAACAGGAAAACACTACCATCATCAAAAGGAAAAACCTTGATTCAGATTAGTATATACAGTACACCTAAAGAGATTCAACACAGGGAGATCAACGCGAACGTACCCAGTTTCCCCAATCACACATCGTTCGCAACTGATCTCGCTCTGCATTAGGGGCCATAATGGCCAAGAAGTACCCAAAGTCAGTCTTGTGAATGGATCGTGCCATATTTTCATCAAATTTGCAGGCCCTTCAGAATTTTAGCTGAAGGTACTAGAGTGAAGAAAGGGTCACTTATACTTGATCAGCCACTGCTCCGACTCTTCCCTGATGGCTTCATAGTGCCGATTCACTGGAGCCTTTCTCGCAACGAAGCTCACAAATAACGGAGGCAATTTCACCTCGACGATAGTGTCAGCGTCCCAACCCATCTTCCTGGCTTGTAAATGGGTATATCGGTTTATGCTGGATAAAGTGGATAAGTAGGGTGTCGGCTGAATACTTATAAGCCAAGCTCTACTTGACCCTCACAACTCATCGATGGCTCCTATGACGTTTCAAAATACTAAATACGAATGGATGCATTCCTCGACAGCTACAGTGATATCTCCTTCGGACTGCCTTCATAAGAGTGATGTCACCGTCTAACTGAATTATTCCCCCCCTCATTTCCTTCCTCTGTAGTCAACAGCAGCTCATCAAGATTAATCGAAGCTTGCTCGTGACTCTATGCAAGGATCTGCAGGGCATTACCACCTTTGCTGATTCGAACAGGAATGCTGTATCTCTGCCCTATCGCAATTGAATATGCATCACAGTTACCCCACATAAGGCAAGCCGTACTCCTTCCCAATGCGTTTGAGTTATGATGGAACGTACTCTGGTCGAGTGCGAGAAGATCGTTAGTGGCATCTATTGGTCCACTGGTCCACTCGTGGCAAACATGTCACAGGCACTACCGCTTCCTTTTAGAGCAATGATGTGAGGTTATTCAGCAACTGGAAAGACAAATGAAGAAATCTTCCTATATGAGTGGGCTGGCATAGTTCTTAAGTCCACCGATAAACACTAACGACCCTTACGAACCATTTCAAAGTGGCCCCAGTTGACCAACTTGAGCTAGTGTAACCGCATCGCTGTCCGTTCCAGAATACAAACCTAAAATTCTGCCAGACCTCCATGTCTGGAATGAACCTCGCTATTACCGACATGGACGAAGACACTAGTAGCCGAACGAAAAAGGATCTTGTCAATCAAGGTTATAAAGCATGCTTCGTCATAACAAATGTCTCTAACTCCAATAGTACCAGGTACGCAGTTTCTTGAGGAAACAATCGAGGTCTTCGGCCAACGCAGGCGTGAGTGGAGGTTGCATGCCAAAAATTGAGTTGGACGAGACTGAATGTGGTCAAGTGATTGATACCAACCTGTCCAGCGTCACTTACTTCCTTAAGTGGACAAATGATCAAGCAAGGTCACGGAGCTTCCCTTATCAATGTCTCCTCCAGCGGGATTCTTCTGCCTATTGTGCTTCCAGGCACGATGTGGCACGACTGGATAAGGTTGCGGGTAGTGTATTGTGGCTTATATCTGAGACTTCTTCGTATGTTACAGGAGTCATAATTTCTGTCAATGCAGTGTACTCCTTGATAGGAGCCCGAATTATACGTAGTGATGTAATGAAATCTCACTGCTACCGAGCACGGATTGAATTATGCTCCTTGTTTCTTGCACATATTCCTGGTAGTTAGTATTTTATGAGAGCTTCTGAACTTAGAAACTTGCAGATGAAATTCTACAGGTTGATATTGCAAGTTACCCACACTATAGCCCTCACATTTGTGATTTTGTAGGTTTGCGTTTCTCAGGCATCTGGATAATTCCATCGGACAAAGGAGAACTGTTGTGCAACCCTAATTATCGTGCACCACGCTCAACATAATCATTCTTGAGGGTGTACATAGGAATGTGGGGGCAACGCGTTCTTCCATAGCAATCTTAAACGGTGCTTGTGCATTATGACTGTGTTACCCATGGGATATAGTAACTGACAGCCGTATCTTAAGCCTTGCTTACTTTGAGTTGTATATTTGGCTTGAAAATGTTTTCAACAAGTCTCAGATCGACCTATGCCACATGGGTGAGAGGACAATGGAGTGAAGTGATCATGGATTGGCAAGAAATGCGAAAAATATCCATGTATTGGTGAAGGGGTCAACTGCATCCTCTTGTGGTAGGATAGGGCACTGTAGACCTAGCAAACTAGAAGTAAGAACGCTTCTATTCAGCTTTTCTCTATCTTATGCTTCATTCAACAAACAAAAAGACTTAGTACTACAAATATGGTATAATTGCTTTCACCTCGTATGATATTTGATATGTTTGTACACACTATATCCTGATTCAAGTTTGCGATCCCTACACGGAGATAGTTGAAGATGCACGTGTGGATGCCCAGCGGCAGGTTTTCTCCGCCTTCTGCCTCCGAAGCTCTCTCCGTTCCCGCGTCGCATTTATCTACTATCGTTCATTTCGACATTGCACCTCTGGGCCTCCCAGAATGATTTTTGGCCTTCCCGGATAATAAATTTGATGGTCATCTACTCGCCTCAAATTGCAGGAAATACCTGGACCACTCGTTGACGAACCGACGACGTTACACCCTCCCGCCCACCCGATACCTCCTACCTCCGTTCTTTTACCTCCACCTCAACACTCACGCCCACCATGTCCGTTTGGAACCCCGATAATATTCGCGATGTTGCCGAGTCGGTCGGTGTTGTGAACCTCAGCAATGATGTCACTGAGAACCTTGCCCGCGACGTCGAGTACCGCATCGCGCAGGTCCTGGAAGAAGCCCTCAAATTCATGCGCCACAGTCGACGCACGCTACTCACAACACAAGATGTCGCGCAGGCGCTGCGCGTGCTGGATGTGGAGCCACTGTACGGATACGAGTCTACAAGGCCTTTGCGGTTCGGAGAGGCGTCACTGGGCCCTGGTCAGCCGTTGTTCTACGTGGAGGATGAGGAAGTGGACTTTGAGAAGTTGATAAATGCGCCGTTGCCCAGGGTTCCTCGCGAGATCTCTTTCACAGGTAAACTTGACCCTGCTGCTCTATGGAAATATTTACAATGAAGTGTTGGCATGCTGACTCCATTAAGCCCATTGGTTGGCGGTTGAAGGTGTACAACCGTCCATCCCCCAGAATCCCACGGCGGCCGACTCGAGAAACATGGAACTGATGTCCAAGGGACCCAACGCAAGCTCTACATTGGCGGCCATGAGTGGAGGAGGAAATGTCTCCGTCAAGCCCCTGGTGAAGCATGTGCTTTCCAAGGAGCTCCAGCTATACTTCGAGAAGGTCTGCAACGCCTTCCTGGACGAGTCCAGTGAGGAATACAGGACGTCGGGTTATGCCAGTCTCCGAGAAGACCCCGGACTACACCAGCTGGTGCCATATTTCGTGCAATTCATTTCGGAGAAGGTGACGCATGGGCTGAAGGATGTCTTTGTCCTGACGCAGGTGATGCACATGGCCGAGGCTTTGGTACAGAACAAGTCTCTCTACGTGGACCCATATGTGAGTCATGATTGTCACATGAACAACGCGGATTCCATTCCACTGACTCCTGATAGATCGCCTCACTTGTTCCACCTATTCTGACGTGCCTGATCGGTCGACAACTCGGTGGCAGTGCTGAACTGACGGAGCAATTTGCCCTGCGCGACCTTGCCGCATCGCTTCTGGGCCTCATCGCCAAGAAATATTCCAATTCGTCGCACACCCTCAAGCCACGACTGGCCCGGTCGTGCCTGAAGACGTTCCTGGACCCGTCCAAACCCTTTGGGGCGCACTATGGCGCGGTGATCGGACTACATGCGGTTGGCGGTGCAGAGGCGGTGCGGGTGCTGATCATGCCTAATCTGCCGACGTACGGTAACCTGCTCAAGGATGGCATGGCGGAGGAGAGTCCACGCCGGCCGGAGGCAGAGCGGGTGCTTAGCGTGCTGCTGGGGGTGCTGAACACGCTACGGGAGGGCCGGATGGCACTGGCCAACGGTCATGGCGGGATGGTGACGGATGGTCTTCGAGATCGGCTGAGTCAGAAAGTGGGCGAGTTCCTGGCCGCGAAGATTAGTGACGCGGGGGAAGTTGACCTCGCTCATGCCATTGTGGAGTCATCCTCCTGATTCTGCTGCATTTCTCTCTCTACAACTTGAAGTAGCATCTCATTCTGTATCTACTTTGGATGTACATCTTTAGGGGCAGCGGGTGAAGAGGCATGCGTGCTTTCTTCCATTTTTCTTAGTTTGAGTGTTTGTTGCCGGGCATGGACAGAATTCGGCGTTTGGGGCAAAGGGTGTTTTAGAAGGAGGGAATCGGGGCTATTCTTGAATGCTAGCTAGCGAATTGTACCTCTGCATGATATCTTGATGCTTTGTCGACTTCAACCTGCTCATTGTGCTGGGAGGGAATTTAGTAGTGGTGGAAGTTGTGAGACCGATTTCCCGATGGGAGGGAGACACGACGTCACCCTCCCTTTTGGGAAGAAGTCGACCCTTGTACTACCGCCTGCCTGGTTGGGCACGAAATGTCGGGTTTTTTCCGTTTGGCAGGGAAAATCCGATCGGCTCATTCCTTATTCCTGGCCTTCTTTTCCGGCCATTCGAACGGAGCATCTCATCATCAATTCATCCATCGCGCCCTCCTGCCTCTCCAGGGATCGTGTGTGGTTGGACTAAAATTCTTATAATTGCCCAGGTAAGTTATATGTTCCTGCATCTTCCCCTCATCCCCATCCCATTCCTCTTGGTGTCTCCGACTCTGAACCGTTTTCCCGCCTTCTCTCAGATTCTGCGCGTTTGATTCCCAAAAGAGCCCAACCCAGATTGGCCTCTTTCCTTTGCCCGCCCCACGAACTTTTTTCGGGCCCACAGATCACGGACAGCAATAATAATCGCTCAACCGTCGCCCGTCAATAACTACTTCTTTCTTCCCTTCCCCCCCCCACGTCCGCGTGCCTTTTTTGAAATCTTATTTATTTCCCTCTCCTTCCTCCTCACTCATCCGGTGGAGGTTCTATCGCTTTGGTTGTCTTTGAGTCATTGGGTGATCAAAGAGCCAAATCGCTTTGCTGCATTCCGCTGCACACTTGCCCTACCCGTTATCGTTGCCGTCGAAAGTCGCCTCGCAGATGTTCAGTGCTGTGGCTTCTCACGACATCGTGCTGTTTTAAGCTCGTCTTCTGTCCTGCCTTCCATGAACCCGAAGGATCTACTACGGTACCTGTCTAAGCCTGCCAAGTATGTTTGTTGCCGTTTGTCCTCTTTCCTTAGTCTCTTCACTTCGTCTCCGGTGGGTCAAAAGTTTCTGTCATGGCTAACAGATCGCGAGTAGGCCCCGATAACACGCTTGAACCCCACCTTTTTTCTCCAGTCGCGCAAACCTCACTTTTTTCTCTCCCACATTTCAAAAAGCAGATACTCTCGTCTGCTAGACCCGATACTTTCGCCGGTATCGGTATCTTCCAGCACGAGGGTCACGACCAGATAGTCACCATTCCCTTTTCCAGAGGCTTTTTCCTCCTTTCCCTCTCTTTCCGCCCTCCCTAGCAGCCCTTCAGGCTTCTACCGAAACTACCCCTCTTTGGCTGAGTGCCAATTACCAGAAAAACAGATTAAGGGCCTACTCTCTCAGACGGACATAGCCCCCCTGTTCGTCTGGGCAGCAGATAGTGCTTCCTAGGCTCTTTGTCTACGGTCCACACATCCAGTCGCGCGCACCTGCTATATCGCTGCTCCGTCCGCTTTACCGATCAATTTGCTGCATTATCAATCGGTCAAGATGGTCTACATTGGGATCCCCCAGCACTACACGACGTCGCCGTCCTCTTTCATGGGGACCCCGTCCTTGACGATCAACCATGAGGCAACCCAGGATCTTGATTCCACCAACGCCTTCGAAGGTATGTGGCTGTGATACTAGTGGCTCTATGTTGGAGATATACTGACGTGAATGAAGGCCCCGAGAAGCTTCTGGAGGTTTGGTTTGCCCCGTCCGCTCAGGAACTGGGTTCTGCCGGTCCTGCCGGCTTGAAGGCTGTGCCTGAAGAGATCTGGAAGGATATGCTTGACCTCGTCAACTGCCAAGTGCTCTCCATCGTCTCGTCCGAGGATGTCGACGCCTATCTCTTGTCCGAGTCCAGCATGTTCGTCTGGCCGCACAAGCTGATCCTGAAGACCTGTGGTACGACGACCCTGCTGTCGGGACTTCCGCGCATTCTCGAAGTTGCCGCTTTGTTTGGTGGCTTCCCTCGCGCTACCGCACCTGCTTCCCGCGGCATCTCCGTCGCTGCGGCCCCGTACCGTGTGTTCTACAGCCGCAAGAACTTCCTCTTCCCCGACCGTCAGCGCGGTCCCCACCGCAGCTGGAGAGACGAGGTTCGCACCATGGACAAGCTCTTCCTCAACGGCAGCGCCTACATGATTGGCAAGATGAACGGCGAGCACTGGTACCTCTACCTGACTGAGCCCAACACCTTGCTCACTCCCCCGACCAGCCCTCGCGTCGAGTCGGAGGATCCGGTGACCGAGACCAAGGTGCTTCAAGTGCCCGCAGCTGGTGCCTACCAGACGCGCGAAGACCAGGACGAGACTTTGGAGGTGTTGATGACCGACCTGGATGAGGAGAACGCCAAGCAGTTCTACCTGGACCACGCTACTGCTGTTGCCGAGAAGCGTTACTGCAACTTCGAGGCCGACAATGACGACCACGTTGATGTCTTCAGCAACAACTCCGACATGGATGATGTGTCGTCCAACGGCAGCCGCGTCTTGCCCCCTGAGCTGACTACCGAGGGTCATGCTTTGGGAACGGTCGTGTCGGAGTCGTGTGGTCTTTCGGACGTCTATCCGAAGTCCAAGTTCCCCGAGTCTCGGATCGACGCCTACCTGTTTACCCCGTGCGGATTCTCCGCCAACGGCGTCATCCCCACGCCTGACCAGAACACCGGAACGCACTACTTCACGGTGCATGTGACTCCGGAGCCTCACTGCTCGTATGCGTCGTTTGAGACCAACGTGCCGCACTCGCAGAACGGCCAGACTACGCAGGAGATTATTCAGCAGGTGGTGAACATCTTCAAGCCTGGACGCTTCACGGTGACCTTGTTCGAGGCTAAGCCTGAGACTACTACCGCCGATGGCGAGTTGGACCACATCAAGGAGGTCAAGTACATTGAGCGGCAGGCGGCTCGTCGCACTAAGATGGAAAATGTGGCAGGATATCGTCGGGTGGATCGGATCGTGCATGACTTGGACGGATATGACCTCGTGTTCCGCTACTACGAACGTCTTGACTGGAAAGGGGGGGCCCCTCGGCTCGGAGAAGAGCGCGTTTGAGAGAGCGAACACGGTGTCTGTCCATGCATGAGAGGTGAGAAGGAAGTGGGAGAATGATATCGTTTCTTGACTGTTTCCAATTTCGGGTTTTGTCAGCTGTTACTTTCCTATCATCGAGCGATTGAGCTTTGTTCCTTTTTGAGCAATGTTAGTATCCACCTTCGCTTACGCTTTATGGCATTGTGGTTATTTCGAACAAATGTTATCCGTCCTACGGACTGATCAGGTGCATTGATCGTAGAAAATCCGAGTAGTTGAGCGAAGAACGAGTGAAGTAGAAATAAGCAGCGGGCGGGTGCAGGAGCGCGCCGGCGGAAAGTCGACCACTCGGCAGACTTGCCGGATGGGGCGCCGTAACACCGATAAGCCGCCTTCCTTTGGATCTTTCACCCACACTCCGTCGCATCATCTCCCCCAGCAGTCTCCATAACCCAGTCCATCACCTGTACACTTTCTATCCTGAATAACTTGAACAGCTGAGTCTTTATTCGCGCCTTACCGAGATTTCGCAGACAGATCGAGACACGACTTTTCATCCGCGCTGCGAGCAAGCCTTGTCGGCTCTCGACAAAGCAACATCAACATCACCCATCACACCATTTCTTAACACAAACACATCATGTCCTCACCACCACCACCGTCCTCAAACCCCCTCAAACGCCCCTCCATCTCCTCGGCCTCCTCCCAACCACTCGGCAGCCATCCCAAGCGACCGCGCATGCACCCCCTCCGCCAGACCTCCTTCCCCAACACCATCGACGCAGACACGCGCACCTACAGCGATGCCGGCAGCGTGACGGGCAGCTTTACAGGCAGTCTGGGCGGGACCAGCGCAGATGGGGTGTTCCTAACGAAGGGAAAGAAGCGCGGTAGGAAGAGTAAAGCGGAGAAGGAGCGCGAGAGAGAAGAAGGGAGTTTGCGGGCGGGAATGGATCGACTGGGGTCGGTGGATGTGGATGGCGCGTCAGTGAGGGGTGGTGCTTCTGGCGGTGCCGGAGGAGGAGGGGGAGGAGAAGATGCAGATGAGGATGAGGATTTTGATGATGAGGGGGAGTTGCTGGGGAGGGAGGAGGGGACGACGGATACGGAGGCGGAGAAGAAGAATATGGCGTATGCATCCCTCCTTTTTGACGGTTCTATATCTGGCTTGTGGACGAAGTTGCTAACTGGTTCCGGTGTAGGTTGTTGGTGGATGCATTCAATCCCATCCAGTCGGAACGATATGATCTGTTCAAACGAGCCAAGTTACGAAAGGAGACGCTACGACGTATTGTCAATCATGCGCTGTCGCAGTCTGTGCCGGCTAGTGTTGTCACAACGATTAATGGTTTTACGAAGGTGTTTGCGGGTGAGATTATTGAGAAGGCTCGTACCGTGCAGGCGGAGTGGGCTATCGCTCATGATCAGGCGGCTTTGGCTGCAATTGAAGCTGAACAGGCGACGACAACAACAACAACCACAACATCTGGGGGTATTAAGCAGGAGCCCATGGAAAGGGGGCCTATGTCTACGCCTGTTGGGAAGAAAGATGTCAAGCTGCCTCCGAATCCCCATCGGGGCCAGTTGCTGCCCTCGCATCTACGGGAGGCGCTGCGGCGGTATAAGCGGGATGGTGAGGGTGGAGGCGTAGGGTTCTCGGGTCTGAGTATGGGCAATCTGGGGGTGCGAGGGTCGGTGACTTGGTCGGCGGGTAGTGTTGGCGGACGGCGCATCTTCCGGTAATGGATTATGGATCTGGTTATAGTAAAGCCGTGAGCGCAGAGGTGAGCGTGGATAGCAAAATGGTGGCTGAAATACTGAGAAAGACCACTGCAGTAATGATAGTATCATAATAAATGATGATAGACGGATTGTCTATAGTTACTGAACACTGAATACTCATTCTAATCATGATTTTACTTCTAGCATGCATACCCATCACCTTATATGCAGTGGCAGATCTAGAGTTGCATCTCACTGACCTCTACTGAGAATACATGCAAGAACGCGCCTAATCCCCCCTTCCCCCTACACCCACTTCCCTCTTTTCTACTTTCGATAAGGTCCATCCATCCGTTAATTTGTCTCTTGGATCTCCTACGCTCTACTACTACCGTACATGATATCAGTTGCTGTTGTTACTATATCAGCTGATAATGATGTTAACATGGTATGAATGTATTATTGTGTGTATATTAGCATTATTATTGTGTGTATATTAGCATATAATAACAACCACGTCCGAACCCAAATCACCGTTTCTATCCTTTATAAACCCACCGCGACGCACAATTTCCGATTCCCCCACTACCATCGTCATAGACAATGTTCTGTATCAGTGTCATAAAAGTAGTATGTCCTCGCAGTTTGCTCCAACAAGCATTCATCATCATCATCCCCCTATCTTTGCTTTCTTCCATTGCCCCGTTTCGAAGTATCCACGTCGATAATGTCCTTCATACTTCCTCTGACTTCTTCGGTTGCTGCAATGGTTGCATGAATATCTCAGTTTCAGACGTAGTATGGTATAGACAGACAAATAGACTTCTGATTACAGTAGTAGGTCTGCCCAGTCTACTACCGTATATACTCATGCAAGCCAAGCAAGCATTCACCGTCATAACTTCATCATGCCTTGCTCTGCTGTTTGATTGTTGATACTAGACTACTTGTATCAACCAACCCACCACCGATGTTGCTTCAGTGGTTGCGCAGCAAATAGAATCATGCTGGTCTCATCACCAGTTCCCTTGTTTCTGTTTTATTTTTATTGATGTAGAATCTAAGGAACACTGATACCTGGTGGAAGTAATTGTCCCTTTTCGTGTGTATGTATCCCGGTAGGGAGCATTATGACAGGCACGTTGGCTGCTGGAGTTTTGTCCTGCGAGATATCGGCCTGCTGCAATGGAGTATCTGACAACAGGAACTAATCACATCTCGTATAATTCTGGACTGTTGTGCGTTCCAGCATCTTTCAGGGCTTCCTTGGCTCGATGACTTGCCGTTTCTGCCTTGCAGACATCTTGCTCTGCATGGAACAGGCCTTCGGGAAACACAGTATTTCCAATATATAGATCGTTTTTGTTACTGTATATGCGTACGGCTTCCTTCCTGGGGTAGGATGTATAGAATTCCATGTCTTGCAGTATGCTTTAGAGCAAAACACTGACTTTCGAGATCGGGCGATCTTCGTCATAATTGTATATTTGTCTTTTTTAGGCAGCAGCCAGACACAATTGCATGAAGATGGACACCGATGAAGAGGGTTTGTGTGCTTGCTGCAATGGATACTTCGTCGCCCATCTTCCTTCCGTCCATTAGGCCAGACTTGGTCGAACTTTTGTTGGGGTCTTGTTTGACTTCCCCTCGATGGTACATTAGATATTAGAGACAAGTTTATTGTTTTTATTGATTGTTAAGCGCATGGCTCAGGCCCACCACATCTGTATACACCGAGCTCAATGCCGCTTCTTGTGTCGCTTGTTTCAACTATCCATTCCAGTGGCCTTGTGTTGCTGAAGCGATATGATTGACCCAGAAGCAACATGTCGTTCATGTACTTGAAGCTCGCGGCCACATACTTTCTCTCTCTAGACACAGTATCGTAATCGTAAGTTTGAGGGTGAGTTAAATGACCGTAGCACGCACGGAACGATCATATCGTATGCCTGATTTGGAGGGGCTAGGCTTTTAGTCCCCGATCATCGATGACTCCCTTGATCACTACGTATGTGAGAGTCTGGCTCTTTGTCCAGTTTCACGGGAGTTGTTTGCGAGTTCTCTTTTGTGTTTCCTTGTTTGTTATTGAATCGTCATTCTGTATTTATACAAAAGCCTTGAAACCTCCAGTGTGGCTTTGAGATGTCTGTATGCATTTAGGTCTGTACATGGCCATCGACTGGATGTCTTCCCTGAGAACGCAGATGTAGCTGGCCCAGTTTGATGATCGATTAAGTACGCCTGCTACTTGTTCAGACAGGTCCTCACTGGAGCCGTATTTGCTCATATACTTGTCAAACTCGATGGCAGGTAGAATCATTGGCGTGTAAGAGCGTAGCATCACATATTGTTTGTTGGATGCCTTCTGATCGCCTTACCCCTGTGCCCGACTGTTTATAGTATATAGAAGGGGTTCGTATAGGGACTGAACCGTTGAATTTTTCCATTGAAGCTTTCCATTGAAGCTTTGGTTCTGGAACTGGTGGGGTGCAGCTAAAACGGACCAACAATCGGTTCTACCGAACCATCAGTCAATAGCCACCGTAACCAGCTATCCCAGTTACAGTCTTTCACTTGACATAAGTGGTCAAATGATGATATCTTGTATAAGCAGTACCACAGCGAAGGCGTCACCTAATGGGAAGATGGCCTTATATGCTGCCACCACGACGTTTCCATCGGAATCTTTCTTCATCGTCTGGTTTGTTGTAGAAGGCAGCGGTCCACTCAAGTGGTCTAACGACATTGTTGGCGTCTCCTAACATGCCAGCCGAGGTCTAGCCAGCCAGTAGGTATCACTCATCTTAGAAACAAATGCCCAACCTTCTTCATCGTACTTTGGTTTATCGTAGAAGGCAGTCATCCACTCGAGTGGTCTAACAACATCGTGGGCGTCTCCTGACATACCAGCCCAGGTTTGACCAGTCAGCAGTCACCAGTTATCACAGAAACGGCTAGCCGAATACCTGCGTTCCACGAGTATCCTGAGCACTGGTGACAGAGGACAGAAACGTGCTCATTCATAGCACAACCGACACAGAGGGCTTTTCCAGATGGACGCCGCATTCGTCAAGGGTCATCGTCAGGCAGGGAACTAGCTCATATAAGTTCTCAACAGATGTTCTGCGACTGGATGCTAGAAGCGCACCACAGTATTAATCTGCATGTCATTGTCTTTGGGCAGTTAGGGTCTGTCGCACGCCTCCGCGTTATTTCTCTTTATATAGTATTGCTTCACCACTCCAATCGATCTGCAACTCCTGATATTTTCTTCGGGTGTTGGCTTATAAAGACGATAGAAATTCGTCACGATCGTTTCCGGCATTCCAAGATCGTTCAGAGCACTATAATTGTAGTCCCCACCCTGTAATGTCACTAATCGAGCTTCGTAACTCTCGTCTTGTGACGCTATTTCAAACAACCTTTCGAGCCGGGAAGTATGTCCTAAACGGACATGGATTAAGCGATGAGTAGGTCTCTCGATGTATCTTTTGTGATCGAAGCCTAGTGCTTCAACAATCATGGCTACCCTCAGCATAGCACAGACATTTTGCTACACCTGCTCCTTGTCCAGTCAGGTCTTGGCCGCCGTTCCATTGCTGTCTTCACTGTCTGCGGTTTGATTGCAATATAGTAGGAATAAAATACCCTTTTGTCTATGGGCTGATTCCAGATGGGTGTAGTCGTCGACGCCCAGATTATCGCGCTTCTAGTGCGGCTAATGCCTGGCGATTGTGGATGCTAATCGCCCCCACGGCATGGACTTCATCGTCCCGACCCGTGCAAACATGCATTTAAACATCGATTTATATGCCGTTATTGTCTGGTTATTCGAATTGTGTAGCTTTTAGACGTTAGTCCAGAGCTCGAACATGAGGTACACGCAGCTTCGAGCGCACACCAGGCAAGAGCCTCTGGCAAATGGTCCCTTTGTCTGACCATTCTTTTCCGCACCTTGAGCGCGTTCAAGGCAGATGTCTCGAGTACGAACTATCATTCTCGCGAGACTGTTCGGTATTGAACTAGCCAGTGGATTAGGCATAGCAAATATGGTCAAATTCATCAGTAGCCGTTATATTCTGAACACCTGTCAAAGATGGACTGTGGCCGGTAACGTCACCAGTGTGGAGCGAATGTACACAGTAAGTGCAAGGAGGTCGTAGCAAGTAGCCAGACTACCACCACTAGCTTTATATTGTCCCAGCTGTACATGCAGAACAGAACCTTTCTGTCTCGGCTTTTAACAGACAGCGGAGGCCTATCGCTTGACTAGAGTATCCGTAAATATGGTGCCGGTGGCATCTCATACTTGATTCCTGGGACGACACGCCAGTCTGATTTGATGCAGAAGGGTGCGTGAGGCCCTAAAACTAGATATAAAACAAGAGGCCATATGGTCTCTTTGCTCTTGGTCCTGTGAGAGGTATAATCATGGACGCTCTGATGTGGATATGTTACCGAACGCGGACCATGCCCTTAGATGCTCACGGTGTATTTCTTGACTTTATCCTGCACCAGGTCGAGTATTCGATGCTTCCCAAGGGCATCATATAAGGATCATGCATTCTCGCTTAAGACGCTGCGCGTCGGAGTATCGGTCCCTATCTCTCGTCATCTGTGGACAAGACCAAAGGCGAACGTGCCCAGTGGGCTCTTCTTCCTCGCCCTCACTCAGTCATATTGTCTGGTAAGATCCAGGCCATGGGTAGCAGCAACCGCTGAATATCAAGTCAAAGGTTGCCTTGTTCGGCCCTGGACACGGCTTGCGCTTCGAAAAGTCGTTCCTGCAGGGCCTTATCGTCCGTAAGGTCTTAACTTCCATCAGTTTCTCTTCGTCATCTGCGGCCGTGACTAAATGCCAGAAGCTGAACCCCAGCAAGAAGTACAACCTTTTCACTGCCTCAAACTTCCATATGTCATCATAAAAATGGCTTGGTCCATCAATAGGAACAATTAGGCTCCTCTTCATATTAAAGAAAGGCAACAGAGCATGGTCAACTTTTCTAACCGGTGCTGAAGTCGCCTTCTCCCAGAACCAGCTGTTTCATCCAGGCCAAGGTATCAGGAGTGAGTTGTCTTTGCATTTGTACGAACCTGTCGTCCTGGCTCTCGAGGAGTACCAATGACGTTTGCGACCCCAACATTGGAAATCCTTTTCGGTCGCATTAATGAGAGCAGGGTTGCTCGATACCCTAGGTGCTGTTTGATGCTGGGTTTCGGTAGGCTGCAAAAAAATGGATATCCCAGCATAGAACTTGACTGTGAACAGTAATTGAGACGTCGAGCTAGCTTGGAAGAAAAGTCTCAAGCGGTGCTAGTCTTCATCTCCCGGAATAACCCGATTAACGCGTGGTTTGGGCAGCTGGCCATCAAGCAGAGACTCATCGACCAGCCAGATCTTCTCCACGTCTCAGGATATCCAGTCCTTATCTTTGGCGATCTTCGGAAAGCCCCCTTTCATCAGTCGCATCAGTCGCCAGACAGATGCTTGTTGGCAGATACAGCAAGATTGTAGTCTGCCATATAGCTTTGATCTATGCATCTGGAGATGGATGTGATGGATCAGGCTCATCCAAATATCTCCTGCCGTAGCCTCGATGTGTTTATATGAGATGAGAGATGATGAAAAGAATCTAGCAGTTCACACAAAATCCTTTAGAGCGTGAGAAGCGTGTTATGTTTTGTGGGGAGAGAAGGAAGAAGGAAGAAGAAACCCACGCTGACGCCGGGGCGATGGCTTTTATAGGCAAGCCCTGAGCAGGGCCAGTGAAGCTATTTGGTGACGACTAAGCAAGAGTGACAGCCTCAGGATGGCTAGTGAACGGGGCCAACAAGATGTTGTGAATATCTTCACATTCACCAACTATGCATCAGGTATTCCATGGTTAACAAAACCTAATCTATTCCTATAAAACAGCCGAGGTGAATGAGAATGAGATAGCATCAATATAATACAGATAATTACAATAAAACATCACGCTGGAGCCCTTCACGCCTGGTCATATCAATGCACTCATTGCCGGCTCGCCTGCGCAGCCTTCTGGCGCTGCAGCTCCATGGCCCTCAGATGAGCCTCGCGGCGGGCATGGTTCCGCTCCTCGCGCTTCCACGCCTCCTCCTCAGAACGCCGTCTCTCGTAGTCCTCCGCCAGCTTGCGGTCCTTCTCACTGAGTCGAGGGCCCGCGGAAACAGTTCCATCCGCGTTCTTGGTAGGACCGCTGCCCCGGTACTCCTCAACCTTCTTCTGCATCTCATCTTTGAGCTTCGACCCAGTCTCTTTGACTTGTCCAAGGGTACGATCAATGAGACTCAACCTCTCGCGTTCGGCCTCCGCAGCCGCCTTCTGGGCGGCCTCCTTGTCAGGTACCTCGTTGATCAAGCGGAGGCCAAGGTCGTTTTTTGGCTGTTCGTCGGGCTTCGGGACGTTATGATCCACCAGGGTGATACCGGCCATCTTCCGGAAGGTAGCCGAGCTTAGGAGGTACGTTTGCCCCAGAGCAAACACACTGGTGGTCAAGAAGTAGAGCTGAAGGGCACCCGGGAAGTTGGCCATGAACAGGAACGAAATGGTGGGCATGCCGTAGAGGAAAAGGCTCTTGAAAGCAGAGTCTTTCATCTGGTTCATTCCGGTCTCTCCTCCTTTCTACAAGCAACTGCATTAGCTAGACGTTGGGGAAGAAAAGATATATTTTCGCACCTTGAGAGTGTGATGTAGGATGACCGATCCAATCAAAGGAAGAATATAGTAGGGATCGGAAACAGTAAGGTCCTGAAGCCAGGCAACGTGTTCCGTAGTCAGTCCGGGTACCGGCAGACTGCACATGTTGTTGACGACGCGGTAACAACCAAAACCGAAGGGGATATGAATCATCGGGATCATCGCTTTCCAGGGCTTAATACCGTGGTCCTTGTGCAGCTGGCTCAGCTCCGCCCGCTTCCGTGTCGCTTCCATCAGGTCGTTCTTGTAGTTGGCCTGAACCATCTCCGTCCGAAGCGGAGTGGTGAGGTGCTTGATGTTGTTGAGCTTGGTACTGGTGTCCGCAGCCATAAGCGTAGGGTACAGAAGACCCAGACGAACGAAGAGACCGGTTGCGACAATCGCACCCCACCAGGGGAGACCACCCATGATATGGAAATGCTCAACGCTGTATTCGATCATGGACGAAAATCCCCAGCCGAAATCCAAGCCCAATTGCTTCAAATATCCAATCTGCTCCGGGATCGCATTGATATCAGCCGCGGTCAGATCATTGAGGTTGACTTCTCCTTGAGGTGCGAGAGAGACATCACTGGCCGCCGGGTCCGAGACAGTAGTCGATGAAGGAGCCGAAGAGGTGGAATTGAAGCGAGCGGCGGCCAATCCGGTGATGGCAGTGGCAGGACGCCAGGAGCGTGTTCCAAGCAGCGTCTGCTTGGATTGACCATATGGGACGGCGGTTCTCAGGGTCTGCGGACGGAAAGAGGACATCTGTAGGGCAAAGTCAACAACCTCGTACTGGAGCCGACAAGAGATGACTGCGGCGGAAGACAAACCGATCGGCTGGAACGAGAGAAGGCATACAACCGTTGCCGGGCCACGGCGGGCAAGACGCCGCGTCCACTGAGACCAGTCCCTCCCAACATGGTGAGAATTGGTATGAAGGCGGAGGAGATGAATTGGGGAAATCGAGTCGGAGTTTGGGGAAAATCGCGGAGGCTTTTCGGGACGCTTTTTCGGTGCCAAGCCTGCCTTTTCTGCCGGGCGGAAATCCTCAATCATTTCTACGGAGTCTCGAGCGGTCTAGTCTTCGCTATGGATCTAGGGCGATTTGACATACTTACGTGTTGCCCAGTTCCAGAAATGCAATTCTCGTCAATGTGAGAGGTTAAATTCGAGGTGGTTCGCCAGACGCCGTCCAGTCAGACCGATTACTGATGCTTGCTCTATGTACACTGTAACCCCTGATGCGCATTCATGCCACCCTGCAAGCGACAAGAACTGAACTGTTTTGATGCCACTTTACCCGTACATGCCAATATCAATCGGGCGTGATGAGATATCTATATGGTCCGCTAGTACTCCGTCCGGGTCTACTCTAGAGACGTAGCATCTTTCAGTCCGGCTGCCCTAGTCCCCCTCCGTTGCGACGGGATGTCTCGAACCTCGATCCCAGGCCCGACAGGTCTCGAACGCCGATGCATAGGGAAGACCTAATATGGAAGATTCGTTAGCATTATTGAACCATAACGAGGGCCGGGCTTGAGAGAAGCGACCGGCGCAAGTCCTGCGCCACCTGGGGACCAAACAAAAGATGTACGCGTACCTTTGTCCCGGACCAGCCGAGTCGATAGGCTGCTTCATGTGCAAACAACTCTCCAAATCCCAGCATCAAGCCATTCACAAATGGGAGAACGAGATTAATGGCAGCTCCCCGCAGGATACTCCAGATGGTCGGGGGCTTGTAAAGGATCAGGGGAGAGCTCGAAGAGGAGGACTGAGATCCGGAAATGTCATGATTGGCCGAATAGTTCTCAGAATCTGAGTGGACCGTCAGTCCAGATTCATACAGCTCCCTCGAGCTGGAGAGGTCGGCGGCCATGATGCGGGGAGAAGGTGATCAACAACGAAAGGAGAACTGCAGAAGACGGGGCTGGAATAATGGGAAAGCCCGTCTGTGGCTGCGAAATAATCAGCAACTTGATAGATGCGGGGATACGAAGGGTACCAACTGAATGGAGGGGAATTCCGCGCTGGATGAGGTCGGTCCCTTGGGGTTGGCTGGATTGACGATCTACACCTGACCTGCAGAAGGGGTTATGTAAGCACACCTGGCCTCGCGTTCACTATAGCAACAACCAGAAGAGACAACCTGCAGGGTCATGCGATAGTATCAAGTAAAGTCAGGCGAGAAGTTGAGTATGAGAAGCAAGTGAGAGTGCAGTCATGGAATGAAAGGAGTGAAGTCACGATCTTTCGTCACGGAATATCCTCTCACTAATGATTCGCCTGGGGATTCCTCAGGCACCCGCGGAAGATCCCCTCTTCCGGATGACCAATCAGGCAACAGTGACGTACCGTTATTGGGTCCCTTCAGCTTCGTGAAGAGCTGCAATATTACGAACCACTGCATCTTCCGAGTCCCCAACATTCTCCGCCTTTCTTCGATAGTCTTTTGCGCCTTTCCGTCTTTGAATCAGTGCTGGACTGCGAAGCTTCATAACCTCTAACTTCGATCATCCCAACGTGTGCAGTGCCGTCACGGTTGATTTACTTCCAATATGGAGCACAACGCGGATCGTGATGAGATTGTCTCTCAATTCTGCGCCATGACTAGGACGGATCCTCACGAGGTACATGTTGATCATCCCAGACTGAGCTGTGGTTGCTAATTACATACTTCATCTCAGGCGCAAGGCTATCTCGCAGCCAACGAGTGGGACCTCGAAGCCGCAGTGACCGAATTCTTCGCCGAACAAGATGAAGCTTCACAGGATACTGGTGCAGCTGGTGGTGGTCGCCGACTGGGCACTGAATCGGATCCCTCTGCAGGCCGTTCGCTTGGTGGCAGCTCCTCTCATTCCCCCTCCACTACCCCGCAGCCCTCGTCCCGCAGGTCGGCCCCGAAAAAGAAGTTTGCAACCCTGAACGACTTTGCGTCGGGTGGAGGAGAATCTTCAGAGGAGGACGATGCAGTGAACCAGGACTTCTTCGCTGGAGGTGAGAAGTCGGGCTTGGCTGTGCAGAACCCCGATGATATCAAGAAGAAGATCATTGAAAAGGCCAAAAGGTGAGGTCATTTGGATACACTTGGTTGCTCAGGGCTGATATGTTTATAGGGCTCAGCCTCCGCCATTGGACGAACCTACCAGAAGGTCTTTCTTCACCGGCACAGCACGTACCCTTGGTGGTGATGAGGCTCCCAGCAGGGTAATCGAAGCCCCCAGTGCACCTGTTTCGCAGACACCGCAGCGCGTACATAGAACCCTACACTTCTGGTCAGATGGCTTCTCTGTTGATGACGGAGAGCTGTTTAACTCCGACGACCCCGCCAACCGCGAAATCCTCGAGGGTATCCGCCAGGGCCGTGCCCCGCTCTCCATCATGAATGTGCAGGCTGGCCAGGAGGTGGACGTGGAGATCAAACAGCACGACGAGAAATACGTGAAGCCCAAGCCTAAGTACAAGCCCTTTTCCGGGGCTGGACAGCGCCTCGGCAGCCCCACGCCTGGTGTGAGGGCACCTACGCCAGCAGCAGCTCCTACTCCCAGTCAGTCTACCGAGCCAGCCAAGCCGGACGTAGATGAGTCGCAGCCGATAGTGACTCTTCAGATCCGCCTTGGAGACGGCTCACGGCTCACTTCCCGGTTCAACACCACCCATACCATTGGTGACGTGTACCAGTTTGTGTCCGCTGCCAGCCCCAGTAGTCAGTCGCGTCCCTGGGTATTGATGACTACGTTCCCTAGCAAGGATCTTTCTGACAAGAGTGTTGTGCTGGGTGATATGGCGGAGTTTAAGCGGGGCGGCGTGGTGGTACAGAAGTGGCAATAAGTGTGTGGTGGTATAGTCAGTCCTGTTGGGTATAGAGGTGTGCATAAGCTCGTGCAAGTTCTCACAACGTCAGGATTTAGTGATAGGCATTTTAGGCATAGATACGAGTTGTTGAGAAGCAGCTCCCGAGTTATGGAATGATACAAATGATGATCAGTAACGAGCAATCTAGACTTGGAATTGCGTACGCTAAGTCCAATGCTGCAGACTTCTGCACCCTGTAGAGAGTAGCAGAGTAGCACTTCGTATACTCAAGATATGCTGCAGTATGCATGCATCTCGTAGACACAGATAGGAGTCAGTGAGTGAGTGAGTGATATCTCCGAACCGGCTGGATTGATAAGCAAACTCCGCGGAATGACGCAGAAAAAAAGCCCACCCGAAATCGGCTCGCCATCGCCATCCCCAGAACACCTCGACTTTCACCACTTCTTCAACCCAACCAGATACCCGAATACATAGCAGAGCGGATACTCAAGATGCCTCTCGACGGGGTGAAGAATGTTGTGCTGGTGAGTATTACTCTTCGTTTACCTGAGCTCCAGCTCCAAACCTCATTGCGACAACCCCTCCTCTCTTATCGATAACAGCGCGCAACTGCGCACAGGATGGAAGGATGGCCACACCTACACATACAATGCGCGCACATCCTACCTACCTCTATCCATCTATACACCTTCCAATACATTGTCCAGAGACAAGCTAACAAGCTAATTCCCAGGTCCTCTCGGGCAAAGGCGGCGTCGGCAAATCCAGCGTAACCCTGCAACTCGCCCTCGCGCTCACCCTGCAAGGCAAATCCGTTGGTATCCTGGACATCGATCTCACCGGCCCTTCAATCCCACGACTAGTCGGTCTCGAAGACGCAAAAATTACCCAAGCGCCAGGCGGTTGGCTTCCTGTTCCTGTTCACCCTTCCACTATCACCACCACACCCAATGCCTCCTCCACCTCACAACCAGATACAACAACAACGGCAACAGAAACAGAAGGTGGAAGCGCCATAAAACACGGCTCTCTCCGCTGCATGTCCCTCGGCTTCCTTTTACGTTCACGGTCCGATGCCGTAATCTGGCGCGGGCCCAAAAAGACAGCCATGATCCGCCAATTCCTCTCCGATGTGCTGTGGAATGAAACCGATTACTTGCTTATTGATACGCCTCCCGGAACTAGTGATGAGCATATTGCTCTTGCGGAGCAGCTCTTGACGCTTTGTACGATCGATGCTTCCTCTGCAACTGGAATGCCTCGACTGGCTGGTGCGGTACTGGTAACTACACCACAGGCGGTAGCGACGTCTGATGTACGGAAGGAGGTGAATTTCTGCGTTAAGACGAGGATTCCGATGCTGGGGGTGGTGGAGAATATGTCTGGTTATACGTGTCCGTGCTGTGGGGAGGTGACGAACCTGTTCTCGAGTGGTGGGGGGCAGGTTCTGGCAGAAGAGATGGGTGTAAGGTTTTTGGGAAAGGTGCCCGTTGACGTTGGGTTTGGGGAGTTGGTGGAGGGGAAGATTGGTGGGGAGGAGGATAGTGAGGATGAGGATGAGGATACTAATGGGGAGAAGAAGGAGGAAGAAGAGAAGGATGAGAGGCCGCTAGTGGAGAGGTATCGGGAATGTTGGTCGTATGCGCGGTTCGAGGAGTTTTCGAAGACGTTGATTGCGGAGATTGAGGGGCAATGATGGAGTACTAGTATATATAGGGGGTTACTGTTAGAGCATCTGTCATGGGTGGCGTCTTTTTGGCATGGATGTAGAGTGATACGAGATCATGATTCACTATGAGAAAAGTACTATTGCTCATTGATGTGGGGTGGCATAGTCATCAGTCATTATATGTCGTGGGTAGCATCGCTGCCTAGTAAATTCTGCCGTATATAGATAACATCGTATATCATATCATAATCATCATCACCACCGTTCATCTTAAACTCATACATTGCCGCGGGCAACATCATTACCATCACGCATTTGGGATGGTTTGGTCTTGTTCCAACATTGCGCGTAGTCGCATCTCAGCTGTCGCCTGTCTTGCCTCAGGACCAGCAGCTACGGCACCATACTGTAGCCATCTTAGAAGCGCCTGAACCTCTGCTACCAGGGACGGCGGAAACCAACCCCTATATCCAGCGCTGGAGCCCATAACGCTAGGTCTGAGAAGCTCCTGGCTTCGTGGGACCTCCGAGGAAGAGGTTGCGTTGGCCTCAGCCTGGGCATCAAGCAGGACTTCGGATACAAGAGCCGGAGTAAGGATATTCGAGTCCGACTGCGTCTGCGTCCCCAACAGTGTACGACCGCATGATTTGGGCTTGGAGGCAAATTGCCTCATGGGAAGCGTCCCCAACGCGGGCTCTTCGACCGGCGCATGCAATGCCAGGGGAGATCTTGGGGTACTGGGCGGAGCCTGGCTCGACGAGTTGGCCCCAGAGAACGGAGTTCTGAATGGAAATCCCGTAGATGGCCGTCTACCGTTATCCCAGTGTCGATACTGCGATAAGGATGAATGATCACGTCCATCGGCGACACTATTCTCGTCGTCATAGATGACCACGTTGTCGCTTTGTCTTTCATGGTCGGAGCTGGCTTCTTCGACTGTCACTAGACCACCCGGGGGAGCCCGGATCTCGCCCAGCGGAGCGATATGACTTCCATATTCGTTCGCCAGACTGAGTCTGCTGCGGCCGCAGATTTCTCCGATCGAGTCTAGCGTGTGACGAATATTCGGCTCGATCGCTCGCAGTATGCCGTCTATGCTAAAGTTATCCTCTGATGGGAGAGCAGGCCCGCGTCGCTGGCTTCTTGAGCCACCGATGAATGGGAATGAGCGCCGCGTAGGCATCGTGGTGGAAGTGCTGGAGGTGTCATGAGGGCCGCCCGAATATGCCCTAACAAGCACGGGCTGCGATGCCGATGTTGAGGGCCGCGAAGTAGCTGACCGATTATGGTTGCTCCAGGATGAGGTCCTAGGATTCCCATTTAGCTGACGTAGCGTAGTGGTACGATGCGCTCGAGAGGACTCATCTAACGCCGGTTCATAGCGATAGGGAGCAGTTTGTTGCAGAGGACGAACGGTCTCGACCACAGGCGAGGCATGCAATGGGTTCAGCTGTGACCATCTCCGGCGTGGCAAGGCGGACGAGGACGATGGAAAAGCGTCCGTGTGGGCGAGCAGCCTGCCGGACCTATAATCCATCTCTGTTCAAGGCACCCTCTCTAAGCCACTATGCGATGCAGGCTGCGTCGGGTCCAGACAAGCTCAGTGACGCAGCAGCGGAGCGTAGACGGGGATATGACCACCCGCAACGACAACACCACCACCACCACCGGAGTAAAAACCCCGCCTTCCGGCCAATACGCAACAGCAGCGGCAGATCGGCTGGCAGCAGGGAAGGCGATCAAGCGCCTGTCAGACAACAGCACTCAGTAGCGGCTGGCGGCGGCGGCGGACGGGCAGACAACGCAGGACACGTATCACGCTCCAACGCGTCGCTCGACGGAACACAGATGCATGGACTCAGCAGGCCAACGAGCTGGCATGATAGGGGAGGCAGATGACAGTGGATCGGGCCAGCACTCAAGGCGATGCAGCGAAGAAATCCAGAAACTATTCAGAAAAGTGGCTGGTTTCAAGTTGAAGCGGGCGGAAACTGGGGACTTGATACCCGAAAGGGGAAACACTAAGCACCAACAATCATCATCATCGTCAGTTTTCCTTTCATTCATCTCCAACCCGTTGGTTGTGTCCTTCGAGCAGTGGTAGCCACCTCGACGCTAGTCTCTTGGGGTCCGTCAGAAGCTGCATATGGTGCGCTCGATACCTTAAAGTCACCCCTTCAAGATGAATAGGTTTCGCGTATGCTATTCCCTGTCTGACCGAACTCTTCCTCCTCCACCCATCCATTGCTTCTCCCGCCATACTTCAGTGGAACTGATTGTCATGTGCCTAGTTTGGCGACTCCGATGAGTCTGCGTCTGAATTCGACGATGATACCTCCGGACTGCCCTTCCCCGAGCCTCTGTCTCGTGCTTCCTTCCTCGCACCCGACTTCGACCCCGCGGCGTATCTATCCTCCCTCACCAATCGACACCAGAGCCTCGAGGACTTGCGACAGGAACTACGGGATTTGGATCAATTACTCAGTCGAGAGCTTCTAGACTTGGTCAACGAAAACTACCAGGACTTTTTATCCCTAGGGAGCGCATTAAACGGTGGAGAGGAGAAAGTCGAGCAGGTACGGGTCGGTCTTTTGGCATTCCAGCGTGATGTCCAGTCAATACGCGATAAGGTTGAGGCCAGACAACAGGAGATGGTAGAGCTCCTGAAAGAGAAGAAACGCCTGAAGACACAAGCCAATGTTGGACAGGCCCTGCTGGACTATGCGGATCGAGTCGAGGAGCTAGAGAAGAGATTAATGATCGGAGACACTCCACGGCCACCTCAGGACGGCACCCCGGGCGAGTCCGATTCGGATTCCGATCTGATGGAGAGCGACAGCGACGATAGTGATGAGGATGAGCTGCCAAACGGCGCAACTACTGCGTCACTCGTTTCCCTCAAAACCCTCGAGCGTCATATTCAAAAATATGTATACTTGACAAAGCTATCGTCTCGGATAGGTGACAGCCATCCGTTTCTACAGAGCCAACAACCAAGGATGTCGAAAATACGATCTGCGGTGCTCTTGGATCTGAAGACGGCCCTGGAGCAGGCAAGCCATGCAGGCGACAAGAGGGATACGAAAACGCTGGCCGTATTGCGTCTCTACAAGCTCATGGGAGAGGACACTACTGCTGTATCGGCACTCAAGAATCTGAAGTCCTAGCGGACCTCCAGAGCTAGAGCAGTGCCATTTTGCATAGCGTCGGCGTTGGGAGATTTTCTTTTGCTGGTTCCGAGTGAGATATGAAACAATACCATTATACACCGTAACCTTCCTAATGAAACATATTCTGTACACCCATAAACTTGAAGACGCTAGAGACTATTTTACACGCCCTGCAAAGCGGAAGATTCGGGAGAGGTCTCCGACCTGAACTCTCCATTCAGACTGAAGCCGGGACCGTTGGTCGAGCTCAGGACCTAAGGAACGTTAGTAAAAGATGCCGATTGCAGGCGCAACGCAAGTCGGCGACTTACCACTTCGTACACCTCCTTGGTTATGCGGTCATTAAGACCGGCCGCATCCTTCTTGATCTGGTCGATCGTTGCGCGCAGGTTGTCACGCAATTGCTCGGGGGTGAAACCAAGCTGTCCAACGGGGACACGAATGACGGCGTCACGCTCACGGTAAACAGTACCACCACGCAGCATCTCCACACGCACGGCGATATCTTCGACCACAGTACCCGTCTTGACGCTGGGCATCAGGCCTCTGGGACCGAGGATCCGACCCAGGCCAGCCTTGTTCAAAGCATCCAAACTATCCGGGTGGCAGAGACAGCGGTCGAACTCGATCTTGCCGGCCTTCACGGCATCAAAGACCTCCTGCTCACCCACCAAGACTGCTCCAGCCGCACGAGCTTCCTTCTCATGGCGGGTTCCGGGAGGGCACACGACGCAAATTCGGGACTCGGTTTGGACTGAATGGGGGAATCGAAGCATGTTGCGAATGACGGGACCGTCTCTCCTCGTCTTCAGGCGAACGTGGACCTCGTATTTGGAAGAGGTTGGCTCGCGGCCAACTTCGAATGCACGGAGATACCTGCGGTGAAGATCGAAGCAATCAGTGGAAAAGTCGACTGAGACACAGCGATGACCACACAAACCTCATGGCATCACACAGTGCGAACTGTTGCATGTCCTTGAGATCCTTCTGCTTGAACTCCCTCGGACCCTTCTTTCTCTTGGCGGTCTTGTCTCCCTTCATCTTGCGCGCCTGGGCAGCGGTGCGCACCTGTTGCAGGCTGGGCAAAATAGGCACAATTGGGCTCGGGCGAAGAGCAGGGCGACATGACGACAATATTCCCCGTGCCGCAGAGGGCATGAGGGAGCTGTAGGAGGAAGCCATGGCGATGAACTCCGAACGAGCTTGACAGCGCCGGGAATGTTTTCTGGTCCGAAATCTAGAGGCTCCGGCCGACCATCGCCCGCGGAGAAACTTACCGCCGGCGGAGCCCATTGAGTCAAAACTGCCCCTCCCGGCAGTAAATTATCTCCATCCCACCATTCTATACCACCTTCTCCTGGGGCAATTGATCTAATTTCCTGGGGTTTTGGGTCTTTGGAACGATGTCGCAGTTTAAGCTTAACTTGGCCACCAAGGCCAACCAGGCCTCTTTGCTTCCAGTCCTCCTGGTTGCCACTTCCATCAACGAGGCTCGCCCTACTCCTGTCATCGCCATCAACTTTGAGGATGCGGCTGTCCTCTCCGAAGGCGAGAAGGCTATCGTTCAGTTCACGGGTGCCAGCGGTGCTCCCGCCTATGGAACTGACAACGCCATCAAGGAGCTGCGCGCCAGCTTCCCCTTCCTCAACGGAAAGGATGAGAAGTCTGTAAGTGATTCCCGCTTCGTCTTCATTGCGACTCTAGGCTGATGAAGGCTTCTCTAGGAGAACGAATGGCTTTCCCAGCTCGAGTCCTTCACCACCCTTGACTTCAAGGCTCTCGACCCTCTGCTTCAGCGCCTGAACACCCACCTTCTCCTCCGTTCCTTCATGGTCGGTTACTCGCTCTCCACCCCCGACATTGCTCTGTGGGGTGCCCTTCGTGGCAACCGCGTTGCCATCTCGGCCATTCGCAAGGGAGCCCTTGTCAACCTGACTCGTTGGTTCAACTTCCTGGATGAGCTCTGCCCCTGGGCTAGCGCTGCTCTGGAGAGCCTCAATGCTTCCGCCAAGGAGAAGAAGGCGGCCAAGGCCAAGGAGGGTGCCAGCTACGACATTGCTCTCCAGAACACTGACAAGGGTGTTGTTACCCGTTTCCCTCCTGAGCCTTCTGGATACCTGCACATCGGACACGCCAAGGCTGCTCTGCTGAACGACTATTTCGCGCACGAGAAGTACAACGGCACCCTGCTGGTGCGCTTTGACGACACCAACCCCTCAAACGAGAAGCAGGAGTTCCAGGATGCTATCATGGAAGACTTGGCCCTGATGGGCATCAAGCCGGACAGGATGAGCTACTCCAGTGACTACTTTGACCAGATCTACGAGTACGGTCTGAAGATCATCCGCGAGGGCAATGCCTACGCTGATGACACCGATAAGGAGACCATGGCTTCCCAGAGAATGAACGGCGAGCCCAGCAAGCGCCGTGACGCTTCCGTGGAGGAGAACCTTGCCCGATTCGAGGAGATGAAGCAGGGTACTCCCGAGGGTCTCAGATGGTGCATCCGCGCCAAGATGTCCGTCGACAACCCCAACAAGGCCATGCGTGACCCCGTCATCTACCGCTGCAACCCTACTCCTCACCACCGCACCGGTACGAAGTGGAAGATCTACCCGACCTACGACCTGTGCTGCCCCATCTTGGACTCGATCGAGGGCGTTACCCACGCTCTTAGAACCATTGAGTACCGTGACCGAAACCCTCAGTACCAGTGGTTCTTGGACACTCTCGGACTCCGCCACGTGCAGATCTGGGATTTTGCCCGCATGAACTTCATCCGGACTCTGCTCTCGAAGCGTAAGCTCACTAAGCTGGTCGACCAGGGCGTTGTCTGGGGCTGGGATGACCCTCGTTTCCCGACGATCAGAGGTATTCGCAGAAGGGGTATGACTGTGCCGGCTCTCCGCGAGTTCATTCTCAAGCAGGGACCCAGCAAGAACATCACCAACCTGGACTGGACCCTCATCTGGGCCACCAACAAGAAGTACATTGACCCCGTTGCGCCGCGCCACACTGCCCTCATGAAGAAGGATCTTGTCAAGGCTGTCATCAAGGGCGCCCCTGCTCCTTACACTGAGGACAAGCCTAAGCACAACAAGAACCCTGAAGTTGGCCAGAAGAAGGTCACCTTCAGCGGCTCGGTTCTCTTCGACCAGGAGGATGCCAAGACCTTCAAGCAGGACGAGGAGATCACCCTCATGGCCTGGGGTAATGCCATTGTCCGGAAGATTGAGAAGGACTCCGCGGGTGTTGTGCAGTCCCTGGAGCTTGATCTGCACCTGGAGGGCGACTTCAAGAAGACCGAGAAGAAGGTCACCTGGCTGTCGGCTGACCAGGAACTGGTCCCCGTGGAGCTGGTCGACTTCGACTACCTCCTCAACAAGGACTCCCTTCAGGAGGACGATGCTTTGGAGGACGTGTTGAACAAGAACACCGAGTTCCGTGAGGACGCTGTGGCTGACTGCAACGTGGCCGAACTGCGTGAGGGCGACATCATCCAGTTCGAGCGCAAGGGCTACTTCCGCTGCGACCGCCCCTACGCTCCTGGCAAGCCGGCGGTGTTGTTCAACATCCCCACCGGCAAGACTGGCAAATAGATATGCATTAAGTAAACGAAGATACGCAGGCTATGTGATGTAGATGAAATGGAAGATTTCAACAACAATTGATCAGCGGGCACTATCATATCTTAGACCGCATATATATTATTATATATACGCTTGATTTCCCTATCTGATACTTTGCAGGAAAATAATTCCGTCACATCATGTAGGACGCATGTGAAAGACGATTAGATAATAAGCGTAGCATCCCTTTGGAATATCTGCACATGCTGGATTCGAATTCTGGCACATAATAAGAGCAGTATTGTCAGGTGGCTACAAGGAAATCGAATCTACGATGTGTCCCAAGTAAACTTTCGATGCCCTACTCCATACTAGTTATACGATCGCCAACCTTAGGGCAGTGTGCAGCCACATACGTAGAGGACCCTTACATAGGTAGGGCTGTGCTCAAAATCGGATCCGATCAAAAGTGCGAAGGGGGTGTAGCTCGTGACATCTGAGGGAAGCCGAGACGAAAGTTCTTTTTATATGGACCGTCGGACTCGGAAAGAAAATCCCTCAATTGCCATAGTGGAAGGAAGGCAGCCAAGGGATATGGAGCAACATTCCTTGAACCTTGTGTGAAGGTGGTGACGGCATTGAAGGAGGACGGAGGGTTGGGGAAGATGACACCTGCTCAGGACTGCTTTGTTCAGACCCCGTCATTCGCTAAGTGGTCGTTTGGTACGTCCATCGAACGTCCGCCGTTTTAACCTGGCATTGCTTCGGCATATTTTTTTTTCTTCTCGATCTTTCCTGTGTGATCCGAGTGCTCCGTGGCAGGGACTGGGAGTGGAGAAAGAACAGAAGGTGATTTGAGCTGGAGGTTAGAAGGGAATTTAGAGTGAGTAATGGAGAGTAATAGAGGCAGTAATATTACGTCGAGATGGGTCTGTCACGTTGCACTGCACTAGTCCCGATGCAGTCAGGGTCTGGGCACTAGTCCCACTTGGTGCGATCGATCGACTGACTCCTCTTTCTGACTGGCATCCACTATCTACTTTGCATACTGCCTAGTTACTAGTCTATCTAGTTCTATCCAGATACACTCTCACTACTCCCCCGCAACTTTACCTTGCATCAGTTGGCAATTCATCTTCATGTCTATTTGAACGCTTCACCTTTTGACCATGCAAAAGCTTGCAGCTTGAGCTCACAAACACTCTCGTTAGCAGCTGTCATCCCTGTTGTGTTGCTGTCCCTCTCCAGGCCTTTCCCTGGTTCTCTACTGCCGTGCCGTTACCCAGTCCACGCCCAGGACCCTGGTACACATCATCGCGTCACGAGTCAATTCCTCTGCTGACCCTCTCAGAATCCAACGCTCGCCAAGGCACAATGGATTATTGGTGTGCTCCCAGACTCGGCCCGTCCATGCCCTACGGTTCGTTCGGAAATCTCACCATGTCTCATACGTCAAGACACTCGTCGAATCAACGAGTCATTCCCCTTGGGCCTATGGTCTATCATCCTGTCGCGTTCGTGACTGGCTCCGGCAGTCGGTTCACTTTAAGCTCAATTGCTCAGAGTTACTGACACAAACGCCCGACCGGTCGACCTGGTGAGTGATCACCCTCCGTAGACTGCCGGAACCTCCTGGACTCTCCTACGTCAGCATGATTGTCTCCGTCAACACCATTCGTCAGAGCTCCTATCGGCTGTGAAAGTGTCCATGCATCCTTGTTGCTTGGGACCAAGAAAGAAAAAGAAGCTTTCCTCGTTTTCCTTTGTCTCTTCTTCCCCAAACCTGGCGGGGAGGCCTTACTTTTCTTCTTTTCTCTACCTCGTAGAGTTGCTGTCGCTTGTTTCGACGGGTTGCTTTCTTTCTCTCTTTCTTGCGTGAGGTTGATCTCGCTCACTCTTTCGCTGTAAAACAAGGGGACGCCCGCAGAGCGCTTCGGGCACGCCAACAGTTTCCTCTGCTGCCCCAGACAAGCTATTGGATCGATCATGGCTGAGCAGGCCGGCGCCTCTGGCGACATTGAACGTGCCGCGCAAACAGCGCAAACGCAAATCCGCACCTCGACCTCGGAGCGACGCGACTCGAGACGTGTCTCTCGTGTCTCCTACAAGGAAGACTACGCTAACCTCGACGAATATGGAAAATTGGTCAAGTATGCCTCCACCTACCGCGAGGGCGGTCGAGGCGAAGATGTGCAAGGCGAAGAGGAGGAGAAACGAGTGTGGTATGCTCCTTGGAAGAAGCGCAAAGTCTTCGTCAAGCATGTAGACCAGCAACCGGGCCAATTCCCCGAAGATTGGCTCATCACGGACATCCGTCAAGGTTTGCCTAGCAGCGAAGTCCCGGTCAGACGTCGACGTGCCGGGTGGAACGAGCTGGTATCGGAAAAGGAGAATCCAATTGCTAAGATTCTGTCGTATTTCCGAGGCCCCATTCTCTACGGTACGCCATCAAGTCCCCAGGCACAGCGATTGACCAAGACTCGTTTTGTTCTAACAAGGCCACAGTAATGGAGTTGGCTGTTCTTCTGGCCGCAGGTCTGGACGACTGGATTGACTTTGGTGTCATCATCGGTATCTTGTGCCTGAACGCAGCCGTCGGTTGGTACCAAGAAAAGCAAGCTGCGGACGTCGTTGCGAGTCTCAAGGGTGACATTGCCATGAGAGCCAACGTGATCCGCGATGGTCAGCAACAGGAAATCTTAGCGCGGGAGCTTGTTCCGGGTGACGTGGTATGTAGCGGAGACCTTGTTGCGCCCACTTGTGATATTTATGAATAGGACCCTGAAAGCTAACAATGTAATCACAGATCATTATCGGAGAAGGCTCCGTCGTCCCAGCCGATTCCAAGATTATCTGTGATGTTAATGACCCCAATGGCTGGGAAGAGTTCAAAAGGATGCAGGAGCAAGGTGACCTTAGCAGTACCTCCGAATCTGACCTCGAAGACAATGAGCCCGAAGAGGGTCAAAAGGAGGGTGAGAAGGAAGAGAGTTCCAAGCCCAAAAGACGCCGTGGCTACCCCATCCTCGCGTGTGATCATTCCGCTATTACCGGTGAGTCGCTTGCAGTTGATCGCTATATGGGTGGGTTGATCTACTATACGACCGGCTGCAAGCGCGGTAAGGCCTACGCGGTTGTACAGACAGGCGCGAAGAACTCGTTCGTGGGTAAAACTGCGAGCATGGTGCAATCCGCCAAGGGTGCTGGTCACTTCGAAATTGTCATGGACAACATTGGTACTTCTCTTTTGATTCTCGTTATGGCTTGGATCTTGGCTGCTTGGATTGGTGGTTTCTACCGCCATATCCCCATTGCTTCGCCGGGTCAGCAGACGCTCCTTCACTACACCCTTGCTTTGTTGATCATTGGTGTTCCTGTTGGTTTGCCGGTTGTGACCACCACTACAATGGCCGTCGGAGCAGCATATCTGGCAAAGAAGAAGGCAATTGTGCAGAAATTGACTGCGATCGAATCACTGGCGGTATGTTGGAATGTACATTAGGGGAAAAATGTACTGCTGCTAACCTCGGACAGGGCGTTGATATCTTGTGTTCGGATAAAACAGGAACATTGACGGCGAACAAGTTGAGCATCCGCGAGCCGTATGTAGCCGAAGGTGTGGATGTGGATTGGATGTTTGCTGTGGCTGTCCTGGCTTCTTCTCACAACATTGAATCGCTGGACCCTATCGATAAAGTCACGATTCTTACTCTCCGGCAATACCCAAGAGCCCGGGAGATACTCCGGAGAGGTTGGAAGACTGAAAAATTTACTCCCTTTGATCCGGTGTCCAAGCGGATTGTGACGGTAGCAAGCTGTGATGGGACAAGATACACCTGCACTAAGGGCGCCCCCAAAGCTGTACTCCAGCTGACGAACTGCTCCAAGGAAACCTCCGATCACTACAAAGCGAAGGCCCAGGAGTTTGCGCACAGAGGATTCCGCTCCTTGGGTGTCGCAGTGCAGAAAGAAGGAGAAGACTGGACTTTGCTTGGAATGCTTCCCATGTTTGACCCGCCCCGTGAGGATACAGCTCAGACAATCAACGAAGCTCAGAACCTGGGTATCAGTGTGAAGATGCTTACGGGTGATGCCATTGCGATCGCTAAAGAGACGTGCAAGATGCTTGCCCTCGGTACTAAAGTGTATAACTCTGATAAGCTTATTCATGGCGGCCTGAGTGGCGCCATGGCAGGTGATCTGGTTGAAAAGGCAGACGGATTTGCTGAAGTGTTCCCTGAACATAAATATCAGGTTGTGCAGATGCTTCAAGACCGCGGCCATCTGACCGCGATGACAGGTGACGGTGTAAATGACGCACCATCATTGAAGAAAGCAGACTGTGGTATTGCTGTTGAAGGAGCAACTGAGGCAGCACAGTCGTCTTCTGATATTGTGTTTTTGGAGCCTGGATTGTCTACCATCATCGACTCGATCAAGGTGGCTCGGCAGATTTTCCACCGCATGAAGGCATATATCCAGTACCGTATCGCGCTTTGCTTGCACTTGGAGATCTATCTGGTAACCTCGATGATTATTCTCAATGAGAGTATTCGTGTCGAGCTGATTGTCTTCCTTGCTCTTTTCGCTGATCTGGCAACGGTCGCGGTGGCATATGATAACGCCTCATTTGAGTTGCGTCCTGTCGAATGGCAGCTCCCCAAGATCTGGTTCATTTCAGTGCTGTTGGGTCTGCTGCTTGCACTGGGTACATGGGTTGTCCGCGGTACTATGTTCCTCCCGTCAGGTGGTATCATTCAAAATTGGGGTTCGATTCAGGAGGTCCTGTTCCTCGAGGTCGCACTGACCGAAAACTGGCTGATCTTTGTCACTCGAGGTGCTGATACCTGGCCATCAATCCACCTCGTCACAGCCATTCTGGGAGTGGATGTCCTGGCAACGATCTTCTGTCTCTTCGGTTGGTTCACCAACCAAGACATGCCCACGAACCCTGCCGACTCCTTCGTCGAGACCACCAACGGCTGGACAGATATCGTCACGGTTGTCCGGATCTGGGGCTACTCGCTAGGTGTGGAGATCGTCATAGCGCTGGTCTACTTCATGCTGAACAAGTTCCGGTGGCTCGATGAACTTGGTCGTCACAAGCGCGACAAGGGCGACCTCAAGATCGAGAACCTGTTGGGTCACCTTGCTCGACTGACGGTCGAGTACGAGGAGCCTGGGAAGCCCAAGGGTCGCTTCTTCCTGGCCACTAGCAAGGAAGAAGAAGAAGTGGAGTAAGAGCTGGGATTTGCGTCTTGAGCTCAAGGGTAGATTCCGGGATGACTTACTGGAGTAGTGGCCCGATACTGCTTATTGTTTTATTGAGGGAAAAATGTGACATCTGAGAAGACTTATAATATGTGTTCTCAAATGGGAAGAGAAGGATATTGGGACGATGGATGCTGAATGATAATAATAGTTACTTGTTTTTGTGATATCTAGTATAAATGTGTTCATCGAGTAGGTAGTAGTTAGTAACTAGTTAATATATACCTGATGTATTTGACTGATCAGCTGTAGCAGTAACCAAAGCCCACTTGCATGGGGGAGCAGAAGAACGAATAGAATTATCACTTCATAGCAGCCTCACCGGCCCAAAAACAAGCCATTGCTTCTGACATTTTTCTCTTTATATCCTCATACGAATAATAACTAGGTAGAGTAACGGTGACCAACCTTTAATCAACCAATTACTACTACAATTCCAGCATCAGGTAAATCATACAGCAGCGTTTTTATCATATGTCACTCTTGAATTCTGACACAGAACATCCCACAACCCACCCCCTTCGGGCCTTTATAGCAGTATTTATCCATTCATACTCGTAGTAAGTTGTACTACTACGGTAGTATAGATAAACCCAAATAAAGTCATACAATGCTTTTAACATCTTACTGTATTTCTATTCACTAGTACTAGTATTGTTGGCAGAAGAGTGCTACTACTAGGTCGGAGTCGATATATATAATTTGGACCAGACAACTTCCGAGTCACGGTCTCAAGGAGTTGTAAGTATTCTTGGAGTTAACAAGGTATTAGCTAAAAGTACGAATCAAAACAAGTCGATATAATCTGTACAATGTAGTAATTTCAAGTTGTCACTATTAATCATATTTCTCTTTCATTCGTTGAATTCTAGGTGCATGGTAAAGTGGGTGGGAGGTAGGAGGTACTTAGTTTTGTTGGGGGCGTCGATTCAGTATGAAAAGTAGCTAACCTACCAACCAATCAAGTACTAGAGTTGACATTCTTTAGAGTTACGGAATTGCTTACTATGTAGATACTCAGGAGCTATGTTTGTTACCGAATGTGTGTGTATGTATGTATTTTTCTTGGTTGAAAGTATTAATATGTGTGTCACTCCATATGATCATGGAGGACGTTAAAAGTTAGTTACATATAAATATATATATCATAGTGGCTAGTCGTGTCGTTCATTTCATGGACAGGACGTTAGGATATAGTATGGAGGATTCACGACCGGCGGTGGTGGTTCTCCAGCACGCGCTTCCACAGATCCTCCATCTCATTGCCGACCATGCGCTCGGTTTGCTTCTCCAGGGCGCGTCTGTCGAAGTCGCGCTTGGAGATGGCGGCGTTGGACTCTTCGCGGGACATTTCCACTACACGTTTTTGTTAGTTGACTTTCATTCAAGATCTCATGGTAGGGATGGAAGAAAGGGGAAAAAAAAGAACGGAAGACAGGAAGGTATAGGGCGGCTCACCATGCACATAGACACCCGCTCTCTTTCCGCTGAACATGGCATGCGGCACGTTCGTGGATCCATCACTGTTGCAGTCACCGACAGCGTAGACGCCCGACAGACTGGTGCGCATGCCCGTGTAGTCTGTCGTATCGATCTTGTTATCCACCATGACCAGGCTCAGCTCCTCGGGCAGAGTGGAACGCTGAGCGGTCGGGTAGTTTGTGATGAAGGTGTTGCGTACAACGCTGGAGCCATCGGTGAAATGGACCCGGAAGATGTCGTACTGTCTACCCGTGTCGTCGCGGTGGTCATCTCCATCTTGGAGACGCTCAATGGATGCAATGGAGCGGTTGTCAATACCGACATTCCACGCTTCGAGCTGCTGCTTCCAGTTCGGGTACTTGGCTGCCAGGGCGACTTCGTTGGCGGGCGTGTAGGTGCCGTTAGTGAAAGCGATGATGTCCGAGTACAAGGTGTGGGTTTCCATGACGCTGCCGACCACGTCCGGCAAACCGCCTAGGATACCGAGGGGCTCGTCGCGGTGCTCGTAGCCGTCACACCAGGGACACCACCAGATGCCCTTGCCCCAGGCTTCGCGGAGACCGGGCACATCAGGGATCACGTCAACCAGCCCGGTACCCAGGACTACCTTGCGGGAGGTGTATTGGGTGCCGTTGGCGTCGACGGCACGGAAGTATGAGCTGTTGGCTGCGGCATCCTCGACCGGGGTGATGGAGTCGATCTTGATGTCGATGACGCTGGTCGAGTTGTATTTAGAGATCTGCTGGCGGGCGAGGCCACGGAATTGGGCAGGTGGGGTGCCTTTGTGGATGTTAGGTATAAATTGACATGAAATGGGGAGATTCTGGGGTAAACGGGGCAGAACTTACCATCAAAGCCAAGGACATCGTGCATCTCGCGCGTAACACCATTACGGTATTCTCCCGAGTCGAACATCACGGTCTTCCGTCTCATGCGCCCGAGACTGCTCAGGACACTGAGGCCCGCGGGACCTCCTCCCACGACAATCACATCGTAATCGGTCTGGGGGATGGACGACGCCAGAGCGACGCTGATGGTGGAGAAGAGGGAATAAAAGAGGGACTTGGGAGCCATGGTGTGGACTAGGTTACGGATCGGATCGTTCCCCACGCACTGAAGAAGAGAGAAGGCCTGCTGCAGTCTGCCGAGAAGAAGATGCAGCAGCAGCAGCAGCTTTCAAGCTGCTCTTTATACCTCCACAACAGCATGTTCCGCAGGAAGGACAGTGCAGCACGCACATCGTCCCAAGTTGTCCGAGGAGCAGGATTTGGTGATTCAGCTGGGATGCAGCCAAGACTCGAGCTGGTGGAGCAGCTGAAGGGGATCGACACGATCGATTCCGTGCCAGTCCAGTTCGGGGTCCGCCGTGCCAAGGTAAAGAGAAGATTATTGAGAATATGGTTCGGGAGACTCTAGTCGACCTGCCGAATGAGAGTCGATGACTGCGTGGCTTCAAATCCCGGTTGAATGCTGCCAAGACGGCGGAATTCGATCGGCAGGGCTGGGATTTCAATAGTGCATGCAAGTGGAAGAGGGGCCAGATGGGCGGGGCGTGGAGAAGCTTGCTTGTTGGTGATGGTGCCGAACCCTGCACGAGGCAATTAAAGTCGGAGGGGTTCGTGGCAGAGAAGACGAAGATAGTAGTGGGTGAAGGAGGAGGGAAGAGAGGAGCAAAGAGGATGATGCATAACAAAACATGCCACGACAGACAGTTTAAGAGTCACGCGACCCAGAATCAGCCTGCAGCTCATAAACTACCTCAAACCAGCTCAGTAGAATATATTAACCATTAGATTAGTTAAATAAGATAGGTGCAATCAATACTAGATGTACCGCAAGGGTACTATATACAGCTCCACTAGGATTATATCCCAGCAAACCCTGTGGAACACCACATCCACGCCACCTGCATGCTGTCGCCACTTCTCTCCTCCCTCATATTAATCCCTCATGCACACTCATAAACATACACTCCTACAAGGGGTATCACAAAATAAAATCATTTCTTCCAGTTAGTGCTGGATTCAGGGCCCCACAAGTGCAGGGGGTACCGGTATGGAGTTCCAAAAACCCGCGAGGCCGTTTGCCCCAGAGCACTGCGGACGCCACTCAAGAAGCCCGAATTGGCGTACGCCTGCGTGACATCCCACATCATCACGCCGCCAAAGCTCTTGAAGGTCTTGGTATACTGAATGATCGACTGCAGTTGCGAGACCGGTACATAGCCCGAGCCGGCTGCCCCGGTATTGGCCGGAACGCCGAGCATCACTCGCACATTGGGGTTCTGAGACACGTTCTTGGCCCAGTTGTCCCACTGATCAAAGTTGAAGGTCGACTGCGTGCTTTGACCCTGAACAAATGAGCCCAACCCGCAGGGGTTGTTGTAGAACTGAACCCAGACGGCATCCATTGACACCGGCCCGTTGAGGAACTGCTGGTCGGCAAGGTCGGGGTAAGGGCACTGCGGCGCTGCCGTCAGAAAGTATTGTTTCGAGGGCTCGGCATCGAACAGTTGACGAAGGCGGTTCGCGAACGGCGCCATGTTATTCACAGTAGCCTCGAAATCGAGATCAAACCCGTCCACCGATGCGTTGCCAAAGGGCCGATGCGCCGTCGAGTTGGACTGCTGGGGGCCGAAAGTCTGCCAGATCAGGTCGGCACCGGATTGAGCAGCAGATTGCGACTGGAATCCACCTTCACTGTACGTCGCACCGCCAATTGACAGGATGATGGTCTTCCCCTTCTTCTGGCACGTGGTGATATCGGCACTGCATCATTGTATTAGCCGTGTTGCCTTTAGTCCTGAGAACATGAAGCATACCCAATTTGGGGACAATTCGGCAAGTTGGTGCCTTCGAACAGCGTGCAATTTTTACTGGTGAGCGAAAAGTCGTATGCTGGTGCTCCTCCAGGTCCGTTGACGTTCATCACAAACGCAAGGACAATGGCCTTGACGGTGGTCAGCATCTCCTTCATGTACATTTCCTCTCGTTGAAGCTTGATCTTACATCAATATTGCTGTCTAAATTTCGAGTCAGCACAGCTTCTTCTTCCGAAAATTGTGGAACACTCACCATCGCAGTAATAGCCCAGGTTCTGCTGGGCCAAGCTTCCGGTCCCTGCATAGGAATTTTGGCCTAATCGCAGACATGTCAACTACTGTCAGATTCTGGCATAGGGTAAATACTCACCCCAGTACACAACCACGTTGTTAGAGGAAGATAAGTCGAGCTTGGCGTATGCTCCTCCCAGAGAAGCCAGCCCCATCGAAAAGGCAAGAATATTTTTAAGGAGCGTCATAGTGTAAGGAAGGAATAAAGAGTTGGTGTCTTTTTTTAAAGGATTGACTGAAATATCAAAGGAGTGTGTTGAGTGAACGGTCTCTAACCTCAACGATGGGGGGCGGACGACCAGTCGATGATGCCCAAATTGCCGGTGCCAAACGGTTGTCGAATTCGAGTCGAGCTGCTATCACGAAGTCAGATTGTAGGCGCTCATGTCGCGGCTTTTATGTCTTCTCCAGACTAATCATAAGCCTGTTGTGTTGTGTTGAAAAAACAAGCTTGGACCGAGTCCTTGTCATCCGTTGTCTGGGGTCAAACATTCCAGATAGTAGTCTTCTCTCACGAAGCCAGCCAATAACCCAGGCCCCCGGATTGTCATATTCAAGTGGCGCTGCTAGACTGCAAGACAGAGCATATTTTTCAGAAATTCATCGAAACTATGATTGGTAGGGAACCGGCCGAGATACATTCCAGGATGGTTGTTGTCAATAACTTGGGCGGCCCGAGGAATGCCATTTCCTCTTGCGGACCCCAGCTTGTGATGAGCCGAACCCAGGGCAAGCTCCTCTTCTCATGATCACTTACGTGGCCACGAACATCGTAGCTTGCGTACTCAGTCAGTCAGGTGCGTCAATGGTTCAATGATGGTTGGGATGAAGTCTGTTAGCCAGTTCGTTGTTGCCCGGCTGCGCATCGATTACCGTTAACATGACCATTAGGATACCATGCGAGTCCCATTTGACAGCTTGGCCACAGGGATATATTATTAAACTTTATAGCTGCCATGTGAGACTGCAAGGAGTAGGTCGAAAATCGAAGTATTGAGTGAGACAATCGCCGTGGCTTTCACCTCTCCGGGACCGACAACTAGAACCGGCAGTTGTACGTGTGGTGGAAGGTAGCCAACTACATCTGCCCCTGAAATCTGGGATATTCCGTGTGATGCACATGGCGGTTCTCAGGATATCAAATACATAGACTGGATGACCATTATCTCCTGACCGTCGTGGCTCTGACTTCTAGTGCTCCTATGCCCAAAGGCGATCCGTTGACCATGACGGTCAGATCATGCATAATGGGCAAATCGTCATGAAAATGCTATTCTTGGCTCCTGCCAGATGCTTATGACCCCAAGAATGCAGGTGTCGTCCTGGTGATGATGGCATGTAGTCCTTATCGGGCCGGTTTATCAGTCACTCACGGTACATGTTTTCCGTCAATCAGCCCAACAAAAGTTGGCCGAAAGCAAAATAATCCCGCATACTATGCTGTCTACCAATCGGCCCTGGGTAATGATCGGACTATATGCCGCGGAGTGAGGCCAGGAGCAGAGGGTACAAGGTTATCGGAGGGATGACGAGCATATTAAGATCGCCGGTCGAAAATGCTCTTGATTGAACCATTCAGGAGTTGATTGCTTGGTCAAGTTCTCCAAATCCTGCCGAAGCCAGTGATTCGAGATATCATAATAAACATAACAAACACAATTTGTGCCCGGCTATGTGACATTGCACACAGAAAATATAGTTCTGCCGCCATTGGTGGGAGGTGACCGTTTATTTCATAGCATTCATTGATGGATGCCAATGACCCTTGAGACGGCCTCATCGTTGGTCATGCTGTTATCAATCACTCCTGCCACTTTGAGAACATCTACCACACCCTCAACAAGTTTCCTTTGCACACCCCGAGTCGTGCCTGTGAACTTGACATCCTTGAGCCACTCCTTAGCATCCTCCTCTCCATAGTTACAGCCCAGCTCTCCAGTACCCAAGAGCTTCACGACCTGAGCCGTATCGGCTTCAAAGTCCTTGATGCCCTGATCCAGGAGCTTGAGCAGCTGTTGCAGCTTGCCATCCGCTTCCAAATCCGAGAAAGATGAAGTAGACGCCACAATCATCCAAGACGGCCAGGGAGTGTAGATCTCACCGATCTTCTTCAAGGCGGGATGAGGTTTCTCTTCAGTGGGGTGGAAATACGGCTTCGTGGTGAAGTGTTCCCACATGAAAAACTCGGCCGTGGGCTTCGGCTCTTGCTCTGGATGCCCAGAATCGTATCCGGTCACTCCATTGCGGAGAGCAGCGAAGGGGCCCAGGGGCACGGTGGACAGGGAGTCAGGCTTCCAGCCTTGCTTCTGAGCGAGGACGAAAGACATGATGTGGGAGCCACTGTTTCGCGTCAGTATAAGGCGTGCCATTGGTTCTGCAGGTTGCGTTGTTTATTCCCTCACCTTCCAAGGCGACTGACACCAACCCGCTTGTCCTTGAGGTCAGTCACGGTGTGGATATCTTCTCTCTCCCGACCCGTGACGATGGCCCAGCGCAATGGCGTATCGACCCAGTGCCCGATCATCTTGTAGCCACCCTCTGAGGGGTCCTTCTGGGCCTGCTGTTTACCAGCCAGACCAGCAACCCATCCTTCGGTCAATCCAATGGCAACATCGATTTCCTTCTCACGCAGAGAAGTGATCATGTGTCCTGTTCCAGAGGGGAAGGGAATCAGAGAGATCTTGAAGGGGAGAGCAGCCAGGGCTGGGGAGCGCAGCGCCAGGTGAAGAGGCGTGAGATAATGTTCTAGAAAGGAAGGTCATTGTTAGCTGCTAGTAAATAGTCCGGAGCTCGGAGAACCGGGGGCTGTCCATGTTGCACAACTGAGATGATTGTATACGGCAGTGTAAGGATATTGAAGGAGGGAAGTTGAACCGTACCAGGCACATAGCCAATGCGGATAGTCTCTAGATCTGAAGCCATGGTGAATCGGGGTGGAGTAACGGAGACAAACGAGTCGGTTGGAAGATACTAGTAGCGAGGATCATTCTGCTGAACAGGCGGAGATGGAGCGTCTAAATGTCGAGTTGAACTAACGAGTAGTTGCTGGTGGGGTTCCTCCCGGTCCCTTGAAGTTACCCCGCGGCAAAAAAGAAGTTCTCCTCACGTCATTTGCCGGCCACCAATTGACTCATGACCATGCGAAGACTGCATTAGATAGGGTGTTACGGACAACGATTGGCAGCATAAGCTTCATTGAGCGTCTAATCACATCACATTATTTCTAATTCAATTGATAACAGGTCGGATGACCCCGGAGGCCGAACCAAGCTGAAGGTCCGACGTGTCTAGCTATGCCATATGTACAACGCCAACGGAAAGCAACGGAAATCTCACGGCCGTATCTAATCTCGTTCAAGTCATTCGGATGTCCTTCTCCTCCACATTATAGCTCTCACTAGGTCCTCGAGGACTGCCCGCAGTCCGGAACGAGGCACCACTGTACATCCAAAACTGCACGCCCAAGTACAGGTCGCAAACACACTGGAAGAGACCACACATCCGGAAAGCCCAAGGGATCACCTCCTGGCTGCAGAAGAAGTAACTCAGCTTCATGAGATCACCGAGGATCCAAGCCGCGAGCACCGAGAGCCGGAATCCTGCGCACGAACGGGACTTATGGTTCTTGAAAATCTGGGGAAGAGGCAGCGTGGCTTCCACGGCGAGACCGACGTATCCAAGAAGACCGATGTAGGATTCCGAGTAGGCAATTGGGGGCAGGAGGACTTGGATGAAGGTGAGCGCGCCGATGAAATACGCCAAAAACATCCAGTAACTATCGACGACTGTGGGTTAGTATTCGCTGCAATAGAATGGTCTCTCTGAAAGGAGAGAAAAGATTAGGACGTACGGTTTCGCGCTCTTCCATTGCCAGAAATCGTAGGGTCTCGCAAATCCACCGCCATTGTCCACACTGCTGAAAGGAACATGCTCAACGCTGTTCTTCAACCCGGGCGATGGCCGATTGTCCAATGCAACCTTCAACAAGACTACCTGCACCCCGACAGTGATAACGGCCTGAATCAGGAGCGAAAGAGAGTAGTAAGCGCCGAACCAGTAGAAGATCCTAGCAAAATTTGTTAACGCCGAAACCCCCAAGGGCCGCAATTCCTAGACTGGTGGCCTTACTTCAAGACGGACGCGACGAGCATAATCAAAGGGATGTCCAGCGAGAAGCCAGCCGAGCTCCTCGACCGGTGAATACTGAGGATCTGGTCCGCATAGGAAGTCACTGGAGAGGTGATGAGGCTGTTGGTTTCAAGCGGCCAGTTAGCGTTCCATTCCGATGCGTCCATGGGAGCGGAAGACGTACAAGAGGGGAGCCCCATATTCCAGGGCCTGCGACACAAGATACATAGTGAACTTAAAATTACCCGTCGCTATCCTTGTAACAAGAGTATAGCGAATATAGGAAGATGTTACGATGGTTGAGGAGCGACTGCTCGGTTTTGCGTCGACGATGGGGCAGTGAACGGGCGGAGCTTGCGGTTTCCGGAGTGAGACTGCGACGGAGCAGCAGCGGTGTCAGGGGCGAAGCTCGTGGAGATGCTGAATTCGGGATGAGAACGCAGGCCGCGAGCAAAGACGAGAAACCTCCACAAGAGTGAATTGGCAGGAGTAGGGAGATGCCGAAAGCCCAGGAACTCCGTGCCGACCAGTCCTAAAGAGAGTTCAATGCCAAAATCAACCCGAATGCGGCCTCTTTTTTTTGCAGCCAGATTTCGGACTCAAATCAATTAAATTTATTGATCGGCGGCCACGTCCCTGGCGCTGACTCAGCCCCACTCCAGGAGTTGCCTTCCCTTTTTCCTCTTCGGGGTTGGGGTTCCACCCTTCACTACAATTCTACTACGGGTGGTGCTCAACTAGGGTGGAAGGGCATCTGAAAGCGTCATAAATAAATACCATTGATGCCTGATATATGAACCTCTTGCATATATGTATGGGTGCTCAATCCACATCCTCGTCTAGTCTAAAACTCAATCCGCCATGTCTTTCCAATGCCGACATTGGGGTTCTTCACCACCGCATATGCGGCCTTGCCATCGGGCTGGCTGTGGTACTGCATAGAGGCTGTCGAAGCCGCCGAAGCTCCATCCTCAATCACAGTCACACTGGTCTTACCCTGCCATTCCTTAGGAGGATCAACTACCACCACCCGCTCAACACGAACGTTGGCCATGGTCTTCAAGTACTCGGCCGTCTTAGGACCCTTGGTGCCAACATCCTCCGAGACCAGGGCAGACTCCTGGAAGCGGAAACGGCGATGGATATAAGCTCCACGCTCATAGTCGAACGTCTCGCCGTCATCCACGTAGAGAGAGCCATCGGCTTGACCGTTCTTATCCAAGACCACAACAAGAGTGTACGGATCCCATTTCATTAAGGCGCTACTGCGGCGAGGACGGTCCTTGCGGGGGATAACATGGCCACCCTGCATCAGCAATGGCACAGTCTCCATAGGAGCAGGCACCGTATGCCGCTTTCCGGCTCCCTGGTAGACGGTGTAGTCAAAGTAGTCATAGTACTTTTCGCCGTCAGCAAGGTAAATGTCGGCCGTGGTGGCCTCCTCGGAGACAACAGGCTTAGCAAGAAGACCGGTGGAGCCGAGATAAAGCTGGTCGTCAATGGCAAAGCCAGCCTCATCCCAAGGGTGAGCATAGTACTGCGGCCTCACGATCGGCATTCCGTTCACGGAAGCTTCGTGGAAGGCAGTGTACCAGGCGGGGAGAAGCTGATACCTCAGGCGGATAGCCTGGGAGATGATAGACCGGTGTGGCTCGGCAATCAGATACGGCTCTCTCCGGCGCGTGTCAATATGCGCGTGGGCCCGGAAGAAGGGGTACCAAATACCAGCTTGGTACCATCTGGTCAAGAGCTCCTTGCTAGGGTTCTGGAAGAAACCGCCCACGTCAGCACCGGCAAAGGGGAAGCCTGCAATGCCGTTGTTCAGAACCATAGGGATGGAAGCGGCCAAGTGTTCCCAAGTAGCCTGGTTATCACCCGTCCACATAGCAGACATCCGTTGAGCACCAGCATAATATGACCGTGTCAGAATGAAAGGCCGACGGATCTCGCCCTTCTTGCGCTCTAGAAGGGCATCGTAGGTGGCATTGACCAGGGTGATTCCATGAACGTTATGGATGTCACGGTGCTCCCAGTTGCCATGATGAAGGTTATCCTTGGGCATCGTGGTTTCGGGACCGTTGAAGACCGAGGGCTCGTTCATGTCGTTCCAAATGAAGACATTGGACAGCGTCCCCTTGAACTTGTCAAACTTGAATAAGCTGACCCACCATTTGATGGCGGCCGGGTTGAAGGTATCGATCCAGTGAGAAGAGCCAGGCCAACACCACCCGTCGTAGATCTCACCATCCTTGTTCTTAGTGGCCAAGTCTTTGCTCTTCATTTCTTGGACGATGCTGTACTTGTCCTGGTTCTTGATGTGCGGGTCAATGATAACGACGAGTTTGCGCTCCGACTCATCGAGCTGCTCCTCCATGCTGATCGGATCAGGGAAACTGAGTGGATCCCAGGTGAAATACTTTCTGTCATCGGTATATTCGATGTCCAGCCAGATGACATCGTAGGGGATCTGGTACTTGTCAAAGTTGCGATCGACCTCCTTGACATCCTCATCAGTGATGTAGTTCCAGCGGCATTGGTGATAAGCAATGGCAAAATGTTGAGGTAACTGAGTGTAGCCGGTGAGTTCACCATAGGTCTTGCTGATTTCCTGTGGGGTAGGACCAAGGAAAACGAACACGTCGAGCTGGCCGGACTCCGAAAACCAATGACTCTGGGTGTCAGTGGTGGCGCCCACGCCGAGAGCAAGAGGGTTAGGAGATGAGGTAGACTTGACAATGTCCACCCAGGTCTCTGCAGCATTCAGCCAGAAGACACCGACGGTGGAGTCCTTGCGATGTGCCTGCATGAATGGAATAGCACCATACAACGTCATGGGACTGCTCAGCTCGTACTCAAACACATCCGCATTGTACATGCGGTAGGGCTCTTCGTGATTCCCTTCACCACCTCTGGGACGCTGTCAGTTCTGCGAGATGGAAAATGTCACTGCGCGACTAGCTTACCGAGTTTCCTTTAAGGAGAGAGAGTCAGCATGCTCAGGAATTCCAAAAACATGCTTGTAGCCAGGGAAGGTGATATCCAATCCCACACTCTCGGGACCCCTGGGCTTGGTGTCCGTGTTTCCACCAAAGCTCTCATCCCACCAAGTGCTTTCATCTTCCTGGGTTTGCTGCTCGCCCTCGCCTTCGACCTCTACCTTAGGGCGCCAATGCTCCATGTTAAGGTAGCCCTTGTTGTTCAATTGAACGTGGGTTTGGCCATCCCTCTTGAAGTCGGCGCTAAAGGGGGCGTGGCGGATGACAGCCTCGAACTGGTTGTCCGGACCGTACAAGACTCTGGTAAAGCCAGACTCGGTTTCAGGTCTCAAGGTCGCGGTTTTGCTCAACTCCAGGCCACCAACCAACACCCATTTCTCTGCCTCATTGTAGCGTTCCTTGCGTGCTTTGCTATCGTGTCGAAGCTGGATGTCACCGTTCATGCGCTTTTCCTCATCGACAACAACTCGGGCGGCGCCGGACTCGAGGAAGGAGACAACGAGAGGCAGCTTGACTTTCTCGTTGGCGGAGACGGACTTGAGAATGGTTCCGTGCAATTGGCCATCCTTGAACTGGATGGAGGATGAGTCGAGTTCGTATGGGGAGGCCCAGGAGGAACCTTGGGCGGCAGCATCGTCGGCGAATGCTCTGTTCCGCTTACAGAAGCCCGATTGAGAACATGTCTTGAAGTTCTCGTGTTTCACGGTGACTATGCGTCATTGTTAGATGTCAAGGAGAGCCTCACCAGTAGGAGTGTGATTGGACAGGCTTACATCCGGGGATGACAAGGCATCCGAGTAGGACCACCAAGGACAGCAGTAGGGTCCAACGGTTGGACATTGGCCGAGTTCCGGCCATGATGGGAGAGCTCAGTAGTCAATCAGAGACACTCAACCTCTGAAAGAAGAACTATCAGCAACCACTAGTGTGTCGACCTGCATCTACCAGAGGTGAAGGTCCCACACACAAAGCTGTTATGTGCTGGGATAGAAGAAGGAAAATGCAACTAGATACGATAATGGAAGTAGTACAACAAGGGCACTCGATAGTTCCAGGCTGGCCAGATGGAGCTGAGATGGGGGGAAGCTCCTAGATAGGCTTAGTGTGACGCTAGTCTCAACTTGGCGGCTGGGGATTCGGACTTGTTCTGGCCTCAGGCAGAAAGTACTGTCAAAGTCAGTGATCAGGCATTTAGGCATGCAGGCATGCAGGCATCAACCCATGAGTGTCTCAAAAGTGACCACTGCTACTAATAGCATTATTGCCCCTCCTTCTGGCTGCCCCACACTGGCTTTGCGGTCCCTCCCTATATTTTTCGCCAACTCACCACCGGCTCTGTTTCTTCTCTTTCTTCTTCTGTTCCCTCAATCGTATCTCAGTGACTTCATTGTTATACTCTCAAATCCATCAAAATGTCTTCCGAGCAGACGTGAGTCGATTCCACTTCCCATTCCTCCCCTCCTTTTACCCCTCTACCCCTCCATTGCTCTTTTCTCTCTCGGTCTCTCTCAGTCTTCCTCTCTGGAGGTCCTTAGGGAGTCCTTTTTTGGATCCTCGTCAACCCCTCATTGCATTAATGAAAGCTAACCAATTGATATAGCTTCATTGCCATCAAGCCCGACGGTGTCCAGGTATGACTGATTCAAAGCCTCGACTCATCGCTCTGTGATGCATCTGCGGCATCTCCGGAATCGAACCCGTACTGACCCTGCCCTACCAGCGCGGACTCGTTGGCCCCATCATCTCTCGCTTCGAGAACCGTGGGTTCGTACTCCCCATCCATTGCAATTCAAAAAACATAGATACTGACGTTATCCCAGCTTCAAGCTCGTTGCTCTGAAGCTCTGCTCCCCCGGCCGTGAGCACCTCGAGAAGCACTACGCTGACCTCATGGAGAAGCCCTTCTTCCCCGGTCTCGTCTCCTGTATGTAGCTCCCAGATGTTGCACATGACGCATACCAGCATACTAATCTTGCATGTTAGACATGCTCTCTGGCCCCATCTGCGCCATGGTCTGGGAGGGCCGTGACGCCGTCAAGACCGGCCGCAGTAAGTTCCTCTGCTAAAACTTGCATCTATCGTCGTATACTGATCATTTGAAAGCCATCCTCGGTGCCACCAACCCCCTTGCCTCCGCCCCCGGCACCATCCGTGGTGACTACGCCATCGTAAGGACCCTGAACCCATCATGATCGAGACATCTCACTCACAGTTGAATAGGACGTCGGCCGCAACGTCTGCCACGGTTCCGACTCCGTCGAGAACGCCCAGAAGGAGATTGCCCTCTGGTTCTCCCCCAGCGAGCTCCAGCAGTGGAAGCACTCCCAGTTCGACTGGATCTACAAGAAGGCCTAAATTATTCCGGCCAATGTCGCGCCTGAGCGCCTGCATTCCGCTACGAGTTGAGATGTAGAGTACCTCGGGTGATATAAAACTCCAAGATCTCATGAGAACTAGAAATACAAATATACAAAACATACCCATGATCTATATGCCACGCTAGTAGTACTCTGTACAAATTATGAAATCATATAATACTATACACATCACCTTCTCCCAAACATCCCTCTGGCACCCCTCCCCAATGGAGAAAGCACAGCCCTGGAAAACCACGGGGTAGCCCAAACACTCACCACAATCCGGACCGGCATCAAAGCCTTGGTAATAAGATAGGCCGTCGCAAACTCCAAAATCAACCTCACTCCCTCCCGTTCCCCCTGGACTGACAACGCTGACCGCTCCACCTCACCATGGTGGTGTGCACCATCCCCTCCATACTCCTCCGCGACTGTATCAACATCTACCTCCTCAACCCATCCTTTCTTCCGCAGCCAACGCCCAAATTTCTGTGTCTGCTCTTCGAACAATTGGTTGGAAGACATGTCCGGGAGCAGTCCAATGTTGTAATGAAAGGCAGCCACCAATCCGAATAAACTTATAACGGCGGTGATCTCGTGTAGGATGAGGAAGGATGTGATGTGCGTTGCGGGAGCTCCGAGGAGAGGTGTGGTATAGGGGCGGACCGAAGCTGGAAGACGATCATTCAGTCTGTGTAGACGCGACCGGACGTCTTTTGCGGAGGGCGGTGGGGGAGAAGGAGGTGTTGAGAAGAGACGGTGGGGAGAGGGTTTGCGCTGTGAGATGAGACGGAAGGTTTGGAGGATAGAGCGCGGTAGTGACATTTCGTTGGACGGCTCGAAGAGTGACTTGTGTCTGAAAGGAACTGGGGAACTGAGGCAGTTCCAGGTCTGGTACCAATTGAGGACTTCCCAGAGCTAATGGTGATGTATTTATCAATTATACTTAGTCCAATCAACTGGTGGTTTGTGAAGCCGATATCGCGAGACCATCGGAGATATGGTGAGTGATGTTTGCTGTGTTTGCAAGGCAGATAAATTAAACTATACGCAGTAACAAGGGGCAGTTGACCGAATGTACGATCGGGATTGGCATGCAAATGTTCGTTCAGGACATGCAAGTACCCGGTCCCTGATGTCCAACCTTTCTTACCAGCCCGGGGAGTCGTCGATCAAGCCGATGGGACAATGTCAGGGAAGAAGATTCTCTTCTGCAAGTCGTGAACAAGTACTACCCGAGCCTTTTAGACGCGAACGATAAAGGGCAGTTGGAGAGAAGGGACCGGGTGATACTAAGCACCAGATATCTCCTCTCCGATCGGCGACATGATTGTTCAGGACTCTATAGCAGCAGGTCGTTCCACCGATCGGCCGGGATCATAATAATTGGGGGCAATTTCATGAGGAGAATCTTGCAGGCAGCGATGGGGTCGGCAGTTCGTCATGGTGCCTTTTCCGGAGGCTCCATCGGTAGGAGGAAGTCTTGTTCTTCCCCACCTCCGTCCTTCACGCCTTCTTTCCTCGCCTTCCACTCTCTCTCCTCCGTCCGTCATCGTGTCGCTGTTTCTGCTGCTGCTGAGACCGGGCTCATCATGGAGAAGATCACGGACAAGATCGCGGCTTTGCCGCCAGACGCCAATTACTTTTCTCTGGAGTTTTTCCCTCCCAAGACAAAGATGGTGGGGCAAGCCTCTACAACTCCCCGCACTGGAGTGACTCAATCTGGGATTATCTATCGGTCGCTAACAAGATGCTCGCGGTCTATCTAGGGTTTTGCCAATTTACAAGCGCGGTTGGAGCGTATGGCTCAGGCTTTACGCCCGTTGTTCGTGACAGTCACTTGGGGCGCTGGAGGAAGCACCGCCGCGAGATCTCTGGAGCTGGCGGAGATCTGTCAGCGCCAACTGCAGTTGACGACATGTCTACACCTTACTTGCACGAACATGAGTCGCGCCTTGGTCGACGAAGCCCTGGAGGAAGCAAAGGTGCTTGGAATCAGAAACATCTTGGCCTTGCGCGGTGACCCGCCCCGGAGCGAAGAATACAACATGCACGGCGAGGATGACAGCAACAAGGACTTTACATTTGCCGTCGATTTGGTGCGCTACATCCGCAAGCAGTATGGCGACTACTTCTGCATCGGTGTTGCTGCGTATCCCGAGGGTCACCCCGCCGATAATTTCCAGGATGGTCAGGATCCGGCCAGGGACCTGCCCTACTTGATCGAGAAGACACAGGCCGGCGCGGATTTCATCATGACTCAGTTGACCTACGACCTGGAAGCATACACCAAGTTTGAGACTATGCTACGGAATCATGAATCTGGCGTTTTCAAGACCATTCCCATCGTCCCTGGTCTGATGCCCATCCACAGTTACAAGATCCTGACAAGAGTCACGAAGCTCAGTCATGTCAAGATCCCCCCGCACGTTCTATCGAAGCTGGAGGAAGTGAAGCATGATGACGATGCCGTGAAGCGCATCGGTGTGGACATCATCACTGATCTTGTGCATGGCATCCGCGATCTTGTCTCTCCTGGTCTCCGCGGATTCCACTTCTACACTCTGAACCTGGAGAAGACGGTGTCCTTTATCCTCGAGCGCTGCGAACTCATTCCCCCCTACACAGAAATCGATGACTCCGATGCCTTGGCCGATGGAGGTAACTTGTCTGCTCTGGATTCTTCGTCGTACATTGCCCCGAATGGCGCTCCCATCCGCACCCTGGCCAGCCGCCGCTCATCGGTCAGCTCCATCCCTCACAACCGTGTCATCGTCGACAAGGTACAGATCTCCGAACCCTCTTCGAAAGATTCCATAACACATGAGGCCTCCGCCTTGAGCGCCGGCCTTCCCGCCATGCCGCCGGACCGCAGCACAACTCTCCAGATCTCCGAAGGTCTCGGTGCCCTCGGCAGAGAAGCCACATGGGATGACTTCCCCAACGGACGTTGGGGTGATGCGCGCTCGCCCGCTTTCGGTGAGATCGACGGCTACGGTCCCTCGCTGCACGTTTCCGCTGCCACTGCCCGGCGCATCTGGGGCTACCCGGTCACCCGCGAAGACATCAGCACCCTATTCCGCCGCCACGTCTCCGGCGAGCTCCACATGGTGCCCTGGTCCGAAGGAGGCGCCGAAGAGGACAGCAACGGCCTTAACGCCGAAACAGCCATCATCCAACCCGAGCTCCTAACCCTAATTGACAAGAAAGGCTGGTGGACTCTGGCCTCTCAACCCGCCATCAACGGCGTGCGCAGCGACGACCCCGTCTTCGGCTGGGGCCCACCGGGAGAAGGCTTCGTCTTTCAGAAGCCCTTCGTGGAATTCTTCTGCCCCACCAAAGACTACCTCACCGTCCTCAAGCCTCTCCTCCAGAAACACGGCCACGAGAAGCTTGCCTGGTTCGCTACCAACGCCAAGGGCGACTTCGAGTCCTCCCTCCCCGGCCCCAACACCGACGACCCGGACCCGATTGACATTAATCCGGCCAACGTCAATGCCGTCACCTGGGGTGTCTTCCGCGGCAAGGAAATCGTCACCCCCACCATTATCGAGGAAGTCAGTTTCCGCGCCTGGGGCGACGAAGCCTATCGCATCTGGGATGAATGGCGCCGCATCTACCCCAAGAACTCGGCGACGGAGCGCTTTCTGGATGACACTAAGAACGATGTCTGGCTTGTCTGTGTCGTGGGTCAGGAGTTCGGCGCCGGCACGGAACCTGGCTCGGAAGAAGAGGAGGATGAGAAGAAGTGGATGTGGCGCGAGTTGGCGAACTCTCAGTGATTTTGTTTTGGATGGAACAGGTCGATGGATGGATGTATTAACCCGACTAGTATGACTACTCCTGGCCACTGGCTTGGTCTGGGTGGTGCGCGGGGTGATGGGTTTGGTTAATCTGGATTTACAGTAAGTTAAGCACAGTACTATACAAATGGGGAGGGGTCTGTTTCATTGATAATTGAATACTTCTTTCAAATAAATCTAACTACCTATGGGGAAAGGACATGAAGTACTATGACTATGTTCGGTGGTGTGGAGGGGAACTATGTATGTATGTATGTATTTGCATCATGGGCTGAAATGAAAATAGAGAGAGTCTGCAATTTGATAAGTCTGAAATATTACATTCAAGTACCTTGTGGGGGAAAACGGTAATATAACTCTTCGTTCAATTAATCATTCATCATCCACAAACCCACGCTATGCTATGCCATAACTATCTCTAGTCTGCATTCATGTATCCATGCATCCATGCATCTAGCTATCTATAAACCGATCAAACTACGACACCTCCTTCATCCCAAATCCATGCTCCTCAAGTCCCTCGGCGCCTGTATCCGGCGTCGCCAGAGAAGACTGCGACTCGGCGAACTTCTCCATTGCATCGTCGAGTTTACCGTATGCGCGGGCATTACGGCGGGGTTGGTTGGGTCCAGACGCGGGGAGTTGGTAGCCGCGGAGTCTATATAGCGATCAATTGTCAGTTATGGGATGCGGGTGTGGTTATGGGTTTCGGGGAATAGGGTGTATATATGTACATACCGAGGACCCTGGCCGGTAGGCTTGGGGAGTTCGGAGACGTAAGTGCGTTGGAAGGTCTGAGTGTCGGCTTCGAAGGTCCCCCGGGAAATGCTTTCGCGGATGGCAGCGAAGAAAGTATCCATTACATGGTGGTTGTGGACTTGGAGAAGTGTCCAGGCGAGCATTTCCTTGGCGGTCAGGAGATGATGGATGTATGCGCGGTGATGATTGCGGCAAGTGTAGCATTCGCATGATTTGGAGAGAGGGGAGGTGTCGGTTGTGTGAGACGGGGACCACAGGTCGAAGGCGAGGTCATGAGGTTGGGTGACGGTCGTGGGGGTGTTGGGTGAAGGGAAGGTAAAATCCAGGGCGATGTCGGCGTCAGAGCAGACACCCATGAAGGGGATGGTGAGGAGATCTGCTCCGAGGGAAACGTCGCGAAGGATATCGTGTGGAGTCGCGGGTGCGCTGTAGAGGAGGCGGGGGAGGTCTCCGAGCGGTTCGGAGATGGCTGATAGGGAAGCCGATTCGTAGAGTGCCAGGCCGGAGATGTATGGTCTGAGCTCGGTCTCGAGGTCGTCCATGTAGATTGACTGCTGGGCGTTTTCGAGAGGGAGGACAGGAGCGAAGTAGGCTGACTTTGATCGGTTCTCCTCTGGCACTGTGCTGCCGTAGAGTAATCCAGTGGCATGCGTAGTGAAAGCGTGGGTTCGATCCACCATCTTGCCGCGTCTCTTGTTGCCAGGGGTGTGTCCAAGCACAGATCTGCCAGTCCGACGACGATATCCGGGCTGAGCTTCTGCACGGCGTCGACGTACTGGGTAGCTTCGAGCTGTCTGAACCCAACGGAGGTGTAAATGGCGACGGAGTTTGGCGTGTTGGCCGGGGGGCATTTGATCGGGGGCTCCCGACGTGCGCCCATGATCAAGAGGAGGTCATCGGGCAGAGCGACGAATTTGCGCAAGGCCGATTCATCTTGCGCGGTGGGAATGGTATAGACCGGTGGCGGATGTTTTTGGCTTTGTCTTTCTACGACTGATCTGGGCCCCAATGGGCATTCGGGTCAGCGAGGATTCGACCTCCGGATAAGGAGAGAGGGTGGCGGGGAGGGCATACAATCTTCGAGACCGACATATAGACTGCCGATGTCTGTGTGATCACGCAGCACATCATGGGCAATATGCGGAACGACGCCTCGGGAGGCCAGAGGGATGTAATGTGGGGTGGAGATGGGTTTTCTGCCGGCAAAGGCCAGTCTTCCCAGTCGGGGAGTCAGGACGGAGGCCGTAACATGGAAGGAGAGCATCTCATTCGATGGCTGTGGGGAAGACTCTGAGCCCATGGCGACCCTGAGGAGTGGAGGGTTGACGAAGGGATGGGGATGGTGGAGAGAGGCAGAGAGAATCCGGCCGTTGTTGGAGAAGATGAGCGCGGCGCGTGCCGGTGAAAATGTGCTGCCTTTCCCCACTAGTAAGTAGTACTTTGTAGTACTGTGTAGTAGATCGATAGATGGTGGGTTTGATATTGGCTGTATCCCCCAGTCTCTGGCTGGAATTATCCCAGAATTTGGCAACCGGGTGATGAATAAAGGTATCTGGTATTGATTGTACTGCAAACGAAAAATATCGCTGTTCTGAGTCACATTACAGACTGAAAGATACATCGCCAAATAATCATCCGATGGAGTCAATCGGTAAGGACGCCATTCCCAAATGGGGAAGATCCCCTCCAGCTCCTCGCGACCCGCGCGTCGAGCCACTTTCATCTCTCTCTATCGCCGGCCACCTCTGCTCCTTGTCATCTATTCCAGCTGATTTACAGACAGAAAATTGAGTTTCCCTGAGGCTCTTCCATAATATTTCCGCCTTGTGAAACTCTCCAGTTGTCAATTGATCCCCCTGCACACTGCACAACATGGCAGCACAAGCTCCTGCCGCGCGACGCGGGGCTCTCATTGTGGTCGAGGGGTTGGACCGCGCGGGCAAGTCCAGTCAATGCGAGTCTCTACACCAGAAACTACAAGATTTAGGCCATTCCGTCAAGTACATTCGCTTCCCAGGTAGCTCCCCTCCCTTTTTTGATTGTCCTCGTGAACATCGCTCTAATCCACACCCTCCGCAGACCGAACCACTCCCATTGGAAAGCTCATCGATGGCTATCTACGTGGCCAATCGCAGTTGGACGACCATTCCATCCATCTCCTCTTCTCCGCCAATCGTTGGGAGATTGCTCGGGCTATTGAGGAGGATATAGCAGCGGGCATCACCGTCATCGTGGACCGCTACTCCTATTCCGGTGCCGTGTACTCGGCCGCCAAGGCCAATCCCACCTTGTCCCTGGAGTGGGCTTGGACCCCGGAGATCGGGCTGCCCCAACCTGACCTATGCGTTTTCCTGAGTATCGCCCCAGACGAAGCGGCCAAGCGCGGGGGGTTCGGTGCCGAACGCTATGAGAATGAGACTATGCAAAGCCGAGTGCGGGAACTGTTTCAAACCATCTTCCGCGTCCAACGCAGCGGTGACATTCGCGTAATCGATGCTGGCAGGTCATTTGAAGCTGTTTCGGTGGACATTGAGAAGAGCGTGGTGGACTGCATAGCTCGCTTGGACGCCATTGGGCCACTGAAGCGATTCGTGTCCATTGCTGTTTAACTTCTCGAAAGGAGTGATAGTGAGAAAACCTGCGAAGCAAATGGGAGAATCATCTCAAATCCTCCATCTCTTCGCAGTCACTGTCGTCTATGATGATTTCCACCCTAGACGACTCCATCTTATGGTCCTTTGGGCGGTTTAAGAGTTCATCGGGATTCGGATCCAGATCCAACGACTCCGTCCAATTCTCATCCAAACTGGCGTCGTCATGATGATCCACATCGAGACTATCGCTGACGCCAACTGACGCACTCTCGACGCAAGCAGCTCGGCTGCCTGGGTTTTCGACGGCGCTGGCTACTCCATCAGGGGCGCTTGCTTCATGAATAGAACCATGCGCCTTTGCACGGCCTCGTTTTGCCTTGCGCAGAATGGCACGAAACTCATTCTGTCCTCGAGTTCTGAGGCTCAGTTCCTGCATCATTGTTGACCATTGGATGACCTTATTACATAGAGGACAAATTCCATCAATCGGAACGAGCTGCTCGGGCTCCTCGGCGTGGTCCAGAAACCTGGATGACAGACACAATAGATGGCTGATGCAGTAGCAGCTCGCCCGGGGGCAGACTAGAGCCAGTTCTTCACTGAGAACGATCTTTGCTTGGCATATTTTGCAACGCAAATCGCTGGGATCATCCAGCAAGAAATGGGACTTCTCTACGTAGTCATAGATATGACTGTAATCGACCTTGATATGTTCAACGCTTCCGACTCTCGGCTCGTCAGCCCATGACAGGTGGTCCTTAGGACAGTCCCCATCTAAAATGGTCCGGACATGCTCGGGAAGCAAGGCATCAACGCGGTCGCACCAAGTCGTCCACAATTGGTAGACGTCTCTGTTGAAGAATCGTAACCTCAGTGGCCATTTCGAAAAATAGGTCGAACGTAAGAAAAGATGCAAATCTTCTAAATGGGCCTTCAATGATCTCCGGGAGCCACGACCTCGATGCTTGGCCTTGCTGGCCTCGGTACTGGGCTGAACCCCTGAGGTGCCTGCCACATCGCCAGTTTCTAGGTCGATCTGGTGGCGATTTGCCGGGTGCTGCGAAGACATCTTTGGGTTCTGCCACGCCCACCTACAATGCTATCAGATCTACAGCGTAATAAGAGCGCGATAATGTGTTCATAGTTGCTTACTCGAATTGCAACGCGCCAACGCGGCTCGTAAAGCCCTCAACGAGCAAGACCATCTCCCACGGTCTTTTGTCATCCTTGGCTGTTTTGCGAGCGCCACCTTTAGACTCCCCATTGTGCTGCGCAAGTCGCCTGGCAGGGTGTGGAGTGGAGCCAATATACAGGGAGGTGCGCTGTTTGGTCGAGCGCAGCAGATAACAGCAGTAGTAGGCCGGGATTGGTTTAGTATGATCAACCTCTGCATCATCCATTGCAGCAGATAAACAAAAGTCTCGTTCTAGTACTTGAGCTGATCGAGTACGGTGCAGTATTGACTAATGACGCATACCATCTGTAACTATGAAGCAGAGATGGAGGAGAACGAGGCGTTTCGGCAAGAACTGGGCGTATGGCAATGCTTGCGATCTAGATCAGTTTGGCGTTCAAAGATCTACGCGGATTTGGTCGATCGATCAGCTGTTGCTCCAGCAAGAATCCCCTGGGTCACATGACATTCCAGAATACTGAGCGCTGCTCGGGACTCAAATGTCTCAATATGCGCGCAGCAGCATCTACGGAGTATGTACTCTTTTTCTTTTGCTTATTGCGCCCGATGACCTGCAGATGATTTTTTGAACCATGTGCTCGCTCGTCATAACTGCTGTGGTCAGTCTGTCGACACCATCTTGCTCGCCTGTTAATGCAGTGATAAAAGCTTGACCTCCTCAGCTTGGACAGCAGCCGAGTGAGGCTCAACCACTCATGGCAATGATGGTCGGCAATGAAGGGGTTGCCACGTCCCCATCAACAACCCCATTTGGCAATTGCATGACACTGCCAGGGATCAGTACGGAGCAAAGCGGACAAAGGAGACGACGCGGAAATGGAACAAAAGAGGGCCAAGAGAAAAAAAAGAAAAACTAGCGGATCTAGAAATTCTACAGGATGGTGAGCATCGAACGTCTAATTAGCCGGGTGCAAAGTAGCACTACAGCTTGACATAAGTACTGCAGACGACGCTGCAGCTGATTGACAATCATGCTTGACATCTGCTCGGCAATATGAGCCACAACCAAATGAATGAATGCATACTCGGCAACGACGAGGAAGCACAAGGGATAACAATCGATACAATCGGGGGGGAGAGGGGCGTTCCTCCCCATCCCACCCAGCCCAGACAGACAGACTATCCCATTTTCACCCGCATTCCTGCGGACCGTACGGACTGGGTCCCCGAAGTCCGGAAAAGCTCGACCCGTAAGATGGTGGGCGCATGTGATCTAAACTGGGCATGATCGGGGCTAGGGAAGTGAGCATTGCATGATTCCATTGTCTAGCCAGATGCTATTATTGCCAGCCCAAGGGATAGCAGTACGTATCTAACTAGTAGTTAGTAGTTGTGTAAGTAAAGGGACGGCCTGCCCGATGGAGTTCCCCGTCAATGGGGTTTAATGGGGTTTAATATTGTATTATTATTCTCATTCTGTTACTTAAGTTCTGTGTGCCCTTTATACCTAGACTACCCCCTCTGGATCGAGATATTTTGTGGTCGGTTCCGGACCACGGTTGACGTGTCACACTCAGGAATGCGTATCATACCTGAGTCCCTCCTTCAGACATCCCATCCAGAGATCAGAGACTCGGCTAGAGTCTCAGCAATTTCTCCAGAGGCTCTTATTGCCATCTGCTCCTCCCGATAGACTTTGCTAATGCCAATGTAGACGGGACGGACCTCTTGTTGTAGGCAAGATAATCCCACGACGTGAGGATAAAGCCTTGATATGGTTGAGCTAAGCAACCCGGCCGTCTCCGTTCAATTTCCCCTGTAAGATCAAGGATGATGTGGTCATGAATTTACCGCCCCCATACCCATCTATACCTTCTTGTGTCTTACCCTTGGGTTTTCTCCATCCGAAGGGACTTTTTGGACCCTCAAACCCCGATGGCGTGCGAATTTTAATTCTCTTACTTAATAATGTTCTTCCTTTTTCTTTTTTGCTTATACATGCCATGCGTTGTTTCCTTTTGTCCAGCCTTTTCTGTTATCTTTCTTTGTTTTTTTGTTGTTTCTAATCGAAACTTCCATCTCCTGCAGTAGAATAAGACGGTGGAGCTGAGCTTCACTCTAATGTATGTGGGAGCTTTTGTACTCTATACTGACCGAGTAGTTAATGCCAAAATTAATAAACAATCGTGCCATTGGGTTGACGCAGTGTTCTACTATTTCTTCATTTTACCCATGTGATATACTATAATCTCTCAAACCTTCTACCCTGGAAATGAGCTGTGTATAGAGTAGTTATGAGACTAGTACTAAGATAGGAGTAGTAATAATAAGGTAGGTACTAGCTAGGAAAGATGTGTTAATTCAAGAAAGAAAAGATGGTATTGAGTTTGGGGATATTGGAAAATGAAAAGGCAGGAAAGTTTCCCTTCTTCCGAGGTCGTCGAAAGTCGTTACATCACCGTTTGCGGGCAAAAAGTGGATGGAATGGAGTCCAGCTGGTATCTTTCCCGTTTCCATACCGCCATACGGTAACAGCGCCTATCCTGTTTGGGGAGGTCTGATTACCGCTTTTGTTGTATTCGCTACCCTTTTTTCTTTTGCTGCCTGAGGCCCGACCATCCAGATGCAAATCATGGATCGAGGACGATTTCCATTTCTCGCTGTCTCTCTGACGGATGGACTTGGCTTGACTTGCTGCTGCTTCTTAACTTCCTACGAAGTACGTTCCTTTTTTTTTTCTCACCCATTTGCTTTTTTTTTCCCCTTCCATTTGTCTCAATTTATCCTTTCTATTTTCCCTCTCCTATCTTTTTCCCTTTTTCTGCACACCTTCTTCCCCTTAGCATATTTCCTCTAGTTTCCGTTCCATCCATTCCTTCTTATTTTACTCCAGACGGATTCGGGATCTGATTGTTTTTCTTCAGTTGCCGATCCACTTGGGGTGGTGGTCCTCTTTTCTCCAGTCCAGGTCTGACGGGACGGGGGAAAGTTGTGGATAGGAACAACTTCCTTCTGGATACTACTTCCTATCTATCTACTACTACAACTACTACTACTACTTACTTACACCTCGATAACCAGACTAGGCTGACTATCTAGACGATCATTCTTCATCTATGATTGTCATTTAGTCAGCTCCAAGCCCAAGCTGTGCCCCATCAACTACGACTTGGTTTGGCTCCAAGTGGCTTCCCTGCGAACTACCATACTAGGACTACTTCCGGCTACGGTCAATTCCCTCCAATCGTCACGACTGCTAAATCTCAACCCCCATTTTCTAAACTAAACCTCCTACTTCCCTACTACTATTTCCCTACCCTACGGAAAACACCCCTGCTACGGGACTCTTGAATTCCATCCTCCCCCCCGATCCCTTCTCTTCTCATCCCTCTTCTTCCCTCCTCCCACTCTCTGCTGACCGGCTTTCTCTTCTTTTACTTGGGGTGAGCACGTTACTCTTCTTTTATCCTTGTTCCTGTTCCGAGATTCTCCACACTAGCCCTCCCGAGTTCATCTCGGCCTGCCCTGTGACAGTCCATCTGCTAGCTGGCGGCCCTTTTGCTCTATCATCATCAATTTCACCTCCCTCGCTATCTTCCCATCCCTCCTCCCCCCCATCCTTCGGCCCTACCTTCTTCTTCTATTTCTTTTTCTTCCTTCATCCTACCTCACCAGCTGTCTTATCGTCGGTTCTCGACACTAAACTCCATTTCTTAGTTGATCTGGCCCTCCTCCATGTGTTTTTCGCATCGGATGCTGGCCCCCTTCCGTCCGCGGTAAACCACGCGCAAATTCTCTCTCGCCTCGATTCCATTGTCGCCCCTAAGAAATGGTGGCTCCGGCCTCTGCTGGAGGCGCCTCTACAGGCTTGCAGCCTTCAACGAGTCGCCAACCCACTCGATCATCCAGCACTCACCCATCGCATTCTCATAATGTTCCCTTGAGCGCTCGCAGGTCCGAACCCCTCGACTTGTCCACCGTCGAGCGCCGTGGACAACCCAATGCCCCTCGCGAACCGAGTACACGAGTGCGTCCCCATGGACTACAAGAGGCCCCGACCTTTCGCCCGACAGAGGAGGAGTTCAAGGATCCCGAGGCATACATCCGCAAGATCGCGCCGGAGGGGAAGAAATATGGAATTTGCCGGATCATTCCGCCCGAGAACTGGCAACCGCCGTTTGCTATAGATACAGAGGTATGCGAGTGTCCCTGCGGTCTTGTTTGCTTAGTGCGGAGCAAACACGGAGCCGCAGTGACTCCAGTCTGGAATATCCTGTGGGGGGCTAAGGCTGACCAACGCGTTTTCTAGCGATTCCATTTCAAAACCCGTCGACAAGAGCTCAACTCGGTTGAAGGAGGTATGCCCCCGCGCTCAGCCAAGCAAGCTGCCGGTGGAGCTCCGCAGCCCAGTTCTGACGCGGACTCAGGAACTCGTGCAAACTTGAACTACCTCGATCAATTGGCCAAGTTTCACAAGCAACATGGCACCAACCTCAACCGATTTCCGAGCGTCGACAAACGTCCGCTGGATCTATACAAATTGAAAAAGGCGGTGGAGGTCCGCGGTGGCTTTGATCAAGTCTGCAAGATGAAGAAATGGGCCGAGATTGGGCGCGACCTGGGCTACAGTGGCAAAATCATGTCCTCCCTCTCCACCTCGCTCAAGAATTCATATCAAAGATGGCTCCAGCCATACGAAGAGTATCTGCGTGTGGCCAAACCCGGGGTTCAGCAACAATTGGAGCTGGAACAGGGCGGTCCTTACACACCGTCCCCGAACCACTCCCCAATGCCCAAAAAGCCCGTATCACTTGACAGCGCTACGCCATCGGCCACACCTCAACCCGCACCGAGCAATCCAGTTGCGCCTCCAAGTGCAGCAAAGGAGGTCGAGGCCACTCCAGAGAAGCCCACACCGCCCGTCGAGCCTGCTCGGCCGATTGCGTCTGGATTCACACCGGTGAACGCCGGCTCGAGTGGCTTCACCGCTGTCAATCGGTCACCCTCTTTTGTGGCTGTGAATAGTGGCCCCGCCGTGAAGCGCGAAGCAGACAATGGCTCTCTCACTCCGAAGAGTGTCGCTGAGCATCCGGCCAACCCAAGCGCCGCTTCCAATGGCCATGCGGTTCCGCCAATGAAGCGCGCGATCAGCCACGAGAGTGCATCGCACGCTGAGAACGGTGAAGTTGATGCCAATGGTCGACGGAGCAAGCGACTTCGCAAGGGTATGTTGTCTATTCTCTCATAACATTTTCGCTGTCTAACCACTTTTGATCAGATGCACCCCTGCCCACGGTCTCGGGTTCGCATATGAGCCTCCTGCGTCCTGCGCCGCCTCGGCAACGCAAGAGCGACCACCGGAAGACTGGCGATGTATGATATCCTCCATTATTGTATTATCTCGGTGCTAACTGCAGCCAGAAATGCGAGATTTGTGGCAAGTCGGAGGAACGCTCGTCGATTCTCGTGTGCGATAGTTGTGATCATGGGTACCACAAATCTTGTCTCGATCCACCCCTGACCACGGTCCCTGAGTATGACTGGCATTGCCCGAAATGCCTGGTCGGTACCGGCGAATTTGGCTTCGAAGAGGGCGGCGTGTATTCGCTCAAGCAGTTCCAAGAGAAAGCGAACAACTTCAAGAAAAATTACTTCGCCTCCAAGATGCCTTTCGACCCCGTGCTCAATACCCACCGACGGGAATCTGAGGATGATGTTGAGCGTGAGTTCTGGCGACTGGTTGAGAGCTTGACGGAGACGGTCGAGGTCGAGTACGGTGCGGATATCCATTCAACTACACATGGAAGTGGCTTTCCCACCATTGAACGGAATCCGCTGGACCCCTACTCGGTTGATCCTTGGAATCTGAACGTCATGCCTTTCCACGGAGACTCCCTGTTCCGCCATATCAAGTCTGACATCTCCGGCATGACTGTCCCTTGGGTTTATGTTGGCATGTGCTTCTCGACGTTCTGCTGGCACAATGAAGACCATTATGCTTATTCGGCCAATTACCAGCATTTTGGTGCCACCAAGACGTGGTACGGAATTCCTGGGGCGGATGCCGAGGCGTTTGAGGAGGCCATGCGACAGGCGGTGCCGGAGCTGTTCGAGGGCCAACCTGACCTTCTGTTCCAGTTAGTCACGCTAATGCCCCCGGATCAGCTAAGAAAGGCCGGTGTACGGGTGTATGCATTGGATCAACGGGCGGGTCAGTTTGTGATCACCTTCCCGCAAGCATACCATGCCGGGTTCAACCATGGCTTCAACTTTAACGAGGCTGTCAACTTTGCGCCCGCAGATTGGGAACCCTGGGGTGCTATGGGGGTGCAGCGCCTCCAGGATTTCCGTCGACACCCGTGCTTCTCCCATGACGAGCTCCTTTTGACGGCTGCAGCTCGTGATTCATCTATCACCACGGCCAAGTGGTTGGCGCCTGCACTCCAGCGTACCTGCGCACGGGAATTGAGTGATCGAGCGATATTCGCCACCCGGCATCGGGAGCTGGCTCCGCACAACTGCACCCTGTATACTGAAGACCCTGCAGCTACGGGGACATGTCAACTCAAGTTTGTGGTTGAGGAGGAAGACCTGCCCGAGGATGATTATCAGTGCCAGTATTGCAAGGCCTATACTTATCTAACGCAGTTCCGATGCCATAAGACTGGGAAGACAGTGTGCCTGCCCCACGTGGAAACGTATGATTGCTGTGGCGAACCGCTAACACAAAGGTTAACTGGCCCGGACCACACGCTGCGCTATCGAATAGGTGATGATGCCTTGAAGGCCTTGGTACTGAAGGTCCAGGAACGCGCCAGGATCCCGGAGGCCTGGGGAGAAAAGCTCGACAAAATGCTGGAAGACGAGCCGAAGCCCCAATTGAAGGTCCTTCATAACCTACTTAATGAAGGTGAGAAAATCCCATACCATTTGCCTGGTCTCCAAGATCTCGCGGCTTTCGTCCAGCGTTGCGATAAATGGGTTGAAGAAGCAACCAATTACATTACCCGGAAGCAGCAGAACCGGAGGAAGAACGAGAAGGCGTGGCGCAAGGGGACTTCTAAAGCTGCGCAGCTGGAAGAACGTGATCGTGAAGTTCGCAGAGTAGAAAACATCTACGCCCTTCTTGCAGAGGCTGATAAACTGTCGTTCGACTGTCCACAGATGGCGGCTCTGGAAGAGAAGACCCGCGAGATCGAGAAATTCCGCCAGGACGTTAACGTTGCCCTCATGAACCCCAACATCCGATCGGTCCAGGAAGTCGAGGATCTGGTGGAATCCGCGCGCAATTTCAACGTGGATATACCCGAGGTTGAGGGACTAGAACACATACTCCGGCAAATGAAATGGAACGAGGAAGCGCGTCGCAAACGGGATCGGTACCTGACCTTGAAGGAGTGCCAGGAGATCATCCAGGCCGGCGAGCAACTAGGATTATCGGAGACCAACGACCACCTGCTCCACTTCAAGGATCTGTGTCGCCACGGTGAGGCCTGGGAAGCAAAAGCCAAGGAGTTGATGTCCGTAGAAGCCGTTCACTACCAGCAACTCGAGGCCTTGTCTGCGCAAGCATCCCGGTTCCCAGTGTCCCCTGATACCCTGGCATCTGTAGATGCAATCTTGACCAAACAACGCGAAGCGCAGCGCAGGATCCAGAGTCTGTATGACCGGAGCCGGGATCAGGATTTTCGCAACCGCCCCAAGTACAAGGAAGTCCGGGAGCTCATGGATTCTCTGGAGGAACTGAATAGCCGGCCTACTGGTGCGATTGACCTGGAGCGTGAGCAAAAGCGTCATGAGGATTGGATGAGGAAAGGCAAAAAATTGTTTGGCAAGGCGAATGCCCCGCTGCACATCCTGAAGTCACATATGGAGTATGTCGAGAAGCGCAATTCATACTGCTTCGATCTGGAAGATCGCTGTCGGCCGCCTGTGGAACCGGCATCGCGAGACAATACCCCTGATGGTTTGCTGGAAAGCACCAGCACTCCTAGTATGTGGGGTGGTGGGAAATCGCGGAAACGGGATGTATTTTGCATCTGCAGACACTCGGAAGCTGGCATGATGATCGAGTGTGAGGTTTGTCATGAATGGTAAGTTTGTTGGTGTTGTTTTTTTAGGAGAATCTCATGCTAACTTTATGTGCAGGTACCACGGCAAGTGTTTGAAGATCGCAAGGGGCAAGGTCAAGGAGTTCGACAAATACACGTGCCCGATCTGCGATTGGCGCCAGAAGATTCCTCGCGATGCTGCCCGGCCCAAGTTGGAGGATCTCCTGGAATGGCAGGCTGAGATTCCTGGTCTGCCTTTCCAACCCGACGAGGAGGAGATCTTGGACAATATCATCAACCAAGCCACAACCTTCCGGGACTTTTTGCACAGTTTCACCAACGCTGCTTGCACCACTACGGAGGAGGTTCCCACGTTGATCTTCTATCTGCGGAAAATCGAGGGTGCGGAGGTTCTCCTGGCATATGAGACGAATTTCTTCCGACAGGAGATCCACAAATGGGCGCCTGTTGCGCCCGAGCCTCCGCCGATCCTGGAACAGTCGCTTTCCACTCGGAAGCCTCGTCCCACGAAGCAGCAGAAGATCATGGCCCAGCTCGGCGTGGAACGGCCTGAAGACCTGCCTCCTCACCTCCGCACTAAGCAGCCCAACTTTGCCAAGCGCAAGTCGATCGAATCTCAGACTGGTCGGCCTTCCATACTCCAGCCCCCAGGCGACGGCTCGAATTCGGATTCGGGCCGCAGTGGTCCTACGTTGACGCCAATGGCCGATGCTCAAAACCCGCCGTATCCTTTCTCCGCCAACTACTCACTTCCTGCCACCGACTCTACCCCGGCGTTTGCACCAGGATCCTCTGCTTTCTTACCTCATGTTTCGGCCGACTCACCGTCGTTCCCTCCACGTTCTCCCACGCTACCGCACCAGGGATTGGACACGTCCCTCTTCAGCTCTCCTCGATATACTCGAGACCACACCGACGCGCCTCCTGGAGTGGATGTGGACAGCCGTGATCCTTTCGACAGCAGTCCTCGCCAGAATCTCGATGATGTGTTTGCCGATCTGACGAACCAAGATCAGGATCCGGAACAAGAACCTGAACCGGAGCTGATGGAGAACACGCACGCCAATGAAGCGCTTGAGGTTCTCGATGTGAGCAACGGTGATGACTCTGATGGCTTGCCTGACGCAGACTCGCCTGACCCTAAATTGAACGGAGACACCAACGGCCATGCCGAGGCTGACGACCATGCTGATGAGCTTTGATCGAACCTTTTGCTACTAATAGTCCAAATTATTTCTCGACCAACTAGACCGATAGTATGTTTAGTGGGTTCATGGGGATGTCCGGAATTTCTCTTTCTCAAACAGTCCTCTTTTTCTTTAACCTTTTAACGTTGCATGACACGGCATTCTGCGGCGTTTCAAGACTTGCTGGTGGCTTTGTGTTGTTTCTGGATTGTTAACGGTGTTGTTTACTGGGATGCCAGCTGTTTTGCTCTTTACATCTTCTTCGATTCTCTAGGATGGGATGTTTGATCCTGTTTAAAAATTTCTTGTTGCGATTTGTACGAATTCGGTGTACGAAGACAACGGAGACCTGGCTAGTTCCGTCTCCGCATTGCGAGGTGTTTTCCTGTCTTCTCTCTATTCATATCTGATAGTGTCTGTGTCTGATTTCACTGTTCCTTCTTCCAAGGGTGGCTTTCGTTTTCTCAGGCCAATGTATACTGCTGTCTTTGCTCTTTCTCCAGTATTTTTATCTATTAGTCAGTCGCTCGATGAGCGCGTTCGATGTGACATTAACCAACAATCGTTCAATACAGTAGACCCCTATTCCTCTCCACTCCATCTTCATTAAGTATGTGCCAGCTGGCTCCAATAATCTACATCTACACAACATCTGCATACGCACTCAAAGCAGACTGTCCCCCCGTATGTACCATCAACACATTAACATTACCTCCCTCCCCTTCCCATCCCCCTCGCGCAACCCAATCCCTGGAAATCTCCCCCTCCCTCACCCAATGCGCCATCCCCCTCGCCACCTTCCCCGTATACACCGGATCCAACAACACCGCTTCCTCTCTTGCCATCAACCGCATCATGTCCCTCGTCGCGTCATCCACTTCTCCATACGCCGTGCCCGCAAACCGCTCATCAATATGCACATCCTGCATGGTTATCTCCCTCTCCACATCTTCAAGCCCGATGAGTCTTCCCGCTTGTCGCGCAAACTGTAATACTCTGTTTTCGTGGTAGCTGCGTGAGCGGGTCGGGGATGTGAGGATGCCTATGATTTTCCGGGGCGGGAGGGAAGTGGTGGTGGTGGTTTCTTGTTTCTCGAGAAGTTTCAGACCGGCGATGAGCCCGCCGTGGGTGCTGCCGCTGCCGCAGGCGAGGAAGATGTAGTCGAATCTGCCGAGGTTTGAACCCTCTGGTTGTGACAGTGATTGCGGTTGTTTCTCCTGCAATGCAATCTCGAATGCGCATCTTGCGTACCCCAATCCACCTAATGGGTGAAGACTTGCTCCTGAGGGGATCCAGTAGGGATTTTTGCCTTCATTTTGGAGGGTCGTGAGGATGGAGTGGACTCCATCTTCTTCTTCCTTTTCTTCTTTACTTGTAGATGTTGAAACAGTCGCCGAGTCCAACACCCTCACATCAGCCCCTAATAGCTTCGCTATCTGCACATTTCCCGTTCTCTCGAAGAGACTCTTATCTGTTGCCTGGGCGTATCCACCCCCCGTGGCCTTGTGAAGGATAATCACGGGCCGTGAGAGGTTCAGGTGGTTCGCGATGCTGGTTACTTGGATGGTATGATTGCTTTGGAGGGCGCCTTCTGTTACTAGAGTTACTTCTTTTTCTGTCTTCTTTGGTGGTTGTGGTTGTGGTGGGGTGGTGAGAGTGCCGTGGTCAGGTCCTGGTGCTAGAGAGCCGTATTTGGGTGTTGGTGAGAGAATGTCGGGTATTAGGTACTCGAGTTTGCGGTATTTGTTACCGCTGGAGGTTAGAGGCGAGGCGTGGTCTTCGCGTTTCAGGTGGAGGGTTATGTTTATACCGGTATTGGGGTTGGTCTTGGGGGTTGGGGATTGGAGGAGGGTTCTGGTTAGGGTTGGAAGAGGGTGGATGGGAGATGGGGTGGAGTAGAGGAGGGGGTATCGGGGGATTTGGGAGAAGGGGGTGGGGAGGGGGATCATTGTAGTTGCTGTATGCTAGTGGTACTTGTGCGATTGAGTGGTAGGGGGAGTGATAATATGATGTTGAGTGTGATGTTGTGAGTCTAAAATGAGAGTGGAGGTGGTGCGGAGAAGTATATATCGGGAAGGTTGGAGTGTAGTATCTGGAGGGTTAGTATGTGGGTACCCATGAATCAAGAGTGGAATTGACTCACAGCAGATAGACACAAAAAGGCAAAGTAATTCTATTCGAGGAGATGCAATGTAGATGATGTCCAAGTGATAGCAATGATATGATATAGATGGGGTGGATGTTAAAGATGATGCCATAGGCGGTGAGGTTCTGCCTCTCCGCGGCGGAGATTCCCCGATTGGGAACTATCCCCTCATCTTTTATTTTCGACTCCAAAAAACAACCATCCAACTCAATTCCCACTGCAATCTCTCCCTACTAATCTGTCAAGATGCCTCCTTCTGAGCACAGTCTCTTCCAATTCCTCGCCAAAGCCCTCCAAACCCACCACCGCTTCCTCGCCGGCCGACTCTCGCGCGCCGAAAGCCCCATCTACGTCATCGGCAACCCCTCCGCCGACCTCGATTCCATCATCTCCGCCATTGTCTATGCCTCCTTTGCCCATCCCCGGCCTCACGTCCCTCTAATCAACCTACCTACTGTCCCGGCAGGCCCTGAACTGCGCCGTCTGCGTCCCGAATTCATTAAATCACTCTGGCTCTCCACGCACCCCCCAGTCCCAGACGAAGAAACATGGTCCGACACGCCCGAGTCCGCCGGTCCCCTTCTCCAAGAACACATCCTCACCGTCTCCGACTTTGCAACTCACCTCCAAGACTACAACCACAATGATAATCAATTAACCGCCGACGCCGTCCTCGTCGACTGGAACGCCCTCCCCATCCGCTCCCCCAACCAACCCCGAGGCCAAGGCTCCCTCGCCGCCCTTCCCAACCTCACCTTCACCGTCCTCGGCTGCATCGACCACCACGTCGACGAACACTTCCTGGCCCCAATCACCGACCCAGACCAGCCCTTCCTCCTCCAACCCGCCGGATCATGCACCTCGCTCGTAGTCAACATGCTGGATAAAATGGACCGCTGGCGGCGCACTTCCTCCACCACCTCCAGCCCTTCGGAGCTATCGTCAGAACTCCAACTAGCCAAGCTAGCCATGAGCGCTATTCTCATCGATACGGCGAACTTCACCGCCAAGGAGAAAGTCACGGACTCGGATACGCTTGCGTATAGTTTTCTGAGATCGAAGATTAATGCGATTTCGAATCGAGATGGAGATGGGGCTGGGAAGCCATGGGATCATAATAAGTTCTACGAGGAAGTGCTGGCTGCGAAGCAGGGGAGTTTGGATTTGTTGACTGTTCCGGAGGTGTTGGAGAGGGATTATAAGGAGTGGAGCGAGAAACCCTCATCTTCTTCTTCTCAGGAGGTGAAGATTGGGATCTGTTCGATGGTGCGATCATTGCCGTGGTTGGAGCGAAAAGCGGGCGGGGCGGATAAGCTCCTCGACGCTGTGGTGGAATATGCGACGAGGGAGGAGTTGGATGTGGTGATGGTCATGACGGCGTTTAGTGGTGCGGAGGGGAATTTTTGTCGGGAGTTGTTGGTGTGTGCGCGTGAAGATGGTGTGCGTGGAGTGGAAGTATTTGAGGAGCAGGCGGGAGTGCAGTTAGGGTTGGAGAAGTGGACGGTGTTGGATGGAGATGAGGAGAGTAAGAGCAGTGAGTTGGGAGATGTAAAGTGGGAGAAAGATGACGACCAGCCGTGGAGGAAATGGATCTGGGTGCAGGAGGATGTCACGAAGAGTCGAAAACAGGTGGCCCCCTTGATTAGGGAGGCTGTGAAGTCTTTGTAACCTTGGATTTACTTAGTTAACTATTCTATATCTCCTTTGGGTATATAGGTTTTGTGAATATATGGGTGGGTATAATTGGGCCACCTGTATAATTATACATGCTTGCTTTCCTTCAGCCATGTCAGTGAACTCAGATCTGGTTCCATATCTATCCTTATCAGCATTGACTGATCGTTTGATTGATGATGGACAATGGCCAATGGGCGAATGCGAGACTGCAACAATCAGGCACAAGACAACTCATAATAAGTACAATACAACTCAAACTCAATTGAAGCCAAATAAAGATTCCAACTTCAATGCTTCCCAACCTCATTCACAGCACCAACCGAGTCTAGTCATGCTTCTAGATCGTAGCAGTAGTTAGTTCATTGCAATTGAATAAATCCCCAAACAGCCATATCATCAGACATGATGCCCCATAACTCAGAAAACCATAATGCATAAAAAACATGAGATAAATTTGTTCAAACAGTCAAGCAGAAAGAGAAAAGGATAAGAAGAATAACACCGGCGCCATCATGGTCTTTCCGGAAACGCCTCAATATGATGGTAGTAACATGTAGGGGTAGATCACGTCCTGCTGCCCCTTGATGATGATGATGATGTCCTGGTACAGATGCCAGTCCCGGACCGGATGCAATGCTGTCAATTAGACATATGTCGATGAAGGAGTCTCCATAGATGTAAAACATAAATAAAAGATTAGATTACAGTCGCGTTTGTTTGGCAAAAGTTCCCAAATGCAAGCCCGGCAGTTCGGGATTCGGTCAGTAACACTCCCATTCGCAAAAGACACACCAGCGTGCAACCCGGTCGGCTAGTACCAGTCCTCGCCAGACGCCGCGTTCGCCAATCTTGATCACCGTCTCCCATACGCTGCCGTCCGCCGGCGCATCGGTGAAGGCGTGCGTGCCTGTGTGGGGGCTGAGCATATGCTCGGGCTTCCGCGTCAGACGCAGAATCTTGCCTGATGGAGACTGAATTGCCAGCTTGGCCGGCTTTTCACGTCCGGACATCGACCGGCCGGATGAAATGGCCGACGTCGAGGCAGAAAACTCGTTGGACACCCCGGACACCGTTGAACCGCCCGCGGAACTGGAAACCATACTTAATGCGCTGGCAGGCCGGGTAAAGACCGACGGTGAGACACGCCCACTGACGCCAGCCTCATTACTGCCGGACGACAAAGCCGGGGAGGCCGGATGTTGGCGGACAGCAAAAACAAAGGTGTTGTTGACCGCCAATTTCGCGCACTGCGGCTGCATGATGTAGAGATCATGTCGCTGAGCGTGAGGGGTCGGATGGCGCAGCACAAAGTCGTACGGCGGGTTCTCACTGCTGTGGAGCATGGGAAGGGCGAGAGCCAACGGATGGGGAATATCGCGACTGGAGTGCATCAATCCCTTCTTGCCGGCGTACACCTTGACTGTGCCCTGTCCTTCGTCGCCGGGCAGGATGGCTTTGACCGTAATCCGCTTCTGTCCGCTGACCCAGTCGGGCTGCACCAGCGCGCGCTTGCGCACAACTTCGCCGCTTTCGAAGAAATCACCATCGGCGTCACGGGCAAACGCTGGGGCTTCCACCTCGGCCGCACATTCCACGTCCGGGGGCACCGAAAGACGGATCTGCATGACTTCCAAGCCGTCAATCCGGATGATACTGGTATCAAAATCGGGGAACTGCATATTCAGCTTGAAATATGGCGGACAGGCCGCCGGCAGCGTCAGTAGAACGTCCGGCGAAATAGGCGGGCAGATGTGCTGCTCCTCAGGAGCAAGAGGAACATGCGTATAGCAAATCTCCAAGGGTCGTGCCAGGAAATACCAGCTTTCGGCCACGGAAGTGTTATTGGTGACGAATTGATTCCGTCGGGGATTCGTAGGGCTGGCAAGCGAACAGTCCATGATGCGCCATTCGCCATCCACAAGCACCGAGTTCCACCAATGGTTGGGTCGCGAGAGGCCGTCCAGGTCAAACATCTCCCCAGGGCTTTTGAGGAACCCATTGATCGCTTCAGCATGGAGACCGACCGCCGCACACATCTCCTTGACCAGGAAAGCCACTTCTTGGGGGCTGCCTCTTTTCGTCTGCAGCACCCGCCGCAAATCAATGCCGATCTCCTCAACCGGGTCATCCCAGGCGATCTTCTCGCTCACCCAAGTAAAGATGGCGCGCAGCCTCTGGACATCACTCTTATAAGGTCGGCAGACATACCCATGCGCTAAGCTCGCCGGATTCGTCATTGGGGGAAGACTGTTGACAAAACGCGCGCTCTTGTCCACAAGATTCAAGTTGGCATTGGCAAAGTTGGTTGGCTCACTGATCGGCAAGCCGTCAATACTTTCATCACCTTCCGCCGTCTCGTAAAGTTCCTCCACCGAATAGATCACAGGATGGTCCATCATTTGGCATCTTTCGGCCCTCTCGATTCTCTCGTTTCGACTGGGCGAGCTCGCGCGGTTCACATCGCGGCGGACTTGCACCCAATCAATGGCGCTGGTGCCAGGCCCCATGTCGCGGGCAGAGTCCCGGCTGGATTGCAGAGCACGGATTGGCGAGATTCCTCTGCCTTTGGTGGGGGACGAAGATCCACCGTTGTGCCCGACTGCGATGCTGCTCCTCGCGTTGGCAGCACCCGTCTTCGCTGACTCGAAAATCTTTTTGAAGAACCCGGGCTTCTTGGCCTTCGGTGTGGAAAGGCCCCCAAACACGGCGGTCGGCTCTTCTGCGCCGCCTTCACCGGACGACCACGGTATGGCAGACGACGCACCTTGCCGAGAAGTATTATGGCTGGAATGGTACGATATACCGGTTAACGGGGTTTCGGGCCTTGCCACCCGGGAGACATCGCTGAAGCCTCTCGAGCGAAACGTGTCGACTGCCGTGTTTGGTCTCTCGGCTGGAGTGGTACCTCTCCTGGCATAACTACCCGCACTCGTTGCACTGAATCCACCGGCCGAGGGACCACTCATGATGCTTTGACTGGTCCTCTCAGTGCTGCCCGTCTGTGTCGTACTCGTACTGTGCACCCCACTCGAAGAGTTTGTCGTGCTGGACTTATTTGTATACGTCCGATTGAGCAAGTCCCCACGGAGGTCTTGGCCGGATCTTCGTCCTCTCACCAACGGGTACTGAGCGGGGATCGAGTTATGCCGGGCATGGTAGGGTACGTTTCTTGGGGGAGGCGGTGGGGCTTCCTCATCAGAGGGTTGCGCATCCTCCTCGGCCTCCCTTTGGCTCTGCTCCTGCATCTCCCGAAGTCGACTCTCCATCCTCTGTACGTAGTTGTTCAGTTGTGGCGGACCGTCCATGTAGGGATCATGTGCATAGACGCTGTTTCTGTGAGTCTGACTGCCATGATATTGGTACTCCTTGTCTCCATCGAATCCCAGAGAGGTTAGTGGCCGACGGGAGGTCTGCGCGGGCCGAGTCTCACGGAAGCTATCATACGCGTCCGGTGACCACGGGTTGTTGAACATCGGCTGCGGCGACGGCGACTGTCCGCCTCGAGGAAGTCCCATATCCTCCAATGAAGTCATCACGTCTTCCATCGCATCACGAAGGGGCGACGGGGTGTGTCCACGGCCTTCGGAGTGGGCAGCCGGCGATGGCGTCCGTGATATTGTAACAAAACGATCATTCATGTCCAGACGTGTGGGCACGTGTGGCTCGATGGACGGCTGGCGATTGACAGCAACTCTGTGTGGTGGTGGGGGTGGCGGGGGCGGCGAGTCTTCTCTCTCGTGCAGCTGAAGTGGAGATATCTCGCGTGAGGAAGGCCGGTGCAGAGATATACTGTGCCTCGGAACCTGAGGAGGCATAAGGTCTTGGTCATCAGGCGGGTATGGGGACACTGCACGAGACGCAGGCCTCTGGATTGCAACTTCCATAGGGGGGAGAGATGGAAGCTGGTAATCGATGGTTGGCGGAGGAGCTGGTGATACTGCACGAGGAGCAGGTCCGGGGCGTGGTGCACTTTGCACAGATGGCATGGAAGGAAGGTGGAGTTCTGGGTCTGGCGGAATGGGCGACACTCCGCGAGAGGGAGGTCTTGACCGGGCCATGTATGTCCCAGGAAGGGTGGACGAAAGTTGGGGATCTGGTTCGGCTGGAGGATGCGGGGACATCGCACGGGACAAAGGCCTAGACCGGGATACGGGCCTCGACAAAGAGCTCTGATGCTTTACAGCGGTTGTTGGGGTGCGTAGCGGCTTCACCTTCCGCGAGGAAAGACTGCCATCTCGGGGTGGAGTTTGCGGAATCGTGCTGGTCACTGGCGATGAAGAGGTCGAGCTCCGGGATAGCTCACCCGAAGGCGCAAGAGCTTCTTTGTGGGCTTGGAATGGCTTTCGGAAGACTGTCTTTTGTTTCTTAGGAGCCGAGGTTGGATTCGTGATCGGCGAGGAGGCAGGTGGTAGCATAGGGCTCGTTGATCGTTGAACTGGTACGAAATCTTCCCTGAGAACTTCGACGAAATTGGAGGGAAACAACCCCATCATGCGCCTGTCACGCCGCAATCGGCCCATCCACCATTGGCCATCACCAGCATTCAGACACTCGATAAGGTCGCCCTCCACGAATCCCAGATCGCGTTTTGTTTCTCCGCCCCATGAGTATATTGCCCGACACCAGCAAGGGAATCTGGTCGGGAGCTGCGGTGCGGCGGGGGCCATTGCGGCTGAAGTGACCGAGCACGAGCGGACCGGGATCGACTACTACCACCGTTGAATGCTAGCCAGAGCGGACGTCAGATTGCTGGGGGGGCGGGAAACGATCGGAGATGCAATTGACGTGTCAGAAGATTGATATGATGCAAGTATCAGGTTCCGATCGAAGTATCAACGGGGTAGAAAAGTCAAAGGGCGAATATAGCTACAAGCGCACCGTCGCTGAACGAGAGACAATAACGGAAGCATTAAGGACCGGGTAACGGAGCTGTAGACCAACACATGGCAAGAAAGGAAAAACAAAAACAAGGGAAGAGTAGCACGCCGGAACGCGACGAAGGGAGGGGGGGGAAGGTTCAGCGTGGGATGCGACACGCTTTAGGTTAAAGGGAGGGGGATTTGGGGGAGGGAGGGGGGAACTTGGTTAGTTTAGTGAATGGAGGAGAGCTAGGAAGGGGGGGAGAAAGGAAGAGAGAACGAGAGAGCGAGAGATGGACTTGGAACTGAAGGGAAACTGGACGGTGAGGCCCGATCGATGTTTTGGTGTTTACGTGGGCTCCGTTTCGGGACTAGTTCCTCTCTTATCGATAAGCTTATTACGCACAGTCCCTTTGCTACTAACCAGTGACTACCCTCTTCTCTCTGGAGGTTATAGCTATCTCTCTCCCTTTGTAACTCACGTCGCGGAAAGATGTCGGTTCAACATACCAATAAACGAGCTCATTCGAATCAACCATGGTCATACGAAGCCCCAAGGTACTCCGCTTGTGGCTACTAGGGGTCCCCCCTCCCCCCAGGTGAGGATCCATGGTTGTACCTCCGCTACCCGCCGTATCACCCAGAAAATATTCATCCCTGGGTTGCCAATCAAGTCCTGTTTCATCTATAGATTAATACTTGTGGTGCAGTTCACAACTTTGTACCCACATCAAAGGGGAACCAGCGTGGAACTTATGAGAAATCAAACCATAGTTTACTCGCCTGCGAAACAGTTGAGGTACTATATAGTATCTGAGTCTCCTTGTGTTTTCACTTTCGATGGGATTCTTCATGATAGCTAATCCGTTTGTCACTCAGCTCACAGATCTACCATACTTATTGCAACGGTTGAGCCACTCTCTCTCTCTATATACACGGCTAAGTCGGCTAAGTTCCTTTTAAATCTAACGTGTCGAGACGAGGACTCCAAAGGCATCATCCCCTGGTATGTGGCCAAAATCCCTCCAACTCAACTGGTCAGCTGCCGCGGCCCCTTGCTTGGCCGGGGTAATGATGGCCGATACTGTGTGCATCGCATTTCCGAGGAACTGATTGACCGGCCGACGAAGTTTACTGTCGTATCCTGGTTGTCCTGTCTAGAATTCCTTTACTCGATACAAGTCATTGGAAGCGACTTCAGTCTATTACTCGCTAGATCTTTAGCGGGCAACGTACCAGCACTAGTCGTGTACTGCCTCAATGCCGCTATCTACGCAGTTTATCATCGGCCGTAGTGTCCAGATCTCGGAATAATTGTCAGTTAGTAGATATATATACTATAATGATGTGTAGCATACATTCAATGGTGCAGTAAGTAGCAAGGGAACGAGATGCTAACCATTTCCATGTGGCACCAATTTCGTCCATACCATTCTCTTCATTACAGTCAATCATTTACTGTATTCTATATTCATTCAAGTTATCTCTGCTAGTACTACTGTAGCAGCGGAGTAAGATGGAAGGCTGCCATTCCAGCCAGGCTCGAGGATACACGTGCCACCCACAAGTTTACCACCCAACCTGGAACACGCTAGTCTAGTAAATCACCTGCCAGTTTTCTCAACCGAGCATTAGATTGCGCTTGTCTACAATCAATACTGTACAGCGAAATTTGTCTTCTATTGTGTGACATAAACTCATAGTCCAGGTCTCATGATGCTTACTGGCACAAGTATCCGACCAAAGAAGTTCTTCCTTCGGAAGTATGGGTGGAAGGGTACGCGGTTCGGAAAAGTCTCTGCAGCGTCGACAACAGAACCACCAAGGTTCACGAGAGGCTCACGCCAAGTAACCTTATTGAGACCCGTATCCGGGATGGCTGGTACCAGATGGCTTGTGTGCTACTTCTTATTGACAGCAAGCGTTTTTGTCGATTGTGTTTGCTCGCTCCTGCGTACGGAGGATTGTAAGCTGATAGTCTCGTGGACCATAACGTGACATGATATTCCAGGAAATCAGAGAGCTGACAAATACATCTGAACCTGCTAGATAGGCCTACGTTATCTTCTGTATCCTTTGCTGAGACATGTTTGGGATTATCCTCCATTGTTAAGGGTTTCCGAAGCCGAGGGATATGCACTATATTTATCGGACCACACATGATCCTTGAGCAAACCATTGCTCCTATGACTAAGAACGCTTGACAAACCCACTGCGAGGCTTTTCGGGAGAGGCTTGGCAATGTCTCACTACCAGATCATAGGGATACCGCCTCTTGGTTCATACTTCCTGCATTGGCTTCTTCTGCAAACAGCCCATTTTCAGCTATCTAGCCTGACCATGCTGACCGTAATGAGGGATGGCAATAGGCTTGAAAGTTGCTGATGGTGTGTAAGATTGACTAACCTCTAGGAATACTTATGAAAATGCCAACTCAGACCAAATTTGGACCGCAATGGCACGAGTGGAACGCAGGGTGGCAGCACGGCTTATGAACCTTATCAATGCGACGCCTCGAGAGCGCCCTCAAATACCTGTCTAGAATCACACATTCTCGGAGGTTAAAGTTCTAGTTTGGTTATTCGGGCGAATTATTGAACCTTGACATTTGTGGGACACATGTCAAGCATGACCCGCCACTCGAATGGAAGGTTCGGTGGCTGAAGCAAATTTGAGACGATCCTGATTCAACACAAACCCCTCGAGCCCTGCCATCAGAGCCGTCCGAGCACGGTGTGCAAGAGCTCTGCCAGTTAAACTACTCAGTACTAGCCAAATGGTACTCAGCATGTTGATTATATATTCGAGCATCATGCAGGGTTTCAAACCAGGGGAAGGAGTGCAGAGTCGAGTCGAACCTGCAGGATACTGAACAAGCCGTGAACTAAAACAGTTCATATCCCTAGCAAGGCAAATGAACCGGCCATGCTCGAGAACCGGGTAGATATGGCAGGAAGAATGATCCGTCGGTCAGGCTGCTTCGAGCATGTCATGTCACCACTACTACTCCACCGACTACATTCCAGCAACAATAACCTTGTTTCTCCAGACATCGTTCGCTGACTAGTTTGTCCGAGTTTCGGAAGTTGAATAAGCCAACATACACTTCGGGGGATCTCGTTGGTAGGAAACGCAAGGTACATGCAGGGCAGCAGGGCACGGATCTTGACTGCCTGGTCTTTCGGCATGCGTCTTTCTGCGTCTTTCCCACCGATATCATCGGCGAAGCGAGAAATCCTTCGGCCTGGCCCGTGGAATTTTGTGTCTCATGCCTAGGGAGGAAAGATGTCAGGGGAATCTTCACCCCAGACTTCTTTGTCGTTTGTCACGTGCTCGCTGCAACCTGCTGATCGTCGCCAAATGGGGCGGCGACGACTTTCCTCTGTAGGACTCCTTCCCCCCTAGCCAAACGGACGCTGCTCGCCATCGCAACGCCGTCCCTTGATGCATCTCCAGAACACGGCTGCCTAGTTGTTCGATTACCACCAGAAGCAGGGGTTGAGACACCGATATCCCCTTGATAAACGTTGTGGCCTGACGGTTGAGGTAGCCCCACAGGATGTCGGCCTCATGGACCAGAGTCTCAAGTCTAGAATTTCCAAACAGGGTAACTCCACAGAGTGCCCAGATGGTGTGCTCCTGATCCACCGCCATGGTTGTGTCCATTCACAGCAAGTCCCTGTCAGTATGCGAAGGATCCCCAGAAGCGGAAACTGAAGGATACTACTGGAAGCTCACCAGAACAATTTAGTGCCTGTCAACTAATTGTAACATCACGATTCGCTGCATGTGTTGCAATGCAACCCAATTGAGCTGCTCTGCTAAGTTCAACTCTTTACAATCGCCCCCCTAGATGCGCCATGGAATGCACCTTAACCAGTTCAGCGCATGCCGTAGTTGAGACACCCTCCCCCACCTAGCTATGGGGGCCTTAAATCTACATGTGTATAAAGTGTGCGTCTCATCGACATGGATGTGGAAGGCCAGATGGACTTTGGTCTGACAACGGCGATTGACCGATCAATAGACATCTTCCGCAAACATGGAGGGTCCATCTCGTGTGTACCTTTTTGGAGACCAGACCAGCGACATCGAAGCTGGCCTACGCCGTCTGCTCCAAGCGAAGAATAGTACCATTGTCCAGTCCTTTTTCCAGCAATGCTTCCATGCAATCCGTCAAGAGATCGCGAAGCTCCCGCCGTCTCATCGGAAGCTCTTCCCACGCTTCACGAGCATCGTTGATCTCCTTTCCAGGAGTCGTGAATCAGGTCCTAGCCCTGTCCTGGAGAGTGCATTGACATGCATCTACCAATTGGGTTGTTTCATTCAGTAAGTCAATGAGTTACCATCTATACTTGACAAGTCTGACCAGCCTTCAGCTTTTACGGGGATCTTGGACATGACTACCCTACACCCTCCAACAGCCATCTTGTTGGCCTGTGCACTGGTGTTCTGAGCTGCACGGCTGTAAGTTGCGCCAGAAATGTTGGAGAGCTTATTCCAGCTGCAGTGGAATCGGTTGTAATTGCACTGCGACTGGGAATCTGCGTTTTTCGAGTTCGAGAACTGGTGGACTCCGCCGATTCCGAGTCAACATGCTGGTCAGCGTTGGTTTCTGGAATCAGTGAAGCAGAGGCTAGCCACCTGATCGACGAGTACAGTAGTAAGAAGGTGTGCTCTTCCAACTTTAAACCCCCACATTGTGGGATGCTGACAGATGCAGGCTACTCCGCCTTCTTCGAAACCGTATATCAGCGCGGTAAGCTCTAATGGCGTTACTGTCAGCGCACCACCTACGGTACTTGATGAATTCGTCGAGACCTGCATTTCCAAGAATTACAAGCCAGTGAAGGCCCCTATTCATGGCCCGTACCATGCGCCACATCTGTATGATGATAAGGATATCGAACGTATCCTGCAGCAGTCCTCTGCTCTAGAGGGACTGACCGGCTGTTCACCCGTTATTCCTATCATCTCCAGTAACACTGGAAAGCCGATCAAGGCCAAGTCCATCAAAGATCTCTTCAAGGTCGCACTGGAGGAGATACTCCTACGACGACTATGCTGGGACAAGGTCACGGAGTCCTGCACATCAGTCTGCAAGACCGGCACAAACCACTCTTGCAAATTGTTTCCGATCTCGAGTAGCGCCACTCAAAGTTTGTTCACAGTCCTCAAGAAGGCCGGTGTGAGCATCAGCTTGGAGACTGGGGTAGGAGAGATCGCGACGAACCCAGAAATGCGGAACCTTACTGGCAAGGCAGAAAATTCAAAGATTGCTATCATTGGTATGTCTGGAAGATTTCCTGACTCGGATGGTACGGAGAGCTTCTGGAACCTCCTGTACAAAGGACTCGACGTACATCGCAAAGTCCCCGCAGACCGTTGGGACGTTGATGCCCACGTCGACATGACCGGGTCAAAGAGAAACACAAGCAAAGTGGCTTACGGTTGCTGGATCAACGAACCCGGCCTGTTTGACCCCCGATTCTTCAACATGTCGCCTCGGGAAGCACTCCAAGCAGATCCTGCACAACGTCTTGCGTTGCTTACAGCGTACGAGGCTCTCGAGATGGCTGGCTTCATCCCGGATAGCTCTCCATCGACGCAGAGGGACCGTGTGGGTATTTTCTACGGAATGACCAGTGACGACTACCGTGAGATCAACAGCGGCCAGGACATTGATACCTATTTCATCCCTGGCGGTAACCGAGCATTTACGCCGGGTCGGATAAACTACTACTTCAAATTTAGCGGCCCCAGTGTGAGCGTTGACACAGCGTGCTCGTCTAGTCTTGCTGCTATCCACATGGCTTGCAATTCGATCTGGAGAAATGACTGCGATGCCGCCATCACTGGAGGTGTGAACATTCTGACCAACCCTGACAACCACGCCGGTCTGGATCGGGGCCATTTCCTGTCCACCACTGGCAACTGTAACACCTTTGATGACGGCGCCGACGGCTACTGTAGAGCGGACGGAGTTGGAAGCATCGTTTTGAAGCGGCTTGAAGATGCCGAGGCCGACAACGACCCGATCCTGGCCGTCATCAACGGTGCTTACACCAACCACTCGGCGGAGGCCGTGTCAATCACTCGTCCCCATGTTGGCGCGCAAGCATTCATCTTCAACAAGCTGCTCAATGATGCGAATATCGACCCTAAGGACGTGAGCTACGTGGAAATGCATGGCACTGGAACTCAAGCAGGTGATGCAGTCGAAATGCAGTCCGTTCTTGACGTCTTCGCACCAGACTACCGCCGGGGTCCCGGTCAATCGCTTCATATCGGTTCTGCCAAGGCAAACATTGGACACGGTGAATCCGCATCAGGAGTGACTGCTCTTGTCAAGGTCCTCCTAATGATGAGAGAGAACATGATTCCTCCTCATTGTGGTATCAAGACCAAGATCAATTCCAATTTCCCGACAGACTTGGCGAAGCGCAATGTTCATATCGCCTTCCAACCCACTCCCTGGAATCGGCCAGCTTCAGGAAAGCGGCGAACTTTCGTCAACAACTTTTCTGCTGCTGGTGGTAACACTGCTCTTCTACTGGAAGATGCTCCCATACCGGAACGCCAAGGGCAGGACCCCAGGTCGTTCCATTTGGTCTCCGTGTCAGCAAGATCCCAGTCTGCATTGAAGAACAACGTCGAAGCTCTGGTGAAGTACATTGACTCTCAGGGCAAGTCCTTTGGTGTGAAAGAGACTGAATTCCTTCCAAACCTGGCGTACACGACCACCGCACGCCGTATCCACCATCCCTTCCGTGTCACTGCGGTTGGAGCGAACCTACAATCACTGCGTGACTCGCTGCATGGTGCTTTGCACCGTGAGACATATACCCCAGTTCCCTCAACGGCTCCTGGTATTGGTTTCGTCTTCACCGGCCAAGGAGCCCAATACTCCGGAATGGGCAAGGAACTCTACCGCAGTTGTTTCCAATTCCGAACCACCATTGAGCATTTTGACTGCATCGCAAGAAGCCAGGGCCTTCCTTCTATCCTTCCTCTTGTCGATGGAAGCGTGGCTGTCGAAGAACTTAGCCCTGTCGTGGTACAAGTGGGAACTACCTGTGTACAAATGGCTCTAGTAAATTACTGGACTGCTCTGGGTGTGAAGCCGGCCTTTATCATCGGACACAGTCTTGGAGACTATGCAGCCCTTAACACGGCCGGTGTTCTATCCACCAGCGATACAATCTATCTGTGTGGCCGGCGTGCTCAGTTGCTGACGAAGGAATGCAAGATTGGGACACATTCGATGCTGGCCATCAAGGCGTCCCTGGCAGAGGTCAAACATTTCCTCAGAGACGAGCTCCACGAAGTCTCTTGTGTTAACGCACCTGCGGAGACTGTCGTCAGCGGCCTTGTCGCTGATATCGACGAGTTGGCTCAGAAATGCTCCACAGAGGGTTTGAAGTCAACCAAGCTCAAGGTTCCTTACGCGTTCCATTCCTCTCAGGTTGATCCTATCTTGGAGGCCTTCGAAGATATTGCCCAAGGTGTCACCTTCCACAAGCCGACAACACCTTTCGTCTCAGCCCTGTTCGGGGAAGTGATCACCGATGCTAACTGGGAGTGTCTCGGCCCCAAGTACCTGCGCGATCATTGCAGAAAGACGGTCAACTTCCTTGGCGGCGTGGAGGCTACGAGGCATGCGAAGCTGACCAATGACAAGACTCTGTGGGTTGAGATCGGCTCACATACCATTTGCTCTGGAATGATCAAAGCAACTCTTGGACCGCAAGTTACAACGGTTGCATCTCTACGCCGCGAAGAAGATACCTGGAAGGTCCTTTCGAACAGCCTTGCGAGCCTTCATCTGGCGGGTATTGATATCAACTGGAAGCAATATCACCAGGACTTTAGCTCCTCTCTCCAGGTCCTCCGCCT